TATTTTTTCTGCTGTCATGCACTTATCTACTTAGACTGTTTTGTCCCCTGCCAGCTAGTTTCAATCGATCATGATAATAGGAAAGAAATTAGACATCGCAATGAATTTCATTTCCAGCTTATTTTTGTTGTCATTTCATGTTATAATATCTTAGTCGCCAAAAAGATTAAGCAGGAGAGGAATAAAGAAAAACATGACATCACAGTGCACTTCATCACACAGGTTTTTTTAGACGCAAACTTCTTAAAATGATACCATCTCCTGGGATATCGCAGCGATAAAATACCACAACAGGCATTGCAGATGAATTCACCTGCTGTTTATCTTGACAGCGTAAGCAATAAAAAGTATGCTCCCGTTCTATTTATCGCAAAACACAGCAAGCACTCTGTAAACTTTATCAACCATTGTGTTATATACAGAGGCACAGTTATTAGCTTGATCATAATTAACTACCTCACTACATGACAAGGTACCCCAGTGGCAAAATAGATTTAAGACCTCCAAGTCATGTTAACCAAAATTTATGCCGTGACAATGCAAAACCGTGGGCCTTGAAAGGCAGTACTTATTGAAAAACGCCAACAAGCTCATCCACAAGTGAATGAGTACTGAATACGGTACTGAAGGTTTTATACATTGTACCAGAGAAAATTTCAGAGCTGATCGCAAAATCCGGGAAAGACTGGTCGACTGGGAGAGATTCTGTGGGAAAATGACTCGTTCTGTTGTAGTGTGTTGTTAAGTTCAGGAGCGAACTGTTCTCAATTTTCATCAGAAGGTATGTATGTATGTATACAGGTTATTCACTTTGATTTAGCGGCTTAAAAATGTTTTGTTATGCTATGTTTCCTAGCTAGGTTTTTCGGAGTTGCGGTATCACATGCATTTTGTCGAACTGATTTGAAACTTCAAGACTGCTAAGATTCAATTTATGATAGTCGTTCCCAGTTTCATTTCTGAAAGTGGAAGAATAGAGTTTTGTAAAAATCACCAGTTGGGAATTTTGAAATATTGCTGAAAAAAACTTATAAACAATCTAACAACTGAGACCTCCTAACATTTTTAAAGGACTCAGTCGAGAATATATAGATGAAAAGAGTTTTCCTAAATTTGGGTTAAACGTACTTAGATTTCGTCTGAATAAAATCGAATTGTTTGTTATGGCGTTATCATGCAGTTCTGTGAACTTAACTCAGTGAAATTCTGTGCTGGTCCGAGAGAATGAAGGATAAGATACTTCCGGCGAAGACACTTTTGAAGACAAATTTAAACATTTGAAAAGATACATCCATTGACTCAATTTTTGCTTGAGAAGGAGATTTTTAAGTCAGTGCCATGTTTGAGTGCGATCCACTTCATGCCTTTCTTGTTTTAACCTTGAATGAACATAGTGATTCTTGAGTGTGTATTCCTTTTTTGTTTGTTTTTTTCTTCAATTTCCGGCCTCTCTTTTGCTTAGCCTGCGAAAAAGGATTCATTTAGTATACAAGGCTGAAAAACTGATAGGCGAATACGAAAATAGATCGGTGAGGACTCGGCGAGTCGAGCATTCTTCCCCAGATCGCTCTCGGTTGACCAACCCGCCAGTTCTCACATATTTTCGCTCTCTTTTCACATGGCTCGGGACAAGCAGAATGATTGGCGCGCTGGTCTTGGTTCGAGCCTTGGCTTGGATCAATGTAGCAGTGTTCTCGTAAAGGGGGGGAGAAGAAAGTTTTCTCTGAGAGTACCGTTCTCTATCCAGCAGAATAGTGAGAGAACATCTAAAGAAACTATCACAATACCTTGGGAAGAGGGCCCGTCATCTGTTACCATCCCATTCCGGGGGATTCGCTATAGAAATACTTATAAAAGCTCTCTGATACAGACACCGGAAAATTCTCCAAGACATAGTTACAGGATCTGAGGGGATTTTACTTTCGTCATAGGCAGAAGTCAGAAATCAAAAGCAGTCAGTGATCAGAGCTATTTGCCTGCATATACGTAGGCACACTGAGGAAGCGCTGCATTCAACCAAAGAGCGAACGTAGTTAGCTTTTGAAAACCTTACAATTCCGTAACCAAAACAAAACCGGATCTTTTTAATTATATCCCATTGCAAGGTCACTTTGTTCAAAGGTCGAAAGCAAAGACACAAAAGAATGTAATTTAAACTAATGCGTTTCGCCTGAATTCCGTAAAAAATGAACTTACAAACAATTTCGTGAATCAGGTTCATGAATATTTTAGGTGAATGTCTGCCTTCACCTGCCGTTACAAATTTAGATGTGGAACGTAGTTTTTATGGGGGAAGACCTTTGAATGTATTTTATTAGTTCCGTCTTGAAGTGAGACCAAATCGGGGTAAAAACAGGATATTTTGAACTTGAGGAAAAAAAATTAAGTAAACGTCATCCAACTGCTCCAAATGTGTACAGCGATGTGAGTTGTTGACAGCCCTACAAGGTGAACTCAGTGGAGACATACTGCGATACAATTTCTGATTCACAAAAAAAATTCAAAGTGAAGTGTTAGACTGGAATTGAATAGGAATAGTGCTTTTGTGAGGGCTTTAAGATTAATTCTGAAAAAATTTCTCGTCAGAAGTATTTTGAAAAATATTCAACTGAAACCATGAAATCATAAACTTGAACATAAGAATAACTCTATGATATTCGGGTTCGTGGGAAAGTCATCAATCAATATATCAAAACATTGTTTATATATTCATGCGGTAAACTCTCTCAATTGTAAAAAAAAAAAAAAAAAACTTCATACGCCAATCCTCTTGGGTCGTGAAAGTAATGACAAGGATTGTAATTAAAATTGATATGTGTTTGGCTTCGATAACCAATATTTGGCACCCACCAATTTAGCTCTCACTGTCTAATGATATATGTCTCAGGAATTAACCAAAGCACGTTATGAAATTTTAATTGAAGGCATTTAGAGGCGACTGAAATGAATCTGCTATCTTTACACAGTGGTCGCATATGAAAGAAAATATGTTGCGGATTATTGAATCAAATTTGACGGCTACCGGTTGGTAAATTCATTAGATTGTTGTTTAAAATCAGAACATTCCCGTTAGGTAATTTCAAGCCATAACATTACGATATAATATGTTCCTCGTGAACTATTGAATGTTTATCAGTTATCTATCCCCAACAAGTCTGTTTTGTTCTTACGGATCACTGAGCTCAACAAAAAATACACATTTAAAGCACGCTTTGGTAAGTAAAAATCTTGATGTGGTTAATCACACCAGTTTGGAAATGTTTGCCTTATTTCAAAGTTAACATTAAAATTAAAACTTTGTTTATTCCAAACCAGATTGTTTGTTACGCGAATAAAGTCGAATATGGGTCAAAAGTGTCATTTGGTTTAGAGAAACTCTTCCGAAGACATTTTGCGCAGAATGTGTGATTTTTTATGAAATTATGGTTGTTACTGCCGGCGACAGAAATGTATTAGGGAAGCCGTTTAAAGCGAGAGGTATTTAAATTCTTTTGTATTCTGCCCACCATACGTGTGATGACAGTTGTATTCAAAGTCACATGCCAAAACTGAAGGAAACAACGATGGGAAAACAGCCTTTGAGAAATAATTTCGCCGGCGAGGACAAGTTAAGAGTTTCAAACAAGTCATTTTAGAAGGATAATTTTTTACCAAACGAGAATCTTGTATAGCAAGTGTTTGTAACGGCGGAGCGATGTGGTACGAATTCGCTAAAAGTGTCATTTTGTGGCCAGTTTTCTACTTGTGTTTGAAAGTGATCCAAAAATTACTCGTGAAATTTTTTGTACTAAGGTATTGATATCAAGTTCTCACACAGCTTGAAGTCTGATGGTAGCTTGTCAATTATTCTTGAATTAAGCAATTTTTTCCAAATACACATTGCTTTAAAATATGCTGGTGACGACGTAACTTCTGAAGAACAGTGTTCAAATTTTTGCTGATTGGACTCTGTAAATATTACCTACCGTGCGTGGACCGTGTGTGTCAGTGGGTACGAGAGAACGTGAAAAAAAAAATTAGTTTTCGCTGCAGAAAGTAAAGTGTCATAGGTTTCTGTCCTACCTTTGCTCGCTCGAAAAAAAACAGAATTTATACTTGGAAATCTTACAAGAATTGTAAGAGATTTTATTTGGAAACAACCACTGTCAAAAGATATCTAAGAATCCACAGAATCCACACATGTACATTCCAAATTTTATTGCTGGGATTAATGATTTTCATAAAAGCGTACCTCAAGATAATTCTAATAATTTTTAATTCACGGTAGTAATTCCTCACGTAAAAAAATCGCGACTGGAGTTTACATAGGTACTGCCTCTTAAGAAAGCGACATGTTTTATGCAAAAAATAATCGCCTCAGTAACAAGTTATGATTTAAGATTTTAAAGTTATTTATTCCTATAGCTGTATAGCAATGCGTCAATGATCAGTCAGATAAAAGTTTGTTTAAATGAGTTAAGGAAAGTACTTTCCTTCCCCAACAGATCATCAAACTATACTTTTATGATTTTTCTCTACACAGATTAGAAGAAAATTTAGACCTTGATCTTATTATGACCGCAATGGGTGGTCGTTGTTTCCGACTCATCGTCGCCTGTTTCCTGTCGTTGTTATCATCAGGTAAGAAAATCTTGAAAAGAATTCGTTTCTGTAATCTTAATTTCTATTTGCGCAGCAAATTACGTTTAAAAACAATCTCTAAGGCAATGACAGGTGATTGTTAGCAAATTTCGTTAGAATATAGATGCCGGTATTTCTCAGTTTTAGACCTGAGGTTCCAGATAACTGTTCAGCTATATGACTCGATATATAAACAATCAAAAGAATTAAAAAATTTGTTTTTTTCTTTTTAATTCGTCATTCTAAGGCCATATGTTTTCTGTTACAGCATTTTTGCAAATTAATTCAAAGCTGTTGCGTCAGCGCATTACTCTCCTGAGAATATTGAATAGTTACAAATTTTCAAGATATTTATAGGAGATTATCTATAATCTCTTGATATGTGTAATTTAAAATTTTTTTTTTTCATTTCAGTGCGAACGGCAAATCCATCTGCCGAACAAGTATTGATTACGACTCTTTTAAAAAATTACGATCGAAATGCTCGGCCAGTGCTCGACAGACGAAGACCCACAAACGTCACGTTCGGACTTGAGGTTGTTCAGTTAGTGAACGTGGTAAGACTTATGTCGATGTAAAGACAGCGGTCAAATGTCGAGCATGCGCAAGAGGATTAAATTTTGGCCGACGCGCTTCAATTTGTCACCAAAACTTTCAGGGGAAAACATAAGAAATAGCCGCTGTCGCGCAAACCATGTCAAAAAAGTTCAAACGTTTACAGATATCGGTTGAAGGAAACGGAAGTAGGGAAAGGGAAACCCTAAAAATTTTCTTTGAGAGTTCTCGAACCGACATAACTTATTTGATTGCGGATACTCTGCTGTTGAACATTCTGTCCTAGGCTTTATCTAAAGGTTTTTACGCTCTTTAAAGACTCGAACTGACACGCTTGTTATGACTCCGGAGAACCTGAGTGTACACCGCGTTGTCATAACAGCGTTCACGCATGCGCACGCGTTTGGCCATTGTGTTGCATGATGACTGATAAAGATTCCGTCTTTCTCTGTTTTCGTCTGCCCTTCCCAAGATGATCACATTAACGATGGAACAAGTTGTTCTTTTTTATGCTCAGGATGATCGTAATCAGATGTTAACAACGAATGTGTGGGTTAGACAAGTAAGTTCATTTATTAACATTTTTTTAAAAATAGAAATAGCTTTTATCATCCGGCAGAAGACAAAACAGTTGTTTTCAAATTTTCTACTTGAACCTACTTAATAAGTTTATTTTACCAAAGCACCAACTTCTTTCAAAGACTAATCCCTGAGAGCTGGTTTACTAACCTAGAGCAGACTCGCCTCAACAAAAGTCAGCCATTTCCTGCACCATACAAACGACTTATTCACTGCATTAACATCCTAAACGGATAGAATAGAACGATGTAAGTTTACCCAGGAAATAACTCTGATGATGACTTCTCCTCAAGTTGTCGAAAACGTCAGTCACCGCAACCTACAACGTTCCTTCTAAGGACTACATTCGCCCGGATGATCAAACCACACTATCACACTTAATTTTACAGCTGTTAACATTACTGTAAAACTGACCAGTCAGTTGTCATTTTAGAGATGGAGAAATGAGCTGCTGACCTGGAAATCAGCAAACTACAGTGGAGTAAAAACAATACGAATAGATCCGAGAATGGTGTGGATACCAGACATTGTGCTCTACAACAGGTATTTTTTTTCAAAAAGTATTTAACAATTATACGTTAATTAAAAAAACTTTAAAAAATAACAAATAAAAAAATAACAAATACAAACATGCCGATATATTATATATGTTTCAATCGGTCGAAAACTTATCGTTAATCCACGTCTCAAGTTCTCCCTACATCCCGCGGGGGTAATTACGCCGCAAAACTTATAGGAAGTGTGAATTATTGCTTGAAAATCAGGAACCCCCCCTCTATTGCTCAATAAATTTGTTTTATACAATTCCAGCGTGCTTCGATTTTTCGGGCGGCTCAACTGAGCAAATAGTGCTATTTTTGATTGGTTAAAAATGAACGCTTCGCGCCGTTTACTCTATCAATCGAAGTGAATATCTTAGCTGCGCATGGGTGGTTTATGGTTGCTTGTTTCTGGGACGAAATTTTACTCGTTGTAGGATCACTGAGACATGAACAAACTTTGAACTTTTTGAAACTTTTTTTTTTTTTTTTTTTAACATTTTTTTTTTTTTTCACTTAAAGCACAAATACTAGAGTAATACAAACAAATACAAAGTTAATTACATTAACGCTTACGCTACTCACTAACACTAATTACGAAATACTACATTACATTACATTCACAGTCGGCTAGATTTAATTTATGTTGTGGTTATATAATAATATAAGCCTAATTTGTACAAATACTTCTACATCAAATTCCTTTTTTGGTAGAACGACTGTATATACAACTGCGTCTATAACTGTTAATACCCGATACTCATCTATTGAGTTACAATAACATGTTTTCCCATTTTTTATAATGAATAGATTCTTTTTTATTCTTTTTTACAATCAAAAATTCAAATTTCCGAGTTTCAGATGTTTTAGCCTTCAGTAAGGATACAGACGGCTTGATATTTGAACTTCATACAAAAATATTTTGATTTTCCTTCCCAGTGCGGACAGTATTTTCAGCGGTGGCCTTGAAAAATACAAGACACGTGTCATTCTGGTGCAGGATGGTCGCCACGCCTGGTACAGTCCAGCTTCTTTCCGAAGCACGTGTACCATCGACGTGACATATTTCCCGTTCGACGAGCAAACATGCACCATGAAGTTTGGCTCTTGGACATTTGTGGTTACAGATCTAGACATAGAGGCGGAAGACACACCCACTTTCTCGGACAAGTACGTAAAGAGCGCTGAATGGGACCTGATCAGAGCTTCTAAGAAGCGAAACGTTCAATTTTACGAGTGTTGTAGCATTCCTCTTGCTGATGTAACCATCGAGATGGTCATTCGACGTAAGCCTCTCTTCTATGTTTTCAATCTAATCACACCGTGTATGATAATGCTGACCATGATCCTCCTGGGGTTCTTCCTTCCACCTGAATCAGGAGAAAGAATCACGCTAAGCATCACGGTCCTATTGGCCATGGCTGTATTCTTGCAGCTTGTGGCGGAAACTCTACCGCGAAACTCAGAAACTATCCCATTACTCGGCAAATTCTATATAACCATAATGGCGGAGATATCCATGTCTCTGATGTGCACTTGTTGGGTGCTGAACATTCATCACAGAAATTCCGGTCGTTCTATCGTCAAAACACCTCAGTGGGTTGAAGTTTTTGTCCTTGGCTGGTTGGCTAAAATTCTGTGTGTGAGGAAACCAGGCGTGGAAGTTGAGAAAATTTCCATAAACAACAAACATGAAAACCGTAACGACGACGACGTAATTCAAGTGAGAGTTTCACCGCAAGACCTCAAGGGAAAAATGTCCTTGAACGGTGAAGCGCATACGTTGTTATCGATGAGTCACGTGACCCCTGTTTGTCGATCGATTGGGCAGATACAGAAAAGATTCTCGCAGCATAATGGTGATGCGAAAAATTCTGAGGAGAAAGAGAATGTTTCAGGTGATAATTTGTCTCGAAACTTAGCAGTGTTGACTGAACACGTAAAATTTAGTCGAGATATCGAAGACAATCAAAAGAAATGGAAACATGTTGCTATGGTAATGGACAGATTCTTTTTTTGGTTTTTTATTCTCACTGTTTTGACATCAACGCTGGTGATATTTAAGGAGAGAATACGTCAAGGACGGGACAGCTCTTAGAGACTTGTTGACCATTTTTAAAAAAACTAGCATGTAGAAAAACACACTGTCAGAGGAGAACTGAAGCCCAAATTCATGTAGTTTTTTTCAACGTAGATCGTACATTTAAGTATGATGGAGTAAATTTCCGTAATGTTTCCTTCCTCGAACGACAGTTTTTATCCAGGAAGCGAAGGGTTTTTTGGTAACAATTGGCTCAATATTTGACCGTGGTACTCAGAACACGTATGTCAGCGATTTCCCCATCAAGTCTAAACCTTTTTTTTTATCAAGGGTCACTAAAATAATTTCTTTACACCCGTTCCTTGCTGATAAATCCCTCTCACGAGAAGCCAATTACCAGTTAATACCGGAATACCGGAGGGGCCTGTACTCTGTTCTTCTACAACTTCCCAGGCCTTGCGCGGTTGTCAAAACACGGGGCTTAGAATGATGGATATGACTTTAACTATCTGTTCACCTTTACTTTAAATACATCTCTATTAGCATGAAACATTGGTAAGTTAATACCCTGAGTGCGGGAGATTTTATCCAGCGTATCTCGGTTATTGTGGGCGTAGAAACTCGCACCAGCTGCAGTCTTGTAACAAAGCAGCTCTTCCTTTCAGCCAATTTTATAGATAATAAAGCTTTTTTAAATCCCAACCACGCATCTGAGTTATAATTTGTATCGCCCAGCATGAAAATTGAATTACTGTGAAAGTAAAATTGCAAAGCTCGAGGTTCCTTTGTCGCAAGTATTAAATGAGACTTGGTTTATCAATGAAAATCTATTTTGGTTGATTTTTGACATTCCTTAGTGTTTTATGAATGGCTTCGTAATTTTGAAATCAACCCAGCTGATGAAATGTTTTTGTTTGGCGCATCCCGAATTTTGTTGTTCTAAGGAGTCATGTTGGGGTTTTGATTAAAAGTTCAGAGAAATGTTTGCATTTTCACGAAAAGTTTTCCGGATTTCTTTTCCATAGTAATTGAAAAAAAAAAAGGTAAGCTATGAATCTTTCATCTTCTGCCCTGAAGAAAGCGTGTGAGTTAAGGCTGGGTTGTTGTTCTAAGGAGTCATGTTGGGGTTTTGATTAAAAGTTCAGAGAAATGTTTGCATTTTCACGAAAAGTTTTCCGGACTTCTTTTCCATAGTAATTGAAGCCTTGACAGCTAATTAAAGTTAGTCGGAAGAGAATAAAAGCTGCTAAAATCCACAAAATAGCGCAAGGAATATTTGTCGTGCATCAAGATCAAGTGATTTACGAAACTGTGGAAGCATCTTCGCATGACGTAGGCTTCCCTCAAGTGATTAAAAAAAAAAAAGGTAAGCTACGAATCTTTCATCTTCTGCCCTGAAAAAAGCGTGTGAATTAAGGCTGGGTTATCCATCATTCCATCGAAATAATTCAAATAAGAAATTTATTGTCTGATTTTATTTTAACGACGTTAAGGTGTTGTATATAGCATCCTTACTTATTACATTGTGTTTTAAGAAATAGAAGACCGCCTTAATTTACTTTGTAGCTACATAAAGGCGAATCGAAAATTACACACCATAAAATAGTTGCCTGAGGAAAGGAAGACTGAGTAAATAAATGATTGCAGTTTTAAATCAATTTTGCGAAACAAGTTCTTTTATAAGAAGACTTTTTTATTCGCCAATAGAATGAGCGTCAAAGTCGCAATTCAATTTTGCGTTCCTCCGTCCGCAATCTCTGATCACTTCATCAGTATAGAAACGTCAGTCACCAACAACAGTTCTTTTCAGAACTACACTCACCCGGACGATCACACTACACGAACTAGTATAGTATCTGAATTTCACGGCAATATGTGATCGTGAATAAGGAGGTTTTGTTCGGTACTTATAAATGTTCGCTAAACAGCGGTTTTGAGGTAGTACTTTGCGTTAGGCTTCCAGCAATACAGAAACCATGTTATGCGCACCTTTATAAAGCTCAGTTAAAAACAGTCGTGTGACTCTTTTGATTCAAACAACGCTATTTAGTGAACAGTATTAATTTTATATCAGTGTCTTCTCGGATTGCTAGTGAGGCTCAGATATCAATGCGGTTCTTTTGGATTCTCGTCTAACCGCTGTGGGCTGTCTTCAAACAATTGAAAAATCAAATCTTCACTTGAAAAATTAACAAATGACGTTAGTTTCTTGACATAAACGCAACAACTACAGACTTCACATTTCTCCAAGCATCTCGGCCTATATACATACTCTTATAAGGCAAGTCTGTAAACTTATCGCTGTAGTGTTCCTACAGGAGGGGCCAGACACGCCTGCTAAAGGTTATAATTATCGAAACCGAGAGGTCGAAAGATTGCGGGTTAGATTTTTAACCAAGATCAAATTAAGAGTAAAAGCCATTTCATAGATCCGCAATGTGTGCAAAGTATCGGCATATTTCTTAAATAAGTGTTAAGAAAAATAAGAACAACAATATTTAATGGGAAGCCCCTATAGCATTATCTTACCTGCTCGATGTCTGAATCTTTCAAAAATTCAATCGACTAGTTTCAAAGACTAGCTTCATGCAAAATTTTTTAATTCTCTAAAATTATGGTTGAAAAAATAATTTGCGCCTGCCTGGAAACACCCATGACTGCGACATCACTTAGCAGCTTTGATAATTGAAGTACCCATTGAAATTCCACCGATTAAACTCTTCAAAATTACTTTTATGCTATCAAGAACACAGAAAATGAAGCTTATAAAGGCTAATTGAGGTCCTTAAAACTAAGGCAGGACTAGAAAATTGGCAGTTTCATTCGTTAAAGATAGCAAGTGCAGGATAAAATTAGCACACCACGAGTAGTGTGGTTACATCTAGTGAGTCATATGCAAAGTGATTAAGGTTGTCAGCGTGTTGTTCAGGAAAAGAGAAAGGTTTTAGACATATACTAAAGATAAGGTGCGCATTGTGATGAGAAAAAAAACATCAGAAAAGATATGTACCTTATTATAATATTTTTCTTATTATCTTTAATTTTTATACGACGATTTTGACAATGCTGTTCCAACGCGAAAAAAGGGATGCTTCTCACAAATAAAATAAGGTGATGGCAAAGCTTCTTACAGCCTGTTCAAAGCCTGTTCACAGTCACCGACGGTTTCAAAACTAAAAACAGCTCTCTTTTATATATACCTGGTTCATATGATACCGAGTTTTAGAAGTAGAGTGTCACAGTCATTGCTTGGAAGAGTCCGGGGCATATTTCAATTTCTCGAGGGGACAAAGTTTAATATGTCAAAAAATTGGATCTTTTTAGAAATCTTCTTTGCTATTAGAGAAGGGACGGATCTCTGACCGCATTATTCAAAGCTGATTTTATCTAAAAAGGTTGACACATTCGCGAAACTACCGCCAGCTCTTAGAGGGAAATGAGATTACATGGCGCGGAGAATTAGCGTGGAGATGAATTTCACCTATCAAGCCATAGCTTCCCAATTCATAGTCGCAGATTATTATAATAATTTTAATTTTAAAGCGCTTTTCAATGTTGTTGTATCTCTGCTGCCTAAAGAATGGTTTCTTTTTCGTTTACCATAAATTTATGGCATTAATGAAGCGAAAAAAAACTCGACATCTCGTAATTTGGACAAAAATTTTAATTCTTCATTACAACCGAGTGTCCTCATAATTCTAAGTACAAGTTGCATTTAGTGATTGCCATTTAAGTACGGGAATCTGTAGTAGGGTTTTTCAAATAAAAGATCACATAATAATAATAAGTCTCGGAAATAATTTTGCTTATCTTACACATGAAAAGAACAAGGAAATTAAAGAAAATGTGTACTTTTGTATTCATTTGACAGCCTGTTGTTACCAATTCTTTCTTTCTCATTAAAATCTATGACAACTCTTACGGATTTTCGGAAATCAATAATTAAAAAGTTTAGGAAATCTCTCAGAAATTCGAGGGAATACAAGATCTGCTTGTAATTAGATTTGATTTGTGTTTTCAACCAGTCATAGAGGAGATCCGCGCAGGTGCTAACATAATTGATCAGAAGCTATAAGATGAAATTGCTTCGAAACCACTTTGTCACGAGCTGTCGAAACTGAAAAATTCATCATGTTGTTGGAAAGGTTATTCGTATAGTTCCAAACCTCCAGTGCATGTTCCTTACTGTAATTATAACTATAACAGCTCGATTTGGAATTGTTGATGCTACGATTCCCAAGAGGTGGCCATTTTCTCTCAATGTGATTCCTCTAAGTAAACCTTTAGGGGAACGCATTTTTTTTGGATTTAGTGCCCTCTATATCCTTTTAGTCACCCTAAGGAAAGTCAATTTTGATTTCGTCTCTTTGGTCTAAGAGGTTTTCGAGGAATTTTATGCCACTACGAGCCATCAGTTCCAGAACTTCACCGCGGTTTTGGAAAAACCGAAGGAAGGAGAATCACCCACAATTTTGACATTAAAGTTAAGTTCTCTCTCCTATTCGCAAGGACGAACCGAAAGGCAAGTATCACGATGAGAAATATTTGAAAACCTTTTAAGTTGTACGTGGTATACGTGGACACCTTTGTTGCATTTTATACTGAAGGCTTTTAAACTCTCTCACGCAGGTGCGAGTGCATTACAAACAGCCTTGTTTATCACTCTTCAACATACTCCCAATCACAATGCAATATGATCTTTTTTAGGGAGAATGAAATTATTATGCGCATTTTTGCGCAAAAAATTCAGTATTTTCTTGCTTCCCATTCATGCGAATACATATTTGATTTAGGCCCAGCGTGCTTGAACATTAAGTGCGTATAATTGCATTGTAATTTATCGAGTTTCTTTCATTACTTCCAAAATGTTCAACGCTATGTACTGAAGAATGTGGAGGACCAAAAATATCGGTGTTTCTTTATTTTTCGTAATGAAAATGGCTAACCTCGGATATATATTTTTTTCGTCAATAATACGCTATAAATCTGATTTTGAGCTCTGGATTTCAGAACGATGGAGATTGCTCTGGAATAATGATATTTTATTGTTTCTTGATTATCTCTCATGCAGTTAGTGTTGTAGACAGTCCACTTGCATGATTATTATGCCGTGAACTAATTTGTATTCATGGATTGCCAAATAGAATTTAAATAAGAAATATTTCAATTTGTTGACATAGTTTTAGAGCTTAAAATTGGCCATGGGTCATTCGCGTGACAGTGAACAACACGAACACCTATTTGTGACTTGTGAATAGAATTTAATCATGCAGGGAAAAAAATGTTTGTCTCTTTATTGCTCAACACTGTCACAGCCCGTCTAGAAAGAGTTGTAATAATCAGCTATGTTAAGTACAAGAGTCCATCTCAATGCACCATGAAACTTCATATTTTCGACCACCATAATTAATCATGAAATTTGTGGTTAAAACATGTAATAGCTTTGTTCGAGGAGTCTCCGCAACAGTACTCCAAATCTGAGTGAATAACAACTTATATTATTGGACTGAAGACAGTCTCCAAACATACGTTGACACCCTCCAAATATACGTTAGTCAGTTTTCTTCAGACTTAAAAATTAAATTTTCTCGGCTTAAACAGCAGTAGTTCTTCAAAGATTGCCCAATAAGGGGCAATTCTTTTGGTGCTGGCCAAGGGAGTTATAGTGATGTCAATATTTGGTTCTTGTTTTTTTGTTTGTTTTTTGTCTAGCTATTGAAACTAACTAAATAAATAAATTTGCGCTGGAAAAACTCATATGCATTCATTAATAATGATTATCTATATATCTTTGTACAGAAATCTTAAAAAGAAATGAATTCATTCACATCCAGAAGTTTGGTCCTCGTTGCCCTCATCTCCTTCGGTAAGCGGATATCAGAACTTTAGCCAACCGGTATTGTTAAATAAATACCGCCTTGTTTTCAATCCTATCTTTACTTTTAAACCATAAGTTACATTCTGCGAAAGATTTATGGAAATCTCTCCGTTACTAGAATAAAGAACAGTTAGTAGATCGTCGTAGATTGTTCACAGTAGAAGCTCATTTTGACAGTATACGGAATGCTTTACCAGGAGTCACAGGAGTGCAGTGAAAATTGGCTGCCATCTTCGTACCCATTTTACTCGCAATTATCTAATAAGCTGAATCATATTCTCATTTTGATTAGTTCTTAAGTATGATCTATTGGAGGACAGACACAGATGTCGTCGCCAATGACAACTTCTGCTTCTTTGTCGCATAAAACTAATAGGTTCCATGTTGCCTCACAGTAGACGTCCAAAGTATGGTAAGAACATCGGTGACACCCTCGGCTGCGCTTCGAGTGCCTCTTTTTTTTGTTCCTATCACATTTTGACGTCACCTGTGATCTATCACCGAAAAGAAGCACGGCAATATATAATCCATTTGTAAAGAATATCCTCCCTCGGTCATGTCTGCTATCTTTTAATCACGAAAACATTTACGCGTTTTTGTTTTAGTTTTTCCTCTTACGAGGGCAGCTCTCTCATTTCGATGCAAAGTAACTTGCATTGTTTTTATTTACTTCTCAGTTACAATAACAACAACAAAAGGTTTGACACCTGAGGAGCGACTCATCACCAATCTGCTTGCAAATTACACGAAGGAAGCAAGACCAGTAAAAGATCCAAGACAAAAAGTTGTGGTCACATTTGGTTTTGAGCTTGTCCAGTTGGTCAATGTTGTAAGTGGGAGCAACTAACAGCAGTTTAAACAAACCACTATTCTTTTCTGATCAAGAAGCATTTATTTCCCTATTGAAATTAAACCTTCACGAATTCTTTTTCCTTCATCAACGTTGTGTTATTTGCTGATCCAACTGACATTTTCGGTCTCTTGTTGTGTTTCAGGATGTCAGAAATCAAATGATCACAACAAACGTTTGGGTTCGACAAGTAAGTATTTGCAAATTTCGCCTTACATTCACCTAGTGACTCATTCGTTCACTCCCTTACTCACTTATTTACTCACCAGCCTAACCAACCTTACATATCTTTTCTAGTTTGTCAGAACAGAAACACTACTCTTTTATCAGCGAGACCAAATCTTTTTCAAGACAGTTGCAACGAGTAAGACATGTCCATCGAACTTGAATAAATTTCTTGATTAACATATTTACTGTCGGCAGATTTGGGACAACGAGCTTCTCACGTGGGACCCTAGGGATTATGATCAAATTCAGACGGTCAGGCTGGACGCATCCTTAGTCTGGATTCCAGATATTGTCTTGTACAACAGGTTAGTGCTGACTTGTCAGAAACCTCAGTCCCGTTGGAACGAACTTTTAAACGTGTTCTCATCGTTTGCAGCGCAGATAATGAATTCAGCGGTGGTACTGATAAATACAAGACTCCGGTGATTTTGTCAAGTAATGGGAGCTGCAGTTGGTTCTGTCCGGCTTCTTTCACCAGTACATGCCCAATAGACGTACAGTACTTTCCATTTGATCGTCAGAAGTGCGTATTGAAATTCGGCTCTTGGACTTACGAGGTAATTCTTGCGTCATAAGTGGCATTTTTAATAACTTAAAGGACGACTAAAAGAAAAATATGGAAGTCATGGTAAAATAAGTTTCTTTCAAAGCGAAAAGATTTTTCCCGATAAAAATAGCACTAAAAAAAAAAAAAAGCAAAGTGTATCGCTTTTTCCTCTTCCTCGGCTATCTCATTGCGTTAAGTGACACTTCACGGGAAAAAAAAGAAAGAACCTGTCAAAAGGTAAGTTAGCCTCTTTTCGTAACAACGAGCATCATGAAAAGACAAGAGACAGGAAAGGGAGGCCGCTTCTGAAAAGCAGCCTGAGGAAACGATGATGAAGACGAAAATGACTCCGACGCTGTGGTCTATGACAATGATGACGACAATGCGGATGGTGATGATGACAATAACGATTACGAAGATGATAATCGTGACGATTACGAAGATGATAACGTGACGACGATGATAAACTAATGATGACGATAATGTTGATGACGACGATGATTATGATTATGGTTTTGACTAAGATGATAATGATAATGACGATAACGATGACGATGACGATGACGATGACAAAGATGATGAAAATGACGATGACGTCGGCGAGCGCGATGACGATCGACGATGAAAAAATTCGCTAACATGTTGTGTTTACCTTTCTCATTGTTTAAACTTACCTAGGGCAAAATTTTGAGACTGGTGGTATTGTTTTCCTTGAGCAAACAGCATCGTTCTTTGATAGGAACGCACGATCGGTTGTGATCACTATAATAATCCTCTCTTAATTCCTTTGTTCTTGAAGGTAATAGACCTCGACATGAAGGAAGGAAAATGGATCTTCACAATCTCAGTACATACAAAGTGCCGAGTGGAATCTGTACGGAATCAAAAAACAAAGAAACGCCAAGAAATACACATGCTGCAAGCACAAGTTAGCAGATATAAGTATAACAATTATTATGGATCGGAAGCCTTTATTTTATCTTTTCAACCTTGTCATACCATGTTTGATAATCCTCTCCATGATTCTACTCGGCTTCTTCCTTCCTCCGGAGTCGGGTGAAAGGATCACACTCAGCATCACAGTGCTGCTGGCTAATGCTGTCTTTCTTCAGCTGGTCGGAGAGAGCCTCCCAAGAAACTCTGAGACTGTCCCTCTTCTTGGGAAGTTCTACATAACTATCATGGCGGAGATCTCCATTTCGCTGATGCTGACGTGCTGGGTTCTAAACATTCATTATCACGGATCAGGGAATTCAGTTAAGGCAGTACCCTTATGGGCTCGTATCATTGTACTACAGTGGCTCGGGTACATACTCTGTGTGGGTAAACCAGATGGCAGTTCGCCTGATATACCAAACACAGACCTCAGATACCATCAAGACGACAGCAAGAGGAGGGGTGCGCCTTTTGCACTCGACTGGGAAACCACCTTTGCACCAGCTGCCAATTGTCACTGCACAAGATGTATCAATGCAAGGGGAACACATTATAACGGCGAACGCAGTCCGGACGAGTCTAAACTAATAGAGGTTCGGTACACCAGAGATTCGTCTCCTGTGGACTTTCCCGAGACACGGCGAGAAAAACTGCCAAGGGAACCTAAACTCCCAGAGGAAATTAGAGTACTTGCGAACAGCGTGAAGGAACGTGAAAAAGTTGAGAAAAACCAGCAGGACTGGAAGTACTTTGCCATGGTAATGGACAGGTTCTTTTTCTGGTTTTACTCCATGACTATTCTGGTCTCGACTTTAACCATCTTCTTAAGCCGAAGTGACGAGGAAATTGGAACATAAACGTAACCAGTTTCGCTGAGGATGAGATAGGTTTCCTCCACAGGGACGTAATATCCAAATCTCAGTTGAAAATTTAGATTGCATTATCTGTGGCAAGTAACATCTTCAAAATCAGTGCCACGTCTTCAGTCTAAAAACGTTTGACAAAAGGTGCGCGATATTGGTCGCTTAAGCAACATGGTTAAAGGTATGAGTTTAGTGGAAAAATCCAATGTTGATAAAAAACTCAGATGCATTTGTAAAGTTAGCTAATTCAAGACTTTAAATAAATTATTTAACAATCAACATAAAAATATATCCACGTATGAGCAAAGGCTCTATTGCCCAGGTAAGTCGAAGCCTGTTTGTAAGGCAAAGTTTATTGGTGCAATATGCCGCAAAAGAAATCCAAAGTTTAAATTAGAGCAGTGATTTTCTTATTTATTTTCGATTTCTAATACCGGGAAGCGACGTAGATAATCTTTTAATACCTTAATTCAAAAGATCTGATGGTCAATTCTCTTTTTAATGACTATTCATTTTCTTGAGAATCAGTTGGGAGATTTTGGTGTTATCTCAAGGTAACCCCACATAGATGATGGATCTTTCTCTTCTCGTAATTTTTAAATTAGATGAAGTAGAGATATTTAGAGATGTTGATCGTTTCTCGCTTTTGAAAACTTGAGTGTTAAGGATCTGAAAGTCGTCTTTTTGATTCTTAAATACAAATATTGGAGTCCCCGTCCGGGGCTGCAAATCTTTTCAAGGCAGCTGCAGTCATTCTCGACGTATGTTACTAAGAAAAGGTCACGAGTCAGTGGAACGGGCAACCAATAGTTGTCTCACAAGGAATTGCCTCACCTTTCACTGGGCTATTACACTCTTTCACTATAACAAAAATCGATAGTTTTTTGATGATTTGGAAACTACACAATCAATTCAATAATAACAATAAATTTAATTCGGTTACAATTGATGCAAGTATTTGTTTTCCATAAATTCAATAGCTTGCGGAGGATATTGGCTAGACTTTACTATTCCATAAGTTAGATGCCTTGTTTTCTCGAATAGTACCCTTCCCGAATAGGCGCCTCACCCCTCCTCCCTCACTTTCTTAGAGAGTAGGAATAAAGAGGAAAACCTGTTTCTTTATCTCTCTTCTGTAGACTTTTAAGCTTCAGCTACAGTAGCCACCCTCGAATAAGCATCCTCCTTCCAACAAGTACCCCTTCTTTTAGCCACCAAGCGCTTATTCGAGGAAGTACGGCATTTCATGCGTATCTTCAAATGTTTTATTATCTTAAAATTATCTCAATTTTTTTTTTGACATCAAAGAGCTCATCAGAAGCGATGAAATATGCTCCCAACGTCAAAATATCTTCTGATTGTTTTTCTTCACAAACAAAAAATGTTATTGGCAATTTTAAGTAGCTTCGGTTAAGAGCAATTCCTTTACGGTATAATATATATATATATATATATATATATATATATATATATATATATATATATATATATTTAATAAATAATCCTTAATGTTGTTGAAATGATTCTAAAGTTTTGATCACTAAAGAGGTGTGCTGCATAGATGTGAAATTCAATTATTAAAATTGACGATGTAACAATAATGCCTGCTGTTATCGTGTTAATAAGTAAACATTGTTTGAAGACATTTGGATAATTGGCCGCGATAGCTCTTGAGATAATAAGAATCTCAGTCACCATATATTATTTTTACCATTGTCCATAAACTCCAATGCTATAAATTCGTACCCAGAGCGTTACATGAAGAATGCAGTGAATAAGGTCGAGTGCTTAACGCAATTGCTTGATTTAGATTATTTTAAAATTATTTCTCAGGCGAGTCAGCCAATGATTAGATATACATATTATCTGAAATAATTTACCGAAAGCTGAAACTTTCTTTTCAGTGTTAGAAAAAAAAAACTGGCAATTTACAAACTCTACGTACAGGCCAGCTCAGAGGGGATACATCCCATCTCTTGTTTTTCACTTTTTTTTTAACTATTTGCCTCACTACAATAAAAATTTACAACGAAGTATGATAAGGCAGAGTAAATACAACAATTTTATGGCGAGAAAACGTAACAGAAACTGCGATGCATAGAAGGTTAGAACGAAAAATAATAAAATTCATACATATAGTGTAACACAATACAATATAAGATGATGTATAATGGTATTATAATAATATAAGTTTTGGCGAATGACTGACAAAAAAAAACTTTCAAACGAACTAGTTCTTAAAATAAGATTTTGGTAAATTCAAAATTTATGACAGTGCTGATATTTGTTAGAAAGGCAATGTTAATGTTGATAATACATGAAGATATAATATTAAAGCACTGAGGCTTGGCCTTTTTACTTTGACCGGCCTAAACGGACAAAAACTTTGCAGAAATCGCCAGAGGATAATCCAAAAAATTCTTTATCAGGGATGTTATAGTCGTCGCATTCCCATCTTGAGTCTCTAGGAGTCAACGACCAGTGGTGCAAATGTGGGACATAATTCGCATAATTACTCAATCTTCCTTGTGAATTGGTATCACCCCACCTTTGATATGTCCATTGGTTACAAAGTCCAGCTGTTCTGGAATTATCATCTTCCATTCTTTTCAACGATCTACAGGCCAAGAGTCGCACATCACTCTGTTTGCTGAAGTACTGGACTACAGCTCCACCAGCAACTGTGGTAAAATGGAACCTACGTCCTTTTTATTTTCTGCAATGGATCGCAGCTGATTGAAAAACAAGAGTGATTGGATGTTTTGTTGCTGCGGTAATTGCTGATTTCACGATATGATGACTCAATCTTCAGAGTGTCAATTGCTAGTAATATAAGCTGAACTGACCTTCATCTTGAATGGCGATTAGCACGATTTTAATTAATTAATAACCAAGATTAGCTTACAAATTGCGAAATAAAACCGGTCATTTAGATGGGTTAACACACAGGAGAAAATATCAGCTGAAAGGGGGTGAATGCAGGCAATAACCAGTTCACAGCGACAATAATAGAAATAATTCATCTTTTAGAGGTTAGTCGCGGCTACACTGACATTGACTTAATTTGACTTAAGTTCGCGAGTCTTGCCTACCTGAAATTGCTCAAATTGCGTATCAATGTTATGTCTCGAGGGAGAAGACCTCATGTTCTCTTCGGTTTTGGGTCTCCATGTCGGTCTATATGAAATTTTTCAACTCTGCGCGAAACAATGTCGTTGTTACGTGTTACCGTTGTTTGGTGATCGTTTTACTCGACCTGGTTCATTCTCACCCTCAGATGTTTTCATGCAAACATGTTGCATCAACTAGCTCGAAATAATTAGTGTAAGAAGTAATCAGCATTATTAAATAAACATAATGTTCCGAGGGATTTTTGTTAAGATTGGTTTTGCCAGCTTTTGTAAGGTTTTCAAACTTGTAAGTGAGGCGTTTGAATGTTGAAGTTTCGCTCTTTTGATTTTCACAAAGATATTTGTATTTTTCAAAATTCTCAAACCAAACTGCTTGGCTGTGTTAGGTCTGGGTATGAGACTACCATGGCCCTAGCATAACATCCTACCCACATACCCCTCCCCAGTTCCTATTGCTTTAAAATTGTACAAAATGGCGACGATACTTAAATTCCGTCAAAGTTCCCTAAGAGTAGTTGGGACGGCTAAGGGTAAGAAAGTTCCAATTTTATTGGTTTTTGATCTAAATTTTAATGTCGAATTAGAAGCGTGAACTCTGGCAAAACTGACGATTTAGTCTTAAACTTTTCGACTGTCACACAAGGTCATACAGGACGAAAGCTCATTAAAACGGGGTTCTTGAGTTCGAGAAGTTTCATTTTTTTGCCTGTATCAGGAATTATCCTGTTTTAGTATGGAAGAACATGAATTCAAATCACCTGAAATTAGCCACTCGTATGGGATGACGCGAAAGCATTAACGATGAAATTGGAATAAAACCTTACTTTCTGGAACAGAGAAGGCACTAGGTCAGTTCCAGGCCATTCTCCCCTCTTTCCTCGTAAATTAGTTACGAGAATTTGGTGTTAAATCGAGAAAACAACTTTCATATGAGGAGAAGTTACATGTTAATCACTTCTGGGAGTTTAAGGCTAGGCTTAATTAGCTAAGGTATCAGGGGTTTCAAAATGTGACCAGTTGCAGAAGAAAAATTGGAAAAACAAAATGTTATGGCGATGGGCAAAATCTGATCCAATCACGTGGTGAACACTTCCTTCTCCAGATTCCTCTCATCCATGTTTGCTTTTTTTCCTCTTCTTTTATCTCTGAATATGCAGCTGAAATATCAGCCATTTTATGATTATTCCCAACAGAGGCATGCCAAGGAAATGTAGTAACTAAACCATTTTTGGGTGGTGGCCATTATAGAAGGTGCCTGTCATCCCATGTTAATGTCCAAAAACATGGAAGTATAGCCATTTTGGAGCTAAACAGGGGACCAGTGAACAGCTTCAGCCTGGAATTTTTAGAAGAAATAAATACCACTTTGGGCAGCCTTGAAAATGATCAGGACTGCCAAGGAGTTATAATTACTTCAGTAGGTTACCATGTAGTACATGTATTTTACTTCAAATGAAGTTCTGATTAGCCATTAGTGGGTTTTAGATCTACTTTTGGTGTGTTAACTGCAAACTACAGTAAGCAGTTTGAGGCTAGAAGTTGGGAGATTATCAGCATTTTAGACTGACATTGGCTTTCACCTGACCATAAATGTGTACATGGCCATCTTGAATTAAAGGCAGGATGGAAATTCTTCATTTCAAACAAAAAAAGTGGCAGAAAGATTCGTTTTTTAATGTCCCAAATGGATCAGCTAAAAATAGAAAACCTCATCTTATATAACTAAAAGGAAAAATGTGGAAAAACTTATAAACAGGAGGAAGAAAGCACAGAAGGAGTTTACCTACCTGAAACTGCCAAAAGTTCAAACATGGAATGCAAATAGCAAATATGACTGCTGGAGTCTGGTCACATGACTCCTTGTGGTTTGTGGTCACAAACAGGAATCTAGAATTCTCTTTTGCTCTTAGAAAACAGTCAAGGTGTCCATGACAAGTAATGGAAATAGAGTAGGGGAAGATTTTATAAGCCTATAGGAAGCCTAAATAAAAACTACTGCAGCCTTTCCTGGTTTCTATAGAGCTTACGAAGCATCTAGGAATAATATTAATCCAGTCTTGGAAAAGGATGGAAGTTCCAATACTGCTTATTCTCCATTGTTGAGAGAGAAACTGTGAGAGGAAAGAGGATCATGCAAATACACAACTGAATTGAGTTGATGATGATTGTTAGACTAATTGTTGTTGTCTCTGATTGAATTAGGGTGTTCCAAAAGTGTTTTCTGCAGGGCTTGACCTAGTGAAGGAAATTTACAAGCCTTCAGATAAAAAGCGCCTTGCTTCTTTCTGGAGTAATTTTCAGGAGATGTGGCTTCGCTTGTATGGATCACGGCTAGCTACAATGGCAGCTATTAATGTGAGTTATCCATTCAGTTAAACTTGATATCTTTATTGTCTCCTTCACCATCTCTTTCATTTTCTTTTAGGATTAACAATTCTATTTGTTTGTCTGAGTATTAATCCTTGAAATACATGTCACCTGAGCCTCTAAATTCTCTTTGAAATCCAAAATTTTTCTTGGAGATTTTGACCCTTTAACTCCCAAGATCTGATTGGTAACTGTCCTCTCTGGCTGCTACACATTTCCTTGTTCATTATTTACAAGAATTTGGTGTTAGATCAAGTAAACAACCTCTACCTGATAAGTTTGAGCGTTCTCGTTACCTGTGTGCTTGATAATGTGTGGATATCATAAGGAGAAGTTACATGTGAATCATATTTTTTATTTAAAGGGTTAATGATTGTTGGTTGCCAAATGGGGACTTGGAAAAGAGTTGAGCTAATGTGTTAATCAAGTGGAAGCTTCAACATCCCCCCCCCCTCCCTTGGAAACCCATAGGGCATTTGAACATTTCAAAGTTGGTTCATTCAAATTCTTGTCCCTCAGGACTAAAAGAATGTGCAAATGCCCCACCCAAGTACCAAATTTGATGATCAATGTTTTTATAAAAGGCAAGATCAGTGACCATGACTTTCTAATAGACCTTTTCTCTTGAGCCACCAGCTTAAAAAGTGAGCTTTATAACTTTAATCACCTCCACATTAAAAGAAAAAACACATATGTTCTGCTAAAAAAGACTTGACAGTTCAGGTTCAAATTTCCCACCACACCCAGGCAAGGTTCAAACTCCCCATCCTTAGCTTTGGAGGACAGTCAAATGCCCTGTGGGTTGCCTTGTGGGAGGGACATGTTGAAGCTTTGATTTGATTAGTGCTTAAGATCCATGTTAGACTGACACCCTCTGCTGAAATTGGCCCCTTAAGTTCATCCCTTGCCAATTTGGAGCATTCCTTTATTTTAGGGTCATGCTATGGCAGGAGGCTGTGTCTTGGGCTTGTCATGTGACTATCGTGTCATGGCTGAGGGATTCAGAATTGGAATGGTGGAAATTGAGGCAGTAAGTTATTTTAAGTTCCTTGACAAGAAAGTCATGTGATAATAAATGAGTTACTGATGGGGCTACTTGAGACATTAGTAATTGTGATGAATGAGTGTGGTGAATTTCTAACACTCTGCATGCTTTAAATCAGCTCTCAATCATGAGCATGAAAAAATTTGGTTTTATCAATTTATTTAATAATGTGAATGACCACTGGGAGGGGCTTCCAGAGCTGACATTTTGAGTGCCAGCCAGTGATCTAGCCCTTTGCCAGAGTGAATTGGAATTTGAATTTTGCTACAGTAACAGCATAAAAACAATTATCATTCCATTCAATGCTCCAAATCCATTATCTGATAAAACTAACTTTGTTGAAACAAATATTTGATAAGCTCAAATGCTGGTTTGAACAAAAACTCCTAAATGGGTTTTTTTAATTTTTTTTTTCTCAATTTTATGTTTTATAGGGTGTTCCACCACCAACTTGGTGAGTGCAATTTATCACAAGTAGAGCGCTTTTCGATTGTGTGTCGTACAAGCGTAACAGAAGTGTCGTTTAACCAATACCAATGTAATCACAACGGCCAATCAGATGACAGGAAAAAACCTTTTAGAGCCAATGATGACTCAAAATAAAACCGACCAAACTGCCAAAAGCGCGGGAAAACGCGAGCGACCAAGTCGTGATTGGTTTCAGTTAAATTGCATCTGATTGGTTGAGAAAGGGCGCAAGTTTCTTAGACTAATTACAACGAGAAGTAAAGTAGAAGCAAGGTAGTCCTGGATTAATTTCGACACTCGATTCAAAGTTTCTCAATTCGTTCAACAGTTGTGGTTGTAGTGGCTTGTACGTTGCCTCGCCATTCACTTGTATTGTAATGGGGCGAACGCTAACATAAATCAAATCAAACTTGACCAACGCCGCGTCGGGGAAATGTCTCATATCAACGGAACTTTCAAGCGTCTATCAATCTCAACTGGTTTATTATTTATTGGAAAGCTCGTAAAAACTGAAATACAATAAATTAAAATAGGCTATTACCATACTATATACTATCAAAATGTCCTAAACTCGAACGCGCGGGTCGTGTAAATAGATAAATCAAAACAACACAAATATCTTAAGCGCAACAAAACTACCTTGATTATACACGTTTCGGTTTATAAATACAAAAATAAATAAGATGACATACCTCTTTCCCCATTCTATTATTCTAGTAATTCGACAATCCTTCGATCTGGCTATGCTTGCGACTAACATGTGTCTCGTGGTCGAATGAGACCTTATGCCGAAAGTTCGAGGGTATGTCACACAAAACAAAACAAAAGGGTATTGAACGTTACGCAAATCATAACTAAAAATAGTCTTCGTTGCATGTATTTTCCATCATTAGGGTGGTTGGTACCATGAGAAATGTGGTTGGCCAAAGTTGTACAGAGAAAGCGATCCTAAGTAACAAGAGGTACACATCCGAGGAAGCTCTAGCCGTAGGAATGGTTGATAAGGTTGTACCAAAGGATAAAACCATGGAAGAGACGATGGTAGAAATGGAAAAATGGGTCGCTTTTTCTAGTAAGAGTTTCAATTAACTGTTTTCTCCAGAAACGCCCGCCACTCTGACATTGAACACTTATTTTCTCTTCATACTCCTAACAATTTTTTTTTAGGTTTTTGATACCTCACGGCATAACCCTGCACCCCCTCCCCTCCCCTCGTCCAACCCTCAAAATTTCCCAGTCACTCTTTATGAGAAGGTTTTGTAAATTATTTAAGATGACCAACGTCATTAACTAGATTAAAAATTGGGAAAGAAGAACACTCTCCTAGTCCTTCGCTCTCAGTGTGAGTTCTGATTCGTCTAACCGATGACCTTGTCTTCCATTTATGAATTTTCTTTAGAATATTATGGTAATTCAAGGCAGCATCGCGTAATTGATAGTTTGCTTAATTCTCCTTATATTTTGGCTCTGTGGTGCACACTTGCGCACTGAACAGGGGGTGAAGTAGTCGGTCGTATGTTTTTCTCCATTTTTAGGCAAAGCTAGAGAATTAACCAAAAAAACACTACGAAAAGAGTTTGTGGAGGCGCTGGAGAATAACAGAGCCGAAGACATCAAGGACTTCTGTGACTGTATACTCGATGAAAATGTACAGAAAGCAATTGGGAAACAAATCGAGAAAATCTCCAAAAAGAACTAGATACCGAAAGCACCGCGTGAATCGTGTTGTCGTCAACGATAACAATTTGGCAGACGAAGAGAAGTCAGCGAGTGAACAAGTGAACTGGCATCTGGAGAACTTCCTTCATTTTCTGAGACCAACTTGAAGTGAGGCGCTTTGTAGTGCTTCAACATAAAACTGCCATTATGTAAATTAAACATAACTTTTAGAATAAGTATCGTCACCAATTCACATATCAACGTATAATCACAGTTTGTGTGCGTGGCATGGTTTTCCTATCCTGTCCTTCAAAGGTGGATTGCCCGACCAAATCATGTCTGCATTTTCAGACGTTTCGCTCTTTCATGGCATTTTAAAGGTCGCCGCAGGGGCACTTTATGTTAGGAGACGCTTGTTTGGCCTTTTCATTTGAAAAGGAGCCTCTTAAATCGCAGATATCCACTTCCACTATATCTCGAACTTAAAGCCGCGCCTCTCAAACAGGCTTCAGTGTAAATCCCCCTTGGATTTTTTGTACCTTTGGCTTCTCGAAAGCGCCGCGTTTTAGTCTCAAACTAAGTAAGTGTTTACCAGAGGTAATACTTTCATATTTACATCCTCGTTTTATAGCACCATCAAAACGAGACAGGATGAGCAGGTGATGTTGAATTGCAGATATCACCTCCCTTCTTTAAATTATAATTCATTCACTGTTTCATTTATAATTCATTCACATCTGTAACCAAGGATTTTCTTTTGTAACACAATACCGCGTGCACTTGTAAAATCAAAGTGGTCGCTATGAGTAAGTTATTCACGTGGATATGTGGAGCCATACCCTTTGGCACCTCAGATCTTTAGACTCAGACCCGCTGCTTTTGCTAAAACACAAACTTGACTGCAAGGCGCCATTTCAGAGAGTTCAAATATTTATCCAACTTAAACATGACATTGAACTTGGGACCATGAAGAGTCATAAACCAATACCGTGTGGCGTTAAAACTAATTTTAATCTACCACAAAATGCCTATTTACAATTTTTCTTATTATTTCACGCTACGAAAATTGTAAGCGTAATAGAAGTTGTACGTTTATTTACCAGTGTCTCATTTATAAAGAAACAGAGCGGCTCTTTGTCTTAGTGGAGGGTGCAAATCTCTTATTTTGGTTTTACTTTGTTGGATGGCCACATCTACCTCGCGTTTTCCTGACGAAGTCTCTTAAAGGGTTTCAAGGGAAGATGTTTTGTTAAATAAATACAGATCGTCTGTCTGTTTCGTTGGAAGTTGATTTGAAAGGAAATCAAGCGGGTAGCAAATGGCATACTGGAGATGCCACTTCAGCAAAATGTACAACATAGTCTTGAGCAAAAACCCTGTCTCGCTCTTGTTTTATTTAGCACGACGGCAAAGGGTTGGAACCGAGGCCAAAAGGTATGACTCTAAGCCCGCTCTTTTGTTTTGGTAGAATGATGGCCTCATGCACCGTTGGTTACGAGCTCCTGAGTTTCTAGAGTTTTGTCTAAATCGTTGAAACGAGACACTTGCTGTCTGAACGACAACTTGGTTAAAACATAGTCGCTTTGTATCCTAAGAAGCTTTCATCGTTCATTAAATTTTAACTTAAGAAACACCTTGCAAACGGGCGTCTAGATAACACATCGGCTTCGATACGTACGTTTTCTCAACTAGAATTAAGCGAAGAAATGAAAATCGCATTTTTCTATCATAAAATTTTTTTACGAGGTCAAACTAGGATTGGCGAATGCCTGTACTTATACTTTTAATCTAGTGTTGTAGATTCAGTTAACTTCTGTCGGAGTATAGTTCAAATGTTTCAGATCTAACACTCACTCTCGTCCCGCGGTCCAATCTCCTTGCCTGTTGGCTTTGTTTTCTTTTCCTTTTTTTTCTTCGGCGGCCTTACTTCGAGTAGTGTTTTTTCGGTGTCGTTTGATCTTATAGAACTGCGACCATCGTCGTCATCAACAGTCGACTGGTTCAATTTTTGTTTCTTTTTCTTCTTAGTTTCATTTTGGGGTTTCTCGTCCATTTCCGGGTCCACCTGAGCTGCTTCATCTGTGTGTTCCTGCCTTTTCTTCTTCTTTTTCTTTTTATCCTTCTTCCCTGTTTCCACATTGGTTTCTTCCTCGATGTCCCCTCCCGTTGAATCCTCTACTGCAGATTCCTTGGCCTTCTTTTTCTTGATTTTTGGTTCAGCGGTCTCCTCTCCACCTTCATTTGTACCTGCGCCTTGTTTATTTCCTTTCTTTTTGGGTTTCAGCAATTCCTCATCTACTACATCTCTAGTGCAAGGATCAGTTAAAGGCCTCTCTAATTCTTCTGTGTTCTCTTTTCTCTTTCCTTTCTTTTCCTTTCTTCTCTCCACTTTTTGTTCTTGAGGTTCACCGGTCGATGTATTATCTGCTTTTTCGTCTGTTGCTACAACCCAAGCGTCTTTTGTATTTTTCTCTCGTATCTTCTTCTCTTTAGTTTCTTTCTTCTTCTTTCGCTTCTTGTCATTCTTCTTCTTGCTGCCTGTATTTTCAGGTTCACTGTCGAACTTAAGCGGTTGATCACCATCAACAGACAAGGAGTCTCCAAAAATGCTTTCTATCTCGGCATCTGTGGCGCAACGACTCTCTACATTTCTCTGTACATCGTGTAATATTTGAATTAGTTCGTTTTCGGTCGCTTCGGCTTGGGAGTCACTGAAGCTGCTTCTTCCGTCTGCACTTGGAGTGTTTCGCGTCAAGTTTTCTTTAGCAGTTGGTTCTGTATCAGTGATCAAGAAAGAAGGACTCTGAATTCTGCTTGGTTCCATTTCAGTGCCAAGATTAACCATTACGCTTCCACGATGGCTAACCGAGCTGCCGACCCTTACATCGATTTCTTTCGCCAGCAGATTTGTTTCATCGTCGACATCCTCCTCCGATCCCTTCTCGTCATCACTCAATTTTTCGTCGTCGCTGTTAATTCCGTCGCTGTCATCGTTGCTATCATCGCTGTCACTGTTACTTTCATCAGAGGAGTCATCGTCGTCACCAGAACCGTTGACTTGATCAAAGACCATATCCTCCACCATCCGCTTTTGTTGATAATATTGCAAGACACTCTCTAGCTCATCTTCGCTGTACTGGTTAAGGAACTTCTCGAAAACTGGAATAGAATCACAAAGTTCTTCCTCGTAATAGTCCCAATCCACTTCCATTAACAGCCTCATCAGGTTTTTCTTCTTTTCCGTGCAGTTTTCGCTTTGGAACCAACGCGTCTTCCTCATATCTTCGAATGTGATGTTCCTCATGAAATGCATGGCATTATCCGCGTCATCGGCGATTCTATCAAAGTTGAGTTCTAGTTCACTCTTCGGTTCTTTGTACACTGGGTGTATAGCATGACCGATCGACTTGCCTATGTTTTCTTTCAGCCGATGAACCATGAAGTCCACTATTTCGTATTCATTGGACTGTTTTTCCACATCGCTGCGCACTTCGGCAAACGCATCGTTAATGATGGAAAGGAACATGTTAATGAGCACAAACACCATGGTCACTGTGTATGTATAGAAGAAAATTGGTCCAATAACCCGATTGGCTGAAAACATTTCCTTTAAAGTGAACTTGCCGAGTATTGTATCCATCAAAGAGGCGCAGCTTCTTAAAAATGTCCCAAACCCCTCCATTGCCTGCCCAAAAACTAGGCATGCAAGAAGTGCAAAGGCTAGGAACGCAAGTGCAAACATAAACATGAATGATAACAACTCGATGAACGACCTTTTGAGGACTTGTTGCAGCAGTGACATACGACGGTTGAATCGCAAGAGACGGAACAATTTCAAGAACGAGAAGAACACAATGAGGCCCATGATGCACTTGAGCCACTCGTCCAGGAAAGCTGTGTAATGGAAGCTGACAAAAGCAGTAATGTCTGTGTTCATATCCCTTATCGCATCTTCGGTGAATTTTAGCCTTGCGAAGTATAGTCCCACTGCAGACAGAGATAGCAGAGTCACAAGAATTTCCAGAATGCTCCATGGATTCTTGAGGTGCTTCCTTCCTTTCTTCACGAACATCTTTATCTCTTTGACCACGAAGAATGTGCTGAACAAAAGGTATACAATTTCGCACGTCAAGACAAAATACATTTCGCCTCCAACGTACCGGAAGAGACGTAGAGTCAGAATGCTGGGATACGGAGTCAGACTTCCGGTGGGAAGTTGTTCAAACAACAGCGTGACAACGCAGAACAGATTAGTGTTTGCGTTGTAAATCGCAAACTCAGAGAAGATAGCTCTCGTGTAACGGTCCAACCATTTGCTTAAACTTAGGTTTCCCGTTATCGTGAGGGTCTCGTTTATATCCTTGGGCAACATTTGCACGTATCCTTCAAAATAGAGAGACAAATGTTAGTGAGTGCACACACCTGGTGAGCTACACAGATCTGGAAACAGAGAATCGAACTTGAAGTTCCTTTTATAAATTGAGATCTCGTAAGAGGAAGCATTTGATCTCTTGATGGTATAACCACAGTGAAGGAACAAAAGTAAAAGATGACGAAACAAGAAATTGGAAAGAGTTCTTAAAACTCTTGTAGTAGTTAAAAAAAATGTACTCTCTCCATTAGGGCTGTTATTTTTCATCAGGAAAATGTTATCTTTAGGATAATGTGGACTGATACTACAAAGTCATGCGGATCATAGACAGCTTGATTCATTCTTAAGACGCACAACTGGTTAAGGTGAGGCCAACGTGTTTCATAAGATCATGCAACCGGAAGCCATGTTCAAAATCTACTGTCATTCAAACTGATACATATTAGGTCTATTGCTAAATTATAGAGTGGCACCATTTACCTCCAGCGCTGTATGTGGCTTTGTAACCCCAGTATGGGTAAGTCTTCAACTCCGTTCCGCTCTGGTACGCCCAAGGACCTGGGACTTGAGGCTCTTGACTTGGAGTAGAAGAGGCACTGGGAGTGGGTGATGATGAATTAAGTGGTGGTATAAGCGGTTTCACTTTCCATCCAGGTAAATATGAGCCTCGGTCCTCCAATTCCATGCTGTAGAAATCATTGCACTCGCTGATGACATGATGAAAGGCTCTCTTGTATTTGCAGGTGTCTGTAACGAGGCAAACATTTATTCGTCAGCAAAACCACCTTCGCAAACGTGCTCTAAGTGCTCAAATGCCTTAAGAGTTTCCATTCCGGTGTAAGCACATAAAGACTTGATATAAATATAATCGCCTTTCATTCCCTTTGAGGCTCAAATTGAAAGGTTACAACGTGTACCTCACATCTAGCAATTTTTTGGTCTAAAAGAACATTCGCAATGGTGTCCACCAAAAGTTCTCAAGGAACTACCAGCTTTCAATTCTCAACCCTCAGAGTTTTTTCATTGTGCCTCAACTTAAAGGCGCCGAGGCCTCTTAAAGCATTCTTTTTTTCACTGAAATTCAAAAGTGGAGAGTGCTTGAAACCGTAAAACTACTTATCAGTCCCAGTGTCGTTAGTTCTTAAATTTCGTTTTGAAAAAGTAGCCTCACTGGATGGGTACACTTCCTTTTTGTGTTTTAGATCTCTCCTTTCTTTGACAAAATATCTCACGGAAAACATTTAATAACTTGCCTTTCTTGATCCTCAACTGCCTAAGTCGTGCCACGCCCAACAGCCAAGCGTTTGGTGTGTCAGCGAGGTAACCCTCTTCATACTGAGTTGAATTATTGTAGAAGAATTCTGGATTCAAAGATGGGATGAAAGTCTCATTCAACCATTTCCAATAATGGTTAATCTCATGTACCTAGCAAAGAATAATAAATGGTCGTGTGAGAGGAAAACTTCGAAAAGATTTATTTTGATTATACAAGTATTTATCACGTCCACCATGACATTTTGATGCGCTGAGCGTGTTCATGGTACCCAAGGAACAAGAGAGATGAAATGTTCACTGTTGCTCATCAGTAATCTCGTATCTTGCGAAAGATAAGAAAGATTCATATCAGAAGAAAACCCTAAAAAAAGAATTATTCCAAGCGTGACATCCTATACTGTTCCCTTGCAAATAATTTAAAGAGGCAGGGTCTACCCCAAGGCACAACACACCCCTCAAAGCCAGAATATGTCCGCCATGAAAAATAAAGTTATTAAATAATATTACATCAGCTAGAACTCTCTACAGATTCTCGTTCTGTAGACATCGTCCCCTTCTACCTACTTGCTACAATAATGTAAAGCAATTCGAGTCCACTCTTATTAGTACCGGCCTACCTTATTAAATGTAAGATTCCCGCTGTAGGTAGCTTTCTCGAAGATGTTCTGCATGTATCGGGTCACTTGCGATGTTTTTAAGTCCCTGTTTCCGTAGCTAATGGTTAGTAGAACCAACAAGAAGATAATGTACCAGGCAATTTCTTGGATAATTGACTTCATCTGCTTTTCTTTCATGCGCAGCTGACGGGCGATCTCCAGCTTCGCCTCGTCTGGCGGTTTGTCAATGATTAGGGTCTTCAAAGCCTTTTGCGTCTCATCATCAAGATCTTCTGTGTTTTTGTGCAGCCACTCTTCGTCGGTCGCCAGGGCGTTAACTTCGGCATATGAATCTCCCTCGGCTTTTTTGGGGTCTTTGATGAGGAGAGCGAAAAGTGTCGCTAATGCAAAGACCTTAATTGGTTGATTTAGTAATATATCTTGCAGAAAGCTTATTGTCATGGAAGAAAGCCACGCTGCTGATTTATCAGAACCAAACTGCATGCCATACATTACCACGAAAGACCCCGATGTAACCACGGCTAAGAATGCAATGCCGTATGCCACGTACACAAACCAGTGAGGAAGGCCTTTTTTCTGCGCAGTTTTCTTCCTCTCTCCACCCATCTCGATGTCAATATCATCTATCTCTTCTCCCTCTGTTTTCACTGAGTATCGATTTTCCTTCGGCTTTGCTTTCCGGAACAAGGTAACAATAATGAGATTTACAGGGAAGACGACAACGCTACTTATGATTCCGATTGATACAGAGCGAATGGAGAAACTGAAGCCCATGATGTTGATTGCGTTCTTGGGCGTTTCGTATTGGCCTATTTTATAAAACATGGCATTTGAAACCATCGTACACAGTAGTATGGACAAACAACAAGTCAAACGCTGAACTCTTGTGAAGTTGCTTCTTGGTGGCCGAGCAACAACCGAAAACCAAATATGGCCATCGGTGAGATTCTTCCTTACTTCAGACGTGAAAAGGACGTTGAATTTTGTCAGTTCTTTTTTGGACGCAGGGAAAAGAGTCTTCTCGATTTTTCCGTCACCTTCCTCGACCGCCAACCAGTCGTCACACACAAACCACCACCTCTGATCAGTTTGTATGTCTTGGATCATGATGCGCAGAAGATTCCACGATGGATAGGTCCCACCGTTATTGTGCCACACACGAATCTGTTTTAAGTTTCCAAGAGACTGGGGAACAGTTAAGAGAAAAGCATCGACAGCCCCTATGAAAGATGGAAAATATGAACTGACACAAAACATACAGAAAATGAACTCATTATTGTTTTAGTACAATCAGAATGGGTTGTCTTGCTGGAAAAGCCATGACAATGGTTGTTCTCTATCAGTCATTGTGTTAAAAAATGATTGCATCCTGAGGGAAGCTGGTCCAGACAATAGCCTTTAACCCTTTAACTCACAGATCAAATTTGTAATTCTCCTTACTGTCAACCATACAATTCTTATAATGTTAGTTCAGAGAATTTAGTATTGTATCAACCAATTATCCCTAAATTGCTATTTTTCTTTACTCTCATCACTTATCTGGTTGATTTGGTAATGATATTGTAATGAGAAGTTCTGTCTTGGTCACTCATGGGAGTTAAAATGTCAACAAAGAAATCTGTCGGTTCTCTTATTCAGTCACCGACGTATACTATGATTCAAGTTTGGACTTACAACTGAAATGCACCTCTTTTTCTCTGTCAGTTTCAGGGTTTTCCCTCACAAGAACTCACCGACTCGACCAGTTTAAACATAATTTTATTGCATTTGAGAGGTATAGAAATGTCTCAGCCTTTCTCGGTCCCCGTGACAGTTACCCTTTTAAAGAGCTGCCTAGATTACAGTTTGTTTCAATCAGTATGCTAATTTTTCATGGTCATCGTTTGTAATCTGCGCCAGTCTTTTTCATCTCAAGCCATTCTTCATTCGTTTTGATTCTTTTTTACCACTATTTGGTATTATTATTATTATTGATTATTTTTTATCCTGCAAAAGCATTCCCCTGGTGGAGCTTCGTGTATTATTTTTGAACATTTAGAGTGTTTACAATGTGAAATAAAAATTGTGTCAAGAACGGTTTGACTACGGTTTTACTTTGACCCACATTGCTGGCAAAATTATAAAACAAATTAACAAACCTGTTTTAAACGTTTTTCGTTTTGGATCTTTCATCACTCGTGGCTCACTGTCACCCAGAGCGCCAGTAACTACAATGGATACCTCTGCACTTGATCCGGCCCCGCGAACAAATCCCGTATGGACTTGAATCTCATAGCAATACGTATCTCGAGAATCGTTATCGGGCAGTGGAGTTACTCCGGTCTGTAAAAATAATATTTAATGATTTTAATAGGCTGAAGTTAAATCAACAGGTTAATATGGTTTAAGGGTTCCCACTTAAAATTGGAAAAGAGAAGCAGGATGTAGTAGTGTGTGGATCTGAAATGTGTGTTGTAGCCACCGTGAGGATGCACTCCAAGGCGACAAAGGCGTCTTTTGCACTTCTCTCAAACAAAACACGGATGAAGATGCGAGGTGTTAAGTTGCAACCAAAACTAGTTTCTGCAACACTAAGGAATACACAAAATTGGTTTGATTGTTTAAATCAGACAGGTGTTAAACCCTTTAACTTCTTTAAGTGATTAACTTGTAATTTCTCCCTTATCCAGTAAAAAAGTCATAAGAATGCGAAACATTATCACATACAAGTTGTTATCTTGATCTAACAGCAAATTTTTGAGACTAATTTACAGGAAAATGTGTAGCAGCTAGAGGGGAGAATTAACAATCTGACCTTAGGGGTCAAACGGTTGAGAGATGATGGTTAGTTCCTGATTACCTTGAGTGCGTCATTCTTGTCAGCTTTTCTTGCCGGAATAAGACACAACAAATAAAAACCAAGGATGACGCAGACTGCAACGAGGGCGTGTGGACTTTCTAAGAGCTGATCAGGACTTAAATTCTTGAAGTCAATCGTGTTTGGTGCAACAAAGAAGTTGCTCCCAAATGTTGTCAAGTGGTTGGTGAGACACTCCGTGTGTGTAACATTTGATTTCGGTCCCACCTACAAAACAAAAGAACGATGGTTAAGGCCGCAAAGAGGACAAGTCGCACACTTCGATCTTTTACGGTCAGGTTTGACAAATACTTTTCATTTTGAAGATGAATCCTAATTTTTTATATTTATCTATTATTACTTTTATCAACATTATTATAACTATTATTATAATCATAATTTATTATAATGATCGTTAGTTTTTTGGCCACCGCGTTTCAAACCAAGTAACACCCTTGGAGTTTGAGCGAAAGTTCCGCAAATGATCTTTAGATTCAATAGGTTCCAATTTGTATTTTCTTTATTACGAAAGAGTAAAATAACCTTTCATCCTACTTCAATGCTTCTGGGAAGAATTACTGTCGATGAGCTCTATCTTGGAAACAATAGACCCTCAGTGAAGCAAGTGCAAAACCAGTCAATCCCGTTTTTTAATTCAGGGCATTTGCTGGTTTTTTGTTTCTTTGTATTTTTTTTTTCATTTCTGATTGGCTCGTTGTGACATTTTCCTTCATGCTACAGACATAAATGAAATAGATCAAAGCCTGTGCATGCGTGCAAAACGTGAAACAACTCCTTGAAGGAATTATGGTTACTATTAATATTGTTATTAGTTTTAATACCTTGACACCGTCTGTTCTCCAAATGTTAGTTTTTGGGTCATGATACAAACAGCTTGACGTGTACACCGAAAAGTTATATCCTATTCCGTCTCCAAGCTGGTCCTCGGTGAATGAACGGTTCTCTGGAAGCTTGTAACGCACCATAACAGAGTAGTTCCCCGCGGCCGTCCAGTTTAACACATCATTAGAGAGGAGGTATTCATAGGAAGAGGATGGAATTGTAGAGTTAAGCGAATTGGTACGACCGGCCGAAAGTGTTACATTAAAGTCGAACTCCCCTTGGGAAGGATTTGGCTCGCCTCCCACTTTCACGTACATTTCCACTTCCACTGGAAGCTCTGGCTTGGTTTCAATGGTAACAGCGGACGAATTGTCAAGTATGACAAATTTGTGTAGCTTGAATTTAGACGTGTGAAGCTTATCATGTGTTGGATGTCTTTCGACCTCGGGCTGCTTTCGGGGCACCATGACACTGATTTCCTTTCCCGGCTCTAAAAGTTTGACACTGAATTCTTCGCGGCTTTTGTTCACTGACGTGTAGAAAGTAAAGCTTACAAGCTTGCTGTTGTTTATCTGTTTCGAAGCTTGGCCACCGGGATAGAGATTAATTTCAGACAACATTGCCTGAAATCACCACAAAACATTGAATCAGTGTGTTAATAACACCCAAAAAAATGCGCTAAGAAAGGCTTTGCTTTATCAAACAAACGTGCATATAACAATTACAGAAAGACCCAAGATATCATGTATGAACACATTACACATTTTTTGCTTTTGTTGTGATGGTTATAGTTAAATCTTTTCAAATTTGTTTCTGTCTTTGAATTAATTTTGAAAAGTGGGGCTAAAGCAAGTGCCTCAAATATCTGCAACTGTACTGCTGATTGGTCAGCTTGGAAGTGATTAGCTAGTAATACTTCCCCCCCGGACAGCCGAAGAGACAAGACCGCCCATTAATAGTCTGATCTCCCACCTTTTTCTCAGTACATTTACAGAAATAAACTACTTTCATTTGTTCCTGTGTGGTAAATACTAAAAAAATTATTAACCTTAGTTTCGATAAAAGTGGTGGACATCTACCTCTATATCGATGAATTATTGTCAGATATAGTTAATTGTTTAACGGGAATATTACATACCACTTGATCAAGAGTTCCGTTGCCGAAAGCTGTCGAATTCTCCGGAAGTTTTACTTCCGCCCCCTGGCTGTTACCGATCGTGACTGGCTTCTTTCCTAAAGTTTCAATATCTTCCTTGGAAACTCCCATTGACAAAGACGGTGTGTCAATTGTTGTGGCTTCTTCACCCGGAACTTTGGATGCTGTGAGAGCTTGAGACAAAGTATCCAGAGTACCAAGAACTTTCTTCATCTGAGTATTATTATTTTTGTTCTCACTGGACGACTACAAAAAAATAAAAAACAACGCAGAATTTTTAAAAAATGTCCTGCGCTGTGACATTCCTTCAATGAATTTTCCTTGAGGTAAATGTAACTCATGTAGGTTGAGGCGCTTAAATCAAAACAAGCGAACTCATTACCAAATATGAGCTTTTACCTCATTAATTTCTTTCAAATTACGTCAATAACTAAGCTTTTTTTTAAGATGTACACTCCAGAGATCTCCATTGTAGTCTAGTTGTAGCCAAATCACAACAGAAAGCAAACACAATTGGGGTCATGATCATGTCAATCAGAGCCATGAGACAAATTTAAGGGGGAGATTCTTAATCACTGATGACATGTAAAAGGATGGTCTTTTGAAATCTAGGACATTTTATGTATTAATTAAATAATCAGAGAATTTTCAAAATATTTCCATGACGATTTAACGCTTTAAAAGAACGTTAACAGACAGCAAAAGGTTCAGATCAATTGTTAAACGAGGTACGGCAAAAGCAACAACTTTCCGGGGCACTTTCGATACTCAGTGGACAAACTGTCATATATATTACTTGAAAATACCAACGGAAACTTTTTTCCGGGGCTGATATCATTACCTCTTCTGGTTTTTTCTGCTTTACATCCGCGGATTTAATGAGATTTACTGCGCCACCAAACACTGCCTCAGAGGCTCCTTGGATCTCTTTGCTGGACGCTCCTTCGTTATCCGTCGCTTGCTTTAAAATCGCCTTACTTGCATCGTCATAGAGGTTGGAGACCTTGTCCTGGTGACAATTAAGTAACAGATTACGAAGCGACGAAAACAAATGTTAAACCCTCGCACTTGTTAGGTACGGCCACACTTACACAGGGCTCTTATTAGCTAAGTAAGGAATTGTCAACTTACCACCATCTTCTCTGTATTCTGTTCAGGTTTATTTGTTACTGCCGTGAGAGTGCTGGCAAACTGTGCAACATCTGATAAGCTCGTTTCTTCGGATACTTTTGCCGAATCAACCACAGCTATAGCGAGTTTTTCTCTCAGCTGAGGACGAAATAAAAACGTCATTGTCAAAACGCTATCCTCATCGATTATGCTTTGTGACGGAGGTTACAGGGGCAAAAAATGACAAAACTTACACTCGCTTTATGCTACAGAAACCGGTCCAGTCCCGGCTTCTGTGAGAATTTGGCTTGTAAGACATAACCCAACTTCACCTAACATGTTTGATAACTGGTTAGTGCATTGTCTTAGTATTTCAACCCTTTGAGGGATAGAGGGTCATTCTTTTTCCTTCACTTTAAATTTTGAACTCATTCAGATTATCATCGCAATCGCATAACTGAAGCTCTGGGAAAAAGTGATTATTGTATTCTTAACGCCAAACGCCACTCAAATCCTTAAGAAAGTATTTTAATGTTTATTTACCTCCTCGCTTTTCTTTTTCTCCTCTTCGCTCAAATCTTCTTTGGCAGATGAAGGACTCTGATCGTTCAGTACTTCAGCGACACTTAACACATACGATGCAGTTTCTCTTACGTTACCACCGCCCATTATCGATTCAAGCTGCTGGGTCGCCTTCTTTTGAAGATCTCCGACACTTATTTTTTTCTTTTCCACCTTAAGAATGACAAAAATTGAACAGAGTAAGAACTCCTTCCCATGCTATCATTGCTGAGTGGCTGAGGGTCTTTGAGAGTGGAATCAGGCATTACGCTACTACGTTCTTTTCAAAGAAAAGCACAACTAATTCACCTTATTTTGGGTCGAAGCAAAGAATTTAGTTTGCATTTCGACTTACTTTCACATTTTCTGTAAATTCGACCTCCGTTGCAGCTCCAAGATTGTCAGTAACTTTGGCGTGAAGAGTTAAGTTGAATTCGTGATCTTGAAGACCACTGGGAAATGAGACGGACTCGCGGAACTTTTCTAATCCGCTTCCTAAACTTTTTTTCTCTCCATCAGGCGATGTCGAGTAAGAGAATTCGTAAATTAACGGCTCGTCTTCATCTGTAAAGTCTTTACATTTCAAGGTAAATATGGGATCTAAAGGGTTCCCCTTAGACGGTGAAGGTGTACAGCTTCCTTTCTTTGGAGGTTCGTTCACAGTTATTTCAAGCGTACTGAGTCCTTTTTCTCCACCCTGAATGTTGCCATATAGTTTTATTTCGTAATCTTTGCCGCCTGCAAAACAAAAGGTATTTACCATCCCTCATCAAAGCAGGATACAAGCTTCTGCCAAAACTTTGTGGGTATTAGGTGCGTATTAAAACGGTGACTGTAGTTTTAGCTTTGAGAACGAAGATCTTAGCGTAAATTTCTGTCTTCTAGCAGCTATAAACTTCCTTTTAAATCAGTGAAGAGAATTTGGAGTGAAATCGAAACCGTTTGCAGTAATTATTCCTCTTCCGATTGTGATCGCATTATGCACTCCTTCTCAATTCATGTTTTCTGACGGTTTCTTCTCGTACGGTAGCATGCATCACTGAAATTTGTCCATAGCTCTTGCTCCATTCAGCAAATAAGTGTAATGAAGTAAGAGGTTATGAAACTCTTTTAAAATCATAGACTTCCCCTACCAGCTCCAGTCATGAAAAGAAAGCCGTTGTTATTAGCGTGCGCGCGCTCATCGCGCCTTATGTAAGGAGGCGCAATGGAGTACCTCGAAATAAAGCCAGATGCGCGAGCAATAGCGGTCGCAGCAGGGCGGAAAGAGATTGGATACCTACACCATGGGAATTTTCAGTTTTAAATACCGCAAATTTTTATACCAAGTTGGTATTTTTACTTTACACGTACTTCAATGAATGACATTAACCCACCTTTAAAAGTTTCGGGTTTGATAACCAGACTTCTCGAAGTTATGGGCGTAGATGCGCGCTTTGCGAGGTCTAGTATGTTTTCCACTTTCCATTCGTAGAAAATCCTTTGACCACCCTTAGACGTTCCTTTCCCTTGTAAAGTTAATTTGCTCGAAGGGTTTATTTTCTTTTTACATTGTTCGCATCTGAAATGCAATATCGATAAAATAAATTCAAAGCAAACTCGAGAAACCCCTTTTGTTTTTCTGCTCCCAAAAAAATTAGAGTCAGCTGTGTATAGCCTGCAACGAAATTATTTGAGGCAGAGATTGGAGAGGCCGCAAAAACGAAGATTTGAGTTTAAGTTTACAGTACTGGAGTGTGCATAGTGGATTAAAAGGCAAAGTTATATCCATGGCCAATTAAAGGTCTTTTCATTCTCTGAATAGTACATTTACCTTTTTTCAACGTACATAACAGAATACAACAAACTACTAAGTCGTTGACCTTCTGAACTAAAAATTGAAAAATTTATGTGCATTTTTATCCCAGTGATTCTTAAATTTGGCGTTCATGGACATATTTGATAGTCTCTTTGAGATACCAAAGACCACACCGCATTAGAAAAAAAAAACTACAAATGTTAATCGAACGACTCTTTAGGAATCAAACAATAGAGTTTATGTGCGCGGGCATAAATATGTTTTAGGCCGACTTGAAATAATTTTGAGAAGGGCCCAAAACATATATTTTTTTCACTCTATTACTGTTATTATCAGTTTTGGAGGGCATTGAGGAAATAAAAACTTAAAAAGTTACAACAAAACAGTCTGAAAAATGACGTGAGCGTGCACACTGTCTGGGATACATTTAAGCCCGACAGAACCTCTTTTTCGGCCCGCAAAATGTGCTCAATAAATGACAAAGTGATGATAAGACATATTTTAACCGAGCATCGAGAAGGAATCCGAAATTGCTCAATTGTTTGAAAAGGTTTACTTGATTCATGGAAAGCAAAGATTGGAGTGGCTTTGGGTATTTAAGCCCTGATTTCTCTCCTGGAATGCCGGTGTCCCAGCGGATTTGGACCCCCATAGATTTGGACCCCCCGGTCCAAATCCGCTGGCGGATATGGACCCCCCATTTGGACCCCCAACAAAACTGAGTGAAAACATCATCCTTAACGTTCTAGTAAAAATGGATGATACTTAACGTTCTAGTGCGCACTAAAGTATGTTTTTAATTCAAAACATGCGTATCGTTAATGCATAAGAACTGGCATCCCATCGGATGTTTCTTTTGACCAAGGGAAAATGGGCAAGAATTTAGTTTAATGTCAGGAGAGAGGTCGTTTTTGAACCTTTTCCGCGATAGTCGAACACCGCTAGATTCAATAAGAGATAAACTTGTGACACTAATTTATTTTGTCATTGTTCAATGCTCGAGTGTTGGGACGACATGGTACAGTGCAAGTTGTGCGAGGAATGGTTACACATGAGCTTCGAGAGATTGAAGACCGCCCCGGAGGGCGAGTGGCTCTGCATTGTCTGCAGATCACCAGACTCTAGACGTCTTCGTAATTGTTAAGGTGTTATTTCGGATCCCTCAACAGTTAATAATCGTTAAATTGGAAAATAAAATTGAGTTCGATGTAATAGTCTCCAATTTAGTTGAGACGTTGACATTAATGTTGATTTGCATCTGAAAATAAGCTGAGAGTTCCAATAGTTCAGAATAGAAACATTTTACTTATCATAAGCTTTACGAACGACTTGCAGTAGGAGTAGTTTCTTCGTTCTTGTTCAGAAACTGTTTAATGTTTAATGTTATTATTTCTCAAACTCAAACTCCAGTTTCAGGATTCATCGTAAGTCGTTTCAAAGTTTTAAAATCCACGAGTTGCGCGACAAAAGAAGTAATGCCTTCCAGGTAAATTTTAGTGAGTTCAATAACAAGCGGGTGGCAGCTTTTACGACAAATGGCGTTGGAAACTCAGTCTCCTTTCACTGCCTCACATTCTTCTTTTTGCTCTGGATGCTAAAAAATACTTTTACTACATTTTCAGTGTCCTCTCAGGTGTTCTGCTGTTAAGAACATACCACTAACCGTTTTATTTTTTTCTAAATCAGGCCGGAAATACCCAAAGCCACTCCAATCTTTGCTTTCCATGAATCAAGTAAACATTTAAACGATAAAATTCTGATTAAAAAGTAAAATTCTCCAGACCATTTGAATAACTTTCGATTCTAATTCGTTACATTAACTAATTTTGGTTCTAACTTGTAGAACCTGCGAAACAGGTCGTATAACAAAGAGAAAAGTTTGCACTATCACGTCACGCAATATATCAAGCTAGGTTTATCCAGTTGATTTTGATGATCGCAGGGAAATGTCGAGTTTGTCGCTCAAAACCGTTGTGGTCCATAAAAGCGTAACATCATTAATGACGGAAACAAATTTGCAGAAAGGAGGGTTAGTTCATCGGGCTCCGTATACTAAATCTCGGGAGAAACTGCAAGAATTATTTCAGAGTGTATGCATGTTGTTTTGTTAATATAAACACTGTAACCTATTTCAAATTGTTTTTGTGTCCTTTTAAGCAACGCGATATGTCTGTTATGACCAGAGTGCCAAATTTTATTCTTTAATTTTGATCTGCTCCACACTGTGCGTAGTTCATGACCTGATATTTCAACGTAAATTTTCGAGAGGACGCCTTCCGATCACCTTTGTCTACTTTGTAAGTCACACAAGCGCGCAAGCGTTACGACCAATCACGTTTACGCAACGTTTTAGTTGCTGTGAAAACCTAGAATCCTCAACGTAGAAGATAAACGAACGAAGTTTGAACGGTCAAAAAGAGATCTTGGTCAATTCTAAGAATCATGCAAGTGATCTTTGACACGAGTGCAATTGAGCAAACACATTGATTTGTGTTGTTTTTAAGAAGTTGGTGGATGGAAGCTAGAGATATACCCGCGGGTTTGAGGCGATCCGTGACCTCATTGGTGTATAAACTATGCACTGATATGCTTTTTTAGCCTGATTAACGCCTGCATTTTGAGAATTCTTTCGTACAAAGTAGTGACTTTTTGATATGCAAATTAAGGTCGAAGAGAAGGGTCTCCTCTGATCACGCTGGTAAGAAAAATATTTCAGCTGAAGTTTCCATATTTTGTCTGTAAACTAACTGAATACACCTTGTAACTTGTAGCAAGATAGAATTCCGTGAGCTACATTGTTGCAGTCGCTGCGCGCTGGACAAAATCTCTGAAATTTACACTTTCGATCGCTGTCCACAGGAGTGGTCTGGCCTATAATCATTTTTGGCATGTAGCGACGCAAAAAAAGAGAATTGGAGAACAACTAAACGACTTTTGAAACATGTGTCCCAAACCCTTTTCATGGGCAAAAATAAAAGAAAACTTTTTCTGACGAGAAGTCGAGAGGACCGCTCTTAGCGAGAGTGGCATTTAAATGGTGTGCAAAGTATCTAAAATGGTAAAATGGTCGCAAAGTGAAATAAGTGAAAAATGCATGGCAATTTCACACCAATGTACACAAAATCAGAGATGATAATTCAGTATTGAATACTCACTCGATGGCTAAAGTTGGAGGGCTTCCCGGTTTGACGTTTATCGTCTGATCTCTGTACGAGACTCGTGTGTCTTTGGCGATGATGAATCTTATTCTGTAGGTTGTGTTGGGTGTCATTTTTGTCGTGTTCAACACATCTTGCACTTTCATGAAGTTAAGTTGTCCAGGTCCGTATCCGTAACAGCCCCCTAATTGTGGCCTTATGGAGTCGTTTGCAGTAATGTTTTGTACAGGGGGGGTGGGAATAGGTGGTAAGTTGGTTAGATTTACAGGTAGTGTATAACTTCCGTTTTCAAATTCTTTTTTGCAAAACCATGCGAACGTGCAGTTGCACCTCTCAACATTCAATTTTTTTTCCGCCTCCGTGTCAGGATCATATGATTTTCCGGCGTCCAACGTCAAAGGATCTTCATTACCAACAGTCCTTTTTGTACCACCATCGATGAAAGCTACGAGATCCGTTTTTGTGATGTTGATGTAAAATTTCTCCATCGTGTAAACGCCTGGTTCTGCCAACATGTTGATGCTAAATTGTAGTTCGTATAAGCCGTAGTCTAGTGTCCTTGGTGGGATTAGTAAGTTTGGTCTGTCCAAACGAATGCTCCCGAATAGGTTTGGAGTCGGGCTAACGGAGTCGTCTAATCGAGACATATTCCAATAGTACCGGGTCGAGTAGTTGTAACATTTGAGGGTATTTACTGTTTTTATTTCAATCTTCTCTGACTTTTTGAACTTTGTACTTTTTTCTTTCCTTTTTCCAATTCCCGGAGCTGTGATAATTGGAAAGATGCATTCCCCTTTCACAATGGCGGCTTTGGTTTCCTCGCTTTCAATTTTGACACAAGATACGCTATTATCGCCCTTAAAACTGACCAAGTAAGGTTTTGCTTCTTTATAAGTGTGGGAAAAATTTTTAGATCCTTCAAACGTTTTACCACCATCACATTTTTTTCTGCCTTTACCACTTCTGTATGATAATAAATGTGTTTCATCTTTCAGGTCGATTGTGAAACAAGAGTCGTTTCCTACCTGGTCCATGCTCAGACTAAAATTAATGAGCGTATTCATTTCTGCCGGTCCATCATTTCTTAGTTTTACCCCACGTATACTCTCGTGAACAATGATAGTTTCGTTCACAGTCTTGCTACTGACATTGTTTTTGGCTGTGAGGCAAATTGTGTGGTTTCCCGTGGAAGAAAACTTCCGAATACAGTTCATTCCTTTGCATACGTCATTGTCTCTCGAAAAATTCCAGCTGTAAGTTACGTTAGTACCATTTGTGATAGAGGAGTTAAAGAATACGTCGTATTCCTTGGGAAACACTCCTTTTGTAGGCCTGAAATTGTCCCCGGGGCACTCATCGATAAAATTCGTCAAATGAGAAAAAATCTGGAGTCCATGGATCTTATCTTGAATTATAATTTCGACGGAAGCATTACCACAACTTATCTCGTTGCATACTTTCACCGTGGCAGTATACACACCTTGTTTAGGATACGAATGATTTGTCTCCTTCTTATCTCGTAAGAAAAAGCTTCCAGTTTCATTATCTCCGAAGTCGTATGTCACGTTAAATGGTCCAGAAGCGTTGTAGCCAGGGAAGTGGAAAGAAAGCGCTACTTCCCCTGGGTCGGACGGCTGAGGTGAATTGGACGTGAGCAGCACTGCGTCGATTGGATATTGGACGATAACTTCGCATCTATCCGTACCATTTTCCTGATTTCTGTTGTATAGCGTCACAGTGATATTATATGCTCCTTCTGTAGAGTACGTGTGGTTCTCTGTCGTTCCGTTTGTGGGGAATTCCCGTGGATGATGCTTGCTTTTCGGTTTACCTTCTCCAAAGTCGAAGACCACGTTCACGTTGGTGCCGTTGGATACGTCAGCAGTTACTGTGACGGAGTCATTTACCGCAATGTACAAATCTCTTATCCCCCTGCATCTGCCACCCCCAAAAATTTGTAGAGAACCTCGTTCTACCGCAAACGTCAAGTGTTTTACAGGGGTCTCGACATAAATTGTGGTGTTTATCCAACGGCTATCCACATGATTTGTTACCGTTATATTTACGAGATATTCCCCTGGAGCGGAGTAATTATGAAGGCTAATGGCGACAAATATGTCTCCAACTGTAATGTTCTTTTCAAACAGTTTTGACTCGCCATCACCATAGTCGACTAGAATAGAGATTTCACTTCCTTGATTCAACTTCCAGTGCACTCGTGCCTCTTCCATTACTCCTACCTCGCGTCTAAAACTCCTAAATTCCAGGCCTTTGATAACGTCTTGAACGATGAGTTCTGCACAGCGCACCACGACCGAGCTAATGTCGTTGGAAGCTATTAAAGAAACTTTGTATCTCCCTGCCTTTCTATACACATGTGGAATGACTTTATCAGAGGTATTAATGGTGGTTCCGTCCATCGCAAGTAGGGTATATCTGGCCCATTCTTCTCCTTGGTGGGGCAAAATGGTGAAATTGAACGTCTGATTGGTCCTCAAAAAGCCAGGGTGCGTCATTTGTACTCCGTAGACGGAACGTTGCACGCTCAGGTTCCCACTGATTTTCAGACTGTTCACTTTGTTTGTGGCGGTGATTGACACCAGGTACAAGCCAGGAATCGTCAAATTCGTTTTATAAATGGCGAAAAATATTGCCCCAGGTACTTTGGGGTTGGAGAGATTTGTTGCACGGTTGTCGCCTGTGGATGTGATAGTGATATTGAAGTCTACGTGCGAACCGTTACGCAACAGCCAGCCAATATTAGCAGTAGTTCCGTTTTCAATAGGAAGCAATGCAGTTTCCCTAAATTCCATGCCGGCGATTCTTTCTTGAATAACAGCTGTGCACCAGATGGACATCAAGCTTACTTTATTTATTGCCATAACATTAAGAGTCACTGTTCCAGTTTTGTTCCTGTAAACGTGCGTTACCCACGGACTTGATGTTGTGGCATTTTCACCATCGCCGAATTCCCAGACATACGTCACATTAGTACCGTAAACTATTTCCGCTGTAACATTGACAGTTTCTCCGTAGGGGAAAGCATCGGGTAGTTTTAATTGGAAGTCTGTTATGGCTTCTTGAAGAATAACCTCTCTTGTGAAGCTCTCTGTTCCGCGAGAGTTGCCTACTGAAAAGGAAACAGCCTCATGTCCAGCCATAAGGAATTGGTGTTCAAATTTAGTCTCAGACACAGCGGAGTACAGAATGGCTATCGAGGGAGCATAATGTAGTTCAGTCGGACTGTCTTCTGTTGAAGGAAGGCGGTTACTTCGCAGTGTCGTGGTAGCGTTGATCTCTGAAATATTATACAGGAAGGAGAAACTTTTCGAGCTAGTTTTCAATGCCGCTGCTGGCCCCGTAGAGGGGAAACGTACCCCAATGACGTCACCTTCTTCGACTTGAAGTCGCTGATTTGCACTCTCGATAAGGAAGAGTTTATGTCCGCTTGTTAAGTAGACCATGTAACTTGAGACGTGCTCGTAGTCGAAGTTGACAGTAGCACCATTCAGTGTGTTGTTTTCACTACACGACTCAGTGGCGCACTGTCTCTTTTTAAAGCTGAACACGTTTTCACCGTGGCAAGTATCGGTCTTACCCACTGGACACGAGGTTTTGTTCACAGTCCTGGTGACACAAACTCTTTTTGCTTGGCAATAAAGTTGTTTTTGGTCGTTACATGTCGGGCGATAAATCTATGACGAAATTTGAATAGCAGCACAAATTACAACAAATAAAAAACAATAAAGCCTTTGACTCTCATGAATGACCGAGACAGAATTTCTCCTTACAATATCAATACAATATCAAGTAGACAAGTGATGAGAATAAAGAAAAATATCAATATGGGGATAATTAGTTGATCCAATACAAGATTCTCTGAACTAACATCATAGGAATTGTATGGTTTACGGTGAGGAGAATTTTTTTGGGAGTTAAAGGGTTAATGATGACCACCACGGTGGTCACCTCGTGACCTTATGGTCGAACGCATGACACTCTGCTTTATCTCCAATCTCTTGTATGTTCTTCTTGCAACTGAAAAAAGGAGGTGATTCACTGTTTTTATAGAGAAAAAAAACCTACGTTGTACCATTTAAATTTTCTTATCCTCGATGTTAAAGTACCTTTAAGTCGAGAAAGCCTCCTTGTTTGACGTCCATTTCTAAACCCACAACTTCACCTTTATTTGTAACGTCCATTCCAGCCAACAGGTATAACCCGTCGGCAGTAACCTGGGATTCTGAGTCTGACTCTAGGATGCCCAGTGTAAGGATTTCAGCATCTATATGTGAAAAATCCGGAAGTACGAGGTTTTTTTAAATGTATATTACTGGCTGACGGACTGACTGACTCACATGGAGTGGCACATTAACTTATTAACCATAAACTGAATGACTCACTTAGAGAATAATAATAATAATAATAACGAATTTTTATACAGGATTGAAACCCATCAGTGTGTAACACTGTTGTCCTTGGGGTCCTGTAAGGAAGGAACGAAAGAAATATAGATTCACAGACCAATCGTCTGGTCGTCAAAGTCGACTCATCGGCCGACTACGATTTGAAACCGGATATTTACCGAAGAACTGACTGACTGACGAAGTAAAAGTCATGCGTTCGCATGGATGGACGGACAGACGGGAAAATGGGGATTGGAATCGACTTATCGATAGTATAAATTTAATTTTAAAAGAACTCTAAGTGGTCTATCGCCACGCTAACAATTCTTACCAGGAACTACTGTATTCCGGTCAACCCCATCTTCAAACTGTATCGTGGTTTCTACGTTGGCACCCTGGTTAAATTTCAAGGAACAACTAAACGTCATGTTTACAGAACCCACAGATGGACAGAAAAAGTTTACTCCTGAGACGTTTGAGGTTGCGGACACAGTAGTGGAAGACTCTACCACTGTGACATGTCCGGTATCACTATGCTTAGCCATCGCTTTTCCTTGAATGGTGTAGTTTCCTGACTCAATCAGTGCCAGTGTGGCCATAGAATCTTTGGTGTAATACTCTGTTCCATCTCCTACGTTGATAACATAATACTCGACGATTTGATCCTCTGGTAACTTTGGTGTCATTGTCAAGTTGAAACCTGTAAGCGTCGTAATCGGGAGATCCAATGTTAAAGTCAATCTGAGAGGCCGCGCCTGGACCGTCTTGTACACAGATATGTGAGTTTCCCCACCGCACTTGAGATTTCCAGCTCCAAAGCAGGACGACAGGCACATGTCTGGAGAGTGCTCTGTTATTTTTGAGGTAGAGTTGGCACAAAGGCATAAATTGCCATTCTTTAGGGCCGCGTAAGTGAAGTCCGAAGCGCCGCATGAGTGCATACAGAGGCCATGTGTCATTCTACTATGTTTATAACCACCAGGATTGAAAATAAAATTCGGCGACACCGCATTGTCCTCGTAGCATCCCAGGTGATGACGGACAACTGTTATGAGGTGATAGCATAAACATTTTCTCAATAATTAAAACACACTATGTGTTATTTATCTTCTCAAATCACTGTATACTGAGGGAAGCGAGTTAAAGAAACCTTTTGGTAAACGCAAACTTATAAGCTCTGAAATAGGCAGTTGTACTTACAAAATTTCTGCTAATCTTTTGCTATATCCGTTTCATTGCTGTGAAGCCTTAATATGCTCCAGTTATAATCAGTTTATAAAAACCATCAGGTTTGCTTGACATGTGAAACTATAGGCACAATTTACCCCCTTGAACACTTACCTTGTTCGCAGATGTATTTTCCTTGGGTAATAGAACAATCAGACTTTCGCCAGGTTCCTTTTACTTCCATCACAACACAACTTCCCGAAGACCCACTTATCGATTTGTTGAAGGACATTCCCGAGCCATCTTTCCAATAGAAGGCATTATCTGTCTGTTCGAGTCCGATCCACGCTTGGCTGCCAGTTTCGTTTTTAACAAAGGTATTTTCCTCTTCAGAAGAAATCTTCACCAAATCAGCTCCTTGGGAAAGACACGAATTTCGTGCTGAATGAAATGTGAGGTTCTTCGACATGACCTTGTAGCAGGAGCCGTCAAAATACAACCAACCTGTGGCGCAGCTAGCGGGATCTGTAATTGAAATCAGAATCGAAATTTTAAGGTAACGTTTAGAATTGAAATTTTAAGGGACTTTTACACACCCATTAAATCGTAAGCGCGTTTATTATCTCCCCGCGGTGAGTACTGATATCCTTTATGGACCCTAGTTAATATTTTGCGCGCTTCTAAGCACCCACTTACAGGCACGCACGCGCACAATGTCAGAGCGAGCACTACCAAGGACACAGCAATCAAATCTCGTTAAGAGTGACATAAGGCTAAATTTTTCGACCTCTCGGTGATCCACGATGAGAAAACACTGCCTCACGATTTAAAATTACATAATTCCTCGAAGCCTTCATTTCATTGTGCAACGTTCGGTGACTTAAAAACGTTCGGTTATCGAAAAAGCTGTTAATTGATTTGTATCGTATGCAGTACTTTTCATCCTCACCGTTACAAACATGTAAATTCGACATTTTCTTTTCTGTGATTTCCTCTTCCCACACCGCAACATCTCTTATCACTGCCTTGGCATAGGCGTCACCCTTGTCACCCGTGCGACCGATCGTGAGTAACGCGGGATGATTTGCTAGTGGCGTGACCGTGACGATCTTTCCAATTGGGTCATCCAAGACAATGGCGGAATCTTTATAGACAATAGCGGTCAAACCATTCTGCTGGCTCCAACTCATTGCAAATGTTTGCCAATTGTTTTTCTCAAATGATATCTGAACCTTCCAGTTCTTCTGTCCGTCACGGAGACTAAAATGCATGACAGAGTTCACATAGTAAATGGCAAAACCACTTGAACTTTTCCCGCCAGAGGATAAGATATATCCGGTACCATCCCCTGAGATACTTGCTTTGAAGCTCACAGAAATTCCGTTCGGACACTGCGAAGGGCTGTGAACACAGCTTTCCTTGCCACTTTTTTTAAAACTGAAATCTACCCAGTTTGAGCCTGTGAGAGATAGTGCAAGCGGTGTGAAGCCCTGATTAGAAGGTCCTACTTGTAAGGACCATGGACCGCGTATCTTTCCCATCAGGGATCCATCACCGTTTATATCTTTTTGATAGATTGTGGACTTGTCGAGTGGCCAGTAGTGAGAAGCATCTTTGTAGCAATGATCTGAAAATGTCAAGGATTGGAAGTATATAAGTCAAGACTCCAAAATCACAATTGGAAATTAGGGGAAATCTTGACTTATCTAGAAGCCTATTTCCTTCAACTTGCAAGATCTGATTGATTCTCCCCTCAAGCTGCTATACATTTTCTTTTTAATAAGTTACGAGAATTTGTTATTAGATAAATATGACAAAATTACACCCATTAAGTTTGAGTATTCTCAAAATGTATTTATAGTATAAAAAGCAGTCACACGTCATTCAGTTCTGGGAGTTAAGGTTTAAACTAGGTAGCTAGTTACTTACCAACGCGTGCACAGATTTGAAACTTGGCTGATGAACTTGTCGCGGAGAAGAAAGCATATTTGAATTTAACCGGCTGTGCCTCTCTCCAAAACAGGTAAACCTAGAAAGGCAAACAGGAAGAAACGAAGGAATAAATAAACCTGATCTCACAGAGAAATTAAAAAACCATGGAGGTCTCACGCTCTATTAATCCATACGGCTATCTGTTTATTATTAACTCCTAGTTCATCTCCTTCGAGGCGTTTTTCAAACGGCCGACTGGTTGGCCATCAAGTGATCAGTAAAATTTATTTCAATAAAATTTGGTTCTTTAACAGGTTATTTACTCATTTCCATTGATCAATTACATCATTTGCACAATAACGCCTTAATAAACATGACGTTTTTCAGATCATAATAACATGTTTGTGTTTCAGAACAAATATAGAACTTACAGATATAAGTTAGATAGCAACAAAAACTTAAAAATTTTGTGTGGAGAACGTGCGACATGCACAAAAAATGATTATATTCAAAGCAATTGAAGTCCTTTTCATTTCCTTCAAGAGTTTGTTGCTACTTTAACAGTTTTTAATTCTTTTTGGTGTTTTCCAAATTGATTTGCATTGATACAAATGCGACACAAGCAGAAAATCTAGCCGCTAAGATAAACCTGGCCTGATGCTTTGATTGTACTTAAAATCCTTTAATCTGAAATAAAAATAAACCATCAAATGAAAGACATAACAAAAAGGGTTACAGTACCTTTTCTCCAGAGCCAAATATCAATCTGTCTTTCGTTGCATCGATCCAAAACAACCGCATCTCGTTTTCTTTCAGCAAAGAGCCAGTGGTGTTGAATTCCGTCAGAGTTTTACTCTGGTTACTTTGCCTTTTCAAGACCACTTTCCCATTTGAACCAATCAAAATGCTATACCCTGAGCTTTGTTCACGCGAGTCACTCGTGAGAAGCACTGAGACGTCGTCCTTAGCATCAATCATGAGAGGAAACTGGGTTCGATGTAAGCGATAGCGGTTGGACTGACCACCACCTGTAAGCTGGGTAAGGTCACATATGGTTTCTGAAAAACACCAATCCAGTTCCATTATTCAAAATGAGAGAATCGACTAGATGATCCTCCGTTTCATAGGATGATCTGATTCAACTTATTTCCTATTCTGGATCTTACTTGTTACTTTTTATTCCGCGATTACTCTCGTTAATCTTTCCTTGTAACTTACTTTGTTTGCACAAGTCGTTGTTCAACTCAATTTCTTGTATGCCAACTCCACCGCTGCTTCCAAGCACCTTTTTCACGGTAAATTTTACCCAGCTTGTTCTACGAGCCAAGAAGGTAAACTCTTCAAAATTAGACGTGTTTCCCGCCAGTGTAATCTGCAAAGCAAAATGGGAACAAGTCATATCATGAATTTTGGTTTAATGGCACATTCATTTAGTACTTAAACGTGATTTCAAGAATTTTTGCTTATCTCCCTTCTCTCCTTATCCGCTTCCACCTTCACTTTACCCTCCCAACTCTACACACACTCTACCCCCAACTCTACCACCAACTCTATCAAAGTCTGCCTCCACTCTACCCTCACTATACCCCCACTCTACCCTCCACTCTACCCCTAATCTTCCCCTTCACTCTAACCCTCACTCTACCCCCTACTCTACCATCCATCTTGCTCCCTCTCCACCCCCCACCTCCCACTCTTTATCCCACTCTACCCTCCACTTTGCTCCCACTCCAACTCACACACTCTACCCCTCACTCTACCCCCCCCTCTACCCCCCACTCTACCCCCCACTCTACCCTCCACTTTGTTCCCCCTCCACCCCCACATTCTACCCCCCCTCACTCTACCCACCACTTTGCTCCCCCTCCACACCCCCTTCACACTCTACCTCTCACTCTACCCTCCACCTTAATTCCCCTCCACCCCCATTCTTTACCCCCTTTGTCTCCTCAGACGTGCACTTTTGTAAATCTTGAAGAAAGTATTATTTTTTTCAGATCAAATCACCCGCCACTTTCCAAAGTATGAAGAAAATAAAACGAATTTCATAAATTTAGCTCCAATTGATCGAAGGAAATCGATTACGCACCGTTTCCATCGAACAGTCACTAAACTCCAACAACATCTCTTGGATTTGTTGACCAGAGCTAGTTCTTTGCATGATCCGTAACTTATCAACGACGAAGGTTGTGTGAAACCCAATTTGTATGAACGAATTGACGGCCTCATTTGACGCTGATTCCCAGCCGACAGTTGTATTCCCATCAAGAACGTTTTCGCAACCGTTCGAGTTGCCGCTGTTCGAGGACTGATTTAAACAGCTTCCTCCATACTTCTGTGACGCCACGTTAAATGGGTTACAGGTTGTAGAATCTTGAAATGAAAGGAGAGAAGATCGATGATTAAAAATATTTTGCAGAGAAGACAAGACTATTGGTAATAAGAGGGGTTTTAACCCATTGACCTCAAGAGTGACAAGCATTTAATTTCTCCTTACAATCTCACTCCTGAATTGCACACTAAGGTCATGAGAATAAAGGAATTAATCACCAACAAAAGAAGCTCTCGATCTCAAAGCAAATTCTCTTTCTCAGCACCTTAGTAAATGTATGGAGGTCGGTATGGGTTGCAATGGGTTAATATTTGGAGCTCTGGACTCCGCACGTTTCTCTCATAATGCCTGTCTCCGCCCAGGAGAGTAAATGGGTACCAGTGGACAAACTTAGGGACTAGACAAATTATCAAGAGGATATCAAAACTTTGCCAACATCCCAGCTAGGGGGCGGTAATATTACTAGAAGCTTCATGCTTCTCAAAAGGGAATGTTTAAGCTCGCAAGAAGATACTTAGCATCGCTACATACAGAAAAGAGAGCTGAAGGTGATCGAATTTAGCAAAAAAAATCCAAAATTATCCTACACGTTTACGAAACATTTTTGTAACGCACTTGATTTCGTTTCGACCGTTAGCCATTCGTCATTACTCTCACGAAGGCGTCAGCTTAGAAACGTCAGCTTTGCGATGGCCAACTAAATTGGAGTACAATACCTTCTTGTGCTCCAACACCGACTCAGCACCACAGTTTCTTTAGAAACTACCCCTGAATACACAGAAAACTACGCCTTTTTTTACCTGTTAGATACTCATTTACCTTGTGATACATATGAACAGTTGATTGGAATGCTTGATGATATTTCAGTCGGCCCTGAGCCATTTCCTTTATAAGTTTCTTCTGTCCAAGACACAGTTTTTTTTCCTTTGTATCCGATGACTGCGTGAGAATTGTGCGCTTGAACACTGTTAGCATTTTGTGCACCCACTTCATTCATTTCACTCGCCGGAAGCGTGGTGCTATCCACGGCAGAGAGCTGTATTGCCATCAGCACCACAACATCCTGAGGTAAGCCCCTCAGGAACTCACCCATCCTGTCGCACTCATCCTGCTTCGCTGCGCAGTCGAATGCAGATGATGTGAGGAAACGACCTGCATGGAAGAACGGAAAAAACATATCAGAACCGAGCCCCTTGGACACTAATAGACAACCCTCCTAGTTGTTAGTTCTGCGTTACTGCCAACTTATTACGCAGCAACATGTCGTGACCATTCCATTCCCCGAAAAGGAACCTCACCACAAACGAATGAAATAAATCATGTTCTAAACTGTAGGTGAACTACGATTGAGGAAATTGGAGAAAAAAAGCTTCAAAGAATGTTTTCTATGGCGTTATTTTCTCTTACGACATAGCTTGGAATAAATACCTGAGAGTAAATCAAAGACTGCGACATTATATCCTTGGGTTTGTAGTGCATAGTTTTTGTTGTTGACCAAAATATAAGCCAACTTCTCGTTGCCCGCATCATTTGTCCCTACAGATTTCACGGTGACATTGAGAACGCTGACCACATCTATAGGAAGGAAATACAAAAGAAATCGATTGATAACTAAATGCCGAATTCATGGAGGGGAGAAGTTATGTCGGGTTTCAATAAACAACATTCCGTACGAGAGTCTTGTTCAGCGGGCGTGGCTTGAACGCGTTTCGAACGTTTGAACGCGTTTGAACACGTTTTCAAGTTGAGCAGCAGATTTCTGAATGTTCTGAACGTTTTCAAATAAATGACTCGACAATTGAATTCATTTCCGAAACTAATCCGGCAATTTCTTTCTGTCATTTTTCAGATCGATTATCTTGAAGTCCTTGAAAGGCCTTGCGAGAAATTTAGGGACATCTCACGCTTCTAAATTAAGCAGTAAGGGGTCCACAAATTGTATCTCCTAGAGGGTTGGGAAAGCAGCCCTTACCCCCAACCCTAAGTTCCCGGACTTAAGATGACTTCCGGGCTTCAACTCCCACGTAGCAGAAGCACGTCATGTAAAAAGTGAAAGGGGCTTTGAATTTGAAGTAAATGACAATGAGCACTTAAAAGTTGTGCAACCCGTTTTTGTTGAAAGGGTCCCGCTCAAACTGCGTCGAAGAAATTTAAAACCGAACGCAACTTTTATTCCTGAGATTACGCCTACCGTTCACACTACCAGCCAGAAATTTTTCACTAAAAACCTAAAAGGCTTTTCCGAAAAGGCTCCTCAAGCCAGATAAATTAAAATAAAAGCAGCTTTTCGGGAATGAAAAACATTTTTGGAGCGAAGCTTCCCGAAACACTGATATCTTTGTTCTGCTAAGTTTCGGATTGACAATTATGGTTTTAATATTCGCACGGCTGAGAAAGCATTTCCTGAGAGTGAAATAGCTGTCTTAAAAGCTGTCCCGTGTTGTAGACCCAAATTAATTCCTCTCAACCCGAATATCAATCATTCAAGCCAGCTTTGCACAATTTGAACCATTCGCGGCTATCACTTAATTTTGCAGGTGGTTTTCCTTTGTCAGCGTCATCATTGATAACAATTATTGTCAGTTCAAGTTATTATCGTTTTGCCAATTCACATCTTCGTCGTAAAATCGCCCTGTTAATGATTTCTTTAGCCTGGTGAGATCACCGGCCTTGTCTTTCCAAAACAACTTTTGTTCTTCAAATATGCCATAAAGAGTGTTAACTCAAAGTTGATTTGCATCAAAAGAAGAAAACAGCTAGAAACTGCTGTTACTTGCATTATTTTCCAAACAAGTTCTAACGGAGCCGACTATTTCGTAGAAATTAGAACTTTTATTCACCAAAACAAAAATACTTAGCAAAATATTTCATCGATTATGAAATCGTTTAAATCACGTAAACTTTTGTATCTGGTTCATTTTGGAACAGGGACGTAATAAAGTCTTTTAAATACATAATTTTATTAAAACGAAAACACAGAAATTGCTTCAGTATACTGATCATGGAACCAGAAACCTTTTAACACCCCATCGGCACCGTCCCTTCGGAATAAGAGCAACGAGTATTTGCAGGTTTTCACAAACTTTTTATTAGAAAAAACTAAAATGGAACATTCTTCGACTGATCGAAAAGAACTTAACCGAAGTAAGAAAAATTAAATTTTCATCAAGAACCTCATTCCGTTCTAATTACGCTGGCCAGAGCCTATTTGGAAGGCGCTAAGTTATCCAGTTACCCAAATGTGTGCCGTTTATTTGTCTCCCTGCCAAATATATGAGTGCATCTTTGTTTAATTTCAGTCCAGCTTTTCAGAATCAACAACAACTTTATCCTCATTTTTCTTTGAAATGAAATATGCTCAGAATGTATTTGGAACAGTTAATTTATCCCAACGAATTCCCGATTTTAATGATAACGCTTTTCTTCAGCCGAACTTACGTTAACCGTTAACGTACAGTTTTTAATGGTAAAACTGCAGGTTGGTTTAATCTTCAAAAAGAATTAGTGACAAAAAAGGTTGTTTTGAAGAGTTTTTGGTTAAATTCCAAGTTGCTCTTGCATTAAAGAATTGTCAATCGTCATAGTCTGTGGTATATCAATACGACCACATGTTCACGATATATTATTCCGCTTCGTTCTTTCTTATGTTGTAAGGTTAAATTAGACCAGAGGCTCTTAACGAGAATAGGGATCATCGCAAATAACCATTTTGTTTTGAAATTTTCGCTTATGAAGTGAATGAAAACAATCTGTTCAGCAACGCCTCAAAAACGTTATGCATAAATGTCAAAGTTCTGTTATGAATGTTTCCATATGTTTCCATATGTGGACCAGGCTAGAACGCTGATAATACGTTATGTAATTCCGAATATCATGCATAAGGCCATAGAAAACTCATTCTGTATATTAGTGGCTCTCCCTCGATTGGAAAGAGTTTACAATGAGGTCAAGAATAATGAATGATAAGTCAAAATGTGGCGCCTAAGCTCGGCGTTATAGGGTGCAGTACACCTAACGTCGAATAGCAGAAACGCGTTCGCTCATTGAAAGTGGAAAGAGTGTCGGTATCAGCTAGATTTTGACGATATCAATCTAGCAATGAGATTTTTTTCTTTAATTTCCTTTATTTTCGTTTCATTCATTGTATTACTGCAAAGTTTAGATGAGATATTCGCATGAACATAAAATGATGTAAAATTACGGAGTTGCGAAGACGAGTAGAACCAAGCAGTTATATTTTTGGTGAGACGGTTAGTTTTGCGATTTTTTTGCAACAAGGAAAACTTTAAATGTTGAAAAAACAAATCGTTCGTTATGGCACTACAAAATATCAAAGTCAAAAAGCGCATAATCAATTGGAATTGACCAGAGGACATGAACAGATGGCATGATTTCGTTTTATAAATGATACTGTACTCCAAAGCCAAGCAGCAAAAATATGTATATTCGAAATTTAGTTTAACAAATATTCACTCGGCGTTGTTTTCAGTGTGTCGGATAAATATCACTCAATAATTGTTTCGTTACCAAATATACAGAATGATTTTATTGTCCAATAGTTTGAAATGACAAAGCTGCAAAGTCATCGGACTCCAAGAAGTCCGTTCGTTTATCTAGCTTTATGATAAAAACAACTTAATGAATTTGATGCTAACGTTCGTGAGACTGACACTATTTAAAACTATTCCTTATCTTAAGTAAACTTTGTAAGAATATGAATTCAGGCTGCCTTGCACGTATCAAGAACACACTGTAAAACTCACCTATTGTGTAATTTGGTTTCATGAATTGCTGTTTAATACTGCGGCATTGCAGTTGTCAGTAAATTGAAATATCTAGATTTTTTGTTCGTTAAAATAAAATTGAAGAGTCGAGCGGAAGAACAACATCGTCCGATGGATCGCATGAAGGTCGGTATTGCAACACCACCGGCTGAGTCCCGGCCACAAAATAACAATTTGTTAAGGAAAAAAATAGTGAAACTTCCTTAGGTTATTGTTTGTTATTTTATCGAGGTGTATGAGTTAAACCTACCCGAAGAATGATCCAGCGAGTCGCCACATGCGAAGGAGAATTTTACCAACTGCAAACACAATGTATTAGAAGGATTTTTGTCGATCAGTTTCTCTTCATAATAAGAACTTCCTTTCGTCAACAAAGTCGCACAGCAACTACCAAACTGATATTATAAAAACTTACCGTACTAGCGAAAACAATACAGTACAAACTGAAAGATGCAAAATCCATCTTCCTTCACTTCCTCATTACGAGGGTAAAGCACTCTCGTTGAATAACTGTCTAAATCTTAAGCTGTTAAGTTGCAAATTTCGAAAAGTCAAGCTCGAATTTATGACTTGTCTTTTCTGCTCCTCTTCTCTCCAGTCATTAAACGTGCTAAAAACATTCCGTCTACGTCAGTTTGCAGCAATTTGATTGGTTGAAACTCCATCAATATTTAACGGTATTTCCTTTTCTGTCCTTCTATAACATCTGCCCTTCTCAGCCTACCGCGGAGACATTGAAAGAGGAGGACTTCATTACTTTTATCTTAGCTAAAAGCGTATAGCAGAAAAATAAATGGCGTTCAAAACTGTTAGAAAACACTTTGGTGTAAAAAACAATATGCCGCGAGAGGTTGAATTTTCATCACATAATTTAGGCTATATTGCTTTATTTTAATCAACGGGTTTATTGACTTAGGGTTGTTAACCATATATTCATCTTAGCCATAAGGCGTCCATGAAAATGCTCACAAAAAACGCAGAACTTGATAATTTTTGTTGCGAAGTCGAAAAGGCATTTCTATGAGCTCTGATAATAAACACTCTGGCTCGTGCTATTTTAACTCATAACTTTCATTTTATTTTTGGTACTCCTGTTATCAAGATGATTTCTAGCTCTAAAGTGTAATTATCTATCCTAGCTATGCATTATTAATAACTTCTGATATTTTGCAAAAAACTCTAGATCTACAACACGAACAATATTTCAAACAGTTTTCTACTGTTAAAATCGTGTCAAAAACGGATTTTTTACATCCTCTTTCAAAAAAAAAAATTACTTAATCAGAAATTATCTTCAATTTAGCGTTAAACCCCTTATCACAACGGTGTGTGGCTCTAAGAGTACCAATATTGAGAGAACCCAGGCGTACTGAATAAACCTCTTTTGTTTGCATTAATTATTTTTTATTAGAGTGCCTTCATTCTCGGGCTTGTGTTAACCACCTTGAGATGCTTTTAATCACACGTTGCCTCCTTTTAGACCTCCCAGTTACTTAATTCAGTCATATAATGGGTTAAAAAAAAGCGGAAGAAGACTATAGAAAATCAACACAAGCGATTATCAACATGGAACGTACTGCGAAGGACGTTCCAGAATACGATTCATAGTGTCGTTCTTTTCATGTTTTCATCCCCAAAGATCAATCTGTTTTCGTTTAAAGTTTTCTTTTTTTTCCGTGACATTGATAGACGACTTTGTGTTTCTTTCCTAACAGCTAGATAATTCCGTTGCCGGGCATCCGATCTTAATCAATCACCATGAGTTGAACTGCATAACACAGGATCACCAGGCACAGCGTGGTCAGTGACGTCACTGGTTTTGTTTGCTTCCTTTTGTAGTCCCAGAATGCTTGTGGTTACACTGTGTTGAAACTTTTATTTTCTTTCTTACCTTTTGTTCTCCTCACCATCAAAATTTCGCCTTCCTACGGCTAACACATTGAAGTAAGGGGAAGGAAAGTAATCTGACTTAAGGACATCTAGAGGTTTCGCCTCTTGGCAAGTTTTCCGCATGAAAGTTTGCCCCAACCAAGGCGGGTTCGCCCCATTTAAAGAAACAGATCAGCCTCGGTTGTGAGTTCGCCTACATACCTTTCAACGATCTTATACTTACGGCAAAATTCGTTTCTTTTTCGGATGAAGTAATCACAAATTTCAACCGACGTACAAATTTCTTGCTCTGATATGATTTAAACTTATGACCGAGTGATAAACCATCTAAGGGAAAAAAGTTTTGAGCCCTCAACATATTCGCAGTTGGCAAACCAGCTGGTTATTCCATCCATTCAAATTCCGTAATTAATCAGAAATATCCACCTACATCAGTCAAACCCTAAATCAATATACTCCTCTCTTGGATTTTTCCGAATACGATGAGAAAGACCCAAAAATCGTCCCGGTTGGTAATTTCCAACAAATGACAAGAGTCCTGTGCTGTGTATTTAACAAGACAAAAGTGACTTAGCTTTGATGGTGTCTCTGTTCAGTTCACACGGGTAATACATGATTAATGAATACTTAATCTCATTCCGGAAAAAGGCACGGAATTTATAGGGAGAAGGATAATATTTTGTTCCCTCGCTCTTTGTGCCAAGATTTTCCGAGAGCCATGTGTGAGCACCGAGAATCTTTGAGGAAAATTTAAGAAAAAGGTTGGATTGTAACGCACACGCAACCCAAAAGATTTAAAAAAAGTTGCAAACGGTGTTTTCGTCCCGCAAAGAACCTTTTTTCAATAATTTTACCGTGCACACGAATCCGAATGCAGTTTACATTACTGAATGCTAAGAGGTAATACGCCGTAAAAAATTGTAATTTTATTATTATTATTATTATTATTATTATTATTATTATCATCATCATCATCATCATCATCATCAATATTATTAAAATGCTGTTTTGGATGTTAGAGGTAGGCATGACCGAACGCTGGAAAAATAAGGATTTGCTGTAAGTCCATCACGCCCCATTTTTTCCCCGCTCTCCCTTGACCTGCCCTACACGTTCGCCTCGTGCTTACCTCCACTGGTCTGAATCTGCTCACTTACATCCCCTGCCTTTCTTCCCCTCCAGAAAAAAGAATGACAGATGTTTCGCTGGTTAACATTGTGTCAATTCTCTACCCACGGATCTTAAGAAAACTGTTTGGCTGCCGGGCAACATAATTCTATCCGCAAATTAGAAAAAAAAAATTACCATTGAGGTCGCAATATTCTGGAATAGCATAACAATTTTAGCCCGAAAACTTTTATGTAAATACCTTTCCCTAATAAAATTTTGCACTTTGTTTTCAGTGCGTGGTTGTTCATCATTTAAGACGGGATGGAAGTTATTCGAGAGAATTGTGGTTCATTTTCAACATATCTTATTTCTTCTATTTTTATAACGGTGGTTATGTAAATATTACGAGTCGGGTAATTAATTTTTTCGAAAATTGAAGGTCCACAAGTGACAAGTATGGCATGCTCTAAATGAGTTTCAATTACATGACAATGGAAAGGAAAATGATGATGGGGAAAAATGCGTTCAAGTCATCAATCGCCTTATAAACAACATAGCTTTTAGGAATTGTGTACAAATTTGGTAAGATATGGTGGAGTAACTGCTTAAATTGGGGGAGGTTGAAGAGTATTAGTGAGCTGCATGCACATGACGCATGCTTCAGTTAAATGAAGAACATAAATTATGAATGAAGCTATTATCAGATGTGCGAGGCAATACAATCCTGAATAATAGAGAGCTATTGTTTGTTTTTGTGAGCACGTATCTGAGACTTTAACCAAACCAGTCATCTTGCACAACCAAGAATTAGCTGTAACTTAATATTGTTACTCTCAGTCGTGGTAAGAACATGCGGACACTTTCCGTTAAACATCCAGTTTGTGTCGCGGGTGTTCAAACCCTCAGCAAAAGAAGCGTGAAGGAGAGCGCGCCATCCTTCCTTGGGCTTTTAATAAAAGACGGTTTCAGGCAGTCTACCGCTGCTTGTAAAACCTCTGATCACTGTCTGTTTAGCCTGTGGGCAGGCTCTTCTGTAAGATTTCTTCTTTATAGCCCCTTTTCTGGTGCCTATTAAATCAATGGCAGTTGCTTATAGAAAAAGTTATTGAAACCCCCCAGGTCATTCGCTAGTTTATATCTTCATCCTCACTACCCTGAATTTCATGTGTGGATTAGTACGCCTCATTCAAATATGGCAGGTTATTCTCATTTAGACAGAGATTGTCTACCCTCTTTTCGTACACATCCGTGGTGGCCTGTCATCTTGTTTTGAAAGGAGCAGGAACATTCTTTCTGACATATACAATGTCCCCAAAAACGTCAATTTAGAAATAACTCGTAAACAAACCATAAATGGAAGGGAGATGATACCATTTGGAGAATGGACGTCTTTTGACTTACGAAAAACAAACGGAAGTTGTAGGAATAGAGTGGACGTCTTTTGACTTACGAAAAACAAACGGAAGTTGTAGGAATAGAGAAGACTGTAATCAGCTGTCTTGTTTCGTGACTCTGGCGCGTAGCGAATTACAACTAAAACAATAGACTAATTTAAAGCTCTGCAGATTAAGGATTCAAATGCTGCAAAAATTGTGCCATTTTTTATGATGCAGAAAACCTTATTTCAAATTTGTTTACTCTAAATAGCGAACATGTATTGCGAAATCAGAGTAGAAGGCGAGAAATGAACACTGAGACGCTTGCGTTTTAAAAATGTTCACCTTACAATTATCAGAATTTGCACGACAACTTCCAAGATAGTTTTGGAACTGTTGTTTTAAAATCATCTTCAATAGTTCAGTTACGCCTACCACTGTTTTACTACTTTTCGAGAAAAATGATTAAGGAAGTATTTTTTCAATAATAAAGAAAATATATAATGAACAACGCACAAGAGAGGAATCTTTCTCTTCGCAGGTGTTCTGGACTTCCCGCAAAATTGTCGAAAGTTTCAAAATTTGAATCACTGGACCCATGCCGCGATGTTAGTCGAGTGGGATTGAAACGAGTGACGCAATCGTATGCGGAAACGAGGTTAGAAAACACTAATAAAAAATCTTTGCATGCAATCAAAATGGCGGGTACCGAACCGGAGAATAAGTCTTATGTAGACTTACGAGAAAAGCTTAACAAGAATTCATCTACCAACAAAAAGCAGTTCTGGGAGAATAGAAAGCGGAAACGTGACCAAAATGTTGTTTCACATCGCCAATATCCAACGCATGACAGAGAAATTGAACTGCAGAAAGTTCATCAAGGAATTCGTCAGCGAATTTTATTCGATAAAGAGGAATGCGACAAAATTGAACAAAAAATCGACGAAATAGTTCATTGTGCAGATGAGGGAAATTATAAAAGCAGAACAGTTGATAGAGCACCATTACGCGTTAAATATTTCTTCGGAGAGGGCTACACGTACGGGAAACAGCTCACAGAGCGAGGACCCGGACAGGAGAGACTTTTTCCTCGGGGAGAAGTCGATGAAATTCCGCAGTGGATTTATGATTTGGTTGTATTGCGGCTGGAGAAGGCTGGAATCGTGCCTAAAGGCTTTGTGAACAGTGCTGTGATTAACGACTATCAACCCGGAGGTTGCATAGTTTCGCACATCGATCCACCACACATCTTTGACCGTCCAATTGTTTCGTGTTCGTTTTTCAGCGAATCCTCGCTCAGTTTTGGCTGCAAATTCAGTTTCAAACCTATTCGCACATCAACGCCAGTCTTAACACTTCCACTACCTCGAGGCTGCGTGACAACTTTAAGGTGAGTTTGCTATATTCAAGTTTATTTTGTTTGAGCAAGTGATTCATCCCTTGCATTAGTGCACTGCTGCGGCATTTAAAATTGTCTTGCCAGTGTATTGCGTAATTGAAAATCGAGTTCTTCAAACCAAAGAGACACACTTCTCTGAGAGTGACTGGCATTTGATTTTTCACTCGAACCTGGCTTTATCTGGTTACTACCGTTTGTGCTGAATAATGTTGTATCCATTGTTACAAATGAATATCAAATATCTTGTTCTTTGTGAGGTCACGTATTAGTCAGGGATTTGGTACAATTTTTATTTCCTCTTCTTACAAAGGCACTGGGAACATATGTTCAATGTGTGTCAATCTAAATTTGAGAAGATAATTGTGCAATGTTAAAAAAAAAAAAAAAAAAAAGCCACAGTGCGGGATACTACATGTAGATGCCATCCGTACAAATATTCTAGGAATTTTTTTCACTTCTTATCTTAATTTTGACCCATAATATAGAATTCACAAGTAACATGTTCACGGTTCATTATTTTGACTCCAGTCAAGACTAGCACTGTCTAAGCTCAGCATAAATGGAATTAACACTTACTGATCTTTCCTCTCTGTTTCCAACAGCGGTTATGCAGCCGATGACATCACACATTGTATCAGACCTCAAGATGTGAAAGCAAGAAGAGCTGTGATCATTGTAAGGAGGTAGGGAGTAGTTTACTTGTTAGCACCTTGGCTTTGAAATGCTGCAACTGTATATTGCTCTCTCGCTTAGGTAAATGTACCCTGCAAATAGAGATTTTTGTGATTAATTCTCTTTGTTTTCAAGAAATAGCACAAACAAAAAATGTCTGCTTTCCTAGCAGTGTTCTTTAGGATCCTACTTAAGCTCGAAAGCAAGTGAACCATGTTTTTTCTTCTGAAAAATATATCGCACCGAAAAGTTAAGTAATATTGGGGCACTTTCAAACATGATTAGATATCTTGGAGACCTTTTTACCTGGAGCAGAATACTGCTGGCAGGTTGGTTCTTAGCCAGTTAACATGTCATTTCAGTAGCTGTTATCCTATCAGACATTGCAAGTGTGGTGCTAAATTTCATATTCCTTAGAGTTAAACTTGTATCATAATTGCTAACCATAACTGGTTTTAGATGTCTGCACCATACTATATAAATCTCCTTTTACTTTAATATTTGGAATCTGTTGTCCTTTGAAAGAGAATCAATCAAATAATTTACACTGTGTGCATCAGCTATTCTCTGCAACATGACTACTTGGGACACTTCTCTAGGATGACACCTGTGATGTTTTTTTGCCCCTCTCCCCCATCCAATGTTGTTAATATCCAATGTTTCTTTGCCATCTTGAAAACCAACAATAGAGAACTTACCGTTAAGTAAAGATGATTTTGAGATGTGAACGGCAACCATAAGAAGAATAAAACTAATTGCATGCATTGATGCCAGTGTATCACCAGTGATAGCATTTCAAACCAAAGCTTGCTGACCAAAAAGGTGTAGCGAGCATTAGGAATGGGAACTTTCAACTTCAAGATGCCATCTGTGTCTCCAAAACGTTTGTGTGCTTAAGCTTTCTAGTGAGAGGGGCAAGGGGGGAAGGGGTGGGGGTGGGTAGTAACTGTCCCAAAAAATGTGTCTGGGAGTATAGATCTTTATAACCCCAAACACTCACAATGTTGTTTCATCGATCTTTATTTATCAGTTTCAACTTGATTTCAGAGTATATCCAGATGCACCAAGACTTGAACCATTAATTAATGGCAGCAAGGATCAAGATGGGGAAAGTAACAGAGACAGTGATGATGATGAAGATGAAGAAAATGATGAAGAGCCCCCATCACCCAAGAAGAAACGTGTGGTGTTGAAAAGGAACTTTAAACGTCCCAGCCAAGAAGCTAAGAATACCTCTGATCAGTAAGGAGACTGATAATTTGATCAAGTGATGACAGTCCAGCAGAGGATATAATATTGGTGCAAGACATCAGAAATAGCTTCAGTGAAGGTTCAGTTGGACAAACATCATTCTGGCTGGGGCCAGAGCTCAGTCCTTCCCATGGATCTAAGACAGGCTTGTGTAGTTTAACCTTATATATGTTGTGACTTGCTGTTCAAGTCACAAATGATAGTTGCAGTCTATAGGTTAGATCTGTGTTGTGGCTTTCTTTTGCCAGTCATGTTTAATTCAAATTTTTCTCATTCTGTTATGTAGACTTTGCCTCTATTGTATAGTTTTTAGTCAAGATCTTTTAAATTGCTTTCAATCTGTCAAGCTTCCTGATCTGTCAGTAGTGTGCAAATGTATTGGTCAATTTTGAAACTTGTCATTTGCTCATTATATTGGTGACTGTTTATCTTGAAAAGCAACTGGCCTTTAAAGTGACCAAAATGATTTCAATTTCTTAGTTCCATCCTATGGTTTGTGAAAAGTAATACTTGATTATTTGGAATGCCGATGTGATCCATTCTGCAATTTGAATTTCTTTGGACAGATACTGACGATTTTTTTACAACCATAGTAATGCTGAATAATGAGGGCAGAATTGGGGATTTCAGCTCTCAGGAAGTCAAGGTGTTCAAAATTCCATAGACATAAATTCCTGTCAAATCTGTATGAGTACCGATTTTATCTGCCCTGTTCTATACTGCCTTTTACAACATAGACCCAAAATCTTTTCCATTCTTCTCAAAATGTTTTCCACCAGAAACACTGACAAACTCAGTGAGGTTTGCTTAAGGAGAACAAAACTATCTCCTTTCATTGGAGGGGTTGGTGAAAAGGTCATTTTTGACAGAAGCAGTTTTTGTTCAGATGCTGGCAATAAAAGATTTGATCATAAAATGATTTTTAAACCATAGAATGGAACTAAAGACATGAAAAAAACCCCAAATAAGTGGTACTTCAATCACCATGTTGATTATTGGTCGAAAAAAAAACACTCTATGGAAGTTATAGTACTGTAAATATACATTGCCATATGTCAGCCTTCCTTCCCAAGTTATTTAGGCACTGTATATTGTATATACAAAGATTTACCCAAAGGTATATGTATCATGAAGGTAGCATGTACTTCCAAAGAAGTTGGTTTACAAAGCAATTGCCTGTTGAGACAGTCTGAAGGAAGGTGTTTTTGTTAATGATGTGTTCCTTGTACTTTATCCTTTCAATTCATGTTCTCTTAGTTTTACGCTACAACCTGTTTTGCAGCATTTGCAAGAATTTCAATTTATGATATACTTTTATCAAGCAACCTTTAGATTTGCCGAAAAAAGTACAAGGAGAAATGGAAACCTTCATATCGTTGGGTGCTATATATAAAGATGTACTCCACTAGTTTGTTTCAGAATCACATTTGAATCATTTTTTTTGGTAAATTGTTTGCACAATTGACCATTTTGTGGTTTAACATTGGAACAGATGTCTATGGTAATGAACTAAAGTGTAGTTTGATCAGAAGCTGTGTAAAATATGTCAAAGAATGCAGTCAATATTCTATTTTGGGACAACTTTTGATTTACATGCAACAGAATGTTGTTTTCAGTGAAAATGGAAATCAAATCATACATGCTTGCTTTCTGAACCAAAGTAAATAAGAAACATGATAGTTTCTTTTGACAAGTAGCAGCTTTGTTTTGTCAAACTAGAACCGTTAATTTCTGAATGCATTGTTAATAATTTTTATTTAATTAAAAACCTTTATGCTGTACAAGGTTTCCTAAGTAGACAAGACACATTTGTTGTGGGGCAGTTGGTTCTCGGGAATTTTTTTGTATTTGGCCTGTACTAGATAATTTCAAATTGTGTACCAGGCAGTTTAAGGTTATGCATGGTTCTGTGGCAATTCAAATGAAATCGATGTATTACTAAAGAACATATCTTTATAGGGAGACTCTTACAATATGTCCATGAGTGAAGAAAATGAGGCCATGTAATTGAAAACTACTGATTAATATATTCCTTTAGCACCCTAACATCAGTATGCATCTTCTCCAAATTGTTCTCTCTACATTTCTTAAGGTGCTGACAAGGAGAATTTGTTTAACAATCAAGAGTTTCTTTAGTTGGTGATCATGTCCTTAATTCTCATGACCTTAATGTGTGTGATGCAGAGGTGTTATTGAAAGGAGAAATAAGATTCTAGTCTCTCCAAGGGGTTGGAGGGTTAACTCCCCTAAGTGACTAAGACGGAATTTCTCCTTACAATATCAATTTACTATGAAGCAGACAAGTATGAGAATAAAGAAAAATAATAATTAGGGTATTATTAGTTGATCCATTACCAAATTATTGGAACTAACATGAGAATTGTTTGCCAGACAGGAAGGGGAATTGTAATGAGGTCTTGGGTGTTAAAGAGTTAAAAATCTTCCTGTTAGATTTTTTCCTGAATACTTTTTAAACTTTGCTATTATGTGACATAGGGAGGTAAATTTGACTGTGAATAGATTGTTTGTGTTTTGCCTGGAGCAACTCGTTCAGGGATAAAAAGGCTGTGTGTACACCCGCTAGTATGAGTAATTAGTATTGTGAAGACAAATTATTTACGTGACCATATTCTACGCTGTAAATATTCACAATGTATACCTGCAATACATGAATAAGAAAATGTTTATACCTGCATGAATGTGATTACTTTGATTGAAAAAATTGAAAATCTTCGAGCAAAAACATCAAGAGGAAACTCGATTCAAGGATTTTCCACAGGTAAAACGAGAAAACGAGGCCAAAACTAAACAAAATTTTCCGAAATGCCTCACTGATTCACTAAAGGACGTAACCTTGGGCAATTTTCAGAACTTGCAAAGGTGACAAAAAAAAATCTCCAACCGTTAACTGTTATTGAATGACCCCAGGCAAGATATAATCTAGTGCCCCTAGCAAATTATCGCAATGTTGTTCATGATCGGAGTAATATTTATTATGGTGCATGTACAGATAGTAACTCTAACGTCGGTAGCGGTCGTTTTTCGTTGTTTCTTGACTAGCGGTGCCATTTCTTCTGGAAATGTTGATAGAAGCGGTTTTCTCAATCGCTGGGGTAACCAAGCTTGGTAGAATGTGTTTTAAATATAGCCAACATTTATTTTAGAAGCCAAGAGACTGAGTTAGTTCCGATCGCGTTATAATTAATGACTTTTCTAAAGAGGAAAAAGTATATTTGCAGTTCAATCATTTCCTCTGTACGACTCATTTCATGATACAAAGAGAGGAAAAAACCCCTCAAACCTTTTGTAGGATCAAGGACATTTTGCAGATAGGCCAAGAACTTTGAAAATACGTTTACCTTCAATCATTTAAAATTATTAACTTAGAGAATTCGAAAAGCCAGATCGCAGAATATTGCAATTTGGTGTGACAAAGATCAGATCAGAGGTGTATTCAAACTTAATCTGACATGGTCTGATATACAATATCCTATTAAAACATGCTCTTAGTCGCTTTTGTGGTACCTCTTCCTTTTTTCTCAGAAAAATGAAAATTAAACAACTGTAGCAACTGTAACAGAATGTTTTTAGGCTCACTGTCAAGACCCTAATCAGGAGTACTTCAGCGGTGCATCATACCTACAGCTCATAGTAAGACGCTCTTAGAAGAATAAGAGGTCAATATGGGTTTAGTTCAATAGTGTTTGGTGTTTCTAAGCACCCATTCCTCCGATTGTTTGCGCAAATAGTATTCACGCTCTATCAGTTAGAATAAGCAGATCATCTTTTAATGTCTTGCGCTTTTGCTTGACCCAATGTTATTTCCTTTGATGAAATAAAGCTTCAAGAGAGCGAGGGGAGATTTAACAGTTGATGTGTTTACGGAAAATTGGAGTATTGGCTTTCAATAGAGCTTTATGGTGTTAGGATGAAATGCTCATAACGACGGTTTCTGGGTGCGATTCAATGAATGAAATTATAGAATTAGCGAGTTTTAACTAATCCTGTAATACTCGTTACTTTGATAACCCGTATCAGTTCATCTTTGAAAACAAGCTTAATGTGGTCGTCGGAAAAAACCAGAGAAAACAAAAACAACTTCGCGGGTCAAAGTTTCAGTTGTACTTCCAACTCCTGCGATCAACTTTACCAGGCGATCTTCGACACGGGCGTCTCAGAACCCCCCTCACCCCTCCCCTCTCCGCTGCTCCCGCGCCTACTGTTTCACACGGTATACGATTCAACTTGGATACGAGAAGCCCTCAAGGTTTGAATTTGAGAATGGTTTGTTTATCTTTTGTTTAAGAGTCGGTTTAGGAGTATCGGCTCGCTACATTGGCAATCCTCAGACGACATTACAGCCCAAAACTCTAAATCCTGTTAGTAGTATCCAATAAAACAAATTAGCCAAACCGCCATATCTACTCAAATACAAAAACGTAACCAAGGAGCAACAAATCGACCCATTAAACGCTTGAAATTTAACACTGCCTCACAAGGTAACTCTGTGTGATGTGCTACGGAAATATCCCAGCATCACGTGTCCCCCTTATTTGAGATGCTTTAACTCAGTATCCAGCTGGTTATCTAAATCTAGTGCGCTGCGTCGATTTTTATTTGATACCATCGGTTTTCTCTTGGTTTTGATTGGGTAACAAGGGTGAATAGCTAAACATTTTCATAGCGCACATATATTTTAAAGGAAACTGTCAAATGTTAATTACAATCTGAGATGAGAAATGTCAGTTAGTGGAAAACACAACAACAATTGTTCGTCCTTTATTTTCAAATTTCTGGCTTATTCCGGGTAAGACTAATCTTGCACCTGTCTGATCAAGCCTCAATAACGTTCCACTTACCTGAGCTGGGAGTCCCGCGGGTGCTCGTTCCGCACTTTTCGATTTTTCGCTCACACCGTCGAAGTGACTGCGCAGGGGAGTACTGAAGCTTCAGCGTATCATAACGACCTGTTTAGATGAAGGTGATACTGAGCTTATTTAGGCCAAGGCAACACTTGGAATTTTACAAGTTTCGCTGTTTATTCGCTAGCACCCAGTTATATGCACTAGGGAGGGGACGGTTTTTGTAAGAGTAACATGAGTCAAGGGAACTAATTTTCTCTTGAGTGTCATGCGTGTCATGTGAGAGGTAATGTTGTCCCCAGAACATTGTTCTATGATCAAGAAATAACTTGAACATGGACCTGAGGAACGCAATCGAGGTCTTAGAGACAACGAGATCTCCTATGTGTGGGATCTTGTCAGCTTAGAAGCAACTCAAACCTATCCATAGCAACCATTTCTTTAGTTAACTTAAGGAATAGCCTGGGTACTAGTGTATGATATTGACGACAGAATTTGCGCGTTATATATTTACGCTATAGACAACAACACTATACACGGAATGGCGGAATTGAACAACTGATCCACATGACAAAGCGATCACGCTTCTGGCTCGTGTAAAACGATCTTTACAAACTACAATTGATTTTCTCCACTGAACAATTACGGTGTTACAGTTTTATAACGTTAACGGATAAAAGAAGTCGGCACAAAAGGAAAGTTTCACGTGGGTCTGTAGAATGCCTGGATATGAAGGAAAGGTAGGTTGCCTAACTGTTAGTATGGTAATGGTTTTGTCTATGAAAGAGCAACTCTAATAATTCCTTGATCGTTTTACTTTTCCTACAATTAATATTTTTTCTCTTAGTAAGAACCCAGCGCGAGGTAAAATCGCTCACTTTTAGCAAATAGAAAACCGATTAGTTCGGCTTATGTTTATTTATTTCGAAGAGGTTCCTTGGTAATGTTGGTCACTAAAGCAGGTACTTGACAGCACAAGCCGGGAGACAAAATGCCGCCGAGAGCATGTATTTTCAGCGTGTCGTGATAGAGCTTTAAATTAGCTGCAGTACCTATTTTATTTATTTACATTTTTAACTCTTTAGTTATAAAAACGTTTGTTGAATGCACAACTTTGATCATCGTAATTACGGAGGAAAGTTTAGCCTTATGTAACACATTTTCCCACGCTTCGACACAGTTTTTTATATTTCCGCCAGCCACGTATATTTTAAGAGGAAGGGTGGAGGGTCCCCCCGAGGAAAGAAGCAAACCAGTCCGGACTTTTTAACTTTAAATTAAAGTTTCAAAGGTTCTGAAACCACTGGTAAGCTCTGTATTCAAATGAAATATTTATATTTTAATATCAATTATTTAATCAACAGCTATAAACAAATAACCAATTTTTTTGCTTGTATACTCATTTGTATACTCTTAAAAACAATTTTGGTTTCTGCAAAACTGAACGTCAAGAAAGTTTTTTTCTATTGTTTTAGTCCCGTTATCATTACATCAGAGGAAATTGGGCTAAAATAATTTTAATACTGTAGATAACCTTGAACTGTACACTTTTAATAGTTTATCTGATTTTAAATGCTTGAATAGGTAGCCTTAACGTCGGTATGCTGATAAAAGGATTCAAAGCCAGTCTATTAACATGCGTGACTGGTTCAAAATAAACCGCTTGGAGAGTTTTCTAGGGAAGTCGCAACTTGAATTTGTCATATCGGCTCTAGACTGAAAACTCAAAAACTGTCATTGTCATCTTTCATAGCCAGTATATTTGCGTAACAACTCACAAAACATGAACAGTATTTGAAATATTCCTTACGTATAGGTCTCCCTGATCAGGGGTTGATAAGGACCAGGATCGCTCCTTTACTTTCTCTTTGACTGTCTCGATAGATACTTGTATCGGTCCGCGGCTTGACAGAATTCACTGACGTGCCCCTCACATAGTCGGTTTGAATGCCTTTCCCGAATATTAGCCTTTCTTTTAAACATCTAAGCGATCAATGGTCAAATATATTGCGTGAAGTGTTTTTGTGGAAATAGTTTTGGTTATGAAATAAGGTTTTAACGCGTGCTAATCGTCAGCGCTGTAATTTTAGTTCAAGGGGCCGAAGTTAGCCCCTGTAAAGGGTTAAAATGATTCGTAAAAAGAGGGTTAGCTTCAGAGATGACCTTGTTGAAAATATTCCTACTTCATTTCGCCCAGGACTAGAGACTAATCGAGAACTGTTGGCCTTTCACGGAATCGTAGAGGTATTTCCTTTTCTTATTCAACTCAATTAACGCGATAAAATAACTTTTAACCACAATGTAGGCCTACCCGTTCGTCGTGAACGTTCGAATAGAAATGGTTTCTTTTTTGTTGACGTTCTCTGTCTCAGCGAACTTGGGCTTTATTTACTCTGTATGTAATCCTTTGTCGGCGAATCACGAATGAGTAGTGAACCGACAAATTAGCCAGCTAATTGTAATTTTCTCTCTTAAGAGCGAGTTACACGCAAATTGTTATTAAAGCGGGTTTTTTTAAACCAGAGCCGCCTACAACGCAAGTATTTCGCCACAACCAATCACAAAAAACAAACTTTCCAAAGCATGTAGATTGTTGAATTCTTTCGCGAAAAATTAACTAACTGGTAGAGCGATCAGCTTAAGGTTAACTGTTGTGTCTTTTTCGTTGTGTTCTTTTGAAATAACGTTGTTGCGCCAGAAAACCGCCCGAACAGATGATCTTTCGCGCGTAATCTGTTTGCTGGACTGTACGAGATTCGTCACCCTTGAGCATTTCAAAATCACATTAATGAAAATTCTTCGCAAAATTTGTTTGATATTCACTCAGCATCACGTCGCCTCAGTCCCGTGTCATGCAAATATTACGTTGTAAAAAACCAAGGCGAGATTAAAGTCGTCAATATAACACTTTGTGTCGGTTGAAAGTTTGTTCAAATTTTTCAGTGGATGTCAACAAAATAACATGAACTTGAATTATACTTCCATTGCAGATATAAGACATATAAGTCTTATTTTTACAAGAAACAGATTTTTTTAATCGAAAAACTATGTAATAGTTTCTTTTCTTTTCAAGTCATGTCACCTGAGTTATAAAGCATGAATAACTTTATATTAATATGACGTGGAAATTTATTGCACCTTCCAGACAATACTGAATGCATCGTGGAGATTGTGCGCTCGGCCGTGCCTTACCGGAAAAAAGAGGTTAAAAATAACTTGAGTTCCACTTTCTGTTTCGATTTCCAGTTTTGAATTAAAGCGGATGTTGTTATTAAAATGAAGATTTGACTGACAAAGTTGGAAATTAAAAGTGCCAAGGGCTGAAGAAAATTAAGCTAACGTAATTATTTGATTCAATAACCATGAGTCATTCAAAAAGAATGTAAACTTTTGTGGTGGGCATCCGTTTTTCGTGGAGCTTTTTTAGAACTGTTGTAAGCGTGAAAAAAAACAGCACCAAAAATAATCCACATCGTCTTCAAGCGAAATCTTGCTCGTATTTCTAAAGTTGTGTGAGTGCATCTGTATCTTATGTAGAGAAATTGGTCTCAAATTTTGTTGTTGCGCTGGTGCTATTTTGATGGGAGAGTGGGTGGCACGGTTACTAAGCATGAAATATTTTCCGAGAGTGAGTGTTTGGATCAGTAATTCAGAGTTTGTAGATAACGAGAGGCCGTCGAACGGGGACACTAAATTTTCTGTCTGTTCAGCCTTGAATTGGAGACTTTCAGTTGCCTAAGGAAAACTTTGAGTTGGCATCGATGTCGAGCGGACTATCTGTGGTAGGTTTATGAGATTTGATATTGTGCTGCAAGCTTTTGATAGATTTTGTTTTCGTCTGGGCACATCGCATTTGCAACCAGGATGTATTTGATTTTCATGGTATATTTGTCTTTTATTCGCCATTATTATGTTTTAACTCCAAATCCTTGTCGTATATTTCGTGTAGGGTGTTCAATATATCGTCTGTTCGATTGCTTTAGCGCATATTTGCCCAAATACACAGGGATCATATGTGTGTACATTTCTTTTATGGAAGAGGCTTTGGTATCTTTGCCTTGTTTGAAAACTAACAAATAAATCAAGAACTCGATAAGTTTTGTTTTGTTTTACTCTCGTAAGAAGACCAAACAAGAACGCATGAAATGATGCTATCTGTTCACAACTAAATCGCTCTTCGCCCCAAATTCATTTCAACGAAAATTGGATACCGCTTTTCCGGAATTGCGCACTTATCTTCGCACTTGTAACCTAGGGATGGCGCTTGCAGCAATAATCTTGTTAAACTACTAGCACCCAATCTCTTGCTAAAGCATTCGTTGTCGTATCTTCTTGAACAATCTGTAGCTTTAATTAGTGGTAAGCCATTCTTCGGCTGGTTTGCCGAAGGCAATTACAAAGTTAATAGTTTACGATACTCATTTACAACATCTCAGGATGTTCGCAAATTAATCGACCACATTGAAGGTATCTTTTAAGTTTACCCTCACCAACCGGTAGTGTTTTAGAGAACAATTTCAGCTTTGTTGTACCGCGATGTTTGTATGCTTTTTGAGCTTTCTGTTTTCAAAGGAGGCATTATCATATGTGTGCTATTTTTTTAATTTGAATTGGAAATAAAACTTATTGAATTACATTGTTCTTTTCGCGACAGGTACCGTGAGATCGAAAATTTTATAAGTTTGTTTACAATCCGGATTGACTGCAATCTGATCTACATTTCTTGACTATCATGACCTATAAAGTTATGCAAGGCTCTTCAGGAATGAGTCTACGAAATTAATATTCTACAATAGTCTTTTTTCGTCATTCAGACGTCACTGACCTCACGAGTTTCTGCATTTTCATAGGCTCGATCTAGACTCTATGTTTTCTAGAACAACCTGCATAATATATATTTGTGTTTTAAAATTTAAGTTGATGTCAGAAATTATTCAAGTTTCTTGAGCATATTCACACTAAAAGTTTAAGAATGCAAGTAAAACAGTTCCTTTAGTTCCACTGTTGTTTTTTTTTTTACAACCTCATTACATGGTATCTGTTTCTCTTGTTGAAAGCTGGAACTTATGCAAATGTTTGAGGTTTTCTGCAGTGGCTGTAAAAGCAAATCTGATGTAATTTGAGGCAGTTTTTAGCCTCACAGGTCACAGTTGAAAGTGGACACATTCGCTTGCTCAGACATGTCCTCATTGATTGTGCTCAGCCATTTTGTGTTGTAGACATAATATGGATTAGCCTGTTTAATATTTTAGTCTGTTTCTGGTTATTGTTCCCTGTATGTCATGCCATTTGATGCCTTTAAAGACATTTGATGATTTATTAACTATCCATTTCTAAGGATCCACTGTTTCATATCTGTCAAATTTTATGTAATGAAGAAATCTACAAAGTTCTTTGTTGAGTTATATATGCACACAGGAATGTTTAAAAAAACTTATAAGAAGCTTTAAAAGGATCATGGGCTGTTAGTGAATGGTTTTCTGACGCTTCTTGAGTGTTATTACCTCCTAGGTGCTCATATAACTCAACAATGTATCACATGAATTTTTTATTTCTCTCTCTTGAGATGTAAAATGTCTAGTGCATGATCTTAGGCAGTAAAGGCTGAATGTGCTGCACAACATTTTGTATCCAAGTTTGAGAAAGCATGATTTCTTCTGTGGCTAGCAGTTCTGCACATTTTTTTAATTTAGAGATTTTGTTTCAATTTTATTCTTGGATTAAATTTTAGTTTTCTTCAGTAATTACCATGGTAGTAGATAATAAGAACATTAAAAAAAGAAACCGCCAAATTAAACAATGCATTGTATTATCTGAGCAAAGCATTAAACCCTTGACTTCTAAAAGTGATTAAAACATCTCATCATGTGGATACATGATCTAGCAGAATGGTAACAAGAAAAGGCAGAGCTGATGATTTAGTAGTTGAAGATATCTTGAACCAGTGGACAAAATATCAAACTCTCTGGACTTTTTTACAAGAAATCACATGTTTTCTATTGTATGTATTTGTTTTTAAAATGCATTCGGTATATTTTATCTTGATGGCATAAGGCTGGTTAGTCATGTAAAACGTGTTGTTTGTTATGGCATTCTTAACACTTGCATTTGTTCTTAATTAAGTTACCGAGAATTAAGCTTTTTTATCAGCTCATTTTTTTGACTTGATAATGACAGTGGTGCGTTGCAATGTTGGTTTCAAAAATATTTCATGGCAGTATTTTAAGGCCAAATGTGTGAAGAATTTTCTTCATAATAATTCTACTGCATGAGGACAAGAACAAATGGTACTTAAGGGTTGAAAAGTTGGAAGTGGGAAATATAAGTCTCTTGATTCATTATTATTGTCTTTTTTTAAGGGATCCTTAGTTTGGTTTGATGGCAATGTGGGGTATCTGCTGCCAGGGAAGTTGTTGTCATTTGTTGGGCAGGATGTCAAAGTGCAACACCAAGAAGATGGGCAGGTATTTTTTACTTAAAGCAAATGTTTAAATCTTGTGGCAGTTTGGTAGTTTTATTTAAAATGTTGATGGAAGATAAAGAGTGTGCGGTTTGTACTCTAGCTGAGAGTCATAGATCAGCAGCTCTAATAAGACCTTACCAAAAACATTTGAAACCCTTTTAGGTGCCAACATTTTTGATGCAGAAATTTTTTTGAGTCTTTTTTTCCAGAAGCATGATAATCCTCATTAGTGCTCTCCAACCGTGCTGAAAGCACAATTTTCAGTTACAATGTTATTTTTCTTAGTAGAGGTTTGTTCATGGTGTGCACTGTATGTTTGTTTATACTTAGAGATTATTTTAGAAAAGTAGGTAAGTGTAAAAAAAAGAGGTGAACTAGTTTTTTGTACATGCAGCTATCCTATCCTGCTGAAAAAGAGAAGCAATACTATTATCCATCCAGCTGTGTTACAGAAACCAGAATAACTTCTGGCTATTTCCAATAAGCTGATGAGACCCTCAGGTTTAGTTCAAAACTTTTAATTTTTTTTCTTTTAAATAAAAGGTTCACACAGTCCGTGGAAATGCTGTCATTCCAAGACAGGAGTTGGATATACATGGGATGGATGACATGATAAAAATGGAGTGAGTAAATGTGTATCTTCTTGAACAGATTTGAAACCTTGAGAGAGTGTTTGTGTCTCTAACTGGTGTGAAGCAAAGACGGGGTGGGTTTCAGAGTCTCAGGGCTCAACCTAGCTCAGGTTTTCTGGTTTTATGTGGCTGTCATTATGCCTATAATTTTGTTATGAGCTGGTGATTCTCCAAATGAACCCGACACAAGTCCTTATCAACTGATTAAATTGAAATGCAATTTCAATTTTTACAATCACCACAGTGACTTGCATGTTGGATCAATTTTGTACAACATTCGTAAAAGATACAGACAGGACCAGATTTATGTAAGTTTTATTCCAAACTTAATTTTTATGGTTATTTTTCATATATTTCAGTGATAAAATTCCAATATCACAGCTTCTGTAGCATTGTTTTGAAAACTTTCTGGTACAGTTTCTGATAAAATTGTATGTGAAATTTTCGCACTTAGAAATTATTTTTGTGATTATACAGAAGTTACTCTGAACTGATTGTATTATTATATTTAAGCCCTTTGAAATAATATTTTTTTTGCTCATTGTAGACATATATTGGCAGTATATTAGTGGCAGTAAATCCTTACATGCCATATGATGTCTATGGCCCTGAGACACTACGGAAATACCATGGTGCATCATTAAGTGCTCTTCCACCGTAAGTAAAATAACACACATTGTGAACATTTTCATGAAAAATAAAACACTTAGTGCCTTTCATTTTGAAATACATGGTATGATTTTTTTCGCTTGTTACAGACCTTTATGGTGTAGGCTACACATAGAAGTCTATTGATTTACATATCCAAAAATGTTGATTCCAGAATACTTTACCATGTACTGTTTTTAGAACACAGACTGAGGCTTCTCAGTATATAGTGTACTGATCACATCAGAAAGTTTTCACTGCTCTTTAACCCTTTAAATCCTAAAAGTGACCAGCATCTATTTTCTCCGTACTGTAACATTGCGGAATCATTCATTGAGATCATGAGAATAAAGGAAATGATCGCCAACCTAACAAGTTTTCTTGATTATTTAACAAGTTCTCTTTGTCAGTACCAAAGGAATTTGTATAGAGGAGAGTGTAGGGAGTTTGGATATTGATATTGGGGTGTTCAGGGTGTAAAGGCTAAGTTTGACACTACAATAGCAGTGCTCCACGCTGGAACAACATTAGTTGCCAGGGAGAGTAGAACAAGTTGTAGCAACAAAAATTAAATTTTCAGTGCTAGTTACCAAATAGGTAACCATTTTCTGGTTTTCTATTGCCAATTGGTAACTTAAAAGTATGTGAGCTTGCAGCACTGAACTGTAAGGATACTTGATTTGCTTTAAGCGTAATGTGAGTCTCAAGTTTTACATTTTTAAGCAATAATGCAATTGTACTTTTCAGACACATTTATGCAATTGGCAATGCAGCACATGAGACCATGTTACGGACTGAACACAAACAAGCTGTTGTCATCAGTGGAGAGAGTGGTGCTGGAAAAACTGAATCCACTAGGTTACTTGTTGAGTTTTTGGCAGCTATCAATCGAACAAATGGCAATGTAGTAACAAAACAGGTACATATAAAAAAAAACCAATGAAAATAAAAATGTTTGATAAATGTTGAATTTTAGGAAATGATTTTGTGTATAATTTTTGGATCTACAGTAAATTTCCAGTAGGTTGGAAGCTCTGATTTTACAGTGAAAATGTCAGATAACCCATCTCAATTCCTATAACTAATTAATTCATCAGGTTAACTTCTTATTCCATTAGAGTATTGATCTTTTAATGCTTTCAATGAAAAGAGTAAACTTTAATTGTGTTTGTGATGTTATGAGTTATTGATACTTGATCATATGAAATATTTATATGTAATTAAAAAGTCCCAAGTTTCAAACCAAATAGAATTGAATTATTGGATTGTTCTTGTTTTGTTTTGTTTTGTTTTTTTTTTTTAGATTGTAGAAGCAACTCCTCTACTCGAATCATTTGGAAATGCCAAGACAGTGGTGAATGACAATTCTAGTAGATTTGGAAAATACTTGGAGATTTTTTATAATAGGTGTGTGTATTTTATGGTTGCAATTATATATAAATTTTTTTTTTTTTTTCATTTGAAGAATTAATTTCTTTTCAAATCATCAAAAGAAATTTGGTTTTTGCTATAAGGTCCATATTCTTTGACTGTTATTCTAAAGCCATAATTGTGTTCCTGCAAGTTGTAGAATGTTAGATAAGGTTATGCAGTTATATGAGTTAGTTTTATTTGTTTTAATAGTGAGGGTAAAATTGCTGGTGGACGAGTGTCTGAATATTTGCTTGAAAGATCCAGGATTGTTGGACAGGTATTAGTGTACAGAAATATTTCACTTTGTCTCTATCTTTTTGAGTTTTGCAGAGCTTCTTTTGTGAAAACTGTTTGCAAGTGAGCATTTGTTCAGTTGCTTTTTTCTGTTGCTTTTATAGGCCATTGGAGAGAGGAATTACCACATATTTTATGAGGCCCTTTGTGGATTATCTGAGCAGCAGAAGCAGAAATTGAGTCTTACAAGTGCTGTAGACTTCTTTTACCTTAACCAGGTACAATGAACTATGAAGCATTTGTAACTTATGTTCTACTGGAGTGAGTTTACTCCTAGACTATGCACAATTCAAGTGATAATTTTATTATGGGCTCTTTTCTTTTGCTGATATGATCAATATGTAAGTGAGTTGAATTGGATGCAATACAACAGAATGTCTTAACCTTGTAACATCAACTTTTCTAGGGTAATGCAAGTGTCATACCAGACAGAAGAGAAGAATCCCACTTTCAAAATGTCGTCAGAGCCATGGATATCCTTGGAATATCTGTAAGTTTCATATTCAACAGCATAAAAAAAAGAAAAAACTGATGTTCTACTGTGAAAAAATTATTTTCATTAACAAATTGAAAGTAGTTGGTTCAGATACATGCAGATACATACATAAATTTTTTCATTTTTTTTTTCCCTAGGAAAATGAGAAAGAGGGGATATTTGAAGTTCTGGCAATCATTTTACACTTAGGAAATGTGGACTTTGGAAAGACAGAGGTACTATTTCCACTGAATTGATGGGTTTGACCATTTCTGAACAGGAGTGAATTATTATCAAATACAATGGCTGCAATTCCTTATATGTTTTGTCAGGCTGGTGGCCAGGAAGCAGCAGTTATTATGAGTCAAAGTGAAGTTGCCATTGTTTCTCAGTTACTTGGGCTTGATACTCAAAATCTGGTTGTATGTTTGACCCAGAAAGAAACAGTAAGTAGGCTGATAATGATGATTATAAAATTTGGTGTATAATTAAGTACATGCATTGTTATTTATGATAATTGAAAGCATTAAAAAAAACTTGTTATGATAGGTGATTTATTACTGGCTTTAAGTGCCTTTTGGATGAATTTGGTAAAACTCATTAAGAAATAATACCAAAAGGATTCAGAGAAAAAGTGAATATTAAGTTCATGAAAGGCTAAAAATGAACAAAAGCAATTCATAGTTGGTTTTATATTGGGATCTGAAAAGTTGACAAGGTGGCATGAGTTTTTCATATCAATCACAGAGTGCAGGGAAATAAGACCATTGCATTCCTACAGTACTGGTACTTTTAAAATTTTCTTTAAACCTTGCTTTCAATGCCAACATTTCAACCTGCATGTTCTTGTCCACTGTAGACAGCAGGAAACTCTAAAATCAAGAGTCCTAGGTCCGCAGATCAAGCTTTTGATGCACGGTAAGGATTAGTCACCCTATCCATAATCTTGGTATCATGTATCTTGGGTAGAAAAAGAAAAGATTTTATGCTAGGTTGCCTCAGAATGTTAAAGCTAATTATTACTCTCTGAATAAATCAATATCAAAGTCATCACAGTGACTATTTTTATCCACATTTTATAGTAAAATTGACTTCTGTTTGTTTAACTACAGAGAAACCTGTCCTAAGAGTCAAGGCAAAGAATCAACTTAGTCACTGTAAAGAGTTTCAAAGCTTTCAAGTATTAGCCCTTCCTCATTCACTCTTATGGCTAATACTTGAAAGGTCAGCTCTGAAACTCTTTATGGTAGCCAAATTTACATTATCAGCTCTGTAGATAATACTTAATTGCCCTGTTATATTCTCCCTCTGAAGCAGCACCACAGTCTAAAGAATCAACTTACTTGACTTTAATGATGACTTTGGTTCTGGTTGCTGAATTGTGGTTTTCACTTTCACTTACAACAGTCCTTGCTCTTGGATTAAAATTTATGCTGTGTGTTATTGTCTTCACAGGGATGCACTTTCAAAGGAAATATATACACAGCTGTTTGGTTGGCTGATCAGCAAAGTGAATAACATCATATTCAAAGGCAAGATGCAGATGTCTATCGCTGTGCTTGATATCTTTGGCTTTGAGGTAAGCTATGTGCTTAGATGAAAAACTTGTTTTGATTGCTGGGAAGCCCCTCTCAGAGATCCTCTTGTTGGAAGTATTTTTTGTCCTGTTGCCTTTATGACTAAGATGCCATGATGTGGATTTTATTCAAGAATATCTTGATCTACCCTTGATACTGAAAGGATTTGTTCATTGAGCAACTCCTTGGCCACCATCTGTGTCTTCCAACTGCACAGTACAACACTTGTTTGTGTTTTTTCCATATCTGTTTGAATTCATGAACAGCAAAGTGATAAATTTGAATGATTACTTTTGAGTAGTGATTAGATTTTCAAAGTTTCAGTCTTTTATTCTTAAGATCTATTTGTTGATATTTCAATTTTTCCCTTAATTGTTTTTAACATTTTTTTTTCCATGTTTAAAGGATTTTGAAAAGAACAGCTTTGAGCAGTTGTGTATCAATTTTGCAAATGAAACTCTGCAGTTTTTCTTCAACCAGTTTGTCTTCAGGATGGAACAAGTGAGTCAGACATTTAAATAAGCAATATACGTGTATATAACATACTCAAGCATACTTTTCTTTTTATTATTTTATCAAAATTTGTTTTGAATTCATAAAACTTGTGCAACAAATTTTGCTTGTCAAAAGGTCTTTCTGCAGTATATGTCTTATATGCATTTAAGTAAGTATACATGTTATTTGAAAATGTGTCTTTGTATGTTTTGTCTGTGGATTAATTTTGAAAAATTATTTTCATTGCTTGTTTGTATGTAGGATGAGTATGCCAGTGAACACATCCGCTGGACAGACATTCCATTTTTTGATAATCAGCCAAGACTTGACCTATTAGCCAAGCCTCCTTTTGGATTGATACATGTTCTAGCTGATGCTACAAGCTTTCCTAAGGTCACTACAAATTCTTTTTTCTTATTTCCCTTTGAAATTTTCTTCAGTGGGTAGAATGCAGTGTTGATGTTTGGTAGGTCTGCTAGAACAAATGTGCAGGTTTACCATTCACCTTACTTATGGCCCAGCTCTTTGTTGAACTCTGTATGTGAACAGCTATGTACTAAAATTAGTTTTAATGTCAATTTTAATCTTTGCTGGATGTCAACAGGCAGATGACTTGTCGTTTTTGGAGAAGTGCCATCATCACCATGGGCAGAACAAATTTTATGAAAAACCCAAAACTCCAAAACCAGAATTTTCAGTTTGTCATTATGCTGGTACAGTCTCATATCAGGTGAGATATCACCAGCTGGTTGGTGGTGATTTATGTAGAGATAATTCATAAAAGGTACATGACAGATACATACAGTACTTTGATTCATTGTTTGTATTTCAGTTAGTCTGCTTTTCCTAGCCAAGTAATCATTCTGGGCAATCATTATCTCAGTCTCTCTTCAAGTAAATCCTGCATAGGTGTTTTTTTTAAAATCAATTTAAATCAGTTGTTTGTCATTTTTTAGAGACAAAGCAAGGCTGCTCAAGGAAACTAGCCATAGTCAGTCAGTTATGGTTATCAATGAAAGTTATTTGGCCAGACTTCAATTTTCTGATAAACAAAATATTCTTATATATCACATGTATTTTTACAAATCTTCAAATAGTGAAAACCCATATTAAGTCTCTTATTAATGTGTTTAGGTGGCTGGGTTTCTGGAAAAGAACAGGGATGGTCTCAAACCTGATCTTGAAGATCTTATTTCAAGCTGTCACAACAAAGTGAGTACTTAATTCAAGAATTATGTTTACTAACAAGTCACTGCATTTGTCTACATGTAAGTTTGAGATGTCAGAAATTGTCCATCATGCTTCAATTAGATGTTTAATAAATTATGTGATTTTTGATTGGATGTCTACAGTTCATTCAAGAGCTATTTCCAGAACTTCAAAGTGAGGAATTTTCAATAAAAGGATTAAAACTTCCCTCTCAACCAAAGAACTCATTAAGATTGCCATTGGGTCAGAAAAAAAGACCAACAGTTTGTGGCAAATTTAATGACTCCCTGATTAAACTGGTGGTTGCCATGAAGAGGTATGTTTACTATTTCTTAATTAGAAGTTCAGCCTCTGTGATTTGTGTGTCTTCATTGTGCAATCATTCCTTGCAATAGATCTGTTGTACTTAAAAGTAATAAGAGTTAAAACTGATGAATTAAAATACTTGCAGCTCTTGTTTCCTGGATTTTAATCAGAGTGTGTGATGTTCCCTCTTTTGCTAGATTTACTTCAGAGCAAAGTTATGGTAAATTTGGAAATGGTCTAGTATTTTTTGTTGATTACTAGAACATGAAAACAGTTTTGCCTCTTTTTGAACTTTTTCCAACTTTTATTGTCTTTCCCAAATTTGTAGAGCTTGATTTTAGAATCTAGAATCCATGAACTTTATCTATTTCTCTGTCACTTGCAAGCATGGCCATACTTGCAGTAGTTCTAAATGTTTCTCTTTCCTTTCAGTTGTAACCCGATCTTTGTTAGGTGTATTAAGCCAAACAGTACAAAGGTATACCATTCTTGAGCTTAATTGTGATGAACTTTTCCTTTATTGCTCTGTCATTACAATGAAGTATTTCTTATGATACTAATCTGCGAACATTGGTATTCCAGGCACCAGGAAAATTTGAAATTCCTCTTGTTGTTGAGCAACTGAGATATTGTGGGATTGTGGAAACTGTCAAGATCCGAAAAGCTGGCTATCCTATCAGATATGGATATGCAGATTTTATTAAAAGGTATGAGTGCAAGGTGCCTGGTAATATTGATGCATTAAATACTGTGATACTCTTGGGAACTAAAACCTAATTTGAGGTCAGAGATATTGTCAACATGCTAAATATTGTTTTTTTTTCTGCATCACCATTGGAGGTTCATGTAGGCAATTTGTTTTTTTTTTGCTCAATATGAAGCAAATGGTGACAGGAATGCGAACCTGGAGTGTGACATTGAATCTGATTCTGAATCTGGTTCAAGTAGGGAACTTTAATGTCTTATGTGTGACCAATTGCTTAGTATAACCACTTCCTTAAAATAGCTGTATTGTTTTGGCCTTAACAATGGCTTCCCTACAGAAAACTGAAGAAAGGGGTGGTATATGAAATATTACTAAAAGTTTGGCAAAGCTCCCAACCTTGATAACATGTATGCATCAATTTTTTTAAAGGTATCAGTGTATATCATCCCATGTTGATCTGAGTAGTCCAAATCAAAAAGAAAATGTGTCCCAACTTCTGAAACTTCTAGACAAGATTGAACCTGAGAGCTTCCAGTTTGGAAAAACAAAGGTAATTAAAAATAGGAAGGGTTAGTTTAAATTCATTATTTCTGACAAATTGATATAGAGAGTGGAATAAAAGATAGAGAAAGGAATATTCTTTAAATGAGCTTTGGTATTCCCTAGAACCCATCTGGCATACTTTTTCTTGTATCTATGTTTAATATGTATACTTTCATACGCAGGTTTTTCTCAAAGAGGATCTTCATAGAGCTCTAGAAGAGGCCAGAATGGCTAAGCTCAACCGCATGGCCATTGTCATCCAAGCACGGGTATGATTGACTTTTCAAACTATAGAATATATGTACAGTTTTATCTTTGTTTGTGTAAACCCTTTACACCCCAACATTGATATTGATATTCTCCACACTGTTTCTTTTTACATTTCCTCTGGTACTGACAAGGAGAATTTGTCTGACAATCAGGAGCTTCCTAAATTGGTGATCATTTCCTTTATTCTCATGACCTTAACATATGATTCAAGGGTGATTATGTGAAGAGAAATTAGAAGCCAGTCACTCCTAATAGTTAAAGGGTCTAAGGGGGTATAGAAGGAGACATGTAAAGTAACACTTTTTTGTTTTGAATTTAATTAAAAATAAATTTTAATTATCATTTTCTGTAGGATATGATGTTGTTTCTCCTCTAAGCATGAATTTAGTTTGCAGTCAGTGCACTGATTTGAACTCATTTGTATCATTCATTTTTTTTAGATGCGTGGATATTACCTCAATAACAGATACCTTAAAATGAAGAAGGCTGCAATTGTTATTCAAAGTAACACACGTCGCATTTTAGAAAGGTATGATGAATTGGTTGCACTTTCTGAAACAGTTCTTTTCTACTGTATCCAGGCATAAGATTGTTTGTGTTTTTTGTATAATTATCTATTTCTTCACATGTGCTTTTTACCACCATGGTTATTATTTTAATTGAGATTAATATGTGTAAGTTATGGAGCTGTTTTATCAGATTTGGCGGTGTGACGTACAGTGGCTAATCTCCATAACCTTTCAGTGTAGGCTCTTTGATTTTTCCTGTATATGTATATTTTGTTCTGGCTGTTTATTTTTCAATCCAATTTGGTTCTGTTACATTAGAAAAGGAACTGATAAAGAGGAATAATGATGCAAGTGGAAGAAGATGTAAACTATATATCTTTACAGCAGAGCTCGCAGAGCGTAGCCCCATAATTATACAAAATAGTAGTAACCCATCAAGCCTAAAAAATTTGGGCGTACGACCGTACGACCGTACGACCATACAAGGTGCTACTTTTAACATGCGTGGTCAACTGTACCGCGGGCATGCCAACGCCACGGCTTTGTTCAGTAATCCAGTGGTCAGTGCACTGGGCTCCGAGTCAGACAACCCGGGTTCTAGGGGGCAAGGCATTGTGTCCTTGAGATGTGCAGGGGAAAAAAAAAATGCAAGCTCTGCTTTTAGACTTAGCTAAATCTAGATATTAGAAATCCTTGCATTGGAAAAACTGAAGTTAAAAAAAACAAGAAAAGAAAACTTCACTTATCATCATAAAAAAAAACTTTGTGTGACTTATTATTGTTCAACCCAAGGCTTGACATAAAATTGTCTTTAATGGATAGGATTCTATTGGAGAGCCAGGGTACAATTTTGAATTATAAAGTTCATAGTAAGCTCGCCTTTTAGTCCTAATGATTTGACAGGTGTGACCAGCTGTTCACCTTACATAAGAAAATTCATCTTGATTATTTTTGTCTCTGCTTAGTCATGTTTAGTTTTCTGGGGCAAGTTGTTTAAAGGATTATTTAGCTAACCAAGGGTTAGCCAATACATTTTTAGTTAGTTTTGTAGCTCTGCAGACAGTTCTACTTGTGTTTTCCTTCAGTTCTGTTTCATGCTAAGGTAAACCTCTGAAAAAGTAAGCTCTAATATACGTATTATTTCAAGAAAAATCAAGGACAAGTTAAACTTTTAATCCTGGATTATTGCAAACTGCCTTTGAAAGAAGTGGCCCTGTATATTGGCCTTTTGACTGATGAATAGCATCGTCTCATACTTGTCCTTGTTCCTTCTTTTATCATGCAGAAATAAATATTTAAAGGCAAGAAAAGGATTCATCCTTCTCCAGGCAATTTATAGGATGCAGAGACATAGACGAGCTTTCTTGAAGGTCAGTTACTCAGTCTTAAAGATATTACAGTAAAAAAGCAAATATTTTTATTATCTGTATATTTGAATTTTGTATTGGTGGGGCTAGTAATTTTTTGGTGGAGATGCATACAGTGTATACATTTTCTCATTCCAGTGATAGTGGGAACACACATGTATTGGTTATCAACATACTCTGTATGCAATATATTTTCAGTCTGAAAACAAAAAAATACTGGGCTCTATGTGAGCTACAGTAGGTAGAATCTATAGGGTTAGTAACCTTCTCTGCATCATATATTAAGGAGGTAAAATGAATTTGTGCCAAATGACAATTACATGCAATGTATACAGTCATGTAAGAAGCCAATGTAAGTGAGCCAATGACTCTATTTCATCGCATACTGTTCAAGTTTTCATTTTAGCGAGTGGTCTTAACATTTTTCATTAATGTGCAATTTCCAGATTGCATGAAAGATATAACCTACAACTGTAGCAATCACACCTTATTTGCTGCACACAGAAGCATGAAAATTTATATTAGTCTGGAATATTCATTAGGTCTTTAAAAGCTACTCTAATTTATTGAAGAAGTGTTTATTATGATTTTGTTATGAATGCAGTAAGGATTAAATTTCAGTAGTTATTAATACATTTGTGAGATAACTAAATTATTGTTTTGATGTGATGTAGCATGTTGAGATTTACAAAGTGCAATAAGATGAAAGGTTAAATGGTTAAAAGAGAATTATCCACTGTGAAAGGAACCTGTTTATGAGTTCATGATGGAGAATTCATTTTTTTTTTTGGTAGTGCGTTTATAGTTTACAGCAGCTATTATAAATAAACCAGTATGCTAGATTTAAAATATAGATACATTCTTATACATATAAATAATAAAGATACATTCTTTCAACATTTATCCAACTGATCTCCTAGATATTATTGTGAAAATAATATTTATGTCTACTTTTTTTGATACAGTGTATGATATGGTTATGTTATACAGTATTGTTAGTTGATACCTTTACTTGCTCAGTGGTGTTCAGAGCTTCATCCTCACTCATTGGATTCAAAACTGCTTTTCCAAAAGTTATTCTGTCTCCAAGATTTTCAATCTGGTGTGTATTCATGGATTCCTTTCAGACAATATTAATGAATTATTCATGTATGTAACCAAAAATGCAAGTATAGATCATCACATATATAGCAGATATTTGTAAATATTTGTCATCAGACCACCACTTGACCTACTCCTGGAAAATATCCATCAGTTTTAGCCAAAAGAGTTCAAATGATTATCAAATTATTTGACACCACTTTTTTTCAATACTCACTAAAATCTGTTTAAACATGCACCTGATGATCAAAGCTGTGGAAAATTTTTTTATGAGTAAAAAGGTTTGCTAGCTTGGATTTCTTTCAAGTAATCACTTCTTTAAAGTGCTTTGGAAAAGAGCTAGCTGGAGAAATCTCATTTACATGTGATCTGTGAGTGCATATTTAGAAGGAATCATGCTATTTGGACATGATGGTTGCATTCGTGACCCACACTTGGACTGTTAATCCTGAACAGGTATACCCCTCATCTTCAAATATGATCAACTCATTTTAATTATTAGTAAGAGTTCATTTTTGAACTGGTTTGTATGTTGGAATTTTCATTTGGCAGATTGACCAATAAGTTATTTCTATCCAATACATTGTAATACCAATACATTCTATACCAATACATTGTCTGACAACAACACTACGCCATTTTTTTAATTAAAAAATTTATCTCTTGATCGAATGAGGATTATGCAGAACGGAAAGTTCGACAGAATCTCTGAAAGTATTGTTGAGAGGAATTATCTCATGATAACAAAGTGGTGCACTTATGTGTCGTGGGAAAATTTTTGAGGTGTTCTATAAACTGTAATGAAATATGTTAATTTTTATAACATCATTGTTATTTGACTTCTGTAATCAATGATTGTGTTGAGGTCAGTCATTTTAGCTAAATAATGTCGTAATGTACGAAGCACTTTTTTTTGGCGTCTTATTTTGAAGTGAAAGATTTTTTTGTCTTAACTTAAGTATTGGCCAAAGGACACTCACCTCCTTTTTAACGGCTGCTCTTTCTGTTTTAAAAAAGTGATTTTTATTGAGAGTTAAGTACAAGCGGACATCATTATCTAAGAGAATTTCTAGAAAAGGGAGTATGTTGTGGTCAAAAGACATGATTAGAATATTTTAAGATACAAGTAGTTCATATTGGCCTTATTTTTAAAAACAATTTTCCTTTGATAACGCTTTTTCAAACGATGTACTACATGATTCAAAACATGTATTCCACTATTACTCAATTAATCTGCTGATTTTTTGGCGGGGTTTCTCACTAATAACTTAAGATGTAATGTCTTGATTCTTTCAAAATACAGAGAGGAAAATGATTAACTTTTTCTGTAATTATTTGGTACCGTGCAGATACATAAAAGAATGTGAAAAAGAATATTTAGTTTCCTTGTTTATACAGTAGATGAGAGCTCTTGCAGATTCTACCGACTGTTTCGCAAGTAGGTTAACGCTTTCGTAAGTTGTAGTTGTTAAATTTGAATGTCTCGAAATTTCATGTAGTGTATCGGAATAAATATCGAATGAAATACGATGTCAGGAATATCACCCCTGTTTAAAACAGAAATTGTTTGATATTTTACCGTGTGTTGTTAAGAGAATAATATTGGCAGGCTGGCTAGCTGACACATATTTTGAATAAAATTTCATGCAGTTGCAAATTACTTTCAATTAGCATATGAGAGTCAGAATCTATTGTTTTAAATGACTTCATCTGTTGAAATAGCTCTGTATTGTTGTAAATAGCCACTAGTGTTTTCTGACGCTCGGCGGAAAGAACGTAAAGTATGCAGCGGCCAGTATGTTATTAAAAGTCAAGGTTGTGTTTTATCGGTGGAGGCAAACCTATAGGGACCAATTCATTGATTATCAGAGGAACGCAAACTTGTTGGGTTGAAGTTAAACAAAAGAATACATACATGAATGCTGAAGTAAGTAAAACTTATAATTTTGTGATGAATGCATCCAGTGTATGATATTAGGTCGCACATAATCTTCAGGTTGATTTTTGAGAAGCTGAATATTCTAACTCTGTGAATTAAATTCGTAGATGTTAAGCGTGGCTTTGTTCTTTAAACTGGCACGAAAATTCTGCGGGTTTTTAAATTCTGAACCATAATTTAAATATTTGTAAACTGACAAGTCGCCAGTTTCTGGTGGTTAATGTAAACAAACCTCCCGTTTAGACATGTAAAGAAGGCATCAAATGCAGGTGATGTATTTAGTATGAAAAAAAATAGCTGGATTTGTCGCCTCTTTGTCTTCAACCTTGGTGAAGGAACAGAGTTTATCTTACAGGATACAAGTGCCTGAATTTTAATTCAGTCATGCATTCCGCGGAATTTTTGTAGAACATTCTCTCGATTAACACATGAGTGAGAATTTCAAATGCTTGTTTTTTATAAATTTACTGCTTGTTATCATCATCTCTTGTAATTGGGGCTAAACAGTGTAAAGAGTAATAATTTTTTTCTGGTGATTTCCATGGGTAAAGTTATATGCAGTAAATTGCGATTGATTTAAACCAGTTGTTTTAATTGTAACACTTCAGATATAATTATGAATTTTCCTGTTCTCGTTTGTGTAACGAGCTAACATAAACACTTTCAAAATTAGTTTCGAGCAGAGATTAAAGTCTCTACTCTTTGGCGTGCACTTTACGTTTTATTAAACCCAGTGCTGGTATCTCCAGTTTTCTGTGATCAGACACTGCGAAGTTTACAACCTATGAAAAACTCCTACGGTTTCCTTTTGAAACAAGATTTTGATATCCATATTACATGTTAAGTCCGTGTACTATGTTCTTTGATTAGTTCGTTTGTTTATTTATCTTCTGTTATAATAAGGATTAATCCTAGATGCATTTATTGTGTTGACTTTTTGCTAGGACTTATGTTATTAATAGATTAGTGTAATTAATCAGATGTTAGATAAACTTTTATAAAATAATGAATAACTTTACTTGGATATCCATCCATACCGAGTATCTGTTCTGAATGAGAGCATTATAAATACATAGACAAATGTGTTTACCGTGGTTTCGTGGATAAATGAACGTTTAATCGTTTGTCTCACAATGCAGGATTAGGCTAATCAATTGTATTGATCGCGACGTATCGACTGCAGAACTGCAATTCTTCTACATAACGAGACAAACGATTTAACGATCATTTGTCGGTATTAAACCAAATACTTGTAGAAAATAGTTGTAGACAACGCGGGTTTTCTTCATGACGCGGGTGGCTAAAATCGGTGTCGTGGAGCGCAAGGTGCGATAAGAAAGCAAAGAGAAAGAGAGAAAGTCCTATGCTCGATCGCTTCCCATCACCTCTTTATCTCTTTATATCTAGAATAATAACTCTGAATTACGCTAAAATAATTTGATTGATCTTCGTTATGATGTTTGACTGTGTCCTCTCCTTATTGCAGATTTAGAGAGGGCTACTTTGAAAAGATTATACCTCAATAATTCCAACTCCTATTCGTTTGCCATAGTCCCTCATTTCTGGCAAATTTCCTTTTGGTTTTTACAGCAGCAGAATGAGAGACGCCAGAAAGAGAAGGCAAGAGACAAGCAGAATTTTCTCAGACAAGCGCCGCGCACTCAGTCAGCCCCTCTAGACTCCCCGGCACCGCCAGCTGCAGTAGCTCCCCAAACTGTGGAAACGGTGGATACAAAACATGTTCCAGAAGTGGTGGTTTGTATCGTTGTTCTTTTCTGCTTTTAACTTACTCTAGCAAACTCCTGTCTTACTTTTATCATGTCATGTTTTTATCTCATCCCACCAAACTCTTGTTTTAAGATTTCTGTCCATGATTTGTGCTTTGGAATGTTACCAGGTGGCTCCGTATAATGACTGACTCTTTGAGCAATCGAGTGAAGGGGGGAGAGCGGTGGATGGAGGTGCCTTTGGTTGTACCTTATGAAGTTTTAAGCTAGCTTAGCTGTTCCTGTCTGTGGAATTATTGAATTAATGGCTGTTTGAAAAGGTCATGTATTTTTATGCCAGTGTTAACAATAATGTAGGATATGCTAACTGCTTAGCATTTGTTTTATTAATGGTAAGCTATTACCACCTATTCGTAGGAAATTGAGAAACAAATCGCAACAGACGTTACTCATCTTGAGATTCCAGCAGATTTGGCACTGGTTTTTGCCAGTATCCAAGGTTAGTGTGTTGTCCTCGTTCTGATTCGCCGATATGATTATTTTCCTTTTGCTCCACGATCAACATGTTCACATTATTTCGTGTACTTGCGAAATTAGGCTGGACCTTGACCCATGGATCGTCGGTTCATGAAAATAGAGGAGGCATAATTAAACACGATTATGCAACGTCAACGTTACCAGAAAATATCAACGACTTTCTCTTCTCAAAGTTTGCTCAAGAGAACTTCCAGGTAAGTTTTCTATCTATATTTCCTTCTGACTTACTTCTATTTCGGGCCCTCGATAAATGTAATGTTGCAGATGCTGATTGATTTAGTTTTTTTTTTTCCAAGTGATGATATGGTTTCCTTTTTTCACTAATTCGACTTTTTCTAAATTCCCTTAATTAAATTACAAAGAAACGCAAAAGATGTGAGATATTGATAGCTGACTCACTGAAGGGCAGACTGGTTGTAAATATGATTAAAGCTAGTGCGGGTCGTTGTGACTTGGTAGTTAGCACCACCACAGCGGACGTCATCTTCAGAGTCACTGCGCTCACACCTACAATAGACCTTTTTTAGGTGCAGTCGTGGGAGTTCTTGCCTTCCACCCTGTGGTCCTGGTTCCCGTCCTTGTCCCAAGGGTTTTTCGCCGTCCTTTTCGGTTTGCAGCCTTTACAAAAGCAATTTGTCAAAACTCCAATTTAACCTGGAAAAAGAGGACGAGGAAAGCAATTAGTAGTTGTGCACTCTTTACGAACGATTCTTCCCATAATTGTTGTTGTCACGTTGTGTTGTTAGAGTGAACATCAATGGCGAATGGTAAGGTCCCCCCTAAGAACCAGCTTGTTGCCTGTCAAGTATTCCGACAGTGTCATGGCCATAGGACTCTTTCAGCTGGTAAGAAGTTATTTTTTTTTATCTGCAAAGCGGAGCTAACTACGATAACACTGCATCATTTCTTGAGGTGTAGATTCACATGTATGGCTCTATTTTTACTTATTCTCATATCTTTCCCTCAAATAAATAGTTTTCTCCTCATTAAAAATGGAGCTGTTTGTTTAATTGTCTAGAAAGTATATTCTCCTGCTGCTAAGTTTGAGCCACAGATGGCTATTATATATAATTGTTTAGGTTGGTGAAAGTATTTTCATCTCCTCCTTTCCGCGGAAAGAATTGGACCCTCTTCCACTACACTTCCTTCACCTGTAAGTGCAAAAACTGAAAGGTTTCTCGTCTGCTTTTCCTCTTACTTGTTGCAGGTCATGCGATTCATGGACGATAAATCTATAACAGATACAAAGGAATTTGCTGTTGGAAACTACCTTGTACAAATGGTAAGTGATTTTCAGAAACACAACCGTTTAGATAGTGGTAGATTCATCCCAAGAAGCTCAAAGTATTCATACTCGGCATTAGAAACTTCAACCATGAAGTATGCGGTTCAATACGAGTTGATGCCCTCTATTAACGTCAAATTCTTTTTGTTTCTTAAATTATGTAATCTGAACCCCGGTAACTCGAATTGCCAAGGGAAATTGAAACTATTTTGAGTTATCGGGATTTCGAGTTTGAGGGGTTTTGAACAAAAAGACCAGAAGCACTTGAATAAAAAGGTTTTGTGCTTATACATGTTTTAATGTAAGATTTCTAGAAATGTAAGAGCATAAAAATGACAAAACAAAAGAAGACAAAACAAGAGCATGAAAACCGCAAGTACTATAAAGTAGCTGCTCTTCAGAATGTTTAGCGCTAAATCTCTCTTTAACATTTGTTGAAAAATCTATTCACATAATTGATTTGAAAAATAGTCCTTCATAAGTCCCTGGCGTTTGCAGCCATTCTGTGTCTGTCAATAGAGTTACACGGCTTCTCAATGCCCGGCGGACTCAAAGTCAAGAAACTGACGAAGGGATGCAAGTGCCATGCGCAGTGAATTTTGAGGGGAAGAGGAAACATGTTTTTGTTCTCAAGAATGAACTGGGCACGATTTACAAGTAATGACAAACAAGAGATCGATTCCAGATTACGCGCCATTATTTCTCTTCGCCGGAAAGAACTTTCAAAACTGTTTGTTTACGGACATACAAACGCGTGATATCGACAAAGGTCAATTTGTCATAATATATAAATGAGATTAAATGTTATCTTCCGATGCAAAATGTTATGGTTCATTGGTCCGTAAAAGTGAAAATCGGGTTTCGAGTTATAGGGGTTTAAATTACAGCAAGTATATGAGGCAAATCCAAGGGAAATCGGGTTTGCTTCGAGTTAGCAAGGAATTCGGGTTACTGAGGGTTCTAGTTATCGGGGTTCAAATGTACAATCTTTTGTTGTTTATCTAGGGCATTTTTAAACCTGAACTTCGCGAAGAGATGTACTGCCATCTTTGCAACCAGACTTGGGGGAACACTTCTGATACGAGCAACGAACGAGGCTGGCTTCTCTTTGCATTGTTTCTCTGCTGTTTTGCACCGTCCGCCAGACTCTACAAGCCTTTACTCAAGTAAGCAAAGGCCTCATGATATCAGTGTTCAAGGGTGTGGTCAGCGGCTAATACATCGTAATTTTGATCTAAATGTTGAGTGCGACTCCCTCGGTGTTCATGTCTGACCGTGTTGGTAGTGCTGTTAATGCTTCATGTTGATATCCTTGAGACCTATTAATGCTGTCAAAAGTTTTCTATCTACTTTGACTTTAAACTGGATATTTCAATGTTGGAATTTGCTTGAAACTTGTGCTTTAATTTCTAATCAACTGCTTTCCTGTTTTTGTTGCAGGTACATTTCGGATCAAGCTTTCAACGGCTATAAAAGTTATTGTCAACATAAATTGTTGTGTTGGGATATGAATGGGTCTCCTGTGGCACGATCACATCCGCCTTCCATGTTGGAGTGGCAAGCGGCAAAGATGAGAGTCAACATGGCTGCCGAGTGTCATTTTCCTGACGGTATGAAACACTCAGCTGTTAGCAGCAGTATTTTGAACACAGGGTGGAAAAATTTATACTTAAATGTTTACACTATCAAGTTTTCCTTAGTGGTTTAGATGCAGAAATTTTAAAAAAGTTTGTATTTCTCGAGGGCGAAACTTGTTAGTGTATGAAGCTTTTTAAGGGCTTTCATTTAGACAATTATGAAGGACTTTAGGGAAATTCTATTCCACAAGTGTGGTTGAGTAGTTTCCCCCTCTAATCTATTATAGCAGATAAGTTATCCGTAAGTGGTGCCTTTAACAGAGATAACTTTCTGGTGTTAATGTGTTTTATGAGTGTGTAGGTGGAAGTAAAGGAACAGTGTATTCTTTTGTCTTGTTAAGATTGAATTTGAAATAATGAAAACGGAGAAATGTTTCATTCTCCTTTTTCAGGAGAGAGAAGGACGGCAGAAGTTGAATCTTGCACAACTGGAGAAGACCTGGCGAAATTGATACTACAAGACAGGTGAGCCAGGTTGAATTCAGATTCAGTATAACTTCTCAGTATTTTAAATTCATTCATATATCGCTCGTTACTCGGTTATGGACTGAGCGGGCAGTCTTTATCTTTTGCTCTGCAATCCCAACTTGACTTTATTGAAAGTCATTTCGATAAGTTGGTAATTTGCCACCCGAACTTATTCTCTCCACTCTTAATTGGTGTTTTTTCGTAGAAAGAAAAAAAAATCAGAATAGTATGACCGAAATATCGTGAATGTAATGTGTTAATGTGTTTGTTTTCAGAGGTATTGAAGATGCGAAGGGTTGGACTGTTGATTTGGAGACAAGTAACTGGCATTGTACTCTGGCTGGCAAGGATTATATTTTTGATCTTGTTTCCGAACTGGAATACCCACCAGCCTTTCCTCTGTCTCGATCCTCATCTCTTCTTACTGTTAAACCAGGCAGCAATATTCCTCCAGGTCAGCTGGAGACATTATCCAAGTAAGTAGTAATTTGTCAATTGCCATTACAAGCTCGATTCTGTTTAGTGGTGTTGTTTCCTTTGTTTGCCCTTTCGTGTGTTTATTGAATTGTACGTTGAATTGTTTTTTTTTTTGTACGGGATCACACTACATTCCTTCGGTCCGTCGGTCACTTTGTACGTTCCCTGTACGTGTAATTCCTCATTCGTTTCTTGTTTCATTAGTGTGCACGTGTACATTCTCTCTCTCTGTCCAACCATGATATTCTCTGTTCTCTTCACAGCCTTCACATGCCGCAAGCTCGTGGAAAAAGCGTCGCAGAAATTGCCCACAAATTCACGGTTGTGGAGCAGCAGCCACCTTCAGCGCCGGTACACATACAACGAGAAGATGCGTTGAGTGCAGCTACATCAGCAAGGATTGCAAGTGCTAATTACCAAGGACCGGTAGAAGACAATCTTGTACAAAGGACGAGATTGGGAAGCAGCTCTCCTCGTGTCGAATCAGCCCCATCTCCTCCCCTTCCAAATGCGTTCGTACCACCACCCCCTCCACCCCCACCCGCATTTGTGCCACCACCACCACCCCCACCACCACCGGTTGCTCCACCGACCGGGCAGGTGGTTCTTAGACGTAAGGTAACGAAAAAGGATAGCAAAGACAAGAAGAAAAGGGAAAGTGGTCTGTCTATGGCTGAAGTTATGGCAAAGGCGAAGAAAATGCGTGAGGCTCGTGAACGTGTGTTGTCAACAGGAAGCAGTACATCAGCCACCAATGAAATCAGTGAAGATCCTTTTGAATCTGCAATGCAAGCCCGGGCAGTGCAACTTAAGTGCAGAAAGCCGGAGATGCAGCCAGCTCCTCGCCAGGAGGAAGACAGTGAACTGATGAGAGAGATGAAACGGAAGGCACAGAGAGCTAGTCGGGCTTTTGTAGAAACCGAGAAAGGTCCACTTCCGTCATCCGACGACAATGTCTTTGTCCTTGACATAAATGGTGGAAGACCCACAACGGACAATGTTTCTATTTCTAGCAGAGAGGGAGGTGACAATGACTCAGTGCATTCGCTGGAAACTGGAGTTCGATTGGAGTCGCCTAAACAGGTGAAAGACTTTGTAGACAGTTTATTCGACCCTGTGCTCTCACAAGGAGTAGAGGGTTTATCAAATGAGACGGCATTACAAGGAGCTATGAAAGGCGGCGGAGGTGTGAACCAGCCAAACAACACTGCAACAGCTAATGGTGGTACATCATCAGGATCAACAGCACCTGCTGTGAATGGACAGGCTCACAGTCAAGGGAATGGATTTAGTATACATCCAACCGCTCAGGCTCCAGGAAATGGTTACCCAGGAATGATGCAAACAAATGGTTTCCCAGGAATGATGGGTATGCCTACCATGTACTACGGAATACCACAAGCAAATGGCCCCTTGGGTATGCCACAGGCCAACGGGTCCCTAGTTATGCCTCAAGCGAATGGCCCCGTGGGTATGCCACAGGCCAATGGGTCCCTGGCTATGCCTCAGGCGAATGTGCCACTCTTGGTTCCCCAAGCGAGCGGCGGGCCTGTGTTGGGTGGTCCATTATTCCAACCCAACGTGGAAACGGCAATGCTGGCAGCTCAGCAGCAAGTTCTTATTGAGCGCCTGATCGCGCAGCAAGCACTCTTGCAACAACAGCAAACGGTAGCCTCTCAAAAGCAGCAGGAGCAGCTTATGATGCTCGCCAAACAGCAGCAGTCTCAGTTGGAGCAGATGCAGTCCTTTCTTGCTGCTTCAAATCAGCCTACACATCAGCAGTTAGAGGAACAAACAGTCGACGGCCCTGCACCTCCTTCCGTTGGCGCTGCTACAAATGGCTATGCAGCGAGCCACATGGATGGGACCGTGGCTGATGTCCCTTTACCTCCGCCTGAATTTTCGGACGTTGGGCACTTGTTGCCTCCTCCAGCGTACGCCGTTCCTTCACCTCAGGTGCCCGTCCCAGCACGTACGTCATCGCTTCCTCCACCACCACCACTATCCACTCGTGAGGAACGATCCTCGTCTTCTGAGGAGTTTCCAGCGCCACCTCCAGCCATTTCTGAAAGCACAGTTGAGAATCTTGACTCCCCGGAGAGACCGGGGCTTAAGAGGCGAAGCACTGATAAGGTAGCGCTGGCTATAGCTGCCTTAGAGGGGAAGTCAGGAGGGGAAGAGCTCCGCTCTCCTGGACCGGCGTCTCCTGTCAAACACGGGGAGAGTTTTACTTTTTCCAGCGAATCCTCCCCCCGAAGGGAGAGTGCTGCTAAAGAAAGACCAGACTTTCACAAACGAGCTTCTTCGTCGCTAAATTTTGTTGTATTGTCCGACAGAAACAACGTTACGGCTCTACATCCAAGGTGTACTGGACCGTATCTTTCATATAGTCATGTCAAGTGGAAATTCAACATTCGCAAAGAGGTGAGTTAACAGCAGTCGATCGAAATCTTGTTTGCATGCTTAGAGCCGTGATAGATTTGACGAGCGGTGGCGTAATTTTATGTTCTCTTTCCATTTTAGGTTTTCACGGCAGACGAGAAGTTGGACAATAATCTCAAGCAGCGGCTGATATTTCTACAGGTATGTAAAAATATTTCGCTCGTGTGTACCCTAGCTTATCAGCGTTGAGAAGCTTATATTGATGGGTAAGCTTCTTAAGTATTTCGTTAACTTTTGTTTAAATTCATTTTTCAGTGAGCCAGGAGACAAGTGCCCAAAAGCTTTCTAAGTCGCACATTTAGTTTGTGTTCCTAGAGAAAAGGGCAAAGTTCTACCAATTTCGAATAACCTTTTCAAAATTCTGGCCCGAAAACAGGCGAAAGGGGGGTACAAATAGGGCTGGATGGAAAATTGTTTTCTTATCCAATTTACTCTCTGATTTATTTTCAGATACTTCGCGATTCGTACTCAAATTGCTGCTGTAAAATGTCACAAGAGGATTGCAAACGGATGCAACTTTTATTACGTAAGTTTAATAATAAGCACACTAAATACTTGGGATTAGCTGAATTGCTTCGTCTCCTCATAAACAGACCATGGTTCGTCGCATCCTCTCATCCAGCACTTCGTGATCGGGAACCCAGAGTGCTGAATATTTGCGCTTTGCGTCTTCGTTCGTCTTAGCAGTACTTATTTCCAGGACCCTTTGAACACCGACAAGATCCTCATCCTTTATTGACAGGCTTATAACATGACATGCGTTCTGTGTGCTGCTGGGGTCAGAAATATGGTGACTTTGAAGCTCAATTACCGCCAGGAACTGACCAACAAATGACATTCTCGACACGAAAAAAACAAAACAAAACAAAAGCAAAAAAAATACAAAAAGCCAGTTAATTGAAGCTCTCTCGTCGTAAAAAGAGAGGAAGATTTTACTCATCCTGTTTGGACTGTGGAACAATGAACAAGTTTGAACCCTCTTCGAAAAGTTTAAACTCAAACTTTCAAGAGCGAAATCTGAAGCTCTAGGGTTCAATGCCACGCTGAAGACTCAGGTTTTTGCCTTTGTATGACGCTCAGGAAAACACAAATGAGAATTAATTTTGTTAAGAAATCCTTTTCACTTGCGCCGTTTGATTCGTTATAGAAAAATATGGCATCACACCGGAGAGGCCTCACTCAAGTGCTCCAGTGGAGGACATCATTATCGAGGCTGCCAGACAGCTGCCCCTCTATTTCAGCCGGTTCTTTGTTGTTAAGGTAGTTATTCTATGTCATTTAATCAGAGCTCACACTGCAGAGCGGTATTTGAATGATGGATTATTGTTTTATTTTAGGGTCAGAATGAATTGCCGGATGTGCATTACTTAGCTGTGTCTGAACACGGTGTCAAATTGGTAAAAAGAGAGAAAATAACTGATGAACTGGAAGTCATGAGAAACATCCCGTAAGTTGCTTTGTAATTCCTTTCTTTAAGACACTTTTTAATCTTTAATTTGGAGTATTTCACGGGAAGGCTTTAACTTTCGATAATATTTGGAACAGTTTTTAAATCCCTTAATAACGTCCCGTTTTACTTAGTTGCTATGATTAGTTCTCATAACAACTTTTAATTTGTTTTAACTTGACGACATAACGGATTGTGGATTAATTTCCAGAGGAAGAGACCCTTCTCTAATATTGCAGCTGAAAAATCTTACCGTTATAATATCAATTTTTCTCTGAAATCTACATAGAACGGCGCAAGACAAAAATTTTAGGGGTAACTTCAGCACAAAAGCTAATGCGACAATTTCAAAAGTTCTTGCTTCATATTTTAAGCTTAACGCGCGAAGGATATAGATCTGTAATAAGTCTTGGGGAAGGTCCTCAGAAACGTCTGTGTTGAAACTCCCAATCTTTGAAGCTGAGATTTAAAGGTTCTTCTCACCAGGTACACGGAGTTGGTCAAGCTAAAGGTCCTTAAGGATAAACTGACCTTGACACTCACAAAGGAAGTTAAAGTCGTTGTCCATACAGAAAGGGTAAGTTGACTTTTGTTCAATTAATTCCACACAGTTCGTCGCGTTCTAAACGAATGTATAGATTGATTTTTTGGAAGTACTGATCAATTAGTTGTTTATTTGATAGGCGGCAGAGGCAAAGCACATTATTGACACATACCTCAGACATTTGGAAAAGGTAGACGTTTCTTGTGCGATATACTTAAAAAGTCCTGAGTACTGTTTTTGGATCTGCTGTAATAGATATTCTTGTTGTGGTAGCTGAAATACTCGTTATGGATTTCGTTTCTCAAAAGAGAGAACAAAGAGATTTTTCACGGTATGAGGTCTCATGCATGCGTTCTAGGGTACAAGTGGTTGATAACGTTAATGATAAAAGTTGGATTTCCCCCTTCCCCATTTGATGTTGCTTAAATGCTAGTGGAACGCTTCTCCCTTTAGTTTGGTCTTCATTCTTATTCATATTTCTTCGCAAACGTAACGCTTTGAAAAACTGCATAGTTCTTCAGCGAAATTATGAAAAAATGTTCTTGATTTTCAGGAAGTGCAGTATGTCCGTGCGCTTTATGATCACGTGAGCCCCGAGCCTGCTCTTCTCAACTTCAAGAAGGGTGACGTCATAAAGATTGTGCGTAAAGATGATTTGGAGGAGGGTTGGGTCTATGGTGTGTTCAACAACCAAGCCGGCTATTTTCCTGCCGATTTCGTCACACACATTCAAGAGGTATTGTGCAATTAGACCACTCTTTACTGCATTAATTTTTCTCGAACTTTCTTTTGCGTATAACTATCTATGGAGGTTATCATTACTGTTCCAAGAACAGAGTGCATTTTAAATAAGTTTCGTAAAACCTAAACCAAAGTAATCAGAGGGGCCAGTCAGAACCAAGGATTTGTCCCAGGGGACCCAATAGGATCTCCTAGTTAAAACCCGCAAACCCTCTAAAGCATGTGAAAACGCTATTGGTCATGGTCTACTTCGCTCTTTAAATCTGCCTGGCTGAAGTGCTATAAAAATGAGCAAAACATATTTAACGTTTAAATGTACTCAAAAGAAGTTTGGCATTTTTCATTGCACCATAACCCTCGACGAAATGTCATAAATTTTCTTTTGAGAAAATTCTTAAATAAGCCTTTCGTCTAACCTGAACGATCTGACTCTTGTTCCTCTCTTTTTTTCTCCTACTACATCTCTTCTTATCTTGCTCTTCTAAGATATTTAAGCCCAGGCGCAATGGAATGGTACTCATTGCACTCGACAGATATCGTTCTCATCCAGGATACATCTCTAATCTTCTACCTACATCTTCTTCTTATCAACTTTCAGTATGTGCTCTGTATTCTCTTTATTATTCTGTAAAACACTAAATGCTGTGATTTAAAAATCGTCAACCTATTCTTTGACGCACAACGCTTCCGAGCGTCTTGGGAAAAGCTCCAGGAACTTTTCATTCAAAGTGTAATAGCATTGACTCAAAAAAATTTTGTCTGGTTATATTAATGGGTACGTGTTTCTGAATGTGGGTGCCTCGTCCCTCCTCTTCTCTCTAATACATTTTTGGATAACCGATCACTGCAATCTCAGTTGTATTCTATCTAATATCTTGGAATTGCTCACATGGGCTCAGATAAACTGCTGAGAAGCCTCCTCGCTGGTAAACCTATTGAATGGATTTAGCGAGTCCACAGTGGAGGTCGGCGATGTGGCTTTTTTAAACAGTTTTTCCCTCTTTTTATACATTTTACCATTACTGAGGTAATGAAAATTGTTTGATAGAGCGGGTTTTTCCTTACAAAAGGAGTTCTTCGAATTTGGTTTCCCTCTTACAACTAAAACGTCCCTTCGATGTCAAAATTTCACCCGATTTCACTTGCATTTAAGTTCAGGTGACAGTAATAAACTTTCCTGAAAATATAAAACTGAAATTTAAAGTGAAGTATGTGGTATTCAAGTTTGCTATTTTCAAACTCCAGGACCCTCAGGCAGTAGCGTCAGCTCGCCCCGCCACCATGGTGAAGGCGGCTTCCATGGGAAGTTTACTGAATGTAGATCCTGACGGGCCAATGACTGGAGAGATGCGTCCAAGGACTGGTAGTGTCAAATCTACCAAGTCTGACAAGTCAGAATATAACTCCGATAAACATTCCATGATGGAGTTTGCCATGCAATACTTCAGACATGGAAGGTAAGGACTTTCACTTGGTCGTTTGAAAGACCTATCCACGCGAATTTGGATTCCTCCAAAAGAGTAAAATTTAATGTGGTTTGATTTTGTGTTACTTTTCAACAGAGAGGCTGTTGTGCGAGCAGAGGATGGAACTATCCGAGGTACAATCAAGGTGCGAGGAACGCTGGGAAAATCATCCAAAGGTTAGTACGCATGGCAGTCGGCTGCTGGTAGCACAATGAGTAGTCGGCTGCGGTGTCATGTCAGCGGAAGTAAGCCTTACCAGCAAATGCTATTGTTCTCAATGGGGAAGAACACTGTAACGTGCATTGCAAGTTAACTTAGAAAAAAACATTTATTCGGCGATGCATATAAATGCTATTTATCCCATTTCTTTTTTCAAATTTCTTTTCCATTTAATTGTTCAACTGTTTAATTGTTTACTTTTCTAATTACGTTTCCTCATACAGCAAGTCATAAGAAAGACAAGGAGGAGTGGTCGTGGAGTGGTCTCGCTGAACTTGTCAAATATAGCAGAGTAAGTTGGTTTTCATATCACTTCTACAAACCAGCTTAAGTATATTTTTAACTTGTCTATGATAACTGCTTGCGATTCGTTCCAAGGCACTGTTGGCGCTGTTACCACTGGTGACTTTTGCGCCATTAATGACATGTTTTCCTGCTCTAATTGTTCATTACATATTTTCCCGCCTTTGCACTGTCACTTGTTTTCCCGCGCTTTCAGTTACTTTTCCCTTTATACTGCTGGACAGTCGTTTCGCCGGCGTAGCTAGCACTTGTAACTTTAGAGCTCTTTATTGTTACGAGCACGTCTCCTCGTGCCTAAAGTTAGTAACATGCTTTTTCCGCCTTTGAAATGCTTGCAATTTTTCAACGCGAACTGTTATTAACGTGACGTCCAGGCTCTGTTTGCATTCCTTGGACGTTTTTCCATGTTCTCCCTTCCTTTCACTGCTGGTGTGTTTTCTAGTTCTTAATCTTAGTTAAGTGTTTCCCCGCCTTCGCATTGCTTCAAAGTTTTCTCACGCTTACCTTTTGTTCTTGTTATCAATCTTTTTGTTTAGGTGCCCATCCAAGCATCCCTTATACGACGAGAAAACCCGCAGATAAATAAATTAGCCGTGGAAACTTTCCAAAGTAAGTACCTCGCTGAAAAAAATTTCTTTTACCTGGTCCCGTAATTTTCACTTAAGTCGGTTTGCTTTTACAAATCAACGATAAATCTTCTAGTTGTTTTACATGTTTCTGTTATGGTTTTCTTGCAGCGATTATGAAATTCATGGGAGATTTACCTTTGTCCAAACATCAAAAGGAAACCGAGCTTGTGTTTAACTTGCTTAAAGTTAGTATAAAAGTTTCCTGCTTTTAATCTGAGTAAAACACAAAGCTGTGTTATCGTCAGTCTTGGCTCCCTTTTTCCCTTGATTTAAAGAGTTTGGAGACAAAAACATAACCTAGTTATGGCGTATCTCTTCGGAGACCTGGAAAATTTCTGCGTTTGGTTCTTCATAGGTGTCACTTGATTAAACACATAACGGATTTTATCTAAACTAGGAACGCGAAACGGGGAATAGGAGTCTGGGGCCAAAAGTAGAGTACGGACGACTCCGTCTGGTCGTCTCGATCTTATTTTGGCCTCCAAATGTATTCATGTGTGTTGAAGAGACAATTATAAATTATAGTTTTCCAGACTGCTTCTGTCTTCTCAATATTCCACATTTATTTCCTCTTAGACCTGTCGTGAAATTCCTGCATTAAGAGACGAAGTTTATTGTCAGCTGATCAAGCAAGTCACCAGTAACAAGAGTCTCAAAGCGTAAGTGATCGTGGCAGTCATTAACGTTTTTTTCGACAGGGGAGCTTTGTTCGCACGCTGTCCATAGCTTTCGCCCTTTCGAATCAAAACACCTTGCATTTCGATATGTTTTGTCTGAGGCTCTTATGCTAGTTCCAAAACCTGAGGTTTGCACCTTGGCAATTTCCGGAAAAGGTGATTTCCTTGTTGTGTTTCGATTTGATCACGAAATCTCATTCTGCTCTTTTTCTTTTGTAGGGAAAGTGCAAGTCGAGGGTGGCGGCTAATGATTATTATCACAGCTTACATTGAGTGTTCAGATGTTTTCAAGCCTTTCCTGGTTACGTTCTTACAGAGTACTGCTAGTGATCCTAAGAGAGAGTTCCACGGTATGTGTATATTTTTTTTCTTTTTTTTAGTTCTAAAAGCTTGTGACATTTGAACCTAACCGAATCACTTCACCGCGCAAGCTTCTGACGATCTTCGACGCGTGAAACAACGAAAGAAGAATGCCAGAGTTAAACCATGCATGCATCATAACAATGCGTCTTTTCGCCACAATTTTAAGTTTTCCCTTCGGGCTAGCCAGTAATTGGATTGTCATGACTTTATCAAGGATCTTTTGAGAACCTGCAGATTTGATAAAGTAAAATTATTTTTTTGCTTTTTAAGGTGCTGCAGCTACTTGCGAGATGAACCTGATGAAGACGTTTAAGTATGGTGGACGAAAGAGTCCCCCCAGCAAGGAGGAATTGAATCAGCTTGTGGTAAGTTTGATTATTATTTTAATAATACTTTACTTTAATACTTTATTAAGTATTTATTATTATTTTTTAGAAACAATGCATTGATGTATTTTCTTTCTTGCTAAGGAATAAACCTTTTCCATTATACTACCGTTTGATAATGTCAAAATTATATGACTTCGACATTTTATTATTTTCATTATGTTTTGTTGTTTAACTCGTAGCAAGGGCGGCAAACCAAGCGTCAGGTTTTCATTATTCCTGGAGGAACGCGAATGCTGAAAGTCCAAACCAGTTCAGTAAGTAGTTATCTCATCTATTTCTGAGACGAGCTTTTTATTTGATTCCTCTGTAACCTGATTTGTCTGTCTTCACTTAGACTGGTTTTGACGTCATCAAGGAGATGTGCGTTGACATGGATTTAACATCAGAGGTCCACTACAAGGAGTATGGACTGTTCAGCTACATAGAAGGACGTAAGGGCCTTTATTGCTTCTGAGAGTGTTTTAAAATGAACCAAAACTGCCTTGCACTGAATGCAGCGCAAATGAGTGCCAGAGCACTGGATTGAAATCTGGTTTTCTTAGGTTCAAATCCTTCACTCTTTCACTCAGTTGAAATTGTTTCTCGAGAGACGCGAGTTCAACTAATCTTGATTTTATTGCTTAACTAATACAGTGTGATTGCATAAAAATAATCGCCCTAAAACTATTAAGTAATTCGCAAGTATTGTTATACACGTTTCCCGAAATTAGGCCAAGTTTAGTTTTCTTTCTCTTGTTTGTGATTATTCAAGAAACTAGTGCCGCTCTCTTAATCAGAGATAAAAAAAAAAACAGTACCACTTGTGATTTCCCAAGTCTCAGGCTCTTTATATGTGTTTCCTCTGAGTTCCTTTTCGCTTGTCAAGAATTTTCATCTTTTCATACGAGCTGTTTTTGATTACCTTTTTTCCGGGTTGATGACACACACACAGAGTCTTAAAGCGCTCCATTTTCATACTCCCTTTTGTTTTCCCAGCAGAGAACTTGATGCTGCCGGTCCAAACTACAGATTACATAATGGATGTAGTCAGTTCCATGGAGAGACAAGGGATCGCTTACAGTCTGTGCTTCCGCCGTGTTTTATGGCTACAAGGCCTGAGACTGGATAATGAGCTGCTGGTTAGCATCATCTACCATCAGGTACAACCAGTCATACAGGTTTCAAAACCTTTACAGTTGCTGAGGTTACCTAGAATGTTTTTGTCCCGTGCTTGTGGCAAGACGAAAAGACATATTTTTCGTGTTTAAGTTTTGACTGTCTGGTCTCTTTGCAGGTATTGCCAGACTACATGGCGGGTTATCTGATAGGGACACACAGTCGATCCTTTGGCGATGCACAGGTAACGTTTCAGAATTCTATGTCTTTATATCACCTCCCTTGTTCTGAACTGTTTCTTGTCTTTTTTATCAGCAGATATCTTAATTAAATATTAAGCTTACCGCTTTTGCCTTCCAGTCACAATTCGACTTTAGATTCATGGCAGGCAGGCAGGCAGACGGGCACGCAGGCAGTTTTGCTGATGTTCTCTTCGATAGCATGTACCGTCCTTATCCTGATAATTAACCGTTTGCATTTGTCTTCAGTTCCAGAATCTTATTGCTGAACTTGGAGCGCTTCAGTATCGAGCCCGTGATAAATCAATCCTTCATTCGAACCAGTAAGACCTTATTGACTTTGCACTGCATTCTGTAAGAGTTAACACTTTGGTCCAAAGCAACCCTCAGTTTACTGAACCTGTAATCTGTAACTTGTTTGTTTTTATTCAGTTCAGAAGTACAGACTCTTATACCAAGGGGAATGTTAGAGAGACTACGGCCTCAACAGTGGATAATTCTTATACAAGATCACTTCAGGAGCTGTCACAAAATGACCCCTTATCAAGCTCGCCGGAAATTCCTTGGTACGTACTTGGACAGAATTGTTGGAAATCATTTTGTGATAGAACAGTTTTCAACAACGCGTTGAAGCGGTTAATGAAAAGAAAGGCTAATATCATCGTTATCCAACGAGAGCCAAGTGAAAACCTGCAAACCTCTTAAAGCCCGAGAAAAAGCGAGTGATCGACACGCGATTGGTATTAGTTTTTACATGTAATTGGTTAAGAGAGTGGCATAAGCTTTTTTACCAATCACAGAGTTAAGTTTATCAAAACCAAAGCAATCCCGGATGACGTGCGACTCTCAATGTGTTTGAACAACTGGTTATGCTGAGGTCCAGAAACAGTACGGAACGACAACCAAAACAATGAATTATGATTTGAACAAGACTCGAGCATATTTTGAAGCTTGCATACCCCATCCATTGTGACTGAAATTATGCATGATAGAGTCATATCTTGAAGTACACTATTGTTTTCGGGCTGCCTTATTCTGTATGTGAATGCTTGTTTTCACTATTTTTCTCGCTGTCACCTAAGCTTACAAGAACACATTAGTTCGATGATGAGAAAAGCATGACATTTTCCTTGCAGAAACTGTCACTAGGTGGCCATATTTTGGATCAACTTTCTTTGAAGTTAAGGTAAGTCTCAAATGGTACAGTGCAGGTTGATTTGAATGTGTAGGAGCTACCCTTAGTGTGTAGGGGTAATCTCAAGTTCAGTTCCTCTGGCCGTTGAAATAAGGAATGTTCCACATAAGCTTGAAGCGTTCATTGATCAATCGTAAGTGTCGCTTTGTACAAGTTCGATTATAGTTCCTCGAAGACACGTTTTGTTTATTTATTTATTTATACGACACCTCTGTTTTATTTCATTAAGAGAGATCGCTTACCGAGATTTCTGTGTTTTTTTCTGGTCGTTTGTGTTTGTTTTCCTTGTATCATTTTTGAGTGCAATTCTATCTTTCACTGATTTTTACTGTTGTTTCAATGTTGGTTTTTAGAAATGCAGCAACCCAGCTGTTTCCGGTGATTGTATCGTGGCAGTCAATAGAACCGGAGTTCATTTCTTGAGTCAAAATACGATGGTAAGTGAGAAACTTGTAGTAATTTAAATTAGAGATATTTTTTTAAATACGACATTTATTCAGTATCACCATCCACTTTAAGAAGCAACAAAACCGCAAAGGCACAGGAGTAGTGAGTGATGGAGAAGATTGTTGCGGATTGTAAGTGACAAAAACGACCACAAAATATTGGTGCAGTTAGAAAGAAAACATCACTAACACGAGACGAACAAACGTAAAAGGAGCGTAAAGACAATTAATAAAGATTATTTAGGATCGACCTGAAAAGCGTGGGCTGTATTTTCCATGGTACCCCAACCTAGGCATCACTCCCTTGAGTATGTTTAAAATGTAACTCTCATCTTAACGAGTTATCCAGAATCTTCCTGGCAGTTTCAAGCTAGTGTCTTTGTTTCACAGCCACCTCGTTCGCCTACTTCTATTATCAACTTCATATACCTGATTTCTTCCTGATTTATTTCAGCAAACGATGCTGAGCGAGCCATTTGTTAGTATTATCTCCACGCGGCTTTTAATCTCGGACAAAAAGAGACAGTTCTTGGATCTTAAAATTGGAAATACTATGATGCAGAAAGTCACCCGCATGGAAACAACTCAGGTAATTAGACGACCAAAGCTTGCTTGTCATCAATAAGGTGTTGAGTTCGTGGGTTTGTTAGCATCCGGCGTAGCCAATCAGTGACGTTAGTTTATTGTATCGCATCGCACCCATCGCAAGTTGAAGTATGAACAATACTGCATGCAGCTGCTCAAAACAATAGTCAGAAGGGTCAATCATTCATTGAGTTGTGCTCTCGGCTTTTGCGTGATCGAGGGTCAAAGTTGCTAGTATTCGGATAGCTAGGTACCAAAATTTGGAGAAAGTGTCTGGATTCCCTCTTAGACCTTCAGAGATAGCATCTGAAGAAATAGGTATAAAAAATGAAATTGTGTTTTTATATAACATTATTACCTTTAACTTGGTCGCTATTTGAATAACAGAAGTTATAACTAATTTACCTTACTACTTTCTAGGCTAAAGAAATTTCCAATCTTATCTACAAGTACGTGGCCCTACATTCCTCGGTGAAACAAGAAGGCCAAGGTCAAGGCCAATGATTATATGGAATGATGAAATCTTAACTTGAATACCACAAGTTACTGATGAAGTTAAATGGTTACCTCTTAAGATCCTTAGACATTCATCGCTTAGAGGTGATCAAGGAGAAACTCTTCTCCCCTCATGAATATTCCTACGTTCCCATTTACGTTTTTTAGATCACCCCAGAACGATCTAGAAATATCAGATCCTGTGACGGACTTTTTTAGGGGAGCATAGCATGGCGTGACTATTCTCTCTCTGTCAGAGCATATACAGAGAAACGCATCCCATGCGCTAAATCATTTCTCTCCCGGAGAGACTAATTCAACAGTAACAATAGCTGGAGAGATGTGAATTTTGGAATAAGCCCAGTAGGCAGGCTCCATTTCTTTGCTTGATCCTCTCTGTTCAAGGCTGAAACTTTGCATTGCAAATTATTTACAAGATGAATTTATGTACTACAGCAGTTTACATATACCTACCATTCGTGTAATTTTTTAAGGAAAAAAATTGACCAATAAGAATTGTTCTGACGTGGACAAAATTACAGAATTTTTGTACCATTAAAATGTTGAATAAATTTAATTAGGTGAAATTAAGAAACAAACTCCCTGATATATCTTTCTGTGAAGTTAAATGTGTATATATGTTCTCAGTATAGTGCCTATAAGTGTATGGGCAGCTGAAACATGAAGATGTATCAATAACAAGAATAATTTTTTTTACGAGATGAATTGGATTCGCACAATGTATTTCCAATGATGTTTTTGATGAAGTGCGTTTGTAATGGTTTAATGTGAATAAGTTTGTCAACGAGGGTGAAATTTTAGCTCTTCTTTTGCATTTTACTGGGTAACATTTTTGTAATGTTAAGTTTGTTATTTTTTTCTATTTGACGTTTATTCTGTTTTCATTTATCGATGATGGACTAGGACTTTGAATGTGGCCTAGTTAACTAAACGTAGCAGAGTGAGGAATGTATTGTATAGATTAGAGGCTGTCTTCTCTATTTTTCAAATTGAGAATCTGTCCAGTAGTGTGACGTCGTTCATTAGTAATAACATTAAACTTTGTATCGTAGGCTCTAATGTTCAGAACCATAGACTAGTGCTAGCTTGGGCGAGGTTGCGAAGTTCACGAGCAAACTAAGTCACCAAGTTTTTCGGGAAAACGAGGCTGCTATATTTACACAAGGAACAGTCATATATTGTATCGAATATTTTTTTACATTAATTTGCGAGATATTCAGACTGTCTCCTAAAACTAAAATAAAAAAATAATATTCATCTCACAAACCTTATAGTTTGTTGACAAATCAATATGTATATTAATGGTACTTTGCAAAACAGTTCTTCAACTTCTCACGAGTACCACTATATAAATCTTAACCTTATCAATATAAATGCAACTCAAAAATGTAGTTGTGAAATTACCTCGAGTACAGTTGCCCCAAGGGTGAAATTGTGTTATTCAGCGATTTGTAGTGAGTTTTTGGGTGAGACGTAAATTATTGTATTCATCTACTCATTTTGAAATAATGTAGCAATTTGTGTTGAAATACTTTTCTATATATGGTCAGCAATGGTCAATTAATGTAATGAGCAGTAATTTATAATTTACTGTAGGTTAGATTGGTATTATTAAAATGTAATTCAGGCAAATGTTAGATAAGAAAACAAACCTACAGTGGAAATTTTTTGTGTCAGGTGTAGTTTATTTTTATAATCACCTCAATAATTTTGTTTACAGTTTGAATTGCACGACTTCGCCGACAATCGCACGTTTCTCTTCAAATGTTTTACAGGAATCATATAGTTCGTACGTAACAGCGCATTGATTAAAATGAACATTTCGTTACCGTTTGCTTCTTTAATGTCTTTATCCATCGACAGAGAGTTTGATTGCTCGAGATGTCTTTTTTGGCGACTTGGGAATAATCATTTTATTTATAAAAATGGAACCCTTATTAAAACATCCCGTATTAAAAATCCAACTCCAAACTGAAGACCAAAAATTAATAGGCTTTTATTTGAAAATGAATCCTTGTTACATTAGTAAATTGGCTCAATAAGTAAATACCTGATGTCCACAAATTAAGGAGCTTGTCATTTATGTCTGACTCTCTGTGTAATTAGAGGTACCTTGTTATTCATTTTAAATCGACATCTTTGTCGTATTCCTATCGATTCTCTTAGCGCTCGACAAAGAATGCCTTGGGACCGCAAAAAAATGTGATAATTTTACAACAATGCTAGTGATAGTAATTAATAATGGTAATAGGAACGAGTGGAGTCCAATTCGGTCTGTAATCTTACGAGTGATGAATAAAATCACGATTTGCCAATTTCGAGTATGATTAAATAGGTAATTAAGTAACAGCCTGTTCATTCGACCGCCACAAAAGGCTGGTAGCTATTCAAGGAATGAGTCTTATTGATTGGTTTACACTTGCCATGTGACTGCAGAAAAATAAGCGGGAAAGTGAAACGCTCCGTGCCCCGATTATTTGGCTACATGTTTTGATTTCCTTTGTACGACTTGCAGTTGATTCAAGGAACGTAGAGGACGACAGGAGCCATACGACGTAAAACCGAGTCTTTGTAAGTGTATTATACCGAGAATGTCCCAGATTCTGACATGGGAACGGTAGAATGAAATGAAATGTTAAAATGTTCCCAGTTTTAAAGTGCCTCTAATAAGTAGAGTGCATGCCGTTCAAAGCCGGTAGACCATGTCGAAGCCTCTCATCAGAGAAAGTACAGATTTGGCGGCAACTTTCAAAGAAGGAGGTGTGGAGGCGAAGTATAAATTTCCCATGCTGTGCTTCAATTTTTCCTTCTCTTCCCACGGTAGATACCAAGACAGACAGACCAAGTACGCTGGGAGATTCTCGGATGACGCTAACTCTCGGTTGTCTTTGACTGAAAACATGTGCACCAGAGAAAAAATGCCAAGCTTCTGTGTTGATTTGGATCCTGGCAAGATGAATTGGCTTTTCTGTCTTTCCATCACACAATCTTTGTTTTCAGACGAAAAAGATTGGGTCTTAGCTGTGGCATGATGACATTCGACCTTTTGAATGCTAGTGTTCACTTGTTTGATTCTCTGAAAATGTACAGTCGTCCCAATAATTGTGACTTTGGCTTCTTCAGTCACATCAGCCTCCAACTGTGCACAAGCCTCTGGTCTTTGAGGAGATTCACATTTTGAATCTCTTTCATCATTGTTAGGTTCAAGAGGATTTTTGGAATCGGCCTTGATCTCTACAGCACCCAGTGCTACACCCAAGTCAGTAATGATGGATTTTGATGACTGCCTCTCTAGAAAATGATTTCCTTTAACTTGAGTTAAATCCAAATTTGAGCTATTAACCTGATGACCATGGTTACTATGATTCATCTTTCTACCATGTGCATATTTTTTTCCTTCAGCGAAAGCCAAATGAACCAACGGTACCATTGTCATCCAAACAAAAGACAATTCTTCCTCATATTTTGTGACCTCACTGGGAACATGCTTGTCCAGGAAGGTGTCAATAAGTTTGTCTATAGTAGAACAAACACTTGCTGCCAGATTGACCAGAGGAGCTGAGCACATTCTTGCCAGGAACAGACAACAATAGTACCTTTTTCAGAGGAGGGCAAAAAAAGTGAAAAAAAAAATTATCATATGAATACCCATTGTATTAAAATGAATGTAAATTAACCTTGTAATCCCACACTATGACACTATGAAGTTATGAAGCTGCAGATATTGTTGATTGTGATGACAATGAACAAGAGGCAAAGAAAGAGGAAGAAGGCAGAATTTTAAGGAAGAGGAGGATAAAAGGAAAAAACAGGACACTGGGGATAAGGATATGGGTGAGAATGGCAAAGGGTTTAGAAATGATGATGATGAAAAGATGACTAAATAAGAAAGAAGGATGAGGATGAAGATGAGCTCAACAATCTATGAAGGATATGGATATAGATGAGGGACTATGACAGCATAAGGAGAGATATATAGAGCATCACTAAGAATTTTTTCAAAGAGGTATCAGCAGGCTCATGTTTATGTTGTTAGAAGGGCTAGAACTGGGAAAGATCTGTTTATTATTTCCACTTGCACTTTTTTGCAAACCTGAATTTTTACAATCTTGAAAGATTTGCATGCTACTGATCCCACCTAAACCCTGCTCTTCCCCTGCAAATAATGCTGATGAAAAGAAAAGGATGCAAATAAGGATAAGACTGAGGATGAACTAGTGCTGAGGATATATAAACTAGTGCAAACACTATTATCAGTCAAGATAGTTAGGAAAAATCTGTTTGAAAAAATGAATAAAAATAGTTTCACAAAATTTTCCAACCTTAAAGGGAAATCTCCTTCCTCATCATCCAATAGCTTTTTTGTAATATTAAGCATTTTTTCCACAACTCCATAGTTTACTAAATATTGGGCAGATTTTACATTGAATGTGCAGTAAAACAGAGTGTTGGAGGCAACCTGACTTGAAAATAGTGAATATTCTGCTGTCTCAGACTGGCTTCTGTCAATCATAAAGAGTAACTTGCTGATCATTGCTGGTGATTTGGCAACTTCTAGCTGGAGGTTTGAATCATACTCCACAAATCTAGGAAAAAGAGGGTATGTGTATTCATATTAAATCAGAACTGTAATGGATCAAATTTTGAGAATGAAATTGTTTTACAGACTGATGAAGCTATAGCTAAGTTAATTTTTCAGCTGAAGAGGCAATAAAAACAAATAAAATTTATTGACTGTTCAATTATGGAAGAAATATTCTGAGCTATCCTGAAAAAAAATTGACTTTCAGCAAGCCAACTTTGGTTACCAATTGGGAGTTGAGCTCTAACTCTCTAGTAAGAGAGTTAGAGCACACTGTCTACATGCATGCAAAATTGCATAGTACATAACTGCAAGTGCAGTCATGATTTATGAAATGTGTATCCACAGGCACATTTCCTTGATAAACAAATTGTTTTAAACAGATCATAAAAAAAATTATGAATAAAATTAACTTAGATTTGCTTTACTTTATATTGTTGTTTAAAAAAAGTTAGTTGTCCTGTGATTAAAAATCTAAATTTTCTGAAACTTTGCATACCTATACAATTGACAGAAATCCTGTATTGCACCATTTAACAATATTGTGTGAATAGGAAGCCATTGACTAAAGTGCAAAACAAATTTTTTTGTTGAGTATACAATTACCATAATTTTGTTTCAATGCGAGATATGCAAAATCTTCCAAAAGAGACAGTGTAAGAATAGTTAAACTCTAAGACTGTCTGCTAGTACTAAGCCAATTGTATTCTTCTGTTGACATTTTGAAACCAAACAAAAATATCAGTTCCAGACAGACATTAATCTTTTCACATGGATAAAATAACAAGTCAGATTAATATCTACCCTGTTTTTTGGTTAAGTGATTTAACTCACCCTGCACAGCAGCCAACAGCAGACTGATTTAAGAAAACAATCAATCTGGCTAAGTCAGTGAGGCCAGCCTTGTTGAATACATCTGGGTGGATAAGGAGAGCTTCAACTGATAATGGAAAGACACCCTTTGATAAAGCAAACTTCTTATCTTCATATGTCTCAGCAAAGGTCCACAAACAGGAAAGACATCTGTATTCAAGAAGAAGCTGTCCTTGATCAAAATGGTGTTTTAAATGATTCAGGGTTCGTAACATCACAATATCCATTGGACTTTGAGCATCTCTAAAGGCCAAAGTATCAATAAAAGAGGTTATTTTAGAGAAAAAAGTACATCTTACAGAGAGTTATATATAAACCAGATTCAATATTAAAAACTGCCACCCATCTTACATTGCACAGTCATGGCTTCAACATCACTGAATGTCATGATTGTAGTATATAAAGCCTGACGCACACCATTCTGATATTTATATAATTATATATATTAACAATTTTGTTTCTCACCACCATGAAGCCAGTATCATTTTCCATTGATAACAATATTCTCTACACTCAGGGACTATATATAATGGCCACCATTACTGTCTGACTCCATTTAACTGTTTTACATGAGTCCTACTGGCAATGCTGTCCATTGCCTTTGCTAGCCCTCAGTCAATGTAGACAATTGGAAAAAAAGGCTGGTGAAATTGGTGGCAAAATGGAAAGGAAAAATGGAGAGTCTGTCTCCCCCCTTCACTATGCACTCTTTCCCTCTCGCCCCCCCTCTCCAGTGCGTTCTTCCCAGACCATTTCTGTTTTCCCTGGCCAATCTTTTAATTATTTCCTCAGACTGAGGGGTTGGCTCATGCTGCCGTGTGCTTCTTCAAGGGCATATAGAAAGACTGTCACAGTGGTGGTCAATTTCCTAACCTAGCTACGTCTCAAAACAGAGTTTTCTTTTTTTAGCCCTCAAATCAGTCTGTGGCCATCACGCCACCACAACTGATTGCATGAATATTCAACATGTAACATCGTGCTACTTATAGAAAAATTTATGGCAATGCTGTGCGTAAAGTTTTGAAAACTCACTTAGTTTCCTGAAAATCTGCAAACAGGAAAAGTTTCAATGAATATTTGAAAACTTCCAAGAATGCGTCAAATCCTCCTTCTTGAACGAAGAAATGTCTATGAGCACTCGATTTCAAACTCTTCCAGGGAGCGAAGTACTGGCTGGCAAGTTCTGGAAGTGCTCGATACGTGTTGCCTAGTTTTACATCTCCGAAGTCCCGAGAAAAGCTGAAACTCACTGCAGAACCATTAGGATCCTTTGCCATTATAATGTCTGGAAGCTCTCCGTGTAGTTTTTCCACAATTCCTTGTGCGCTTGTCTGGAGCACAGACAAAAGTTTCCGCATTCCTACTATGTCTGCTACAGCGAGAAACTGCAATTTTAAACTCTCTCCTTCCTTGAAATACAACCTACCGAGGGTCATTTGATCATCAGTTAGCAACTGTCCCTGATAAAACAGCTTTTGATCGCAAACCGGCGCTTGTATGGCTTCTTGTATCGCACTCTTTACGTCTCTGATACTTGTAGTGCTGAGATCAGGCACAGTTAGTTTGAATCTCCCGGTTTCGGTGTTCTTTTCACAGCTGTAGTCCACAAAGAAGTTCATTTCTTGTACTGTCCTTTGGTGCTAAAATTGCTCTATTGATCTAAGAGATTGCAATTATCCAAGAAGGCTGCTCGGGAGATTTTTAACCTCTTTCGCTGAGCAGGAAGGAAGATTTTATAATGCGCATCGTCATCGTGTCTAGTATTGGACCGGAAACAGGAAATCTGCTGTTCCAGGCCTCCTTGTCGTTTCCACTTGTCTCAATGCAGCTTAACCAAAGCGTCAGTATCATTAATTTTTAATCGATCTTCATTTGTTCTCTTCTTTGAGGCGACTCAACATGTAGATAGCACACTTTTGCAGAAAACTTCCAATTTGCAATTGAGTCAACACTCTGACCCCTACGATTGTCTTTCATCTAATTTATTTTAGTTCTTGCGAACAACGGAAAGAATTACGGACTACAGCGTGGGCCATTGCTTGTTAAGTAAATTCTCCTTGTCGCTATACCATGAGGTTTCCATAGAGAACAGAATTGGAATATGCACACGTATGCGAGATAGTAACGGGATGAAATCTATCCCAAGCTAATTGCGACCTTCGAGATAACAATAAAGTTATGGAGGTATAAAGCTAGTCGTATGTTCAGGTTGGTTCACTTAGGATTGCATTCTTTGTCCTCTTAAAAACAAATCTGCTCGCCAGTTAATCTTACAAGAAAAATGTTTCCCGTTAGCTTCGCTGGACTCGCGCAGAGTGTGACTCGTGATAGAATCAAGGATGATTCGCGAAAACCTAGTCAGGGTGTAGATACTGAGCCAACTTCTCCTCTCCAGTCTTCGCAGATTCTACCGATATAAATGAAAACTTAAGCACTTTAGAACCTTTCGGATACCCCGCAACTGTTGCGGTCCTCATTCGCAAGAGCATGGCTGGATACCCACGATCTACACTGACTCATATCAAAAGGCTTCTGGCAAATGCAAGTTCTACGGCTACGCCGCTGAACAAAACTGCCAGGTATCAACCCTGCCAACGCCCAAGAAGAAGACAGATGCATAACTATTTGAATTGAGCGACACGTTGATTCCTTCCATAGCGAAAAATTACTTTTCTTTTAAAATAAACAGTTTTGATCATTATCATATCGATATTTCCATCATTAAATTCCTTCTACAAAACAACTCGTTCAAATTTACTCAACATTCGAGTGAATAAAATTTTACATATGTGTATATTGCACTGTGGAACAACAGAGCGAATCGAGAAATGGTTTTTGTACTATAATGTGTGAAACAAAATTCCGTGTAATGCAGAGGTTTCTCGACTGATTTCCTGTGCGCTTTATTCTCAATTTGAAAATCATTACAGATGTGGGGAGAACAAAACGCGCATTATCGCTTATCCGCTTATTTACACCACCCCCTACGGTGCCTTTTACAAGGAATATTGTCGAACGAAAACTCTGGCTTGAGAATTCGAGTATACAATTAAGTTTAGAAAAGGACTACATCGGTTATTGCTTTACTTCTCTTTGTGATTGGTCTCCCGAAGTCTCCTTGCCCCCTCCACCAATCAGAAGCAAAATTAAAACCAATCATGACCTAGCATTACCGTGTTTGTCCACACTTCGGGCAGTTTACTTGTTTTTACCTAAAAATTTCCATTAACTTTCATTCAGCGTAATTGGTCATCATGACTATGATTTTAATAACAGCAACACTTTCTTTCAATTTCCTTCTGTTTCCTTACAAGTCTACTTATCAGTTTGCTACTTAACTGTCTACAAATTTGATTAGTTCCAGATGCATTGTATGCGGTGCTTGAGAAAATCAAGACAACATTTTGTACCACAAGCTGACCTTCAGCTGCAGGAGTTTTTGTTAAAAGAGATTTGAAGCTACTTTGGGAATCATTCACTTATACAGTGTCAGCGGGAGATGTTTTTGATGAGAGCAACACTTCCTTTCAATTTTCTTCTGTTTCCTTCCAAGTCTGCACGTCAGTTTGCAACTTAACCATCTACAAATTGAACACCATGTCTAAACCTCTCATGAGAGCGAGCACAGATTTGGCTGCAACTTTCAAAGAAGGAGGTGTGAAAACATTGTTTGCGAGAACTGTCCTTAGTTTTTCCTTCCCATCACACGGTAGATGCCAAGACAAGCAAACCAGGTAGGGAAAGAGATTCTCTGAAAGTGCCAATTGCCGATTCTCCTCAATTGACAACATGTGCACTAGGGAGAAGATTCCAAGTTTTTGTGTTGATGAAGATCTTTGCCTGTTATTCTCAATCCTTCCAGCAAAAGCCAGATGAACTAGTGGCACCATTGTCATCCACACATAAGAACTTTTCTCCTCCCATTCTGAGATTTCATTAGGAACATGACTGTCTAGGAACAGATCAATAAGTTCATGTATAGCCATACAAGTATCTATATCCAGCTTGACTAGAGGAGCTGAGCACATTCTTGCCAAGGAGAGACAACAGTAATACCTGGTTCACAGAAAAATAACCTTGTGAGTCAATGAGTAGGATTAATCACCTTTATCTCTTAACACCAAGTACGTAAAAACTGAAGATAGTACAGTTAATTGCACTATCTTCAGTTTTTACAATATATTTGACCCACCCTGCAAAGCTATCCCAGGTTCATTGAAATGAAGTCACTACACAAATGTGAAGGAGTTTTCATACATAAAACCCATCACAGGTTGAACCTTCATTTCCCTAAGACCCATTAGGTGCTCCTGAAGGGCAAATAACATATTTCATTTATTACAAAACCAATAGGAAGGAAGGTATGATGCTATAATATCAATTTTGGAGAAATGGTTACTGATACACCACCAGCTAAAAATGAGTCACATACATTCCTTCATGATAGTATGCATTTTTTACTGTAACTTAATAAAGTAATTGCACAAAAAAGGTAAGTGACAACATTACTCTGTCAAAATCACCAACCTTAAAGGTGTATTGCCATCTTTATCATTAAGAAACGCTTTTGTAATGTGAAGCAGTTTTTCCACTGCTCCACAATTTACCAAAGACTGGGCAGATTTGACATTAAATGTGCAGTAAAACAATGCATTGGAAGCAACCTGACTTGAAAACAGTGAATATCCAGCAGGCTCTGATTGATATCTGTCTATCATAAAAAGTAGCTTGTTAACCACAGCTGGCATATTAGACACTTTCTCTTGAATGTTGAAATCACACTCTACCAATCTAGAAAAAGGATTAAAATTCAGAGTTATAAAAAAAAATTAATTTAAGTTAGATTATAAAGTGGTTGATCAGCAATTCGACTAAAGGTGGCAGGCTGAACAATATTAACATGCAAATCCATGTAAATTATTGAACATCTGCATCAATCACGAATTAAAGGCCAAGTATTAAATGACATTTCAACTATAGTATTTACTTACAGAGATTGTATCATCATATTAATTTGGTAATTTAGCATTATCAATGGAGTTGATAACATAACTTGGCCACTGTAAAGAGTTTCAAAGCTGATGTTTTGAGCATTAGCCTTTTGTCAGAGCAAGAGCATTATATTATTACACAAAGCGAAGAGCATTATATTAATTGTAGGTCAGCATTTGAAAATAATTGTAACTACGCTAAAACAAACACAGGGGGACGGATAGGGACGGACAGTCATAAAGAGAGACACACAATCAGACGAGCCGTTGTGAGATAAATACTTAAGAGAAAGTTAAGAATGTGACTCACCCTGCAAAGCACCCAATTGCAGTTTCATTTACATTAACCGCCAAGCTGGACATGTCAATATGGCTAGTTTCCTTGAGGGGAACAGTTTGAAGTAAAAGAGCATCAACACTTAGGGGGAAAATATCCTTTGACAAAAGAAACCTGCGATCTTCAATTGTCTCGCCAAAATTCCACAAAGAGCAGAGACAACACATTTGGAGAAAAAGTTGTCTCTGATTAAAGAGGCATTCGAGTGGAAATTGAGTTGTGGCTGCTTCTTGCAAATTTTCATTTCTGTGGGTAAACAAAGACTGATGATCATAATTTAGACAGAAAGTTCAAAGAATATTGATATGTAACTTGATATCCCAAAATACCTTTACTAACCATCTATCCATAATCCGAAATTATTGCACTCCTCACCCGCATCTTTAGCCTTTGACCTTTCTGGTTAATCTTGGAACACTGACTCCATTTAATTCAAAGAAAAATAAAACTACTGAACCTTTGTACAACAGTACCTTCCATAGAAGCCACCATAAGCTTGAAGATGAGTTAGGACTTACGACTTGTCATGTTTCTGATATAGGTTTGAATAACATCAATTCTTCAAAACTTACATTATTTAAAGCCACAAATTTTACGAATCTATGGTCTCAAATTTCTAACGAAGAAAACAATTCTGAAACGAGGCTTTGTTCGTAATCAGTTCAGGCAACGTTTTACATAAAAGGTCATTAAATGATATTGCTTGTCTGGAAAAAATGCCAAAAAACCATACCCTGCAATGTCCCTGAATAAGCCCTTTAAGCAAGCACCCGTTTCTCCTTGCCAGTGCCACGCCAGTATATTCTCGTTTGCCCTAAATGAAGCTTTGCAGGATTTGTAGCTACTTACAAAATTAGGTCCCTCTCTTGTTGCTCGGTCAAGAAAAGCTGCCTGGAAAATTTAAACACTTCCAAGAATGCGTCAAATCCTCGCTCCTGAACGAAGAAATGCCTTTGAGCAACAGTTCGTGGACATTTCCATGGCAAGAAAAATGAACCAAGTTCTTCTACAGTGTAAAGGAGCCGGTCATAAAACTGCCACACGTCAGGAGAATCTTCATTGAGATCAGGAAGCTTATTTCCCGGCTTTTCCTCGATTTCTCGAGCACATTTCTTCAGTACATCCAGAAGTTCAATCATTCCTTGTATATCTGCCACAGCAGTGAATTGCAGGTGTAAAGTGTCACCTTCCCGAAAATACAGCCGACTGAGAGTCATTTGATCGTCTGTCAGTGCTCTTCCTTGATAGAACAATCGCTGGTCGCACACCGGCACCTGAATACGCACTTGTAACATATATTTCACATCTTCAATGGTTGTGGTATTTAGAGCAGGCACAGATAGTTTCGTTTTTCCATTTTCCCAGTTTCCTTCGGGGCTGTGGTACTCCACGTAAAACTCCATGGACTAATTAACTCGTGTGAGCTTACAAAACCTTTGTGTGTCTCGAAATCTCGCTTCGATCGATGTGGTACTTAGGACATGACTTTGTTCTCAGCCGATGCTCAATTTCCGCGATGTTGACAAACATTGTTTCTAATCAGTGTATGCAAACTCGCTACACCACAGGTTTGACTATATCGGCTGCAGCCGCTGAAATCGTCTCTTAATTTTATTCGATTTAATTTTTTTCTCATGATCTTTTTGTTATTGGTTTTGTTCTTTCGGTGATAATTGCTTGTTCTCTGAGAAGTGCAGCAGTAAATATTAATGATTTCCTAGTTTGTGAATATGAAAAGCACTAAGCATTTTTTCCTTCGTATTCCTTTTTGTGTCACGCGCGCATCTGTCACGTTTAAGAGCAGCCTACATCAGAAAAGGATGTTGGGAAGTGTTTCTCTTAAAGATGATGGTGTGTATGTTGGTGTTGGGCGGTATTTCCGCAAAGTTGTGATTCCTTCAGAGCTGCACAAGTACGCAAGTCACTTATCATACGTTTCTTTACTTAGTTTACTAAGTTTCTTTGTCGATAAACATTCATTGTGACTTTGTGGCGAAAAATCGTCAGGATAGTGCAGCGAGCGACAGTATTGTGACGATCTCGTTAATTGGGTCAAGTACCATTCAGAAAAACAATACGATTTGCCAGATTAAATCGGTTTGTTATGGAAGTCAATGTTGAACTAAAATGTTCGGATACAAGGGAAACGAAGCATTTAAAAATAACTGTAAACGACTGGGATAGTAGATGTGTTAAGGATCTGAAAAAGATTTTTGAAGAAGAGATTCAAGTTCCATGTTGCGATCAGAAACTCTTTTATCAAGGAAGACAATTTGGGAACGATAACTTGTTTCCTCTTGTGAAATTATACCTTCGGGAAGGCGACACTGTTAGTTTAGAATGCATTTCACAAGGAAAACTCAAAGAAATGAAGGAGTTTTTAAAAGATATTAAGGATTTTTCAGACTTCATTACCAGCAAGAACCAAACTGAAATTTTGACAGTCAACGAATTGACGAAAGATGACCAAGGCTCGCGTCCAAATTACGACCATGTAACTCAAGCATTAGAATTGTTGTCATTTGACTTTTTCATTCCTTGGAAAAATGTCAAGTCCGTAGTCCACCGTCATTTCTTTGTTCAAGAAGGTGGTTTTGATGCTTTCATGGAAGTTTTAAAGTTTGCAAACAAAAGGTACACATTGGACGGAAGACTCATGGCAAAGTAAGTGTTAGCTTAATGGTTCTATGGTCTAGTTTTAGAGTAGTTGACTGGAAAGAGATGATTTGGTTTTATGCACTGATTTGATGATGTGATGCAACCCTTCTGTGCATCAACGCAGCATGAAAAGCCACTAGGCCCTAGAGCATAAGCTATCTATGAAATCTACACTCTTAATCCTCCCAGTATCAATTAACAATTCTCATGCAAATAAATTATTCTTGATTTTTCTTTTTTGTGTTACCATGTTCCCACCAGTAGCATGGCCCCATCTTTCCATCTTAAACCACATAACCCACAGTTCCCCAAGTCCCTCTGACAAAGGGCTACATCTTGAGACAACAGGTGTAGAATCTCTTTATGGAGCCCAATTCACATTATCAACCTAGTTGATGAAATTAGATTACCTTGGAATATCAATGATGCAGCACCAAAAATTTACTAGAAACCTGTCCTTTGGTTGTTTGGTTGTCTCTATCACAAACATCTCAACAATCTGCCGTGAAGTCATTTTATTAAGACATTCACTTCCACCAAAGTTGTCAAATTGTCTGTCTGTATATTTCTGGGAACATCTATGATGTACATGTAACTCTAAAAATTTTTCTTTACCAATGCTTTGTACCTGATATTTTCATAGAAATAAATGTGCTCGTTAAAATGGTGGGTGACTTTGTAGAATCACTTTCTTTTTCATATTTTCTAAGGAAATATCTTGGAGAATGCAAGGAAGGTGATTTGAGCGTATTGGAAAACCGCTTAAAAATGTTGAATGACCAGCAGACGGGATTGCATGCAGACTGCCTGAGCTTTCTGTGGAATTTCTCTGAGACATGGCATGATCGCAGGTTGTTGATACAGAAAGGAGGGCTCCCATATGTTGTCAAGGCTCTGCTCTCCAATCCTGACCAGTACCTAGTTTTTTCTGCGGAGTATTGGCAGGTGGCAAGGATCAATGAAACAGCTGTGGGCTGCCTTGTTCAGTAAGACTTCTGTTGTACTTTGTCATAGACTGATTATTGTATTGATCACAAAAATAGCTTAAGTCATTGGTAGGGTACTGATAAGATATTTTCTACAAGTGAACTTCAGAGACATCAGCCCAGGTTAAGTGCAGTAACTCGATTCTATGTTTGTATTGTGAATGAAGAGGTCCCATTTATGAACTTCAAGCAAATTTGTCTGCATATACTGTAACTTATAAATGAGGCTCTGAAAAAGTTCTTCTCTGCTCCTTAGGTATGCAGAGTTCCCTGATTGTCAAGAAGTGATTGCTCAAAGTTCTAAAATTGTCAACAAACTGATATTTATGTTGGAAGCATCAAGCCAGTTGAGCTTTCCCTTGGATGTCACACACTCAAACATTTACACAGAATATGCTTCCCAGATTGCTGCAAATACTCTATTCTGCTGTGCATGCAGTGTGCAAACACCAAAGATTCTGGTAGAAAATGGTATGCATAAAAAGATGATAGACCTCATGCAGCAAGCTAATATTAATGACTTGGCCACCAGGTATAACTAAATTTTAAATGTATATTTTTTGATGAATTTAATTAAAAATATGTTATTTGCTGGTACAGAGATACTGTATGTAGAGTAAAAAAATGGGTTTATGTCTTGAAGATGTTACCTTGGGTCTGCAGTGAAGGGTAGCTGCAAGGTCACAGTTTCTCACAAACAATATGTTACCTCTCAAAAATCAGACATTTGTTTCAAGTTAATCTCCCTCTCATGTCTCATGAAATCCAAGAAAATGTTGCAAATCAATCCTCTTACCAATTGATTGAGTAAGATCTGTATGAAGCCTCTACAAAAGCCTCACACAGTTGTATTTGTACACAGTGCTGTATCATAAATTAACAAGCAATGACAAGAATTTGAAATTTCTGTTACACCCTTGACAGCCATTTTCCTCAATTAATCAAATGTCTTTACTTGTAGTTACTACTGCACCTTGTTCCTTGCAAGAATAAGGTCATCTGCATTGGTTCAGTTGGATTCCGAAACAGCTCAAAGCATTGATGATCTCATTGTCGCCTTTCTTGAAGAATACTCACCTATTGATGTGTCAACTTGGGAAGAAAAACACAACTATGTCTGGGTCACCATGATACCCTTTGTAAGTTTGGCCTTTTCAGGAAAACAATATGAAAGGGAAAAATCTGCTCTGGTTAGCAAGAAGTCGGAGAAAGAAGGTTATAGCTCAAAACCTCACCTAGCTGGAAGTAAATGTGATATCATGGAAAGGAAGGTGGATACAAAAGTGGGAGCAATGGTTGGGGGCAATCAGTCTCACTCAGGCAAACATGCTGATTCCACAAGTTATAGTCCTGGATCCTGGTTCACTGGTACAACATCATGTCCAAGAATGCTTGGGTCTTTAGAGACTCAACAACTTGGACTTTTTACACTGGAGCACATGCTGAATTCAAGTGAAAACCGACAGCTTTTGGATGAGGAACATTTGTTGCCATATCTCCAATGTTTGTGTTGGTATGTTGGTGCAGAAGATGGAAGGATTGTGAAAGAAGAATTGACCAAGCATTGGACACCAAGTCCTGCACCTCTTAAAATAATTTGCAAATCAAGTCTGGCTTTTCAACATGGATTTGAGGCTGCTTTTAAAATGTGACAAACTAAACAATTATCCATTCCCTAATTTGGTTGTTTGTCGCACAAATGTCATACTTGTCAGTAGTGATAAGTATTTTTGTCGCAGCTCAGTGCATGAGAGTTATCAACTAGGATCTCTTCTCACTCACCAACATAACCCCCTTCCCCCCCCCAACCCATGCATGGAATTTTTAAAATTAAGAATACCCTTAAACAAGTTTTACAACATTTTCCATCTGCTCCTTATTTATCTATATTCAAAAAGTTGCTATTAAAAGTTGCCATTCTACCAGAGATTTCCGAATAAAATTAGATTCAGGAAAGAACTGAGGTGCTTACCTCTAGAAGGAAATTTTACCAAATGGAAGAACTTTGTTTTTTACTCCTATCCACTTTTGAATTTTCAGCACTTTAAACCGATTTAAACATTGTCACAATGGGGAAAATTAGCTTCATGATGTAATAGTTCCATGTACAAATAATGGATGTAGCTAATTTATGTATAAGAATATTGTACATACGTACTTAATGCACAGCAGTTGTAAGCAATTGGTCTATTTCCACAAGTTTTAATTAGTATAATTATTATAATTGACTTATGGCCTTTGTCTTGTTAAGTACAGCAAATCTCTCCCTTGTTATACAAGCAGTATTAATTGATACATGTGATTTAAATAATCTGTAGTAAGTTATTATTTTAACTTTCTAACACTATTCTTAGATGATAAATGTACCACAAATATTTCAGTACAAACATTATATTGTTGGTTTGATGTGACACATGATGCACAGGACTTATAAATGTGATGGGGATGTCTCTTGTTTTTCTTCACCCTGGCCTGCTTTTTTCTGTTCATTTACCTCAAACTGACTGCCAGGGACAAGCTTTCCATTTGGGTGATGCAGGAACTAAAAAACTAATCTTGGCTAATCGTAACCCTCAAAGACTCATCTCACTTTTTATGGCTAACCCAAATTTTCCTTTGTTTTCTGCTATTAATCTGACTGACTCCTCTTTCGTCTTCTCTATTGCGCCTAAATGCAAGCAAGGTAATTAATTTTTTGAGGCAAAAATAACCCAAGACAAACCTCCTCTGAGCTTGTAAATTACCAGAGCTGTCTTGTTCATTTCAATCAACAATTTATCTTTCCCTGAGACAAATTTGGTGGGTTACAAATAACATAATACTATGCAAACAAACCAATCCTTGAGCTATATGACAGCCAATGTTTCACTTTCTCCAATTTGTTAAGTTCTCAATCCTTCTGAAGGATTCAATCAAGAAGCTTTAACACATAACATCATAGGTTTGATTTAGAATCCAAACAGCAAAGACTTTTTCTCTTTCCAATACTTTCTATAGACAGAACAGGTAACCAGTCAACTCGCCGACGGACCAACTCGCCGACGCCAACTCGCCGACGTATAAAATCGAGTAGAGACGTCGGCGAGTTGGTCGTCAATCCAATACAACTTATTAGAAGTTAAACATACAGAGAAGTAAACGATATTTAGTAAAAAAACACTGGCGAACATTGGTGAACATCAAACAGAAGCTTAAACATCGGTGAACATTGGTGAACATCACCAATGACTATAACCAACGAGTTATTGTGCGACAACAACACCGTAAAGACTCATCTTGTCAATCGCTCAGATTTTTTAACGAAAACTTGGCTTTCTAGACGAGATCTTTAGTAAAATGCAATTATTTTTATTTGCAACAAAGTTTATAAGGATCTTAAGGCGAATAAAGCGAAGTAAACCTCACCAACGACTCTAACAGCTTCAGACCGACGTCTCTACTCGATTTTATACGTCGGCGAGTTGGTGTCGGCGAGTTGACCGTAAACCACAGAACATCATGCAGAGTTACAAGATGAAAATGACACAGGATGTTTAACAGCAAAATTTTTAATATCATTTCACAGTTTCATCAGCTATTCAATACAATTTATAAAAACATCATGTACATTATTTAAAAAAATCCCATTATTGTATCACTACATTTTAACTTAAATTACTCAGCTAAGGTTTACAAAGTGTACCTACATCTCATTAATCATGCTATCAAAATTTGGATCACTGTAAAACTATTAAAACATAATTAAGACTACTTTATGTTACAATCACACTAAGATACAATTATGTCAAAATTCTTAACAAAAGGTTGCATACCACTGTAAAGGCAATCTCTACAGAGAAAAAATTATAAAAGCCCATGAAGACCTTGTCAATTTTTGCTTTTTCAGGGAAAGTGGAGACAGGGGTAAGGCTTGAGCTTGAGAAGGAGATAAGCACCATGCAAACATGAAGAGAGCATGAATTGTGGGTCATGCATCAGAAAGGGATTGCAAAAACCGTTCACCTTTGTATCCCCTGAAAAAAACACACGCTAAAATATAATCTCTCCAAGTTTCATGGGATAAAATAGTGTAAAAACCTTTAACAGGCTGTTCTCACCTGTTACTTAAAAGAAATGCTCAAGCTTATTAGACTTAGCAAGACTATAAAAAATACGAGTAACAACCCAAGACATAACATCATGATGCACACATTTTAAGTCAATCATTGTGATATTCATGACTTATTCAAAATATTGGTTTGGTGCAGAAGAAAATCACATGGTCAAGGAAGGAGTGGCAGGAGCTGAGGGGTCCTGGGGTGCATGTTCTCTCCTCCCTTTATGAGTCAGAATACTTTTTCTCAATGATTATCAGACAAATCTTACACCTCAGGTTTGAAGAATGTATGAATCCCAACGAGCAACTTAGGATAGTCTGAGCATCCAGATGAAAATGTTACAATAAATTAAAGAAGGGTGACATGACTCATTCAAAGCACTTGGAAATCACTGCAGGTTGGCGTCCACTGGCATACTCATTCCCTGCTTGATTCTCTTGATCAGATAGAGCTTATCTCGACCAGCCTGGAAAATAAAGGAGAGAGTCATCAGAGTAAGGGTGCAGCGTAAAATCCCTGAAGCTTTTTTGCATCACCCATCTGTGTCAGACTGATCACATCTTGTTTGTCTTCAATCCTTTAGGACTGTGCAGGTTTACCGTGTCTATAGAAATTGATTTTTTTTTCCTTACACAGCTTCAAAAATATTAATGGCTTTTAAATCATGATAGAGTAATGGAATGAGACATAGAAGCATTATCGAGGTCCAAAAATCAGCATAACAATTGAAAACAAGACAAAAAACAAGCTCTCAGTGAAAAAAATTGATAAGAAACAGAAACTGATGAGACATGATCCATGCAAATCCACATCAAAAACAAACAAATCCAAAAGTTTACTGTTCACCTTTTTCACTGGTTCTAATAAACAACTCAAACTTGTAAATGAATGGATCTTAAAATTATGAGCAATCTTTCTTTTTCAGCAAAGTCTGTTGCATATGTCAAAAAATTCAGCACAAAAAAATTTGTTAGCTTGTCATGTACAGCTTTGAGGGTGAGATTTTCTGCACAACAGACTTCACCAAAACGGAGGTACTTTATGTAGTCTAATTAAACCTTAGTCCCATAAGTTAATGCATAGAATACTCCTTGTAAACTGCTGTAGCCTACTACTTACCAAGGAAATTTGTTCTTTCAATAGTTTTATCTTCTTTTCATTTGAATCCTTGAGCATTTTAAAATAATAGACAATGATCCTACAGTAAAAAGGAAATTGTAATAATTGTGAATAAAGTCATCTATGATCGCAAAGTCTAGACAGAAACTGTTTGAAAATACTCATTATGACAGAAACAACATAATTGCTCGTTTATGGTTCAACAGTCTCCAGAAGGGATACTCCAGTACATTTATTAATTATCATATTAAATGAAAAAATATATACATCTGTCAGAATTATGCAATCAGCAGTTTTTTACTGACTGTTTCAGGATCAGAGCTAGAGTAATCACAACTACTGATCAGAATCATTGTAATAATTATTCACAAGAAGTCAAAGAGAACTAAAATTAAAAATAAGCAAGGAGATTGGTTGAGAGAATGGCTAAAGTTTTTCCCTGAGCAAGAGCTAAAACTAATGTGATGATGTTAATGGAAGTGTCCTGTGTACTATAATTTAACCACAAATAGCTGTTCAACTTTTACAATGACTTTCATTCTTACCCAAGAATACAGAACAACAATGCGATAAAACTTGCAGAGGATGCATACTCTATGGTTACATGCAGCCACTTTGGAAACTTGTCAACTGTTTCTGTTACAACTTCGTACATGAAATTCTTCCCTCTAAACACAACAAAAACAAGCAACATTGTGAGTGATTTAGAGGATATTGTAAATATCTGCACAATGTAAGACTTATCATACCTCTAAGGAACAAATGTGCAGCAAAAATGCAGCTAAATAATGAATAAAAACTTACCGGAAAGGACCACACAATTGTGAAGGGTTGGTTCTGTAAAGAAAATAAAAGTAATTATTAATTCTAGCACAAATGAGGCTTGAAAAGTGAGCTTGACACTTCCTCAGGAAATTATAATTAGGAGAACAAAGCTGGAAAACAACTGCATACAAACAATTGATGTCTTAGGACAGTACCACTAACTATAACTATCAAAGTTGATAGGAAAAGAGCAAGTCTGCTTATTGGTTTATTAAAACCTGTATTGCTCCATCTATCACATTTTGCCTGGTGACTCAAATTAAAGGATCATATGCCTGTTTTTGCTCCAGTTATTATTTTTCACAAACAAAGCCATTCTTGTGTAATTGAATTAGTCTAGTAGGATATATTTTGTTACAAGTTTAACAGCTTTGCGATTGCCTCCAGGTAACCAGAAAAGAACTGAATTTTGAAGGTTACAGACTAGCTGCAATTAAAGTCATTTCAAAGAAAAAAGTCAGAGCTAAATTTATGCTTCAAAACGCATGTCCACGAAATTAGGGCGTTTCTGTGACCAACTGAGATACAAAGCTGTTAAGGGAGACACAAATTTGAATTAGTGTTTTCTTGATCCTGATTAAAAATAGTGTTTACATTTTATTAAATGTATCATTTGTGGAGTGTCTACAGGTTTGTAAGGCCTCTCAGCACCAACAGGAGTGACATTTCAGTATTGTTACTCACACATCTGATGACATTATAGTATATCCTATCACAATCATGGACAGAAAGAAGGACACAGCCAGTAAAAACAGAAACAAAAGGTTCATCCTGGATGCTCTGAAAGGCCTCATGGATGCACGGCAGTTCATCACCACACTTGTCTACAAGGAAAAAAAAGAAATGCAGTTTGTAATGGGATAATGTGCATTGCTATTGCTTGACTGTGCTTTACAACTGGTGTAGAAACTCGTTCCATTCTCTCCATCCATCAGATACGGAGCTAAAACCAAATGCAGTTTAACGAATCATGTTTATCTGTGCTTTAGCTTCCTTTTAATTTTGAGTTCCAGTTGTTTCCATTAGATATTTTTAACCTATTCTAATTGGCCATTGCGATTACTTCATTTTTGGTTTTTCAAACTTAATCAAAAGGTGCTCTTTTAAATAAATGTATTTACTGGTACCATGCCTCTTACAGTCTACCAAAGTTTGCAATGTATGCAATGAATGAATTCGTGTCACAATCATCGACCAACTTTTATCATAATGGTCATTTTACTGCATGGCTGCAAATACCAAGAGGAAACACAACTACATTTAACTTAATTTATCTTAAGTCATCCCCCCTTGCCCATATCTTCCAAAACCAAACAAGTTTGACCAAAATTCCTTCAAGAAACTGTATCAAGGGTTTAAGGAAGCAGTCCCCTTTCAAGGGTGTATTATAGGGCATTATTAGCGTAGTAGTTAAAGTTACAACTTTTAGAACCTTAAATCCACCTCTTTTAAATATCTTCTTAATGTTTGTAGATATTTCAGTGAGTTTAAATAACGACTTTACATTATGAACATACTCAGCATGCCGTTCTTATATTTCATAAGAAAAGCTCACTCACTCTATCTAATCCTAATTAATTAAGTACCTACCCTTTTCACATAAAACAAGATAAAGAGCTTTATCACTTGAATAACTGGTAACATAGGGCAGAAGAACGTGCCAATCCTAAATGAAGAGAAGATATCATATTGTGTTACTGTGCAAACAAGAGAGGAAGCATAGAAACACTGTACATGAAGAGAACAAACAAAAATATTTAAACATTTGGTACTCAGTGCTTTTAAATGGAAATTTTGATCAGTGAGTAAGCATAAACAAACAAAAAAAAGTTTTGTACTGTTTGTGACCTCTCATTATAAACTGCATGATACTGCATGCTGTGCTACTATAGGATCAAAGTACAAATGATTGGTGAAAGGAAGAGAGAAAGGAAAGAAAAATGAACAGAATGAATGGTAAATGAATGGGAGGGGAGGATTAGGCAAGCACCAGGCAGGAGAAATAATAGATGTCAGCTTACAAAAAATTTCTTACCAACACAGACACTGTGAATATATCAGATCAATGACGTTTCTTGAAATGTCAAAGCCAGGTGGACCCAGTGCTTGGCAACACTGACAGTTAACAATAAGAATCCTGAAAAAATATTTTTAAAAAATTCCTTGTAGCATATTTATAACATTTCCTTACAGTTGAGGGTGTTTAAGGTTCAATCACAGCTCAAAAAAGCTGAGGCTTTATAAGCAGTTCATAAAAATTCAGCTACTTCAAATTTGTTTCTCCTTAATGCAAACTGTGAAAATTCCCCCAAAATTGCAGACCATGAGCTCTGGCAGTTCCCTTCTCTCAATGTAATCAATTCAATTGCAAGTCATTGAGGTCCTAATTGTGAACACTATACTTAGCTTGTTGAGCCCTCAACAAAAGTAAGGTAAAAAGCTCTTGTGGAAGGAGAGGGAGGTAGGCCAAGCAAATTTAACTAGTTTTCAACTAAAATGTCAAGCAAGAATTACACTCACCTTCGGACAAATTCACCAAAGAATGTTGATAACAACAGGAAAACAAAGTCAACAATGACAAGTCGATAGAAAGCGTATCCAACATAATTTTCCCAACAGTTTTGAATAAGCTAATTATAAAAAAAATTAAATTAGTCTGTGTGCTCCATCTTCAGAATCAATACAACCACATTTCACTTTAATTTCTTAAAGGCAATGAATCAAGTTAACAGATGTCAACAACTATCAGCACCACACAAAATAATGACCTAACATTACCGATGGATTGAAACTGACTACTCACAATCTACCTACACTAATTGAGTCTTATAGCCAATAACATGCATTATATGGCCAATCAGTTTTCACAAACCGGACTTATAGCATTCAACTAATAACAACTCTTCACTTGACTCAGATTTATAATGACTTCCACTCAGGTTGTCAAAACATCTGTCTCCACTATCAACAACAGTCCTTCTCAGGACAACCCTCACCTGAACAATCAGACTACATTATCAAACGTTACCCCCTGGTTAAAAGCATTTGATGAGTTAGGGGTGGCTGGTTTACCAAGAAGAAATTTCTATTTTACCAACAACAACAAGCAAATAAAACATGTTGCTTTTTTACAGCGCTGGCTTTGACATGAGATGCACAATAGAAATCATTGCTGTGACACTGATTTACATACAAATGTAAGATAATACATTGCACCACAACATGACCAGCCATTAAACACAGGAAGCCAACCATTTCATATTTCATGTTATAATCTCTTACTTTGTCACACCCCTTATCTGAGCCGATAAGTTCCCCATCATTCCTGCATCGCTGAATGTCCACAAACAACAGAACAACAACCATTGTTACCGATATCAGCATCATCAAAGTGGTTCTGATTAAAAACAAAATGCATTGATCATAAATATGCAGACTGTACACAAATTGTTAAAGTCTAGAATTTGATTGAAGATTAATTAATTTCTTTATCATAGAAAAATATGTGTTTAACATCTCAAACTCTCACTGAAACCCATAACAACTATTGTCTTTAAGGTTTCAATTAATAAGTCCCACCCCAAATACAGCACTGAACTAGCCAGAGGTACAAGTTGACAATATCCACTTCAAACAGTTTTGTTCACATCAATAATGATAATAGTTAGTCCAGTTTATAAAAATTAAAATGGTTCAGTGAAATCCAACAGTTGCATAATAATTCCTAATTAATGACAAAACAAAAGATAAAGCAGGCAAACAAAATCCCAGTTGATTGAAAACATCCCAAATACTTAATATACATCAGGTCAGCCAGTGCTAGCTGCAACAAAGTAATAAACTGAAATTGATTGGTTGTAAAATATTTAATCTACTTGATTTTGATGCATTTGCTTCCAAAAAGGAGTCCAATATTAACATATTACTTGTTAATCCTTCATAATTACCTTGCCAAATTGACATTTATGGCAGTGCGAGGACTCTTGTATCTTTCTAAAGTTGCAATAATGCGAAAGGCCATTGGCATAATAAGGTTGATGCCAGATACCACTAGTGGAAGCAAAAGTTTCTCCAACACAGCAACGTTATCCTTGATGAAAAGAAAGCAAATTCATAAGTTATACCACATTGTAGAGGAAAACCTGAGTGAAACATATAACAATGTATGTGGGGAGAGTTTAAAAGAAAGAGCTGAGGAAAATCTCTGACTGTCATCTGGCATTGACTAAAACATTAGTTTAGTCCAGGTGTATACACTTGTATATGCATAAAACAATTTTTTGCATTCCCTTGTTTGACACACTATTATTAAAATGCCTTACTTCAAATATAAAATCAAATGTAAATTAATTTTCGTAAATTTTGGATTTCTATCCACTAACTATCTCTCACAGATGTGACATTTAGAACATTCTGAAATAAATGTTCTTAGTACCCTGAATGGACCCCAAGATAACTGATAGCAGCATTGATGTGAATACTTGACCAGAGTACTTTGAACTGCACACAATACCCTTCAGTCCATGAAATCATATGCTCCAATATGGAAAATTGACTTATCACAAAATTCATTTTCACTAGCTGTCAAAATTTGACCCTAAAAATGAAATTTGATTGCAGTCCATGCCTAAGCCTGCCAGATCTTTGAACATCCTCACTCCTATTCATTCTCTCCATTAAAAACTAATCTGATAGTTATAGCACAAAGGAAAATATTTTCTTACTGATGATTGTAGCGAGAGGCCTGCAGAAAACAAGATGAGATATGCTGATCCTCCCATCAAGGCCAGGACAATGAAATTTGTGAAGACACGAAACCAAAACAGTTCGCACTTTTCATTCAAAGTACGGGTCACTGAATAACTCTGTTCAGCGATGGCTTCCTGTTAAGTGACAATGCCAATAATAATGGAGGATTTTCAGTTTCTTTTATGGGGATTTAAGTTAAAGAAAATTGGTCACAAATAATAATTTTTATTGCTAAACCAAAACAAAGTAAATTATTTAGAGTGTGTATGAAGGCTGTTCATCACTCACTGAGTTACAAAACATTTGAGAGGCAAGGTTGTATTTGTTTAAGAGCCAGAGGCTGGAAAGGAGCTCCTACAATTTCAGGTGCTGTTCAAGTATCATGGAGGTTAGGTGATAACCTAACAAAATTGACTACGCAACTGTGTTATGGGTTTCAGGTGGAGAGCTTCTGACCCAGGAACCAGGAAATGGGAGTTGATTTAAAGCCAGCCAAAGAGAAAATTTTGGGTCAAGGTGACTGAAAGATGCTGGTCAGTCAGTGTACCCTATAAGCGATTCTACTAACTAAAGTTACCATTCTCTGGCCAGCCAGTGTGCCCTAGAAGGGATAGTACCGTACCCTGCATAGTCAGCCTGTGCCTTGGAAGATAAATAGGTTAGTAAATTGTGGCCTTGGAGGTATACCACGGGCATGAGAAACCAGTGAGGGCTACTTTCACAGGTGGTTCATACTTTGCTCTCCTTGATTTCTAGTCTACCTAAATTAATAGACTTTTTAAAATATCTGAAACAATGTGTACAGTTCACGCTTGCAGCAACATAATTTTACAGTCTGTGAGCATTCCCATAGTCATTAATCAAGGTTATGAATTACCCTTAAAGTAGCAACTATTCAAATACTGACCTGAAGTTCATTAAAAGCACTTTTATGTTTTAACAATGACGCACTCCTGTCAGTGATTCCATAATCCCAAGAGCAAAACACTTTTGATGCATAGAAACTAAATTCATCCCCAGAGTATATGTAGTTCTCTCTGTAGGAGTTTGCCATACTAGACATAATAAAAAAAACAGTAACTTTAACTTTTATGGCTAGTATAAAGCAGAGATGGGAATTTAAGTCACTGTATTGATATTTTTAATGTTGAAATGTTAATACATTTGAAACTCGACTGTCAAATCACTAACAGAAAATAGCTTTCTGGGAGCTGTAAATGCTGAAAGATTCCGGAAATGGGCCCGTGGGTGGAAAGAGGCATTATGAGCGTATAGTGTCTAGCCTATGAATACAATATAATGTTCTCCATGAGAAGTATTGTGAGAGTTGACTATCTGGTTCAAGAACTCCACAGAATGTTCCCACACTGGGCATGACTCTCTGTCACTTCCAGCAAGAGAAAGTGGGAAAAACTTCGACTGACACCCAGGGTCACCAACAACTGTAGGTGCTGGACTTCAGCCTTAATGGCCTATCTTTGCTTTATACAGTCGTAAGAACATGTGCCCCTCCTATTAATCAGTTTGGTTGTATATTTACCTGTACACAAGCATTACCAGACACAACAGCAGATAGCCACCTCCAACACACAGGTATGCCATGGGCATGATATACTCAAAATCATCTACTTCAGTTATGCGTTGGTTGGTGTATGCACCGTAGTACAGTTCTGTGGCAGCAAACCAGCCCTGAGGCAAAAATCAGACACATAAAATTTATTTTAATGCTAAAGCTACATGTATAATCTTAAGCTGTTATGTAATTAGAAAGGGTTAATATGGGGTGGCGACCTTCAACCCAACGTCAAAGTTTTGTTTTAACACCCTGCTTCCCTCTCAATTTTTTTTCATGTCAACTAAGGGGGGAGGGTGGGAGGTTGTTTCCACACTTATGAGGAAGATTTAAGAGTTTTCATCACTAGATGTACTCCAATTTTCCCAAATCAAACAGAAACACCATTTGAAGTTACATTATTTTTGTTTCATGAACACAAGTGTAGCAGGATAACACTTTGCCGTGAGTACAATATTTATTTTTATTACTCAGTATAACACCTCACCAGTCAACTGCATAGTGTGATTCCTTGGGTAGGGCCAGGATTGTTTTGAATGATAGTGAGTGATGCCAATGATAACATAGGGAGATGCTGTCATCTTCTGGCCAATAATTACCCTCATGTTATTGAAACATCAGTCACCCTTATCTGAACTACCCTCCTGAGGCTCCATAATACAGCTGTAGAAAACCGCACTACATAATCACCTGGTATTACTCTTGGATTCAAGCCATTTACTCTTTAATTGGCTATTACCTCTCCTGTGAGCAGTTCCCATCCTGTGAAAGAAGCATTGTTGCTCTCTGAGCTCTGACCATAGATCATTTGTGGTATGAACAGGAAAAAGATTGTTAACAGCAGTATCACAATGTTAAGAAGGAACAGCCAGCGCAGTAACACAAAGTATGACATCACTCCTGAACCAAACATTCCTGAAGAAGAAAGAATATATTCATATTGATTGATAACAGGTTAACCAGCAACCCTACAGATAGATACTGACAATTATCACCCAGAATAAGAAAAAGATATTGAATAACTGAGTGTCATGATTGTGAAGACTAATGTTGGAGGGAAGGTGTTGTAAAGATGGTAACAGAGGAGGATGAAAGTCTCTCGACTAGCAAGGAAGTCACTATAGCAGCCAAGCCAAGGGGAAGGGCCAAAGGAAAGAAACAAAGCAAACCACAGAGGTAGGCATCCACTCATGTACAAGCACATGTATCAGCCCACTGTTCATGTAACATCTTGGTCACTATGAACAACAATTAAGTAATAATAATTAACCCTTTACCCCCCAAATATCTATCCTAACAATATCACACCTGAATCTAACATTAAGGTCACAAGAGTAAAGGAAATGATCACCAACTAAAGAAGCTCTTGATTGTTAAACAAATTCTCCTTAGTAGCAGCTTAAGAACTGTACAGAGAACGGTAAGGAGAATGTGCATAATGATGTTAGGGTGTTAATTAAAGGTCAATACGTCCTACATCTAGCACTAACCATGAATTAATTTTAGATGACCCCTCCACAAATCCAAGGAATACAGAATCTCTTTACAGCCATCCTTAAAATGCTGCCAGCCCTGATAAAAGTGTACAAAATAACAATGTTTAAAATGTGAAAGTTTAATAAAGCAATAGCTGGTACATGTAAGTATTGTTTATAATAAGTATGTAATGTGTAGACTAAATCTATTTAAAAAATAATCAATTAAAGAATCAATCAAAAAATAAATTAAATTATCAACTCAAATCAAATTGTAAATTTACCATTGCAAATGCAAACTTGAATTGTTTCCAGGCACTAATTCGCTTTGTTTTCCCCCTTTGGATTGCTGATGTGGCAACATTCTCTCTGCAAAACCATAAGTCAATTAAGGTTATTGATCAGATCACATGTCAGTTCCATAATATCTTACTGAATTCTTTCATTGCAACAACTTTCAATTATAGTTTGATAATCAAGCTGTTTCTAACTCTTAAGGTTGAAGAATGAGTTTCAAAATATACACACTTTAAGACATTGTATATTAGCTGCAAAGGGAATTCAACAACTGTGACAACCCATTCTGTGTAATGCAGCCTCAAAAAAAATTGCTGCAACACATCACTGTGAAAAGCATCAGCTGCAACAACACACATCAAGTGACACAAGGAATTTCTGGGCAAAATCTTCTCTCAAAAACCCTACAGCAGTGCTCCAGGATTTTGTAGGTTCAATCTCTCAAATGCACACAGATTAGTTTTCTTTTCTTTTTTTTTGCAACTAATTCCATAGACAAATTTCAGTCTCGAAAAAGTAGCAAGATTTTCATCATATGTCACAGGAGGTAAATTGTTGTAGCATTCTACAATGTATCACAGCAACTTGTCATCTGGTGTGTAAGCTTTTGACCTCTTAACAGAACAGGCCTTTATCTCTTTCTGAAATATTTTACAAAATCTTTCCACCATAGTATTACCAAAAGGTGATTGACAACTTTTGGACAATAAATAATGTGGCTAACCTAAGACTGCGCTTTCGTCTGATTGATGTGGGCATTTCCTTGATAGACTGTCTTCTCTTTGTCAGCTCTGCAAATTCTTCTGGTGTAAACTCTGTATCACGAAGCACTTGATCTTCATAGACCCTTTCAACATCACCTCCACTGTCACGAGACAAACTTCTCAGGGAGGCACGAGAAGTTTGAGCTCTGCTCTTCAAAGTCCTTCGTACCCCCTTTTTCATTGCATTTTCTGATGGAAGACCCCTGATAGAACGGAACTGGTGACTGGGCATACTCTTTTCCAACTGCTCTCCATATTCCCATGATTCATCTTCATCGAAGTCAGCAGTAACAGCTCCATCCTGATCGTCGACAGGTCTCACTTGAACCAGGCTTGAGGCATTGCTCTGATAGGTGGCTGTAGATGCCATTGACTCTTGGGATGGTACTCTCAATAAATTTCCACCAACATCAGGATCTTTAGTTATTAAGTTTAACAAAAAACCTCAATGAAATTACCCCAAACTGACCTTCTAAAGAACATTACTGCCACTTTAACCCTTTAACTCCCAGAAGTAATTAACTTGTAACTTCTCCCTAAAAAATCTGTACATTATCCAGCCACCAGGTAATGAGAATACTCAAACTTATCAGGAAGAAGTTTTTATCTTGAACTAACACCAAATTCTCATCACTTATTTACAAGGAATTGTAACAATAATATCTTGGGAGTTAAAGGGTTAAAAAGGATGACAATAAGGTGTCAAATTTAGTCCAATGTATAAAAGACAATGAACAGATTGGTAATGATCTGGCACTAAATCCATTACCTCTTGTGATTTTACCGCGCTGAAATTGTAACATTGCCAGTACGAGTTTTACCAATCTTAGAAGTTTGCCTCGATCGCTTTGCTGCAAGCTTAGTATCAACCCGAGCTATCTTTTGATTGTCACAGCAATTATTTATGCTGTACATTAACCCTTAGTTTCAGCATATTATCATCAACCCGACGATTTTCATAAAGGACAGTTAATTCGTACAGATTTCGTTTAAGATGAATCTCTGGTATTGAACCAAAATATTATAGCCGCAAGTAATACGCGTAAATTCCCACGATTTATCTGAAAGTGTTTTCAAAATTTGCACTTTTGATATCTCCCGTGGGAAATTTACGAACAATAAGCTATCTTGCTTGGCTATAAACGTAGTGTTTCTTTTTCTTCCCGACATTCATGCGTTTTAGGATTAACCTCAAGATTTCAACACCACTTCATAAAATCTTGATGGGTCTGTAGGAAAAAAATTTGATGCGCTTTCCATGATGATCGAATGTTTGTATAACAGTTCGATTCGTGACATGTTTTCTTCGTGATCGCAACGCCTTAGGACAGCGCTTTGGGACACCTCTTGTATATTTGAATAGAATCAGAACAACACATCATTAGAGGTATTAGGTTCAACACGAAAGCTGTTTAGATTGACGAATTACTCCTACCTTGATCGATCAACTTGAAATGATGGCTTGTGGCTAGAATCGGACTGATCGCTCGTCTTTCAACCCGAAAGTTTTTAGCAATTGCTATGCAAAGTACGTCACGGCATTGTTAGCATATGAGAAATTTTAAGTTTCCATAACAACAAATTTATTCTTCTTTCCGGTAGCTAACGTGAATGGACAAGGACTAATAAGACTGAACTATTTTCTCAATAAACCAATTTGTTACGATTCTCGCCGTTCAGGACCCTTGCGTTTCATTCCTCACAATGCCGTATGATCTTTGCACAAACTCAGAGTCAGAGAAGTAGATTTTAAAGATCAGAATTGATTCAGTTTGTTCTGAGCGATCATTATGTAAAACTTGACTTAATTGAACTCATCTAGGCATTCAACAATCAGAAATCAATAGAACTGTTGTCCATCCCTTTAGCTAAGCTGTTTAGAAATAACTCAAGATCTTACCAAAGCTTTTGTTTACAATACCCCCTTCTTCGCTGGACTGTGCATTTTCTTTGTTTCCCTCGGCACTAGGACTGAAGTCGAGAAAACTACTTTGACTCGCAGCTTTAGATAACTGTGCTTTCGATCCGGACATCCCAGAGGATCGACTGATGATCGTAAAATTGAAGTGTTCTATTCGATAACTACAAAAGACCGAAATTTTTCAATACTCTACACCGTCGTAAAGATACAGAGACAACCTGTGCCCATTCAAGCACCGTTTATCAGCAGTAAATCAGTTGAACGTAACCGAAGAATTTTGAATAAATTTGTCCTGTTATTTACCTATGAAAAAGAGTGAGTGAAGTTGTGTGACATACGGAAGTCAAACTGTTCGTTTCCTCCGATGAGGGGGCGGGGAGATGTGAATTTCTGACAATAACCAGTGATTTTCAAAGACCGATGAATTGGAAGTGGGTTGGATTTGTCGTTCGATTCGCGTTTTTAATAATCAAAAAGTTAATAAGGATTTCAAGGAGATTGCATGGGCTGTAAAGTGAAAGAGTCCAGAATAATGTGCCGATCAATTCAAAGTTGAACTTTCCCACCCTCCTCCCTTAGCAACCCATAGGCATTTGAACCTTGCCCGGGTGGGGCAGGGAATTTGAACCGCTGTTATACATGTTTTTTTTCTTTTAATTTTTAATATGAAAGAGTTGAAGGATAAAGGATCCCCTTTCATGAGCAGATGGCTTAGAAGGAAATTTTTACATGTTAGAATTATTCTCACGTGGGAATAACTTAACAACGGTACCAAAAACTAAAATGTGACTTTGCTAAATTCTACAACATCGTGGGTAAAAGAAGAGTTCATTCGAAAAAAAAAATTGTACATCAGTCGGGTATCTGGACGCAGTGTTGCCCAGGGGGAGGGGGGAGGGGGGAGGGGGGAATTTTGAACAAATCAATCTTTAAGAGTTCACACGCCGGGGGGCTTTGCCCAGGGAAATTTTGAATCTTCCAATTGATCGACGCAGAACGCAGTAGAAAGAGCTGGAAGTTCAACTAGTACAGATCGTGTATATGTTTCAATTATGTATACGTACCCCCAAAACCTCCATTCCCATATCCCCACTGATATGTGTATCCCTTTAAACATGGCTGTTGGTTATATGTGTATATCCAAATCTCCCCCCCCCCCTCCCTCTTAGCTCTTGGAGATACAGATGTCATTCGGCAATGAGGATTCCGTGATATTAGCCAAAGGGCACTTTCAGAATTTTAATAACTCTATATCGTGTTTGTGTTTCGAACACGTAGACTACAACTTAAGAAAGAAAGTAATTTTAGATTACGCATTAAACCAATTTTCAGTTGTGTGGCTAAAGTGTTCCAGGATTGCACTGGTTTTTTTAAACTTCGCTCTGTGATTGGTCTTAAAAACTCGCGCTCCTTTCTCGACCAATCAGATGCAAAACTAAAACCAATTACGACTTGGTCGCCCGCGTATTCTTATGCCTTGGCACTTTGGTTTTGTTCCATTGGCTCTTAAAGATATTTTAGATTTCCTGATTAGCCGTAGTATTAACCTAAATTTTCGTTTTACGACACTCAATGGAAAAGCGCTAAGGTGTTGTCTGAGTTAAACTGGCATCAAGAGATACCAGCACCAATGAATAAAGCGGCGTTTCTGAGCAAATGATTTAAATAATAGACTTCCCACACGAATATAAAACATGATCCTTTAATTAGAAACATTTCTGAGTAATGAATTTTTTTTTTAATCACGAGTATGATTACAGATCAAATTGGACAACACGAAGTCTTATTATCAATTAATCATAAAAATTATAATTTACAGGGAAAAGATGAATAGCCAAGTTGTGAAAGAAACGGAAAATTTACATTAAAAGACTGACGATTGGTTGATTTAAACTACAACTTTGAATGTGATTGGATTATTGAACTGTCCGATAACAAACTGTGCGATGAGAACTTGACAAGTAAATTAGAGTTTTTTAAATCAATCACGATCGCGGAAATTGTAATTTTTATGATTATTTTATTTATTTCCCACATTCAGTCTTATGACGAAATTTCTAATCTCTTCATCTTTGTTGCAAGACTAAACAAACTACCTGTCATTTCGTCTGTTTACGGTTAATTTCAATTTTGTGAAAGCCTGTTGCACAGCGATATACAAAACTGGAAATGTGTGAACAGGAAGACACATAGCACAGAACTACGCCTCATGGGGAATCAACGTGCAGGACTTCTCTCGCTTATCGATAAATAAGAAACACTGTCGCCACAGGCTAACCTAGCTCCATATACAAGTACATCTGCTATATTTTGTTGTTAAGCAACGGTAGAAACGTTAGGATTTACATTGGTAACATGGTTGTATTAAGAAACCAAAATTTGAAAAAGGGAAAAAAAAAATTTGGCTTTAGTCGTGTGTTTCTTTGTCTTTCTTGTTAAGGGAATATTCATAGGTAGCTAACTTTGGTTTAAAACGAACTTAAACTGATATTAATTGCTATATATCTGTCTAAAATTCCCATCATATAGAAAGAAACGCGAGACTGAAGCAAGGAAAGCTACGTCTTTTCTAGAAATATCTCTGAAATTTTTTTTCGTCCTGGAATGCAACCGTTTCCCCGATAAAAAAATATTGATATTTCAACTGTTACGTAATAAAGATATAACGTTAAGATCATCGCAAATGAAGAAGAAATACAAATATTCTGCCTCTTTGAAAACGTTTTGGCGCCATTTCCAGCTGAGCCATAAGCTCTATGTAGGGAGGAAGGCAAGTTTTAGCGATTTCTGTATTCTTCGTATATCATTCGGGAATGTGTCGTGTTGGTAGGTTTGAAGATCTTACACCAAATGAAGCACTGTAATGATTGTTTGGGTTTTGCGTAGGCCCTTTCAGGGAGAGTTTCATTAGAGTTGTGTAAACAGTTCCTAAAAGTGGAAAATCTCCTGAGGGGCACAAAAAGATGACCTTTCAGACCAATGAAATACATCTCATGCATGTTTTATGAAACCAGTTCGCTATCTTGCGAGGAATCCCAATTTAGCTTTTGAAACATCTTCTAGACTTGACATGCAAACTGCATGGGGCAACTAGCACTTAAATCATTCATGGTTTGCAGCGTGGCAGTTCAGTTGGTGTATTTAATAATCGTTAATTTCTTCCACCAAAAGAAATCGCTAGGACACCATTGCATCAACGTTTCACTTCTACGATACTGCGACTTTTAACGTTTATCGGAAGAAAGAGTTGCGTCCTTAGAAGCTAATTCAACAGCCAAACTCCACTCAACATAGCGGCTTATTGCGAACAAGTTACGCTTGAAAGAGTCAGTGGTGTTTTGAAAGGAAAGACATGGCAGCGGTCTTCATTATCTTCAAAATACTCTGTCTTCTCTTACAGGTATTTCTTCTAATTAATTTTTCCCTACACTTCAAAGCTAAACATCGAAAAAAAGATTATAACGCTTACTTGATGATTGTTTCAGATATTTGAAAGTTTCCAAGCGACAACTTCAAGTAAGTTTTCTCACGTACCTTAAGAATCCAGAAGTAAATATTGTTCAAAGAACTTTTTCGACAGTTAGTCGTTGTAACTCTTCCAGCGTTAAAAATCGAAAGTCGTACAGTACAGGAGTAAAACTCGTCTCATGAATATGGAAGGTCTGTAAAGCGTCTACCTATGTTAATCTTTTTTGTTTCTCTAAAGCTAGAATTTTCTATGATAAATTTTCTTTTCTATCTTTATAATAGTGACACCAAAGTTTTAATGAAACTCTACCAGATTCTGTTCGTTTTGAAATACCTAGGGAGCTGTAAAGAATCATACGATAAGAAGCCTAATGGATTTAGGACAAATGCAAACAACTTTTTGTTAATTACTCAATATTCAACCAAAATTTTAATTCTTCCTTTTCCGTTATTTTTGTGTAAGCGAGGATTTTCATTAAAAGGAAACCGGCTGCCATTGGAAGTGTGAACTGTGAAGTCTTTTTAGTAGTTTAAATCATGGGACCTACCTACTTTGTTAAGTCAGAGAGAGAGGGGTAATAATCAAAAGATTGGGGAAAAAATCGTACCTTGTTATTTAACAAGTTAACATCTGTCTTCACATAAATTTTTAATAACCACTTCAACTGTGGTAGCGATTCTTATTGATACTAACAAAAGGCTCCTTAAAACTTGCGAAATTAACGGTTCTCTCAGGTGTACTTTTCACATAATTAACTCTTTGTTTTTTAACGTTTTCATTAAAAAAAAACTTTTCTCCTAGTCTCTAGAACTTAGCAATTTATTCCGTCTATTATCTTCAGAGCTAATTTACAGAGTGAAAACACCCTTGTTAAATTTCGTTGCTAGGAGGCTTTGAATGACACTCAGACCATGTGATATAATTTATCGTTTATTAGGCAATTCTCGAGAACAAGATTGAAAATTAATTTAGCGTAGTGTGAACGAGGTGAAGTTTAGAACTACATGATTCGCAAGAAAGCTTCCTAACTTGGGTTGATTCAATGGTTGATTCAATGGTTGATTCAATGTTTAATTCAATGGTTGAATCAAAATCAAGAGCGAGTGTTTTTGCCATTTCTAAGCTTAACTGCAGGCCAAATATAGCTGGCACTAAAAATACAAATTTAAGATGTACAAACGGCGTTTCGCTTAAGTAGAACCAAGAAAATTGGGAGAGAATTTGTGTATAAAAATTGCCCGACGGAGCAAAAAATGCAAACGTATTAGAGCTCAAGATGTATCACCCAAAATTGAAAATTAAAGCTTTTCCGTTATTCTATCCTGAAAACTCGATGCTGCACAGAAATGTAAATAAAACTAAGCCGGAGAACGTCAGAGTGAGGCCACTGCATGATTTTTTTAGTGGACGGCTTTCCACGTTTTAAAAACTCTGACCATGCTGTATCATTTTTCCCGAGTTTTGGTCATTTTAAAGGCATAATATCATGGCTTATATTTAACATGGAGCACAAAGTGATTATACACATATTTATTGTAGTTTTTCAATTAATTTTAGTAACAGCCAGTTGGTCAGTAGCTCTTGTTTGTCCGGCCCTTAAAAACTTTGAGGATAAACCTGACTATGTATGTAATTTAATAACTCTTTTTTAAAATAAAAGTCGTTTAAGTACTTCAACGAAAATGGTTTTTTTATTGACTTTTTCTCAGAAATTTCAGTTTTCAAGTGTGATTCTTCCACTTTCACACTGCGTTACGCCGTTCAAACACTGACTGAAAATCCATGCAGTGGATGCCGTATCAACGAAACCACAGTTCCCATATGTCAGCGGCGCCTGTATGCTCCAATAGCTTCGTGTAAAGAGGAGTCAACCAGGATCTCCTTTAACTTAAAAGTATGGCCAACGGACGAGATTCCAGGTTGGTGAAAACTAAAACAATACCAATATGGTTGGCGAATGGCAATTCCGCATTCTTTCATTTGTCTTCCTTTGAATAATAAAGAAAATTAGCTGCACGAAAGTCTAGTTCGCGTTCCTAATAGCTTTACTTCTTAGCTCTACCTTTTTCTTTTCTTGCCAATGATGCGATGACCAAAGCTATCATGCGTTTAAAAGTGTCCATAACAGGTGTTTGTTTAAAAATAACGGTTGCATTTTTCAATTTAGCCGAAAACTTGCATGACAGTGCTAAAATTTTGAACTCTTTACGACATCATGAAATTGCTTTTAAGTTGCAGTTTCAACCTTGTTTTTTAGATAGCGAAGCAAGCAACCAGTCAGCGGCACGCTTCGAAGATAGCCACGATTTCTTTACAATGCAACCCCAGGAAAGGGCTATCGTGTTAAAACTGAAAGAGGTATCGCTTGTACAATATTCTGGCATGGCTTTCAACTGGAGTTCTAACTCTTCTTCCTTAAATTTTACCATGGATTACAGCATAGACGGCTTTCACTGGATCGACTACGTTGAGGACGAACGAGTAAAGGTAAAAATGAATAAAAAGTTTCTCATTGAATAAGTCTCAGAAAAAGGCGAGAAATCTTCCAGTACTTCTCACTTTAACAAACAGCTCGGTTGTGTGATGCACAATTTAAAATTATGGGAAAACGTTATAAGTATGGGTGACGATCGTAGGAAATGATGCATCAAAAAAATCTGGGACATTTCGCGATATAAGAAAGAAGCCTCTGCCTCCTTCTCCAAAGGACGACGGAGCGTGTGGAGTTTCCATTTTTGATTTCTACCAATTAGAAAGTTGCATCTATCCATATATGTGTCCATCAAAAGACCTAACGAACAAAAGGTCTATCGAAATCACGCACTTAAGGCAACTGGCGTCGGGAGAGTCATGGCTTGGTTGTCGTTGCAAACAAGGAATTTTTCTTCTTTTCTTAAGATCATCTTACGCTTCTTTGATTACTTATTTTCACAATTTTTTTAAGCGACTGATTTACTTTGATTCGAAAAGTATGAGCTTGATGTAATGAATGTCGCATGCTTCTTACATGTATTTATACCATGGGGTACGATTCTTTTCAGGTTTTCCAAGTCCACCGCTACCATCCAACAGCATGTTTGTGCCGTAAGGTGCTCGCCAGGTACATTAGGATAAAGTTAACAGGAAAATCAGAGTTTGCACCTTGGCTGAGTGGGTATTTGGATGCAACATTTTGTTCAATTACGGCTGAAGGTTGGTTTCACTCAATTTATTGGCAACTTCTTCCCATCATCATACAAATTTGTGCGCCGTCCGTGTTACCGGCATCATATTTTGCTAGACAATATTTAGGATAGTACGTGCATCCTCATTGGTCGATTAGAGTGGGCCGATGAGAGTATGTTAAGCAATTGGGGACCACTTCGTATTCACATCTTATCACTGGAGGGCAGGGTTGGAGAATTCTCGGAGGTTATGCAAACCCCGACTTCGGCTCAGGTTCGCACACCTGTCTCGAATTTCTTTAAACCTTCTCGTGCCGGTGAGATGAGGTCAGACGAATAAAGCCCTATATAACTTAATATTTGAATTCCTCACAAGCAGATAAATATTTACTATTTAATTGGTCTTGAAACAAGCTTAGAGCTAATTCTACGCATTCTTTTCCCTCCTGTATCGGAGTAGGACATACCTAATTTTAGTTCGAGTGGGTCAAATATGTAACCAGAAAGTGTGAATCCTATAGCTCTCGAATCCTACACTAAGTTTATCATTTCAGATTGTTGAAAACCGTTAGAAACCGTCCACTACATCTTAAACTTTAATAAATAAATACAGGTGCTGATGGATCGGAAAATTATTGCAAATCTCTCGGCATGGAGAGCGGCGCAATCACCGATGAGCAACTTAAAGCCTCCTCATCTTCTGAGAAATGCGAACCTGACCGAGGAAGGTTACACTTAAAAGACGCTGGTAGTCCCAAGCAAGGGGCTTGGTCTTCTCACACAGTTGATGAAAATCAGTGGCTACAGATTAATCTTCTTGAGGTCCACACTGTAACGGGTGTTGCTACACAAGGACGAAATGGTCGTGACGACATGTGGGTGAAAACATACAAACTTCAGTATAGAAACGACGGAGGGAGTTTTCAGTACTACAGGGAAGCCAGCGGAAATACTGATAAGGTGAGACACAACTTGCATAATTCCTTCATAAAATCTCCTTCAGAATGCAACATATTTTATTTGATGGGTTCTGTTAAGCTGACGGGGTGGTTTCTGTAACTGATTCATTCTACTTGATAAGTTCTTGGCGCAAACAGCTTCGCACGCCACCATAAGCTTCGGGAATCGCCTGACCTTAAAAGCTGTCGAGCGGAGTGCATCTGTGCAAACTCGTGATGCGCCTCCGAAGGGGTGGAAAACTGTGGATAAACTGTTCTTAAAAATTTTTGTATTTTTCTAGAGTTGTATTTATAATGGTAAATAATGTTTGAAAAATAGCTTCGAGTGCATTTTGCATGCCTATGAAAAGATAATGAATATTTCCCGCATTAGGAAATAAGGACAAGAAGACTTAAATGTTAATCATTATTTTGTTGCATTTTCCTTCCAACTCTTTTAGCTTTTCTGTGGAAATAATGACTCAGACACGGTTGTTTATCACGACCTACATCCACCAATCAAAGCACAATACATCCGCTTTCGACCAATAGAGTGGCAAGAGCGTCCATCGTTGAGGGTTGAGCTTTACGGTAACGAAGGATAGAGCATCGGAAAAGTGATGGGGACAGGGCAGGGCAAAAGAAAAAATTAATTCCCAGAAAATTATTCCAAAAAAATATGCCCGTGGATTTAGCGAAGAAACTCTACGTAACGACGACACATTAGGTCTCTAGAAGAAACATTACTCTTGCATCACCCAAAATTTCCGCTCCACCGCTCCCACATCACTTTTCTGATTTGTAAAGCTTACTGTTGAAGCAAAGTGACCAGGTTTTAAGAGAACCTGAAATTTCGTAGCCTTCATGGAAATCTAGTTTACTAAGCTAGTTACCAAGGAGTTCACACACCTGTGAAGTAAAGCATTTTTTCTGTGTTTAAGAAGGTTCCACTCCTGTTATAAGCTGTTCGAATTTTTCTTTTTATGAGTGCATCTCAGTTGCAGCCAAAATGTGCCCAATTAATATTTTCGATTCGTAATACGTAAGTAACTCTCTCAGCTTCCAAGTCCTCAGTCAAACAGTGGACTTTTTTGTGAAGGGCTGACTAAGTTATTGAAGTAATTATTACTTCCATATATACCATCAGATATAGTTCATGAAAACTCTGCTTTAAATCTAATCGTTTAGGAGAGACAACAGAACATCGAACACAAACACGGAAAAGGTATTCGACTGGCCTTTGTGAAATGCGCAAGAAATACAATCTAAATATGACTGCGTCAGCTGTTGGTAAGACTGTAAAAAATGACTAGTTTACTCTCTGTATCGAAGACGATTTCATTGTAATTATTTAACAAGCTGAGAGCCCCCCCTCCTCTAAGTGATCCCTTAATTAAGGTAGCGCCTATTTCTTTAAAATTTTGCGAAAGGCGGAAATTGAACATATTCTCTGAATAAAACTCCCTCATGAGAAGAAAGCTCTCCTTGAAAATTTTGTGACCTCTTTGTTTGATGTATCATGAAAACGCAATGTCTTCAGCTTTTTGTAAGTGGATTTTAATCCAGTTGTCCTTGGTTCACACCTGCCACTCTAAAGGATCTTTTTTCGGTTACCCCAAGTTCTACTGTTTGACTGCAATCTATGAAAAGCCAACTGTTCCACCCGGCTATAGTTTGATGACCTATTTTATAATCTGTTCATTTATAGATTTAAGGAACTACACGAGGCTATACCTAGGTTGCCATTGGGTAAACATGAGCGCAGGAGAGCTCTTCCCCTCTGGACTCCCAAGTTACACTGAAACCGACGAAAGAATCTGTATTAAAACATGCTCCATGTTGAATTACAACTACTCAGCGATTCAGTCAGGACTCATGTGTTTCTGTTCAAATAAGTTAACCTCAAATCTCACCGACAACCAAACGGATTGCCTAGTACCATTCTTCTCGGACAAGTGGTATTTAAGTGAAGTTGCTATGCGCTTTTATCGAGTTCCAACAGAAAATGTCAAAGTGGAGAAATTTAGTCTTTCCCATCATAGAAGAAGGATTGGCGAAGGTTTCAACATCAGCGCCTCAGTGAACAGTGACAACATGGGATTGGTTAAGTTCACGGTCCAATCCGGAGACGGAAATGAATACATTTTCTGCTATCCAAAAATGAGACACTTCTATACAAATCCTGGCAATTACAGAGTTTCTTTGATCGTCAAAGACATCAAAGGCAATACCTTAACGTTCACAGACTCGGTCGAAGTCGCTGATAATCTTACAAAACCAGAATTGGAGTGTCCAAGAGCAGTACCACAAGGAGAGGCGGTAGAATGCAAAATAAAACTTGCTCGAGCCCTCAACGTCACAGGGAAGGTTACTGTGGAAAACAGAGAGATCACGCTACATCAATGTTCAGGTTAGGTTTAAGCCAGGGAGCGCCTCTCCCTAAGACCCCCGACAACCACCTACTGGGAAAACAGGAAAAAATCACTAGGAGATAATGAGAACTCAAAGTAAAAACGACTCAATAGCGAAAAGTATGTGCTAAGATGGCTATATCTTGATCAAATGTTTTGTCTCTTCCTAAGAAACGATCGTCAATGCGGTTCTCTTTTTATCTTTAACCAGATACCCGGATGAGCAGTTTCGGTGCAGACGTAGCCCGCTATTTTCCAGAACCCAACACCATGCTCGAAAAATTACTAAAGAAGCCGAAACGGATCTACATCCTCACAAAGCACAGTGTACAAGGAGAAGGTTACGTGGCTGGGCTTGAGTTTAATGTTATCCAACCGGGTCCGATTCGAGTCCTCGTAAGTGCCGTTGAAAATAAATTAGTAGATACATGAGATAATTTTGCCCCAATGTACTCAAGAGGAATTAGAAGACGTATGTTATTGGTACCTTCTCTGAAATAACAAACCTTGGCTCATTAATGTTTTAAAATACTCTTCATGGAATCAATTTTCAAAACAGTTTCCCAAGAGAGAGTTATTCCCATTGTGTTCCAGATGTTTGAGTGAAGTAATGAGCTTTCTCAATACTACCAAGAAATAAGCGATAACAAAATTGAATAGAATTATCCTTTTCATTAAGAAAGAGCTAAAGAGGAATCACGGAGAAAACTTCGACAGAATATCGACGAGAAACTTGGTATCTTAGTTAAGAATAATCATGAAGAACTACCGATGAACTATCGCTAAGCTAATACTGTCACTTTTAATATTAGATTCTGAGGCGTGTGGATAAAGTACAAACTTTAGCATACTCTTGGAAAAGTGGAATCATCTGCTCAAATTCAGAAAAGCTATTCATGGACTATGGCTCTTGTTGCTCTACTTCATGTAGTTCGATGAGAAACAATCTGGGATCAGTAGCAAATCTGCAGTTTGTCATCGTCAATGAAGTCATCGTGGCCCAGAATATGAGTGCAGGATATCACTTTGTGGACTTTACCAACATCACTAAGTTAAAAGTGCTTCCTGGGGACATGATTGGCTGGTACAGCAGCGACTTGTTTGGTAAAATTGGATTTGTTGAGGAAACTACGGACGAGCAATGTCTTGTATACGAGGGAATTGAGGATGGTGGTATGATAGGGCAAAAGCTGACCAATCGCGTCCAAGACTTCAATTCCAACTTTAGTTTTGCACTAAGAGCAAATTTTGTTCCAAAAGCGCTCTCAGAAGTGTCATTCAAACTTGAAGAAATAGGCCCACACAAACTTGTTGTTGAAGTAACAGACAAGTTTGGCAATATGGCAAAAATGACAAGTGGAAACATATTGTGTCAGCGTGCAGTGCAAGGACTCTCAATAGACGTACCTGAGGTTGCCTTGGTCGGTCAAGTTGTTTTCGGAGTAAATGTCACCAACGGAACAAATGTGAGATATACTATAAACTCCGGGGATGGCCGAGTGATTAATCAGTCCGAGAATATTGTGAAACTCAATTGCACCACACCAGGGGTCCGTGACATCTCTGTTATAGCCTTCAATGACGTTAGTGTGGCTATCGGTGAGTGCAAAGGGCTGGTTATATTAAGTGAAGTAGAAAATATCACCATTCAAGCAGAAGAAGTTGTCGCCACTAATGATACTTTCACGATCAAAGTCACTATTCGCCGGGGTACTGCTGTCCATTTGAATGTTTCCTTTGGAGATGATTCTCCAGGTTTTAATATAAGCAACTTTGACGTGAATAACACTTTTACAGTCGCTAAAAACCACTCATACGGAAGGAACGGAGTTTACCGCGTCAATGCAACAGTTAGGAACTCTCTTTCCTCCGCTTCGGCAGTACAAAGCATCACCGTCCAAACTCGAATTGCAGATTTGCAGATCTTCGCACCAAGGGTAACCCATTCAACTGACAATGAATTGGTTATAAACATTTCAGTGGCTCAAGGGACTGATGTCAAATATGAAGTTTGGCTTGAAAATGAGAGAAAAAAGACAGCGAACGGACTCAGTGTAACTGTGGTGTTCCCCAGAGGAGATTTAAGGCCTGGTGTCTCTTTACTCAACGTTAGTGCGTACAATCTGTTACAAAGCCTCAACGATTCAGTACAAATTCATTTAGAGACTCCCATTTCAGGAGTATTGTTTAAGTTGGAATCTGAAACTGAAGCAGTCCAAGTGGCAAAAAATTACACTTTCGTCTTACGTTATGACAAAGGATCAGGTGTCGATATAACTTTGTGGAAGAATATCAACGAAGGAAGTGTATCTCTAGCACTCCAAAACGAGAAAGAGGATTTGTTTCACGCGGTCATATATCAGACACCTGGAGTCTTCATAGCACGTTTAAACTGTAGTAACGTACTTGGGGGGATCGTCAAAGAGAGAACCGTGATAGCTCAACATCCTGTCAAAAACATTTCCATTAACACCAACAGTCCAGTACCTCATCTACCTGGCATTATTAACATTACCGTGAAGCAGGACCGAATTGTAGCAACTAATGCAACTCTGATATGTTCGTTTGGCGATGGAGAGACTAGTGAGAGACTGGAATTTTCTGGAGAACTCGAAATTTCTCACAGGTGACAATGTTAAAAACGATAGAGTTCTTTAGATCTCTGACGAATACAACAACTAGTCATAGATCGAGATATTGGGGTGAATTTTTTCAGTCTAATTAGGAATGCATTAGTATAAATGAACAAAGCAATTATAGCTTAAGAATTTACGAGAAAGGATAATGTTCTAATGCATTCTTTTTATTTATATTGGGCTAATAATCAATCTGACACAACCGTCCCCTTAAATTCTTTTATGCACATACATTCTTATGGTTTGTTTTACCTTTTTCCCACCAGATATGTTATGGCAGGCGTCTACAAAATAGTGGTGAGCATATCCAATTTAGCTTCTTTTGTGTCAAAGGAGGTCATCGTTGACGTGGTGAAAGTCATTACCATCATGAAAGTCAATGCAAAATCGTCCGCTGCTAACTCCGTATCAAGGTCGCCTTTACCTCACAATACCTTTCCTACTAAAAGTCGAGTCCTCTTCGAAGCTGAACATGATGGAAATATGAGTGTAACACTCTTTATTTTTAACTTTGGGGATGGATTTGAAAGGAATGGTACATCACACCGCATCGCGGAAGAATACACCTATGTGTCGAAAGGAGAATTTAATGTCACACTTAAAATAATACATCAATTTGGAGAAAGTTGGAATTTCACAGTGGTTACGATAAAGGAAAGCATTGCTGGCTTAGCGATATCAGACAACGCGCCAACAGTTTTAGGAGAGCCCACTACATTCTTCATGAACTGGACTCAACTAGGAACGGGTACTCTGATTGAGGTTGATTTCGGCGACGGAAATAAAAGCAACAACATTGTCGCATCACCTGCAGGTGTTGATAAACCAATAGATGCTTCTATGCAGAATATCACATTTGAGCATACTTATAATCAAATACGTCTTTATGTTGTTCTAGTGCATGGATGGAACGATGTTTCTTCCATGAGAATCTCCCATCGCTCTGTGACTGTGGAGAAAGAATGTAGTTATCCCAGTCCTCAAATATTAAGTGTCGGCACAAACATTAGCAGCGCTACAGATACCAAGAAAGATAAGGAGCTAATTATCTACACGAGAACGAAGGTAAGCTGCCAAGCGACATACAAGACTATCTTTATTTGGAGGTTGGAACGTAATGACTTCCAAGAAAACCTTTCTATCATAGATGTCGAAACGGATTTAAGCAAGCCAAGCTTAACCATTCCTTCTGGTTCACTTCCATATGGAATTATCACCCTACGATTTACAGCCAAAATGAAATATTTCATCGATGGAATTGATACCATTGCGACCGGGTATATCAATGTTGTACCAGCGGCTCTCAAGGCCATACTTTACGGTGGAGGGTTCCGCAAAGTCAGCTCTAAAAGATGGTTTAGCGTTGATGCCTTCATGTCTGAAGACCCGGATGTAGGGCGTGGAGACTTTACTGGAATTAGCTTTCATTGGTATTGTAGACGATTTTCCGAGAATTTTCCCTCGAATGTGGAGGCACTTCCTGCCGTTACATTTAAAAAAATCTCCTTGCATTTGAGAAACGGAGGATGTGAAGGAAGTGGACCTGCAAGGCTTAACTACTCGACATCCGTTTTGAAGATTGCGCCTGGGATGCTTCGGGAGAACACAGTGTACGTTGTCAAACTGGTGATCAAAAAAGATACGCGAGAAGCTTCGTTTGAACAAACTCTTTCAGTTCTTGCGCAAGTCTTACCGGACATTGCAATAACGTAAGTATCCGCAAGTGGTTATCATGATTATTGTACCATTTGGCTGATGAAGCTTAACTTGGATTAGCTTAACTTTTTAGAGTATGTTCTAAAATACTCAAAAAATAATCCTTAGTGTTTCATGATATTTGGCCAATAAAGCTGTTTGTACGTTAACCCTTCCTACGGTTTGTGACATGGGCCCTTGAATCGGAAAAGATCTTGATATTGGGATAGCATTTCTTTTGCAGAAAGGAGATTGGGGCCTCTTCTTTCCAAGAATTCCCGCCGTGACAGTCCATTTTTACAGCACGCTGTGTGTGTTGAGAAAATCGTGTCAGAGTGAAATTAAAAGTGTTAATATTTCTCGATCACCAGCCACAGTTAATCTTTTTATCTCATCTGTTTTGGAAATTTTCGATTACATATTAATCAGAACCTTCAAGTATGAAACGTTACGAGATTTAACGATCCCTTTTGTTATAGATGCGAAGTAAACTGCGATTACAAGGTTAACACCAACAATCGGCTGTCTTTGAGGAGCAATTGTGCCAACTGCCGTCAAGAAAATTTCACCTCAGTGTCTTATAGGTGGGAACTATACGTAAGAGATCAAGTCACAGGCAACTGGACACTTGATCCCGAACTTGATTCCAAAACACTGACCAACAGTTCTAAACAAAATTTAGTTCTGAAGGAAAACAGTCTGGATGTTGGTAGGAGATATAGGCTCGTATGTTTAGCAGGCAGTGAAGGTGAGTGAGCAGAAATCGCATATAGAATTCATTGATAACTGGTAACTTTTTTCATACACGGGTAAAAGTTATTTCAGCATTTTTGCAAATAAAATGTCTAATTGTTGCTTGCTGATCTAGCCAACGAAATAACGATGAAGTGATAAAGATGAGGTGTCTCATTCAAAGCTGTGATGACGTTTCACTTTATGTGCGAAAAACCACCATATATTTAACTTTTTTAGTTTAACTGCACTGTTTGTTTGATTTACAGAACGCAATGTGAATGCACTTGTTTTCTCAAGCATGAAAATGCGGAAAAAAAAATTCTTTTTTAATGAGACTATCCAGCCAACAAATTGTTCCAATTCTAAATCTGCGTTGGAAAATCGTCAACGATCTTTGGATGACACATAAATAATTCAATTCTGTGCAAAATTTGAATGTACTGATGTGTTGTATGGTTCTTTTGTAGAAGGCCAACAAGGTCAAAGTGAACACCATTTTATAACAAATGTCCCCCCTCGAAACGGAAGTTGTACAATCTCTCCCATAGAGGGAAGGGTGCTGACGACCTATTTCCATATCAAGTGTGCAGGGTGGAAAGACATGGATGGGCCGATCGTTTATAAAGTCTTTCGTGGCAGAACGCTCCTACATCATGGAAAAGAGGCATCTTTGCCTCCTATGCTTTTGACAACAGGTCCACGTCAAAACAATTACACATACTACTTGACAGTGAATATTTTTGACAAATTTCACAGTCACAGCGCAACAGTGTTATCAGTGACGGTACGTGAACAGCTAATCATTGAAAAGTATTGTGTGATTTCTTAATTGTTGTTTGGCACTTATCGTTGTAGGAAGATTGTTCCTCTTACTGCAGCAGACTCGATGAAATATTACTTTTTATGATATCATAATAGTTTCCAACTGAATTTTTAAGTCTGTCTTGTCTTTTAAGAAAAGATTTAACTCTTGATGTAAGAAAATACTGGACTAACCACAAAAATATTGGGCCATTTCTCGTCGGAGCTTTGTTTCCTCCGCGAATGTGATCGACCCTCACCAAAGAGAAAACATATGGAAAACCAGAAAGTTCTTACATTTTAGCAGTATGAACAAACAAACTAATAAAAGGCCACAAATTTACATCAATGAGAGCTCAATTTCAGTTTGCAACCAACAATTTCAGGTGAGAGAGACAACGATGTCCGCTCAAGATCTTAAGTCCATGATGGCTGAAGACGGTCTGGTGACAAACATGCGCATCTCAGGGGACCTACAAGGTGTTTCCCAGTTCATAATGTCGGCTGCCTCAGTACTTGCAAGCCAATCTGCTAAGGAGAAGAACAACAATGTTACTGGAGGAGATGGAAAACTTAGTCAGCTGCAGGCAAAGAAGGAGCGTAAGGAGGTACGCTTATTCTGTTTGAATATAATTACCAGGATGGTCAAAACCTAGCTGAATTTTCCAAAATGAAAAGGGGCCGATGTTTTCCTCATGTGTAACTTTTAAACAAGGAGAATTATCAAGGATAAATTGTACCATTGTAGACGTCAGAATTCTTACCCCAGCGGCATGGGGCATGCTTTCTTTCCCGGAGTAAAATGCAAAACATTATATCGAGCCGAGTAATATTGCCAAGGAGGTGAACCACGTCTTTGTGGAACATTTTTGAAGCATCTCAAACATCTTTTACATTTAATCTCTGTTCTTCTTACAAATCTCATTAAGAATTGGAAAACGCGATTTGTATCTAGATGTTTGAACCGATAAAGTGAAAAGCTAAGAATTTCTCATGACAATTAAAGCTTGAATTGTTTTTAATCTATTCTAGATAAAGGAGGAATTGCTCGGAGCTCTTGATCAACTTGAACCTGAGTCATTGGACTCGTTAGGAATTTTGCTGGAGGCAATGTCATCCGTCACCAGTGATGTCACAGAGTTATCAAGCACAGCGCAGGTAAATGGCAGACTTACTGAAGTCACTTGATCGGAAGTGTTTATATCATATTAAGCTGCTTCTAACGTTCTTGTTTTGGAGTTTTGAATTTGCTGATGTTAAGAAATAATGCATGAAAATCGAATGAATTCGTAAATACTTCCACGTCGTCGATCTGCAGGTCGTTTAGCCAACTGGTTGATCATTCGGCAGTCAGGCCAGTGTGTTCGTCGATGACTATATATGGGAGAGCCTTCCAAAAAGGGGGTACCTTACTACGGGTTGAAATTTTTAGGATTGTGTGGGTTTCCCTTGCGGTAAAAATTGTTGTATAAATGATGTGGAGTATCCCTCTTTAAACAACCCCTTTACCAAGTTTTTAATTTACTCGTTGAAACGTATAGCCAAGTCATTAAGTCTGTAAATTCTGGTTCAAACATACCCTTGTGATGTTGCTGTCTTAATTTTTGCCCTTTTTTTTCTTGTATTCAATGACGTAATTTGTAAATGTTTGATTACCAACCGACGTCTTAGTGAATATATATCCACATCTTTTCTTCTTAACTAATTTTTCTACATCCTTTGTAGTCGAGTGCCTTGAGTATCCTCTCAAAAACTGTAGCTACTCTCTCAACGAAGAAAAACGCTGATTCGCTAGAGACAATAAAATCAATCAGCGCTGGAGTAATGGAAAACTTAGGTGCGTACAAGCCATTCCTTCTTCCCTTAGTTGAATATTTACTTTTCCCATGAGTCAGAAAAATGAAAAAGACCATTATCATTGCCCCTTTGGTTTTCCAAAATTTAAACAAACTACATATTATTGGGGCGTGAGTGGTCCAGTGGTCTGAGCGCTGGACTCTGGGTCGGACGGCCCGGGTTCGAGTCCTGGCCGGGGCACTACGTTGTGGCCTTAAGCAAGCCGCTTCACTCACCTTGCTTCGTCTTCTCGGATAAGACGTTAAGCCGGAGGTCCCGTCTCCTGCAGGGTTTGGGGTAGGAGACGTTAATTTCCCACGCACGAGATTACTGTGTGATGGATGTCCTCCCCTGGGTTGGGTTGGGTGGATTTAAGAGGGGTAGTGCCCCGTATGGGACTCCATGTCCCGCTGCACTAACCCAATTGGCGTCTGTCTATTCGTAGACGTACCCAATAAAGTTGTTATAAAGTATATATTTCATGAACAGGAAACTTGTTTGGATCCTCGAAATATGAACAAGACAGGAATACCCTGCAGATGACGCAGTTAAAGGACAAGGAGCGATCAAAGACAACTGAAGAAGAGGTAATTATCAAATTTTAATCACAACGATCACGATGGCAGAAATAATACTGATGATAATTACATTCTTTTCATTACTACCATTTTCGTTAATAACAATAACGATAACGGTAGTAATAACAGTGATTACAATGATGATAACTCAACATCACAAATCGTAAAAATGTCTCGGGAAGATTTGTTACGCTGGGGGTGATTAAACACACCAGTCTCTTTTACCGAGACTGTGAACTCATCAGCATAACGATACTATCTTTGAAACCCTTCTTTTCTTTCAAGATGGATGATCTGCATCAAGACAGCAAGGAAATTAAGAAAAATGTGAGTAACATATTTTTCAGATCGAAATAAAAATCATCACTTACTTTAATTTGCGCCACATGTTGGGCAGCATCATTAATAATAGGGAGTTAAAGAAAACCAAGACGGTGACGGCAAAGGGAACGTCACTAGACAAAAGCTTTACTGAGCTGTGCACGTGCGTTATAAATTTCATGACATCCTCTGCTACGCAACGACGTAAAATGATCAAACTTGGCGCTGTCTGAAGAACGTGAAGGACGACGGCTAGTTTTCTAAATTTCTGTTTCTTATTTAACGCTGTATTCCATGTTTAGTTTCAAGATGGTTTGGCAGCGAGAAACAAATTATATGACTTTACAGTATCGCGAGATTCGCAGGTAAAATATGAGTTCATTTTTTAACCGAAGTTGTCCACGGACTCGCTATCGTCGTTTCTTAAACTCCCTTATATCTCTCATCAATACCAACAAGTACGGGCCTGAAGGAGGAATTCTAGCGCGATGATCTCAGCCCTTTTCTCCCACCGATGTGGTCTGGGTCAAATTTCTAAAAATTTCGCCAGAGTAAGTCGAGTTTTGGAATTTTCTTCTGGTTCCTCGATCTGCAATTGCTTAAAACCTCAATTCCAAATTATATCCGGAAACTGCGGAAGGACTTCTCTGTTGAAAGAACAAGTGCTTCAACCAAATTATATCTAATCGTTGCCTTCTTTACAAATCTTGCCTCGCTTATTCAATGTTTATCCATTTATAAGTTTGTTAATTGTTTGAGCCTACAAATTGATCTGTTTTCAGGATGTAGCCGGCATTATGAGCTACGGTTTTTCCCATACCGAGCTAAGTAGGGACAGTCTCTAGTTAAAAATATCATTTTCTCATGGTTTTTAGGCGCGTGCCGTGACTACGTCTGCGATGAAAATCCTGGACGACATCTTAGACATGATCGTTGAATTTGAAATGCCCGATCAAGAACCTCAACTGCTAGAAAGCGAGCGCATGACTGCGCTAGTTTCGAAAGTTAGCACCGAAAGGCTCGCGGGCTCAAGCTTTTCAATCGGTGAAGGATCCTTTGTTTTGCCCTCTTCTAAAGACATTGTTGACATCTTGCGGGATAAAGACTGTTACGTCGTAGCGAAGGTACAGAGATAGTTATAATGAAAAAAATTATGTTACCTTGGTTTTCTTAAACTTTCATAGTCCCCTTTGAGGTAACATCTACATGTATAAATGTTTGGTAACCATTCTCCACTTCGGCCCATTTCTATTAGAGTTTCATTCTCTTCAAAACTTATAACAATAATAAACAATGTGATAGTGCGCAACTCTTACAGAAACAGGCGTTGCATCTCTCTACTGTATTCGCGAACTTTATGCCAGATGGGGGTTTGTGTACGATGTATAGTCTGCTTCACTCGTTGCCAAAAACGTAGCTTCGTGACTGTCCTGTGTTTAGTGATAGTGCTGTCGAAGCATGAATTTTGTTTTTGTTTCAGGCTTCTTCTACCGAAATTAATTTGTCTATTGTCTACCTGTTTGGAGAAATTAATCATCAACCAGTCCTGGGTCAAATATCCCATCTACCATATTATAATCTGACCTAAAATGCCTTTGCTGCCAGCATTTTGCATCCTGACTCAGTGGAAAGTAACGCAAAAACTGCTATCTGAAAATTACGAGTTCAAGCCAAGTCGATCAAAGCCTGAGTTTCATCACCTGAACTTTGCTTAACAGCCTGTGAGGATCCTTTCGTGTCACTAATGTTGTTTATCATATTCACATCCGTAGCACTGCGATTGAAAGAAAGATTTTGCAAATCGAAGGAACGATTTTCTAATAGTGATTATATCTTTTAAGGGTCTTAACGCTAAAGATAACCCTTTCATCTGGGATAACTCATCATCTGGCGTAAAGAGCAACTGCCTTGGACTCAAGTTTGAGGACTGCCATGGGACGCCAATCAACGTGACTCGTCTGCAGGATCCAATCGCTATCACGATACCACGTGATGGTGCCGGCGATTCACCCGAACCAGGGAATTTCACCATAGAAGAGAACACGATGAAAACACATAAATTGAACATTGACGATCCCACTTATGCAATGAACGCTGTTATACAGCCTAGTGCTGTTAACTGTTCCCACGATTTCGGGATCTTCCTTCGTAAAAATAAGAAGCCGACAACAGACACGTTCGATTTCAATTGGACCATGAGTGTGCCTCCCAAAGAGGCCGAGAGGAAAGACAGTTTTTCATTTTCTGTTTCAAATTATCAATTGAAAAAATCGGCCTCTGACACTGGGGAATATTATCTGGGCCTTTATGCGACTCTCCATGAAGAATCCAAGAAGGACGAGAAATGTCGGACAGAACTGAACTACACTTTGTTCACCTTTGTCTCATCATGCAACTTTTGGGACGAGAAAGAAGAACTGTGGAAAGCATCCGGCTGTGAAGTAAGTTAGCAATCATTGATGGATGGCTCCTTATTCTCAAATATAAACTTATCAAAAATTACCCAAACACTTCTTCGTCGTCTCAGCAACAATGGATCATTAATTTTGATTTTCATAAATACAACACATACACTTAAAACAGGTTTTTTGTCTCCTTTTGTTGAACAAATGTTGCCCCCTTTTCCCTCAGCCATTTTTAACAGTAACCGTTCTACCATTTTTCCTATTCTTCCCGTATTCTAATTTTTTTTTCTCGACTTAAAGAAATTTAAAAGTTTCTACTTAATTTTTAACAATTATCTCTTGTATTAGGTTGGACCAAAAACCACCTACTCCTCTACAGAGTGCCTCTGTACTCACTTGACAAATTTTGGCGGAGGCTTCATGGTGGCTCCAAATCCTATAGACTTTGACTCGGCTTTGAAGGGTTTTACCGATATTGCATCAAATCCCACAGTCTTTGCCACAGTTATCACTATATTTGGCTTGTATTTTGTTGGAGCGATCTGGGCAAGATGGAAAGACAAGAAAGACTTACAAAAGGTATTGCCTGCAGAAATGAAGTTTTCGGGAACATATCTGAAAATTTACTGCTTTCTATTGATTGAAATCCATTAGTGACGTTTTAATAAACTTTGTAGTCATTATTCTCAAGCTTGACTTGCACTTGGAAAAAGACTTTCCCTCGTTATGATCATTTTTTTTATATAAAAAGGGGGTCTCACCTTAAAACTAGCACCACTTTCTTTGAACGAAGCAATTTCTGCGTGAGTATTCCCTGAGTTAGTACGATTAAATACATTTACCCTTTCACTTCTTTTCCATCGACTCCATTGAAAACTGCTCGTTTGTTTCCTTAGGTTGGAGTCACTCCCTTATTGTCCAATGATCCTCGAGATACGTACGGCTATGAGATCACTCTGCAGACTGGTTTTCAACAAAAGTCGAGAACAACTGCAGACGTGTTCATCCAGCTGTTTGGCACTCTGGGAGACAGCGAGCCCAGGATGTTGAAGGATCCGAAGCGCCCGAAATTCGGACGAGGGGAAATCGATCAGTTTCTGTTAACTGTTCCTCAGTCCCTTGGCACTATCAAAGAAATACACATTTGGCATAACAATGCTGGAAGGTCGCCTGCCTGGTATTTATTTCGCGTGCTTATCAGGGACTTACAGACCGACTCAAAGTGGTGGTTTATTTGTGATCGATGGCTTGCTGTCGAGGAAGGCGATGGTGCAGTCGATCGAAAGCTTAACTTGGCAACCAAACAGGAACTGACAAGATTTAACATCTTATTTGTGAATGCTACCAGAAAAAATCTCCTAGACGGACATCTTTGGCTATCAGTGTTTACACGCCCACCAAAGAGCACTTTCACTCGAGTGCAGCGATTGTCTTGTTGCCTCTCATTACTGTTAAGCACAATGTTGGCAAACTTGATGTTCTACCAAGTCGGTGCGGATGACGACTCAGCCGCAAGTCAATCGATATATATTGGACCATTTATTTTTAGCGTGAGACAGGTAATGATTGGTGTACAAAGCAGTTTTGTGGTGTTGCCGGTGAACTTGATCATTGTGACGATATTTCGTAAGCTTAAACCAAAGGAGGAAAACTCAAAGTCAAAAAAGTATGAAGAGGTTGTAGAAGAAGTGAGCTCTTCAAGCCCAACAATGGGTTACCACGACTTTCCTGTAAAAGCAGCTTCAACGTCTGAAAGCCGTGCAAGAGACGTGATTAGCAGTAACTTACAAACGGCAGAGATTACTTGCCCTGAGGAGAGTGACAATCCCAAGAAGAAGGACCTGAATTGGAAGACATTATTGAAAATTTTCAGTAGGGATGATGACGATGATAACACGAAAAAAGCGAAGAAGAAGTTCTTGTTTCCACATTGGTGCATTTACATTAATTATCTGTTAGTGGCCATTTCTTCGCTAACGTGCGGGTTCTTCTGTATGCTGTACGGCTTCCAGTTTGGGAAGGAAAAATCAGACAAGTGGCTCACATCAATGTTAGTTTCATTCTTTCAGTCCATCATCGTTATACAACCGTTCAAAGTGCTTCTTTTGGCAGCGTTCTTTGCTTTGATTATAAAGGATCCCAATAAAGAGGAGGAACAGGAACAAGAAAATGTACTGGATCCTGTATTGAACACTGACGAAGAGTTTATCGAGGGTGACGCAGAGAAGGAACCACGTAAGATCGGTCTACAAAGCAAACCGCCGGACGCAAAGAAGTTGGAAGCTGCAAGAAAGCTAAGATTAAAACAATGTGAAATGAAAGCAATCATTAAAGAGATCGTCACACATATTTTGGTGGTCTGCGTTGTGCTGGTCGTTGCTTATGGCAACCACGATAACAGATCATTTGCAATGACTGAAGAAGTAAAAAACGTCTTGGTTACCAGTGATTCAAATATCGCATCATTTAACGGGGTGAGGAATTTACTGTTATTATTACAACTTATTTCTATAAAGTATACTCGAGTGACCGTATCAGTATGATCTACGAAAATCATCCTCGTTTTCTTTCAAGATATATCGTTCGACTTGACAAAAAATAGGCTAGGAAACGGTTTACTTACTAATTAAGTGAGTGAGATGAACCTTTCTCAGTGTTTTAACATTCATTGTAAGTTTACCTCAGCAGAAACCAAATGAGAGATAGACATAGAAAGAGAGAGATGGTTAGCTACTAATTCGTTAGTTTTAACCTGCCTAAATTTACCCATATACTGAAGTCTTAAATCCAGCCAAGCTGATATAACTTATCAACGACGCTTGTCGTTGACGTAAAATACAGGAATTCTTTTATGGAAGAAGCAGTTCCATGATGTAAGGTTAGATGAATATACGCCTAATTGCGAGGTTTCAAATTCCTAGTTAAAATTATGTTGTTCCTCCGGGCCTAGGATATAATTCTGGCAACCATTTGGCAGTATGATGAAATAGAAGATTTAACTACTTTCATTCGTTTATTTTCCAGTTGACGAGGCAAGAAGCTTTTTGGCGCTGGGTGGAAAACCTAGCTGTCAATCTTTTTCCCTCGAGCTCATCAGTCGACTACCCTTATATGGGCATAATAAAGAGCGGAGAAGTTTCGAACGTGCTGGGGCTTGGTCGCGTTCGACAACTAAGGATTAAAAAGGGTAAAGATTTCTCTTTTTTTTTTTTTTACATCATTTCTAAACTGAAGAGGCGATTTAAAAAAAGGCAATAAACATAAAAATTGAATATGATATGTTTACTGTAACTGAAACGTCAACTAAAAAGCCTCGTCCCTAGTTTTTTGCAAAGGTCATATCATCATAAATGACTGTAAACCATTCTTATACTCTAAGATGAGGTGTTGATTCAGGGCTGGATGAGAGATACGTAATGAAGCAGAGACACCCGGAAATGCAACGCCCTTAGTCCCGTTTGAATTGGCGTCATAAACCTTGATTCGAGATCCTGTGGCCCATCTTCTCGCATATTGTAACAAGATCGTTCGAAATTCCAGGTTGCCATTCATTTTGTCTTTCGCCCTCCGCTCATACTTATATGCAAGGAACATAAACAATACCCGAAAGCATTCCCAACACGTGATCTTCACCGGGAAATAAAACTTGTTATCACAAAGCTCCTCCCTCGTAATCTAAGCCTAAAATCCCTCAATAGACTGAAGCATGGTATAATATGAGGGTCTTTTAAAACGAAGGTAGTTTTATTGCGTTCTCTTCTCAGATACATGCAAAGTTCCACTGGTTTTCACAACGTTTATAACAGAATGTAACGATTATTATTCTTGGTCAAACGAGGAAATGAATGACTTCCTGCAAGGCTGGTCACCTCAGAACAAGACCAAACTCGAAAAAGGTAAAGAAACAAAACAAATCTCTCCTTGGCAGTATCAAGGCACTTTGGAAGCCAATAGTTTTCCATACTTGGGGAAAATGGCTTCGTATAGAGGAGGAGGCTTTATCTTTGAGCTTGGGCCTGATGAAGACGCTGTTTATGGCGAGCTTAAAAAATTGGAGACTAGCAACTGGATTGACAGATACACTAGAGCACTATTTACTGAACTAAGCATCTACAATGTGAATATTAATCTTCTCTGCGTGGCGACTTTGCTTTACGAAGAATTACCCACTGGTGGTGGGCAACCTTTCGTCAACGTCCAAACAATTCGCGCTTACAGGTACATTGGGAATTTTTCAGCTGCCCTCATGGCTTGTGAGGTCATATTTGCATTTTTGCTTTTAAACTGGATCCTGAGAGATGGCAAGAGGCTGTGGAGACAGAAAAAGTCCTTTTGGAAAAATGTCTGGAACATTGTCGATATTGCAATAACGTCCCTTTCTGTGGCGTCTCTGGTACTCTATTTTATGCGACTTGTTTTTCTAACTTCAACTGTTGGAAAGGTGCGAGACGATCCCTCGAAATTTGTCAGTTTCCAGTACGTGGTGCTCTTAAACGAAGGAGTTAATGCCATGGTCGCATTCGTCGTTTTGCTGTTGAACCTCAAGTTTCTTCGCTTATTGAGATTTAATCGGAAGATCTCCGTGTTATCCATGACAATTAAAACCAGCGCCAGCAAGCTTGCCAGCTTTATGATAATGTTCATGGTGATATTTTTGGCCTATTGCTTCCTAGTTTACCTCGTATTCGGTTCTGCACTTGAAGAGTATCGCTCCTTCATAAGATGCATGGTATCTTTGATGTCCATGGTACTGGGAAACTTTGAGTTCTATGATTTGGTGGCTGTTAATGCTGTGATTGGTCCAGCAGTCTTCTTCACTTTCATGGTTGTGTTCCAGTTCATACTTATAAACATGTTTATTGGTATTCTTTGTGACAGCTTCAACGAAGTTCGCTTTGATTCGGATAAACAAACCAACGAATACGAAATCTTACAATTTATTTCCAACCGCATGAAAGCTCTAGTTGGAATGTTCGTTGAACCACCTATTCGACCGGAGTATAATTGGCCCAAGAGCGATTTGGAAAAGAAGGTAGAAACGATAGAAGAGAAAGCTGACACTACTATGTACTTCATGCGAAATTTGTGTGACGAAGATGTGCGCCAAATAAAATGGTTTCAACCTGACCTATGGTCAAGAAAGAAGAGCAAAGTTATGTCACTCGTTCTAAACTCGGATGCTGAAATCCTGGAGAACGACTTGTGCGACGGGATTGAGGCTATGAACAACGTTATTGAAAAATGTTCCGAGAACGAATTGGACAGGATGATTGCTACCTCAAGGTTGAAAAAGAGGATTGAGTCTGCGGTTGCTTCAGTCATGAGTGGGAGTCTGGTGTCTGTTCATGAGGAACCGGAAGAGGTGATCTCGCAAGCTTCTCAAGACACTCTTAATGAACATGTGTTAACAGTGCAAGAAATGCAAGGCTCACAGGAGCAAGGCTCACAGGAGCAAGGCTCACAGGACATGTCCGAACACAGTGAGAGGGAATCTGACGAAGAGGAGGAGGATGAGAAAGAAATCGAGGAGCAGTGGGAAGAGGAACTTGAGTTGTTGGAAGAACATCTTGAAAACTATACATCGCAGTATCAACCTTTCAATACACCCGTGGTATATAGTGCTCTTTCGTTGAGGGGAGTCTCCGTCACAGGCATGTTCAAAGGTACGCAAGACGTCGCCTACAGCAGGGAAGTGGACGATAGCGTAATGAAAAGCGTAGCATCCCTGGAAATTACTTCTTCCGCAAGACCGGAGCAGCTCGAAGAAACCCAAAGTATTATTGCAGAGGTCAGACCGCAAAGCAGTGAGGACGAGATGGAGGATGATGTCTTCCAAAATAGTTCACCACAGAGTGCAGTGGGAAATACCTCTCCTACTTGGCAAAGCATTTCAGCATGGGCTCCTGGGAGAAGTACTGGGAACAACACCATAGTATACGTGGAAAATGACAACAAAGAATCTGGGTGCAGTGGAAATGAAGACTATACTACAGAAGGAGAAGAAGAGATTGTTTCAAAAAGGAAAGAAAGCGAGGCCTAAACATATTCATGCTTCTTGCAGCGTAATCATATCGTTTAGAGACTTCAACGATCGATAGCTTGGTTTCGATTTGCTCGAATACTTCTCTTTGGACTAACCGGTTAACAATTACCTAACGCATTATCATCAAATATGTTTATGTCTAAATCAGAGAGTTAAATACACATGTTCAACAAGTTCAAGGGTTTAGCGAACAAAATGAACCACCAAACACCATAGAATAGCGCCCCAAGCATTAGCCGAAATAACAAATAGAAGATACGAAATATATCTTTAAATTGAAAAAAAAAATGCACGAGCCAACAAGTTTCTTAATACTTAATGGTTGAAAATGTCTGACACATCCCTATAGATGATATGAATTTAGCAAGAATAATGTTAAGCTGATGTCTTTAACCACAAGCAGTAGTTTAACAGGTTTGACTCAAGTCGGTAACCATTTAAGCTTTTCGTCGTTACGGGGACATGCTCATGTTTATACACATTTACGAAAAAGAACAATAAAGTATAAATTAAATCACTTTTCTGGAATTTTTGACGACAGTGTTTTTTCCTTAACTTTGCAAGCTTCAAATTTGTAAGTGCTAATTTTAAATGATGCCAATTGGCGACCTACGCGTTGAATTAGAAACGCTTTTTACTCAGTGGGAAGGGCATAGCTGCTAGAACTGCGCTCACATTTGAAGTTTGGCAAACTGAAAAGGAACTAAAGAGCAGAAAAAAAAACTAAGGACAGTTTTATGTGTGCTCAAGGAGCACTACCACTCCCTTTAACCAAAAATGTAAAGCACTAATCTAATACTTTAGCAAAGAGTTGAACTACACAAATGATACCAATTGTGCCAATATAAGGGGGACTTTATGGGCCCGAAGCATAAAGACCCTTGTTATGTCACCCCAAAAAATACAATTTGTTTCTTTAGCCGATGGTTTAATTGCTTAATTTTCAAAACTTTTAAAAACCGCATCTTGAATGAAAACAGAACAGATGTACGGGCCTGTTAAGTTACCGCGACCCCCGGAGGCGGAAAAAATAGATCCAAGCAATGTCAGATTAGCCTTCTTATATTTCTTTAACCCTTTAACTCCCATAAGTGACCAAGACAGAACTTCTCCCTACATTACCCACCCAATTTCAAGCAGGCAAGTGATGAGAATAAAGAGAAATATCGATTAGGGGACTACAAGTTGATCCAATACCAAATTCTCCAAACTTACATTTCAAGAGCAGTATGGGAGACAGTAAGGAGAATTACTGATGAGATCTTGGAAGTTAAAGGGTTAAGTAATCCATCCTTAACTGCATTTCAACCTGTAGACACCCTTACATTTTCAATTTGTCCTCAACATATTTTTCTCTTAGGTTTTACTTGATCAGTTATGAGCGCGAGCTTCCGAATAAAAACGAAACAGAGGCGATTCACGTCATAAAAGACACGCGAAGTTATCACACGGAATTACATAAGATGGGGTCGCAACAAATCTACCTCGACTGCCAGTATTTTGAATGTAGAAATTCGGCAAGCACGTGAAATAAGTTCTTTTCGCGACAGTATTTACCCGTTGAAAAGGAAATAGCTTGGTGATACAGGTGGACCGTTTGAAAAACGCATGAATCAGCATGGATTTTAAGGTCATTCTTCTGTTCATTCTTCAATCCGTCATTATGGTCACACCACTCTTGTTCGATAGAGAACTTGAAATCATCAATTCGAAGTGGTCAGACCTTCCTGTAGCTGTGAGACACGTCGAATTCATCGGTACCGTTGATAACGGTACACTAGATTGTTTTATTCCTGGGTTTAAAAAGTATCGTTGGGAGTTCATTAACAAAGCAAGTGCTGGGCCATTCGCTGAATCTGCCAGTCTCATCCACGACGAGGAGATCAAGGAACATCAAACCGAGATACGAATTGGTAAGGGAGGCATCCCCATGGCAACTGAAATGTTGGTGGTCTCTTGCGAGGCAATGGTTGGAAACCGACCACGATTTCAGATTATTTGGGTTATAACTCGATTGCATTCACCACTTGGATATCCAACCGACCCCCGGGTGTGTTTCTTCCACCTGACTAGATATGAAAAGCTTGCATGCGATGATTTGAAGTGGTGGTTCAACACGGATTGCTATTACAATAAAGGAAAAGAATACAGAGGAACTGCCTACATCACAAATAGTAATCCGCCCCTTCATTGTCAATACTGGTACCAGGGACGTCCAAACTCTGGCAGCAGCAATTACAAAGTGGACTTTGGCAAAGAACACAGATACTGTAGAAATCCAACTAACGAACACACTCTCTGGTGCATCACAACCTCAACTAAAAGAAGCTTAAGGAAACAGTATTGTGTCGTTCAAGAATGCTCAGATTGCATGTATGGAAATGGAGATGGTACATTTGATGTTTACAATTTTGTTAATTACAACACAGCATATCGTATACCAAAGTTCCCAAAATACGAGGGCCGATTGATCGAGACCCTGAAGGAAGACGAGAATGGGGTGCCACGATTGTGCATGTCTGGTAAAGGATGGGAGTTTAATCTTTGTAGGCCGAGAAGTGGAATGACAGGACCCCACTGCCTGATAGCTAAAAAAAAATCTCAAGAGTCTTTAATAAAAAGTCGGTCTGACAGTAGGTTGGAATGGGCAGAGTGCAGAATCCCACAGTGTACAGTGAGACAAGTTTGGTTTCTATTTTTCAACTCCTTCGGGCAACCTTACCTTAAAGAATCTAATATGGAAGACGTGGAAATAATCATCGTCAACGGAAAAAAAAGTGCAACAATTAAATTTGCGGCATTTGGAATACATCGAGCCACAGGGCTCCGCATCGGCACTGAAGAGTTACGACTAGTGAAATACGCTCAATCTTTTATTCTGAAACCTCGAGTTCCTCCAAGTCGTCTAAGCATTATAGACATAAGAGACGTGACGAAAAAATACAGTGGAAAGTACTTTGTTCAGTACACATTTGTGGAAGGGAATTCGAAAATTCAGCAAACAATTTACAAGGGCAATTTCAAACTGATCGTGCGCGAACCGATGAAGTTGTCAATCACTCCTAGTAAGCTCGAACTTTGTCCAGGGGAAAGAGGCAGCATGGACGTTCAAGTGTCTGGAGGTTTTAAGCTAATGGAAGGCAGTATCAGGTGGAAATACGGATATTCTCAAAACAATACCAATCGACAAATATCAATCGAGGATCAACTATTTGAGCTATCCGCTGATTTGAAGAAAATAACCATAAAAAAAATCCAGAAAGACACTTGGATCACGGTTTACGGGTCTTCTTTTGCAGGTGAAGCCAGTAACACGGCACAATTCAAAGTTAAAGGTTAGTACCCTTTTTTCCTGTTTACACTCAAAAGTGATTAATATATATTATCCGGTCAGCGGGTGACGAAAGAAAGAGCCGAGTTACTCAGAGAAAAGTTTGTGGTTTATACCTACTCTAGAATTTTTCATCCCGCACTATTAAGGAAAACAAGAAATTTCAAAAACCCCATAGGGACAACGTTTGAAAAAAATCGACTTTATATATGTTATCTGAATATCATAAACTTGACGATGATTACCGCCGATTCACGTACATAATAAGTTCCACGTCGAAAAAAATTATATACCCTTGTACACGGATATTCCAAGGTCGCTTTTATGCACGGGATTTTATTTTATTTATTTATTATTTTTTACTTCCCTTTTTGATTGGTCCATAAATCTCGCGCCAACCTATCAACCAATCACAAAAACCAATCGCGGTTTAGCCATTTGAGTTTATCGGCACCTCAACTGACTTTCTCACAAAATGTTTCGTTTCGTTGTAGCGCTACCACATATCATCGCCAAATCACCAACACAAGTTTTCGTATTCCAAGGTGATGAAGTTTATCTCACTGTGGACTCGGAGAGGGGCTTCGTGACTACATGGACTTTTGAAGCACAAGTCATAGCAGACATTCCCGACGACCCAGAAATGGCCTTCCAAAGAACGCTTCAAAACAACATAGTCTCCGAAACCTTGGTGATTACTTCGGTAGAGTGGAGACACTTTGGAATTTATGCTGTTGAAACCGAAAAAGATGGCTGTAAGAAGACTGTAACATTTCACTTGCAACAAGATGAAGGTAAAGGTTGAACTTTAATTGGTCCATTTTGTGTCACGAAGCCGAATATGCCCCAGCAAAACCCGGGAACGTTCGTTAATGTTCGCCAAATGATATTCCCAAATTTTCAAAATTTGCGTCCATTTCAATCCAATAATTATTCCTTGATTAAGTGAATTAAAGTTGATGGTTAGTTTCGTTGTTACAGCAGACACTAAATTGACTATATCCCTGAAGCCGCTTCTGATGAAAACGTCAGTTTTTGACGATAGGCTGTTAAAAACAATTTTATTCTTAGCTGGATAATAAACACGATTGCCTACTTTTGGCTCAAGAAACGGTCGAATGTTCTTCTTGGAAATTATCTGTTCCCCACAGCTCACGGTTCTCTTTGGAACAGGTAATTTCTTAGTAATTTCTTTCTGCTGACATGTATGCGTGCATATTTTCAAACCAAATGAAGGCTATCATTCATTTGTTGTGTTCTTGAGTTCATTTTTTTTTTATCATTCTTACGTCTAACAGAAAGAGAAATCAGTGGAGAATCAGGAATGCCAGAGGAAGAGATTGATAACATAGAGAGTCCAGTGGAAGATGAAAGTGAGAAAAAATGTTCAGTTCTTGTTAATATCGGTGGAAAAATTGTTTTTTTCTCATGAAACTTAGATACCTTGATACTTTCATATTTAACTAAACACTCATGCTAAAATGCACGTCAATCCTTTTCCCGCGATAATCGTAAAGCTTTGAACTCCCATGAGTGACCAAGAGAGAATTTCTCCTTACAGTGTCAATGCAATATCAAGCAGATAAGTGTTGAGAATTAAGGAAAATAGCGATTAGGGGATTTTTAGTTGATCCAATATCAAACTCTCCAAACTAACATCATAAGAATTGTAGTTATGAGATCTTGGGAATGAAAGAGTCAAGCTATGTTAATTTGGAGATGGGACATTCACCTAATTCTATTACTCTACTGCTGAGACATGACTTCAGCAAACCATATCAATTTTAAATGGAGCCTTGAAAATAATGCGAAATTTTCAATTGTTTTGTTTTACTGTTTCATGATTAGTAAAAAAAAAATCACGCTGCGCTCTTAACCAATCAGAATGAAAATTACTTGTATTGCTTCAGGCAGTTTCCTTGTTTATACTCTGAGTTTCCATAGGCCCTTGCCCATATTGGCAGCTGCAGTTGCGTTGGTTTTAATTTTCGATTCTCAATCGAAATGTATTGAAACTTTTCCTCACAAGTGTGAAGTTTTTTTCTGTGGTTCATAGCAATGTCTTTAGGGATACAGTTCTTGTAGTCAGGCGCCTGATCATAATTTTGAATGTAATAAGTGTTCATGGATTTTTGCAGGATTCTGTACCGCAAGACACCTAAATTTCAGCGAATACCAGCAAAGTAATTATTCAACAAGTTGGATGTTTGGTGAGTGGATAATACAGTCTCTTTCTTACACAGATAATTTTGATATCTCTTTTCGTAACATGCGCTTTTAGGCTTGGCTAAATGTGTATCCTCGTGGCTTAGATGCTCCTGAACCAACGATTCTCGATATTTTAAAAACGTTTCATTGAGTGCTGATTAGCAAACTCGGTTCCAGTGCTATGAAAACTAGACAAAAACTATTGCAACCTGTCATCAGGTCTTGAGTCAGCATGTAGTATAATGTGGCCATAGATTTTTGATTCTATGTTTAAGTACCCAAATTGATGAAGCTAGGAGAGCACAAATGAGGAAAAACACACGCAAAATTATGTTTTTGTGACAAAACAACTCTTTAAAGCTTGGATAAAGACCTTAATTTTAACACTGCCGTCTCATCTCAAATTCTTAGCTTATAGATTAAACAGGCAGGCATACAACTCTCAGTAAAAGTTAATCCCCTTAGGCATCAAAAAATTAGAAAATTGTGTGTATTGCTCATGACTTTGTTTCTGAGCAGACATACCGTGTGGAAACGAAGAAGGAAACGTTCAAGAAAATAACGAACCTTATGGGCATCCCATCAAAGAACTGTCCCTATGCAGCGTGATCACGAGTTATAGCTTTATAAGCGACATAGACAGACCTCACAAAGTTTACATACGGGTAAACGAGTCTAGTCCGTTGGAGGAGTATGTCGGTACCGTCAATTTCATGAAGGTATTTTGGAACAATACAATGCAATAATACACCTAAAATAGGCTTTAAGTGTTAAGAAATTATTTTGCTGGTGTGAATGGGGTATAGGTCTCAAAGAACACACAGCGACTGGTGGGGAGAGTTAATTGCCAAATTAACATGCCGTTAGCTGTTATGAGTTTTATGAAATAATTTTTTGAGTAGTTGTTTTGTTTGTTGTTTTAGACAGGTTATTTTCAAAGTAGCTCCGGACATGACCTACTGCATTACTATTACTTTCCTGAACCAGTCGCCGCTCGTTTCATACAGTTTACCGCTGATCAAGTTGAGGATTCAATGTGCCTTAGTAAATTAGCAGTCAGCGGCTGCTCTTTAGGTAAGCGGGCGAAAAGTTAGAATTGGCTTGTATTTTAGGGCGCGAGTGTCCAACAAAGATTCAGAATGTAGTCAACTTTTTAGTTACACTCATCACATTTTCGTTTTCATAGTCAAGTCTGAATGCAAGCCCGAAAGTTTCACAATTGATAGTATATTGTGCAACGACATGCACCGCTCAATGCTCAAAGAAGGGCAAGTCAAGAAGCTGCCAGCTTGTAGTTTGATCACCAGCTACCAGTTTCAGTCTAATGGAAGGATGCGTCACATACTGCTGACAAGCAACTCAAATTCCATGGTTCTAACAGAATACGACGGATATACTGAAGCTAAGGTAAGTGTCTAATTCTAATGCATATTACCGATGGTCTGTTGACTATGGACGATGCGACACGAAAGCGTTTCAAAAACGGATGCCACCTTAACTGCTAAGCATCAACAATGCGCGTCTAAAGGTACGAGAAAGAAAAAAAACATCAGCGACGAGGAAGTGTCAAAGGCTGTCCGCTTCGTGCGAGTCAGTATAGAAGAAGTCCGAGATTTCTTTGATTTTACTTCACTAGGCTTTGTGATTGGTCCACGAAACTCGCCCCAAATATATCACCAGACCCCCCTATGGCGAGACAATCTCTTAAATGGTCTAAACAGTTTTGATGTAATGGTAAATTTTACGTTTAAAGTTTCTCACCCTAAAAGCCCCCAAACCTTGTGGAGTAGCGTTTTAAACACATTATACTGAACCTGTTAGTGTAGAGCACAACAGTTAATTTTTTGACAGATCATTTTTTATGGTTTACATAATTTTCAGGTGGAGCAGGCCGGGGGGGAATGGTTTTACAACAATACCTTAAATGAGCCAATCGCGGCTCGATATATCCAGATTGTACCCGACCGAGCTGACAAGTCCCGTTCGATAAAAAATCTGCAGATCAACGGCTGCAGATTAGGTAAGTTAGCTCCTTTGAAGATAATATCAGTTTATTTTTTGTTAATTGAGAGGAAGCCCGTTATCAGAAAAAAAATCCACTCACATGTGACCAAGTTAAAAGATCGACCTGGCTTACCCTAAATGGATAATCTGTGACCCGATTTGGAACAAAGTCTCCATTACCGTGTTTACTTCTTGTTTCAAAGCGGTCTTACACCATAGCTAAAGCAGTCACAACAAATCAGAGCCAAGAAAATAATACAAGGATTCACAGAAAATTAGAGAAACGTGACTGACCAAGTCGAAACTGGTTTTAGTTTTGGATCTGATTGATTTGGAGAATAGCGCGTTTTTTCTGGACCAATGGCACAGCGAAGGAAAGCAGATCCAGATCAATCTCAGATTGCTTCTAGTTCCCAAATGAAAATTGCTCGATAAAACTGTTTTTTTTTTTTTTGCTAGATAAGAAGTGGTGCAGCATTGAATGGGATCAGTTCAGAGAGCTTGAAATAAAGTGTAATGAAGGAGAGATTACCCCTATCTACAGCGAACATCCACTCTTTGATTTTCCATCGTGTAGTCTGATCTCGAGTTACCAGTTTATTGCAAGAACACAACAACATGCTTTGTTACTGAGCGGCAATAACCCCGCACTGCTGTCAAGCTTTCGTGAAGGCCTTGATATTGAGGTGGGTTGCTCTATGTTTCTTAAACCGCGAAAAGACAAAACAGAATCTGAGCTTCCAATGAGTAATCTAACCCCAGACCACACCGCACTCCGATGCTCCATTATGAGCACAACTGAGTTACGGAGTAATCCATGTTGAGCCACATTGTGACAGGGTTCCTGCATGGAGCTTAAATTAGCACTATTAAAGGCGTCGAATGCGTGAAGTTAAAACTCATTTCATCCACATTTTAGTCATATCACTGGAAGGACGAAGAATGGATTTTTGTTTGCAAATTGAAATCTCCTGTGGCGGCTCGTTATCTCCAGTTTCTATGCGGAGAGACAAGAAATTTGAATGCTACTTGTGTGAACAGGTTAACCATCACTGGATGCCCAGTAGGTAAGCCTGAGTGCTTTTTAACAAGCAGCTGAGGAGGTCAGTAAATCAATGTTTCGCCCGGGAATTATCTTATTTGTACCTTGCTTACAGAAACATACCGCAAGACTCCTACGCTGAAAGTAAGCACGACCTTTAGAAAAGACTTTAATTTTTGCGTGTGTTCTAATTTTTTTCGTCAATGATTTGGACAAGGGTGGGAGGGGACAACTTTTTCCACGATTTTGATGAGGGTAGATACTGCTCATTACCTCATATTAAAAAAATCCAGATAAGCTTTGGCAGCTGTGGGAGTCATTATGGTATACGTACGTCACCCCCTACACAACTTAGGTGAAGAGATCATCCTTCCATCTGTTTGGTCATTTAGCGGTTTCCTTTTCCATTTTCTAGAGAACTCTTGGTGTAGAGAGCAATCATTTAAGACTGTCATCGAGGAATATCTCGTGGAAAGTGATTACTTTGACACTGGCATGGGGCGAGCTTTACTGCAGACAGCAGGATTATCCGTGTTAACTCCGCTTTGGATGTTCCTGGTTGGAAAATACAACTTAGATAGAAGGTAAGTTATTTCCGATTTTCTGCAATTTTTCTACTTCTTGTAATCTGAGAACTCTTTTATGGATGCAACACTCAAGCCAGTTACAAAGGCCATCGTGTTTCGTTTGTTTGTTTTCTTTATTTGCATGCAGGTTTATCAAATTTATTTCCGAGTTCTTACGGAGGGTATTGAAATCCATAAAGAGAGTCGAGAAAGGAGACTCCACTGAAAAAGAAAAACTATCTGGAGAATTTCAAGAGGATTGTGTGGAGGAAGGAAAGCTCGGTAGCGAAGGCGAGGAAGATGGCAAATAGAAGGAAGAAAGCGACTGATGATGACTGCCATGGATAGACGGAATAAATCTTTTGAAATCTCAATAAAAATGAAAAAATAAAATATATGTCAACAATCTATCAAAAAAGGGCTGGGATAGATGAACCTTTAAATGTTTACCGAACAAAGGATTTCCGCGTTTTCCTGATTCTTCAGACAGAAGAGACCATAATGGAGACTGTGGACTTTTTTTTCCAGGGGTCGGCATATTCTCAAAAATTGGTGAAGGATCTCTGCTATTTTTCTCACAGCACAGCTGAAAGAAGACTCGCAATCAAATTAAAAAAACAAAATTACCATCCGAACTAGATTCAATCTCTAGTAGGGTTCACTTGGAAAAATTATTGGGAAAAATATATTAGCACTTTTTCCGACCTATTTATACTTCGAAATTTAAGAAGTATGTATGGGCCAGTAAATCCACAATGATGGCAATGTAGACTTTTGTTCTCCTGGAATGTCATTGGCTATCAATTTACACCAGAAATTTCACACCACCAATTTTCTTTAAATATGATGGTTTGCGTCTGGGGTACTCATTTTGCTGACAATTTAAAACCTAAATGTTTATCGATTAACACAAGCGTTGCTGAAATTAATCGTTCATTATTTCATATTCTAACTTCATTTAATACCTGAATACCACAACATCGACTTTGGGCTCTCCTCTTTCAAATGAGGCATGCAATTATGACATGATTGACTTTAACGCACAAAAACCCGCCAAAAATCTCCAGAATTGATTGGATAAAGTTTCGGATTTCAATTATCACAAAGTAATATCAAGCAATCTTCATTTGTTTTCCAATTATAATTTTATTTTTTAATTTAAATGCAGGCTAAATGAACAATCTCTTTTCATCTTTGTTTCGAAACCCCCATTTCTCATCGGTAACACTTTTTTCTTCCCTCCACTCATTACACATTCTTGCTAATCTGGAGTTGTCGTCTTTCACTCATTATTACAAAAGAACCAAGGGGTTCACATCCGTCTGACCGCTTAAGTATTGGACAAAAGCTTCCCCAGAGCTGTTAGCGGCGTTGATCACGTGGAACGTACGTCCCTGTTGCTTGCTGCAGTGCAATCTAAATTGAGTGAAAGGCATAACTTTTCTCAGTTCATTCATAGCGCTTGCCATGAGCACAGCTTTGTCATTATTGGTGTGACTGATTCCTCGTTGTGATACCTCAACTGAGAGGCGTGGAAGGGATGATATACTGTGAATCACAATGTTGGAGACCAGAACCCAGCCCCCTGAAATGATGAAGCAGTGCAGTGACTACTCAAGTAGACTCAGAGGATAACATAGTACATGACGCCGGACGCTTGTACTTGTCCACTTGATGACATGTGCACGTCTTTCGTAATGAAAGGAACGCCCATCCTCCATCCACTCCTTCAATATACTATTGCAATGAACCCCTAATTTATAAATCAGCGAAATACCCCGTTAGAAAAGTTCGTAGGCGTGTTAAGACATGAGACTTGCACTGAAGGACACGAACTCGAGCTTACACATCAGGTCGAGGCTGCACGAACGAGTCAGTTTTCCTGCCTCGCACTCAAACGTAATTACTAAATTAAACGTGAGTTCTAAACAGTGGTAGGACGAGAAATGCGACATGCCCACGACTTCAGAAACGGTACCTTAAAATTTTTTTTCCATTTTTTAATTAACTAGGGAATTCTTATGTTTTAACGAAGTTCACACTTGTATAGGAACCAGCATAAAGCCGCAAATTACACCCTTACCACTCACACTCTGGAGTAGGTACATCACAATCTCAAAATTATTAACCGGCGTAAACGGAAGAAAATATGTTTAAATTGCGTTTTGTGTGAACGATCGTCAACAAGTCGCCTCCATCCGTTGTCATGTCACAGTAGCACCTAAAATGATTCCTATTCTCCTCAGGGTCGATCCAGTACTTCCCGTCTCCTTTGGAGTCGCCTGAGTCCCGGATGTCCTTACAGGAATGAGCAGGAGAGGTTTGGAAACCTTTCATAGCTTTACAAAGGAAGAAAAAAAACAATTTCTTTTTAGAAGGTAGTAGCTCCGCCCATGTACTAAAGCAATGAAATTATCAATCATGAACAAACATAAGGTTCGAAATAATGATTTGTCATTTATAAAACTTCCGTTATAAGGAAAGATATCGTCCATATCCTCAAGAGCGTGGAGCAGAGAAAAAAGAGTGGAGTCTCCAAAGAACCCCAGTCCTTTGGATGTACTCCACCACTAAGCTACATATAGCCTGCAGAGCAGGCGTAATTTTGGCGAGCGAGTGCTCAGTTTGTGGCAGGTTATGGCAGCGGAAGGCTGGGAAAAGAAAGAAATTTTTATACTGAGGGGGCGGTCGCCCACGAAGGGAGTTCCTGATTGGTGTGGTTAAGCTCCAGCTGTCAGTCACAAGCCAAATGTGTCATTTGAACATGATACTCTTGTGGAAAATGCGAAAGATGGCAAGCACTGTAAACTGTAAAGTTCTTAGTTCCGATTCCGCTTTCGAGGAAGCACTAAAGTGTTCGGAATTTAATATGTCTCGCGCATTAAAATCGCAACAAAAAGAAGCAATTTGTACACTGGTTTATGGAAAGGATTTATTAGCCGTGTTGCCAACTGGCTTTAGGAAAAGCCTGATATTTCGAGTGTTATGCCGGGGAAATCTTCGAGCGAAGTCTTTGTTTTTTCCTCTTCAAAGTAGTGTTTATGATAAAGAGAAATAAACATCTTCAATGGAATTAACGGTAGCTACGCTCACGGATTTTCGATTGGGGGAGGTAGAGTGCGGCAAATATAACTCGTATTTGTGTCAGCAGAGAAGGTTTTGGTGAAGCTATTTTTTTCTTTGATAAGAAAAACAGCTACACCGTTTCGCCAGAGTATGCCTGTTTGCATCAAACAACTTATGGCGGGTAAACCTTTGAGTGCTGTTGTCTCTTGCTTCAAAGTATCGTTTACGATCACACAGAAGAAAAATCGTCAAATAGATTAACGGCAGATATACTCAAGGATTGTCGTTCGGAAAATATAAAGTGCAGCAAATATCAGCTCATATTTGTGACCGCAGAGCATGTTTTGTCAAGCCATTTCTTTCCAAGACGAAATAAACTGCCTCACCGTTTCACTAATCGGATCTACATGTGTTTGTTTTCGTCGGAAGACAGTGCTTCCGGTTTTTAATTTAACTAATTTTGATTGGTTACCTGCTCATCTCCGGAAATGCAGTGACGCGCAACTAACCAGACAAACAACGGAAGTCATTTAGGAAACGGCTACCGTGGGCTGTCTTGGCGAACAGTTTAAGATTATGTTCTATTACCGTTGCTCAAAGCTGCACCAAGGCGACTCAGGACAATACCATTTAATTATTTACATCACGCGAATCAAATGAAAAAATTCCTTAGCTATACATCAGCCAGGATGTTGTGGTTACAATCTGTGCGCGAAGAGTTAATTGAGAAAGTGAATGCTTTGTACAACAACGAAAAGAAGTTACATGGTGTCCGGCATTTTAGTACAGTTACCTTCTTTGCTGTCAGAACAGTGTTGTACTGTGACTTCTTCTTAAAGCTGACTATATCACTGATCAAGTTAATTCAGAAAACACACAAAAAACGAAGTGTTACGGTATAGTTCAACCGACAGAAACAACCCTACAAACTCGACTACCCTACTTTTTTAGAAAACGTGTAATATACTTAATAAAGAGTGACTCCTAAAGGCATTAAAATACTGATCCTTACTTAGGCTTACTACAAACTATATCTTTGCTCAACACTGACACAATCTCACAGTTGTCCTAAATTTCCTTAAAATGAACAATCTTCCACAGTGGTTCTCTCTCTCAGAATTGCTTTCCAAACAGTCCGTCACTCCCGGCAACAACAACAACAGCAACTACACGACTGAAACCTTATATAAATTTACAAAATATTCCAGAAGCTTACAACACAACTATTTCATAGTATTACTACATCATAACATGATGATTTGATAGAATGTTCTAGAAATTTCCGTGGAAGGTTTAAATATCCAAGTCATTATGGCTAGGCATTCTACAAATTTCTAGGTACTTATTTTTACAGTCAATATCCATAATAAAAAAAATTATTCAAAACAACATTTCAATTGCTGATTAATGACAACGTAGAAGAAGTCAAAACAAAATCTTCTTTCTACAAGACTTAGTTAAGAAGGCATAGCCACCAGGCCCGGGTTGTTCGAAGCTGAGTTAAGATAACCAAGGGTTAGAGTGGAATTTGATGTCAGGTCTGTAAGCTTTAAAAGAAAATTTAGTTCAAATCTTTTTGCCTGCAATTTGATCATCGGATGTTCTAAAAAACGACTAGGAAAATTTTTTCCTAAAAGACTTTGGAAAAAAGAAATAAAGAAACTTGGATTAAAAAATAACCCTGGGTTAGCGCTAGTCGGCCTTCGAACAACTGGGCCCTGGACTGCTGAATTGGGAGCCTATCGTTGAACCTTTGCTAAAGGTTAAGTTCCCTTTTGACGATAAAGTTGAAGATGAAGGGGACGCTGCCTGTAGCTAGTCTACGGGTTTAAAAGTTTTTCGCTTGAAAAGAAAGAATGTCTGGCCATCTGAAGACAAAATTAGACGTAGGATTTTATCCAAACCGAGAAAAAAAATTGTAAAGTGCAGCCGGGTATTCTTCAACAGAGATCCTTCCTGTTTCTCGTGCTTTTGAAAGGTTGTGCTCACTAAGCCGCTACAAAGTCCCTTTCTTCTGCACTCGAGAAAAAAGAGCAGTTAGAACTGCTGCATCTCACATTGCATTAGATGAAACTATTTTTGTATTTAGTGCGATACAGAAATTGTATAAAACACTTTTTGATCAAGAAACCTTTCCGCAATTTAGTAAGCTTTCTCATCCACTAGTTCTCCCTAAGTGATTACATAGATCATTTTTCCTGGCGATAAGTAGTCACAGTATTTACATATGTGAGAGACTAACGCACAAAAACCTTCCAAAAATCGCCTGACGACAATGGAACAAACTTTCTCTCATGACTGAAGTCATCACATTCAAATCTTCCCGAGTGTAACAACCAGTGTCCTGAGAAAGACACAAAGACAGTGTGATCATATAATGAATCTTCTCCCCATTTACCCAATGGAATTCCTAGTCCTTTACCACCTTTCCATTGGTCACACATTTCTGCCAATTTGGAGTTGTCATCTTCCATTCTCACAAACAACCCACAGGAGTCGGGCTTGTCATTCGTCTGACCGCTGAGGTACTGGACTACCGCTTCACCTGAGCTGTTAGCAGCCGTGGTCACGTGAAACGTACGTCCTCGCACTTTGCTACAATGGAATCTCAGCTGAGTGAAAGGCATATGTGTCATCAGTTCTTCTACGGCTGTTTTCCTCAGAAATATATTGTTTTCAAGGCAGCCGCTGATTCCATGGTACGAAGTCTCAAGCTTCACTTGTGGGGAGGATGGGTTGCCGATTACAAAATTTGACACAAGAAGCCAGCCTCCTGGAAAAAAATTACATTTGGCTTGTATCACCTTTTGTTAACACTGATCTCTTATATGGAAAGAAAACAGTCGCAGCCGAATGTGGCGGGATATAATAAAACGTATACTGTATGCATATTCTAAAACCTTTTTGTCCAAGTCTGTAGGTAACCTACGTATTTAAGGTATGTCCATTTAAGGTATCCAGCGGCTGAATATCGTCAACGCGTGAGCCAAAATTCTTTAAATAAAAAGTTCGAAAAAAATAATTGTTTTATAATCATAGCGCCCAAAGAAATACTTCTTAATCTGCTAGAAACATGGAAAAAATACTTGGCTTAGTCTGCGAAGAAATACATCTGCGACTTTCATGGTGTATGAGCCAACACACCATGACCTGTAAACTACTCAGAACTGAGGAATAGAGATTCACCATGGCTTGTTTTGGTACCTTTAACATTTTTTATAAGCAATGACAAAACATTTTCAGAGAAGCCGTCGATCTTACTCTACACAAGCTCGTACACTGTTTAAATAATTTTAACCTCCGTTAGTTGTCATGTCACAAAAGACTTTCAAAGGGTTTCCAGTCTTCTCAGGGTCGATCCAGTACTCCCCGTCTCCTCTTGAGTTTCCTGAGTCCCGAATATCCTTACAGGAGTTTGCAGGTTGCGAACGCAAACCTGTTATACCTATTGAGGAAAATAGAACACGCATTGAAATAAAAGCTAATCGCAGTGTCATCAATGAAGTCACCATATGATTGCTCGGCAAAATGGGGATGTAAACTTTGCATCATAACAACTAGGGACAATAGAACAAATATTGAAATGACAGAAAAAAAACGCCCTCTCCTGTGTCATAAACTAACGTATACGAACCATAAAATTTCATCAAACCTTCTCTCCTTCTCTTTCCTCTTTTTCTATTCTAGTTCTTTTCTTTTTCTATTTTAATCTCAATCTGTCACTGTTTGTTTTTCTCTCTTTTTCATGCATCTTTTTTCCAGAGAAAGAGATTTTAAGGGGATAAATATCGGGGCCAGTCCATATCTATGAGAAGAAAATTAAGAGATGTTATCACTCACGGAATTGACAGCGTGTTCCTCGGTATCCCGGGTGACAATGACCTTTCTCACTTTGTTCATTCCTTTTAGAGGGAACATCCATGCAGGAGGCCTGAGTAAAATTAAAAGACCTGTTACAAAGTTCTTCCTTAGTTTTCACGGCATTGCCATGGAAACATAATTTCTTGTTTCTTTCTGATTGTCTGTTTTACAAGCAGAGTGATGATCGAGGGAGCTTAAGACCAAGATCAAATAATAAAGCAAAGAGGCTTCACAGATCTTTAATAAGACAATGAAGCTTCATGCGTTTTCACTATTTCACGCAAAGAGTTGATTGTTAGGCCAGTTGATTACAGCGATCGGCGGACTTGTATATTATTCGACTTCACAACCATCACTGGATCTCGTCACGCAGCACTCTTCCTACTCGATCAACGGGAGAGGAGATGTAGAGGACTATCTACAAATTTAATTTGCATAGATAGAAATCTAAATCTAATCATTTACAAGGAAAAATTTTCCTAATAATACGAAACGGGGCGATACAATGAATAAACTGAGATACAAAATCTTTGAAACTGACCCGTGTGTAGCCATAGTAGTTTGATCCTTTCCTCAGTTGAAAATCACGTGGCTTCATCTGCCTGGTTTTGTTGTTCAGCTCGCAAATTCGGCTTACGTAACCGTCTCTTGGATGAATATTGCACGACTTGCAACTATCACTCCCCATACATTTCAGCTGACATTCAAACTCGTCTACAACAACAGTTTTGCTTATGACGTGACCCAGTAAAGCATGGTCTGAAGGAGTGAGATACGTTTGGTGTCAAAGAGATCCTTAAAGCGTTGAACTTTTGGCCCCTACATTGTTTACTTACCGATTTGATTTTCAAAAACCTCTCCACAGTAGTTAGTGTCAGATAATACTGAAGCAACTACAAAGAATAAGTTGATGATGATGAAGCTCAATTGTGTTAGCCCAAAAGAATCCATCCAGATAGATACCGGACGGCTTTGCTATGGACAATTTCAGCTTCAAACGTAGTATTTTGCCTTAGCATCACATCATCTTGAAAGAACTCTTTCATCTACTTTTAATAGTCTTTTGACTTGTTTTCAACTTATATTAAAGTTAACGACAAGGGGTTGGTAAGCAATTGTAATGTAAGGATAGGTCATCGATTATTAATTGTATTTATCTTGATTTTAGATTTCATTCGATTACGAAAAGCTCGATTTTATTAACTCAAAAGAATCCATTCAGTTGGATGCCGGGCAGCTTTACTGTTTGAATTTTTAACCTTAAACGCAATGATTTGGCATAAGCTTCACGGAATCGTGAGAGAATACTTCCATTCATTATTCGCTGATTTTTTTGTCTTTTAAGTAGACTTTTTTCCTCAAAGAAAATGACATAGAATTGCCGCAAATTCCGTTAAAGCATTGACTTCAAGTTGAGGATAACTCATCAATAATTGGCTAAATTTATTCTGAAATCTAGATTAAAGAGGTTCCTTTAAGACTGAAATACAAGAATCGTAAAAAACGATTTTTTAACCAAAACGATGGCTTTTGAATTGCTTAGCCAGCCTGTTATTGCTAATATTATTCAAAGGAAATCTCATTATCCTGGCAAATAACAAACTTTTGTGGAAGGGTTTTTAAGACTCATGTTGGTCAGTAAGCCAATCAAATGCATTTAGCCCTCGCTTACTGGCCCCATTGTATTGAACAAGACCAAACTTTGAGTTTTTGCCTTTGAGACTTTGCTTTAGTCGGTCATGTTATGGAAATGACTGCTGTCATTGAAGAACCTCAATGTCAGTTGAAATGCATGTGGAAAATAACAGCTGTAAGTTGGTCAATATTCACCCCAGTGACAGCAATGGAAACAGAATTTGTGATTTGGACAACAAAAGGCGATTTCAAACACAACAAAGGATTTATATACTATGGCTCTGTCGGGGTCGGTTTTTCTTTTTTTGGTTTGTAATAACTGATTATTTCAATCAGTGATTTTGAACGGAACCAATTCTGTAAACTACGATTTTTCAAAACTGGAAGATTTGTTTTAACCATAACTTTTTCTACGGAAAATAAAGGGAGCGATTGCGTAGCGAATATGCACGCTTCTATGCGCGTAAATACCTTCGCATATTATAATTTTCCGCAAAATGCGTCTTTCATACAGTTTCTCTGTTACTAATAAGTGCGACCTGACAACATGAAATAAGGAATAATAACTGCGCGAATTCTGTAAGTGCTAAACGCTGTTTTTTTTTTTTCCAAAAGGTCGGCAAAAGTATTTGACAGTATCATAAAACTCTATAAACTATTTTTTGTTCAGTTAAATATTTCATTGTAAAAACCGTCTGAAGTCCGGAACATGCTAAAAAATCTAGGAAGCCCACATACAGATAACACTGCATTTCTTTGTGTAGCTATCAGAGCATTATACTACAATCAGCCCGGCCATTCCCGTAAGGATATTCGGAACTCAGGTTTCTTTAAAAAAGACAGAGAGTACTGGATCGACCTCGAGAACAACGGAAAACCTTTAAAGGTCTACTGTGACATGACAACTGACGGAGGTAAGACGTAAATAAAATTACGTAAAATGTTTTCAATGCATTTAAGACTACACAAGCAATCATATATTAGGTGTAATGCTTAGGGTACAAGTATTATGTTTCCTTCGTTAAGTTGCGTAATTTTTTAAATCAACTCTTTTTACTGGAGGTTGTCTTCTTGTCTAAAACTTTGTCGTGGACGACCCATTGACGAAACAATTTTTGATTGAGTCGTCTTACCAAGAGATCAGCGACTGTCACAACAAACTCACTATCAAACATCAAATATTCTTTTCCATATCAATTTACTGTTACTAATTGTATGTGGCATTGAATGTTTGTTTGGATTAGCATCTGGCGCATCACTAGTCTCCTAACTGGGGATGCTGTCAGATATTATCGTGAACAATGCAATTATTGTTATAACAACGATAGTTTCTTGGGGGCAATCAGAATAATTCCAAGCAAGTAATGAACTGCGGTTCCAAAAGAAGTAATCAGAAGTTCATTATTGTGAGGAAAATCCGTCAAAAGTGCTTTAGTGTGAGGACAATCCGACAAAAATTACCGTCAACAACAGCTCCCAATTAAAGATTTTTTTTATTAAAGCACACACCTTCGCCTTCTCATGTCACGTAGAATTATCATTAAATGCCCTTTAGGTCAAAGTTTTAGAATTAAGCCATAAATTATAGATGTGTTTTTCTCGATCTGGTTTCAAAGCAGTTGGAAAAGCCCAAACGGCGCGGAACGGCAAATTCCGAGGAACTGATTTGTATGTGTACATGATAAGCGAGAAGCTCCCGGCTCAAAATAGAACGGCATTAAGAGAATCTGTTTTACGATGGCTGTGTTATGGCTGACCAAGTTTTTTGTTGTGGCTGTTCACATCCTCTTAAGAATCCTGTTTGTCTTGGCTAATAATGATTTTTGTGGAAGTGTTTTCGAGACTCAAGTTGGTAGGTGAAAGCTCGAATTAGAATTAAAACAACTGATCCGCATGCCTCCTTGTTAGGACATTTACGTAAAAAACACTTCCTTTCAGACTATACCTTGGTCGGTCACGTCATGGAAACGACTCCTGTTGAAGACGAATTTCAATGTCAGTTGAAATGCATGGGAAATGACAGTTGCAAGTCGATTAATCTTCATCCTATTGACAGAAACAAAACTCGACTTTGTGAGCTGAATAAACAAACACGGCAGATTAAGAAGAATGATTTGAAGCCGATGAAAGGATTTACATATTTTGGCTCTGTCCAGGTCAGTAGATAAGTTCACGGGTAATTGTTTTTATTGATGTTCACGGCGAACATCGTTCATCAACGACTGAAAGATTCATTTGCTAAATTGAAATTCAGTTTCAGCTTCAGAGTTAACCATAAAAAAGGATAACATTCTTAATGAACACTTCGAATTAAACTTTAAAAGTGGGCTATACCTACCTGATCTGCTATATTCTATTGAAACAATGACAAGGAACCGCGATACAAGATGTTTCCTTTGGGTGCAATTGATCAGTTTCGGGCTAGATACGATCATCGCGTATTCTTGACAAGTGGGAGTCACTGATTTTACCTTCGATGTTCAAATAAAAAGAATCATATAAAACAGATATTGAAGCCATTTCTTTTTTGTAAGAACCTGCGTTACTCAAGGTTTTAGATCTAGCTGGAAGTCGGCTTTGTAAATAAAATCTACTCTCACAGTTTAAACTTTTCTCAGAAAAAGAAAGCCAGCTTTGCCTTCTCATTCAACAAACCAAAAATGGAAAGTTTTACCCAGGTCTTATGTTCTTATCGTAGGTCTCTTGTGTCAATGGTTCCCATCAACGGAATGGACAAAATGAAAGTTGTCAGTGTCATCCGGGATACAGGGGAAAAAAGTGTCAAACACGTAAGTGTCAAAACATTCTACAAAAACCAGTTTTAGGTAAGGTCCCTGGTAATTCAAATCCCCGACCAAGACAAAACTTCTCCATACAATATCAATACAATATCAAGCAGGCAAGTGATGGGAATAAAGAAAAATTTCTACGGGGGGGAATATTATTTGATCCAATTCCGTATTCTCCGAACTAATATCAAAATAATTTTTATGGCTGGCAGTAAGGAGAATTACTAACGAGATCTGGAAGAGAAATGGTTCAGCCAACTTGGAAAAAAAATTTAAGTTTAAAAATCCTAGCCGATTCCAAGCAGCACACTCGAAGTCATTTTTAAACTCGCAAATGCAGTTTTTTAAACCGGCATTTTGCTTCCCCATCACCACACAACAAGTTTACCTTGTTCAGCCACAAGTCCGGTTGCAGTTTCGTTTAAAAGTTTTAAGTTCCTTGAATCAATGTGAAGTTATTATTTAAACCATGCTTTCAAAGCGTTTAATAATTTTTTCATTCACACAGCAGGGGGTATTGCGGTGTTAATTGGAAAAAAGTTTGATTGCTTAATTAAAAACACCACTATGGATCCCCCGAGACGCTTTGTTTTATAGATAATAAACAAAAAATGATGAAATATATTATGTACTCAGTACTTTTGCGCCGAGCAAAATTAAGTCAACGAAAATTTTTTTTTCAAGAATTTGCATACAACACATCACCGAAAATGTGGACTTTGAAGTTGATATCATTTTCCAAAGTCCTATGCCTATAGTTGTATTTTACAAATCCTGTTGGGACTTGACTTAAGAATTTGGTTCTTCCCTAGGATGTGTTAATGAGACTTTCAACTGATAATTATGGAGAATTGTGAAGCTCCTGACGGAAAGCAGACGTCATCTCACTTTGAGACTTGTTAAATGCCTAGATGTGATGTTTATGGAAACTCGTCGTTAGATCTTCCTCTCTCACTTTAAAATTGTTGGAATCCGAATCAAACAGGGCACTGTGACAATGAGAAGATATTTATAAACGAAGGCGTTTTTGATACTGATTTTGCGCGGATGGGGAATAAAACAGCTTTTAGCGCGCGCTGACATCAGGCAATCAAATGAAAAGACCTATCTTCAAGTATTTTACCCTGAATGCTGCAGAAAAATTAAAAGTTAGGGTCAGGGAAAAGAACTCTCCGTTTCCGCCTGCAAAAATTTATGTTTAGAAGTTTGGTAATTTGTGTATTGTGAAATAATTTTGCCACCCAATAAGAAACACTGCATTTCCCTCTGCAGCTATCAAAGGCTTCAGTTACAATCAGCCTGGTCATTCCTGCAAAGACATCCGGGACTTTGGAGATTCCACTGGAGATGGCGAGTACTGGATCGACCCTGAGAAGAACGGAAAGCCTCTAAAGGTCTTCTGTGACATGACAACTGACGGAGGTAAGACATGGATATGTATACAAAGACAAAGGAGAAAGAAATTAAGATATGGGTTTTTTTAATCACAAAACTGATGATATTCTATAAAATAGTTATCAAGAACAACTCATGGAGTGTTAGCCTTGTGTCAGCTCAGGTTGTTGTTGGTTATGTGATTTTATTATGTATTTTTTCTAGGAGGTTGGCTTCTTGTTTCCAATGTTGTGTTTGAAAACTCACCCTCACAACAGTTTTCGATAAAGTCATCATACCGCGATATCAACAACTGCCACAGAAAGACGATGTTTCTCAGCCTAGAAGCAACAAGGGAACTGAGAGCACACTTGTCCTTCACTCAGCTGAGATTCCACTGCAGTAAACAAAAAGGACGTACGTTCCACGTGACCACGGCGCCTAACAGCAACGGTGAAGCTGTAATCAACTTCTTCAGCGGTCAGACAAACTCCCGACCAAATTCCTGTGGCTCGTTTGTGAGGATGAAGGATGACAACTCGATGTTAGCACAAAATTGCCAGCAATGGAAAGACCAAAAGTGGGGTGATCATAATCCAAGTGAGAGTTGCAGATACAAAGTAGTTGCATTTGTCTATGCAGGTTTTCACTGGCTACTGCAGACACCTAAAAGCTCTAGATGGGAATGCGACGACTACAATACAAGTAATGGTGGAGAATTCTTTGAATTATTCCCTGGCGATTTCTGGAAAGTCTATGTTCGTTAAGGCCTAAATAACGATCATTACCGACCTCTCTTTACGTTGGTTTGAAATGAACTTTTGACCAAAAAGTTGCCTATGTTTTTGTCACGTTTGAATAAAATAAGTGGGGAAAAAGATAGTGCCAGTCTCTGAATCGATTTGGAGTAATTCAAAGTTGTTAAGAATGATAGATTTAACCGCGTGGTTGTGAGGGTGAAATGTAAGAGTGAATAGGATGTGGTCAGCGTTCTCATTCTCGGCCGTTTGTAGTGCTGACTGTCGATTAATTTGTTGGGCACGGTGGTGTCCCGCTTGAACGACAGAAACAGGATAGCCACGTTTATCGAAAAACTGGCACATTGCCTCTGATTTTTCGGAAAAATCAGTGTCGTCACTAAATAGACGACGGAGTCTGAGAAACTTTGAAAAAGGTATGGAGTTCTTGAGGTGTGATGGGTGTAAAGATGAATACAGTAAGTAACTATATGAATCTAAAGGTTTGTAGTAAAAACTAGTGCATAAACAGTTGCCTCCAGTTGAAATTTTGATGTCTAAAAAAGCCAAAGAAGTGTCGGAAATTTCCCTGGTATATTTAAGAGCCGGATGAAAGGAATTGACGGCGGTTATAAATTGAGTGAGCTCCTTTCTAGTAGGGGAGTTAGCGCCGATGCAGTCGTCAATGTAACGGCCGTAGAGGTTTTGGGCCGCGGTATTGTCTAAAAAATTAATGTTCGCTAAAACCTACGAAAAGATTTGCGTAGCTGGGTCCAATTTTAGGACCCATGGCCACGCCATTATTTTGTTTGTAGTAGTTACCACCGAATGAAAAGCAATTGAGTGTAAGTATTAGTTCGACCAAACGAAGTAGTGTTTCAGAGCTAGGTTCCCTTAACAGGGCAATGATCGAAAAAAATTTTGAGGGCCCGGAGACCTTCGTCATTGGGAATGACAGTAATATATAGATTTAAGCAAACCTAAAAGCGGAGCTCGCATTTTTTTTCCCCGCACGTCTCTTCAACAAAACTAAAGCCCCTACTATGGATAAAGTGCGTGATAATATTAATGAATTTTCATTCGCAACTTCTCCGTGTCCGTGTAGAGGACTGATTATAGGATAGTGCCCGTGGTACAGTTGGCCACGCATGCTAAAAGGGAGTAGCACCTTGTATGGTCGGTCGTACGGTCGTACATCCAAGATCGGTGAATGAACGGCAAAGCCTTCACGATCGTCAATACAAGCAGTTTGTCGGAGCTTCCTCGAATTATGGCGGCTAAAACACTAAAAACTTCGTATTACTGACAGACTGTGAGGTTCAAACTTTCCTAAAAGAGGAAGAAAACCAATATACTAAAAGAAAAACCGAAAGTTACGTATTCAGTGGCTTTGTTGTTAGCATTTCTCTTGGCTGAGAAGATTTGTCACTTGCCGATTTTGGCCGGTTTACCTGAAAGACTTCTTCTGTCGGCAAGGACAAAGTCAATAAATAAGAATTTTTTAAATTGAAAATTACGACCATTGTGGTTTTTGTAATCATGATTCAAGGCATTTTTCCATCTTAAGAGTCAGCGCCAACGCACTCCATGATTGTTACTCGGGATTGTCGATTCATTTATTTTCATTCATAATGAAGTCGGCTTTTCTTCTCAGTAAAGGTCTATTGTGTTTATATGAAAAAAAAAATATTACCTGGTTGCTTGTAAATATGGAATTTCCCTTTTCGAGTTAAACACTCGAAGAGAAATTTCATATCTACGCTTGCCCATGTATTATTCTCTTTATATCGTTATTGCTTTTCTGTACTTCTATTTCATTCAAGTATTTAACAAATAACTTATCTATTTAGAGTAAATTCAAATTGTGCAACCACTATTTGCATAAGAATGTCAAAACGCGTTTTTCAAACTTAAAAATGTTGTTTCTTTTACAAAAACTTACATTCATTATAAGATAAATTTTTCAATAGCATTTGAAACTAACAAACTGAATCTATATCAGGGCTGAGTTATGACTCATTGTGCCTTCGGGCTGCAAATTACAATAGAAATGTAATAGGGGAGAAGTTAACTCTTTACATCCTGTTTTATCTTGAGCGCGAAAATGCTTAACTGAGTAGACAGGTGGTGTAACACTGTAATGAAGTGGTAACAACGTACATATGTACGGTCGGACAAGTTACCAAAATTTTCTTGATTGGGAAGTTGGGAAGAGCCTTTTTATTTAGGAAAGGAGGAAAGGAGATTCGGTGGTTTTCAGGAGATCATATGGTTTTCATGTGGGAAAAGAGGGGACAGTCGTTCCCAACAGAGTATAAAAGGCGGGGGAGGCCATACAAAATAGACTGCAAATGAGGGGGAATCATTATTGTATTACATAGCATACGGGGGATGATCAGGCGAATCTATTGTGACACAAAAAAAATTTTACGTCCCCCCCCTGCCCAGGAGATAAAAAATGACTGCTCCCTCGTATAACATTGTTTCCTCTGTGAATGGCATTTATTTGATTCTAGGTACGAGATTATGGGCGCATATCTCCTTTTCACCCAAAGATTACGTCTATATATTTCATGAAAGCAAAAATACTGAATTAATAATCAGATAATCACAAATTAGTTGATGTTCAGCTGAACACATTCTTCTTTGCATTTTTTTCAACGAGTACAAATTAAAGCTGAAGTTCTCTCAAACATCTTTTTAAATGAAAGGAAAAACAAACCCATTATTGTTAATGTTGAGGAAAAAAAACATAAAAACATATCTTGCAGGCACATTGAAAGCTTTGAATTGAATTATAAATTATTGATGTGTTTATAGAATTCAATTCAAATCTAGAAGAGCACTCTGCTCTTCCGAACGTATTTCACATAAATATAGATTATATACCCAGTGAAGACGTTAATTTGGGACCAGAAAGGCATTTGGAAGCCTCCGTATATCACCGATGGCTGTTGCGAGGCTGACCCAGTTTGCCGTTGTGACGCTGCACATCCTTTCGGGAATCGTGGTTGTTCTGGCCAAAAGAGAATTCTGTGGAGGTGTTTTTCTTGAAGTGCAACTTGGTAAGTAATTCCTGAAGACCGAAAATACGTATTTTGATTATCTTGCCCCATCTTTTTTCATATTTTCATAAAATATTTGGTTTTTATGTCTCTTACCTTTCAGAACATGCTTTAATCGGTCACGCTATGCTCACGACTTTAGTCGTAGACGAGTTTGATTGTCATTTCAAATGCATAAGTAAGAGCTGTAAGTCGTTTAACGTTCGTCCCAGTGATAGCAACGGAAACCGAATTTGTGAGCTGAACAATGAAACAAGGCAGATGAAACCAAGTGATTTTAAACAGAAAAAAGGATCTACCTACTATGCCTCTGTTCAGGTCGGTACAAATTATTGTAACTGATTCTTTTATTAACGATCCGCGAACGACTAGTATGATGCAAATGACAACAAAACTGACATATTAATTTCTATTTCAGTGCAAGGTTTCTAGAATACAGAACAAGAGCACATCGGGTGGTCAGGAACAATGAAAAATGTTTTTCCAATCGAGCTCTTCGACATAATGATGTCTTCATGGGAACATCTGTTCCCATTGTCCATATTTTGATGTTTCTGCATGCTACATAAACTCTACTTTAAACTCCTGATGAGAATTTCATCAACCTTTTTATCTCCTAGTCTGGAGTTCAAGTGAGAACATCAAGAGCATTTTTGTAATTTAAGGATCAACTTGATCTGAGAAGCTCACATAAAAAAAGCTTTTCATGTTACAAACAAAACAAAAAAACCAAACCTGATAAACAAGAACGCGCATTACGTATCAAGAAATGGCCCATTGTTCCGGGTCAACTTTCCAAACAAAAGTCCTGAGTAATTGGTAGTCCTGAGGGACTTTGGCCGAAGGGAGGCGGAAAAGCTCGTAACTGATCGAGAAAATTATCGGAGTGACAATTTTGCTGCACTGGGGGAGTGGGTAGTGTAAAAGTTATGTTATGACTAGGTCGTCGGGGCTGAATTTTTATAGCAGAGCCGCTATAAATTTTGAACAGGACCTATTATATCAGGCTTGAAAACATGTAAAAAATGTCGATCTAAGAATTAACGGGAAATGATTTGATGTACTATTGTTGATATGATGTATTTATTTTGTTAGGTCGCCTGCCAGGATGTCGGTAAGTTTCATCCGGGATACATAAAACACAATATCAAACACCTGGATGGCGAGAGGATTCTAGCAAAGTTTATTCAGAGGCCGTTCCAAAAAAAAATTACCTAGATTTCATCTGCCGCAATTTTACAGCTTGAAGCGTAAGATAAAGTATTTTTGCAGATTAAAATGGTCGAGATTTGGTCACTTTGGCGAGGTCTAAGCTTTTGGATGAAATAGGACAAATTTGACGCAAGCTAAGAATTCGAAGAAACCGCGCCGTTATTCAAGATGCCTGCTGTTTGTGCAATACCAGTGACACCCCTTGTGATGTAAATATGTCATATTGTGAGGCCTGTCAGCTATAATTGCTACCTTGTAGGGTATTATAGCAAATACAAAATAGAATATAAAAAATGCTCGAATAAAGCCATCAAAAGTAACTTAACTAATTAGTGATTTTGCAAAACCGAAACGGTTCTGAGTTGATTCTTTGCCAGTTAGCCACTTTTCTTTGAGCGTACGGCTTGTTTCGAGTTTTTCCATGACTTGATCCACAAAACCTGACAAAAATAATGTTTTTCTAACGGTGAGGAACTCGCGATGCAGCGGTAACTCAAGCATCATAAAAATTCCTTTGGATAGGATAAGAGTCTCTTGAGACCCTTGAGCAGTGATACCGTTGTGTGAAGACTATGAAGCTCGTTAATGTACATAGCATTTCCTTCTGTAGCTGTCAGAGGTTTATATAAGGATTCGCCCGGCCACTCATGTAAGGACATCCGGGACTCAGGTTTCTTTCAAAAGGACGGGGAGTACTGGATCGACCCTGAGAAGAACGGAAAACCTATAAAGGTCTACTGTGACATGACAACTGACGGAGGTAAGACATGGAGCAACAATGACAATATAAAGATAAACACTTTGAAGAAAGTTGTTGCTACGTTCTTCAGATACTACACTCAGAGTGAAAAAAGTATCGAATGAATGCTTAGTGCATCAAATCAATGTTTGAAAGGTGGTGCTGCGTCGGCGGGGGGTATTTGTAGGATAATTTTGTTTATCAGCTGAGTTTAAAATGTAAATTGGTCACTGCAGAGAAATTCTATAGCTGACTTTCTAAGCGTTAGCCCTTCGCTCTGACGAAGGGCTGTAGCTCGAAACGTCAGCTTTAGACTTTCTCTGCAGCAGCCAATTTCATTATCAATTTAGTTGATAAATTGCGAATAATACAAGGGCGCGCTTAGATATAGAAATTTCTCTCCGAGTGTTTAACTCGATAGCTCACGAGTGAGCGCAGCGAATGTCGAGTTGAACACGAGAAAAGAAATTTCAAGTCTACAAGCAACCTTGTATCATTTTGTTTATCATATGAACACAATAGCCCTTTACTGACATGAAAAGTCAACCTGATTAATGAATGAAAATAAAAGGATCGACAATCCCCCAATAAAAATCGTAATTCTCAAAATTCTCAATTATTGACTTTTTCCTTACCGACAGAAAAGATCTTTCAGGTACACGCCCAAAATCGGCCCGTGGCAAATCTTCCAGTTGTCGATATCAGCCGCGAGAAATGCCATTACCAAAGCCACTGAATACGTAACTTTCTGTTTTTCTTTCCGTATTTTGGTTTTCTTCCCCTTCTAGGAAAGTTTGAACGTCACTGTCTGTAAGCGATACGGATTTTTCAGTGTTTTAGCAGCCATAATCCGAAAAATTGCGACAAACGACCTTGGATTGAGAATGGTGATGGCTCTGCTGTTCATTCATCAACCTGATCGAGTGGCACGAAAGGCGGATGACGCTGATTGGCGATATCAAACACACTTGAAAAAATACGATATTTTTTTCATGTGTGTTATTATGGCTTTTCTCAGGGCTGGAAATCCTTGTATAGCACCGTAGTTTATATGATAAAACAAATCAATTCTATGTTTTCTTTGATTTATCATAAGATATTTGAAATCATAAATTTGTTTCAGGAGGTTGGCTTCTTGTTTCCAACGTTGTGGTGGACGAGCCGTCCTCTCGACAGCTTTCGATTGAGTCTTCTTACCGTGAAATCAGCAACTGTCGCGACAACAAGGCGTTGTTTATCACGACGGATGCCATGAAAGAACTGAGAACACACCTGTCCTTCACTCAACTGAGATTTCATTGCAGCAAACAAAAAGGACGTACAATCCACGTGACTACCGCTGCTAACAGCTCTGGTGAAGCTGTAGTCCAGTATTTCAGTGGTCAGATGGATTCCCGCCCCTTAGGCTGTGGCTCGTTTAAAAGAATGGAAGATGATAACTCCAGAACAACTGCAAGTTGTCGTCGATGGAGAGATATGAAGTGGGGATTAGAAAGCGTCGCACAGCAAAGGTTAAACGATCATCCTTTATTTTTACCGGGGGCTACTCACTGGCGTTTGACAGATGGGAGTCAAAGATGGGAGTGCGACGACTTCAAGAAGTCTGGTTCAGAATTTTTTGCGCTGTCCTCTGACGATTTCTGGGAAGTCTTTGTTCGTTAGGAAATAAGAGCGACAGATCACCTACATCTGCTTACTTGGTCTTCATGAGGCGTCCTTCATCAGTAGAGAAAATGACGGGCACTCTTCCCTGTAAAAAACACCGCTAAGGAAAGAGAATATAGACTGTTCTATTCTCTTGTCTAAGCTCATTAGCATGCCAGTGTTGAGATTAAAAAACAAAAACACAAAACTACTGTTTTTGAACATTACAATTTTGACCCAGGACCGCGTCCTTTTTTTTCACTGCTATAATTGCAAAATTAACATGAACATGAACATGTAGAGCTCACCAGGTCACATGCTGTTTGTTAGTTTGCGGCTTGGTAATCTTTTAGCGCGAGTTTTTATTTGAACCTGCTGTCCAACATCTCAGTTAGCCTACACCTAAAGTTTGTAGCTATGTATGTTTAACTCACGATTTATAAAACAGCAAGTTGTGAAAACATGTAGAAGTTTGTACCTGCTATTCTTTGCACCATCATGAAAACGCTCCGAAAAATCATTCAACGAATATTTTTCCGGATATATACTTATAAAATTCATGTGATTCTGGTCCTCTTTTGGTCCGCTTCAGCCAAATGATGATCGTGTATCCGTTCTTCGGGCACAGACTAACTCAGTACGAATAAATCTGCTACTCTTTGACCTTGCAACAAGGAAAAGGCCACGCATTACCCATTTAATGTATAGTGGCTTTGAAACTGTAGGTGCTGTGGCCTGATAAGCGATAAGAGCGCTGGATTGTGGGTCGGGAGCTCTGAGCTGGAGAGCTGGCCCGATTAGTATTTTTTGTTCCCAGGCAAGACACTTTACTCTCACCATGCCTCTCTCCATCCAGGAGTATAAATGGGTAAAAGTGAATTGTCAGTAAAGCTTGATGAAACGCTAAGGAAAGAGGGAGGGGAGGGTAGAGGACAGAAACCGGGAGAGGCTCCGGCTGGAATGGTCACATGACTCGAGTACAGACATAACTACGTTCTTTGAAGCAGCATTACAGATTAGAAAAAAGGAAACAAGAGCATAACTTTGCAGGAATACGGTCAACTCCCTCGTAAACGGATACCCTCGGGGAATTGGAAAAGGTGTTCGTCAGTAGAAGTGTCCGCCAAAGAGAATCATTCCCCGACGCGGATACTAAAGAAGAAAAAAAGGGCGATGTCCCTTACGGGAGAGCGTTATGTTGAACTCTTGTTCAAGTCAAACGAACGGAGAGCTTGCTTTCCCGTGGACAAATAAAGATTTGGCAAAACCTTTCCCCCCTTTTCTTTTGCCCTGTAAGATACCATATCTTTGTTGATTGCAAATTTAAGACAGATTTTACTGCTAAGAGTCAATTACTATCCATAGGATGTCCGCTAACGAGAGAGCGTAAACAAAACAAAAGTCCAAAAGTGTCCACGTTCGCCCACGCGGGCGTCCGCCTACGGAAATGAGTAAATACAAAGTTTGACTAGGAAGTATATAAGGAATTTTACCACAATTGGCAGTAATGTCGCAATCTGATTGGGTAAATTGCCGTTGTTAATAAGAGTACAGTTACTACTGCTCGAGTCAACGTGTCACAATCTCGGCGGTCACGCACTGAAAGAATCGTTTTATTTGCTGCGCTTCGTGAGTAAGAGTTGAGGCCACCCTGAACCGCCGTCGATTTATTAAATTGGCAATAGTGCCCGTAAGTAGAAAATTGACACCAGTTTCCTTCAAGTAGGAACTCGGACAACTTTATTAAAATTGATTCATCCAAAGCTATTGTTTAAAAAGCGCGAACCTAATTGACAAAAGATATTATGTAATAAGTTTTCGGGGAGTAGGCTGTTATGACCACCTGCTTATAATTTGCATTCTAAAATGAAACAACAACAACAACAACAGGAAAATGAAGTCCCCGTTCTTCAACCTTGATCAGATCAGACCTACTGCAGATTGTGAACTTTGATGGCTTAACACTTTTGACAGCTTTAGTCTTTTTCAGCCAATCAGATTATTTGAACCATTATAACGGAACTTTACCGGTTTTTTCGATTTATCGATCCGAGAGCTGAGAATGACTAAACAAAATGTTAATTTGGACGGACGTTAATTGGAAATTCCTCAAAACAAAAGCCACCCTGTTGATTTGGCGAATTAGATTATCAATAGTAATGATAAAGTAGACAAACAAACTCTTCTCTTACTGCGACGAACAAAAGAAATTTTCATGCAAACTGAAGAACAATTATAGCGATGAATAAAAAGGAATCATGAATTAGAGATAATAAGTATTTCAATTGTGAGTCAATGACGCTCTGCTTACAGAGGAAGGCAAATATCAGAAAGCTGACATACAACAAGAAAACTAAGGAGCTCCATTTGAGAAAGATAAAACAGCCAATTTTAGTATGGCTGTTTTATGGCTGACCCAGTTTGCCATTGTTATCCTAAACATCCTTTTGGGAATCCTGTTTGTCCTGGCAAACAAAGACTTTTGTGGGAGCGTTTTTGAAACTCGAGTCGGTGAGTAAATAGTTAAAAAAAAAAAAAAAGAAAAAAGAAAACGCCCATTCTCACACTCTCTTTCTACGGCTAATACTCACTAGAAAGAACGTTTTTTTGCCTTTAAGAACATGCCTTGGTGGGTCATGTTATCCGGACCACTGTTGTTGTGGACGAGTTTGAATGCCAGTTAAAATGTATGGGAAATAACAGCTGTATGTCGATCAATGTTCATCCCGGTGACAGCAATGGAAAACGTTGCTGTGAGTTGAATAATACAACACGGCAGATGAAGCCAGGTCATTTTAAAAAGAAGAAAGGATCTACATACTATAGCTCTGTTCAGGTGGGTTTTGGGTTAAGCAGGTTTTTTGACAACTTTTCTATCTTATTCACCGCCAAGAACAATTTTTTCGGAACTACTGCTGTATAATAATGGAAACTGAGAGAATCATTCGCTATTAGCTTACATCGGGCTGTTAAAAGTCTCGGGCAAACGTTTCTCCAAGCGTGTATTAACTATCTCCATCACTGTGCAATTCCCGTTTTGCAACAACCTTCGAACCAAAAGGTTTCATTTCTGCTTGTATAGCGTATTCTGAGTGTTGACAAGAGTGTAAGGGTAACGTCAAATTTCCTTTTAAAAATCGTACATTAAGCGTCTGAATACTGAAAACAAGAAAACAAGCTTTGTTCACTCTGAACAATGATTGATGGCAGAACAGGAGGAAAAAAGTTCATCTTTCTGTTTTACTATTCAGGCCTCCTGCATGGATGTTTCTCGCGGGCGAAAACAAACAACCAAAAGCGGCCGGTGTCATCCAAGATACAAAGGAAAACATTGTGAAACACGTAAGCGGTGTGACTGTTCTAGAAAAGTTCTGTCCTAGACGTTGCCAAACAAAATACATGACTATTAAGTGCTATGAGGATGCTGGGAATTTTCAATTGATAAACCCTTTTATAACCCATTTCTGAAGATGAATGCGGACAGTCGTGTTTAAGTTTGCATATAGCTTTTACCTTTTTTTGAGCGTCTTAACCGGTGTGTGAAGATTAATAAACCCATCAAGATCAGACCTCGTTTCCTTTTCAGCTACCAGAGGCTTATATTACAATCAGCCTGGTCATTCCTGTAAGGAAATCCGAGACTCAGGTTTCTTTCAAAAAGACGGGGAGTACTGGATCGACCCTGAGAAGAACGGAAAGCCACTAAAGGTCTACTGTGACATGACAACTGACGGAGGTAAAAAATACTTTGGAAAATAAAAGACAATCAATGAAGGTGTTGTTACGTTACGTATATACCGCAATAATAATTGGAACAGGCATCGCGTCTTATGTCCAGATTTCATTCGTTTTTTCCAGGAGGTTGGCTTCTTGTTTCCAATGTTGTGGTGGACGAGCCGTCCTCGCGACAGCTTTCGATTGAGTCTTCTTACCGTGAAATCAGCAACTGTCACGACAACAAGGCGCTGTTCATCACGAAGGATGCCATGAAAGAACTGAGAACACACTTGTCCTTCACGCAGCTGAGATTTCATTGCAGTAAGCAAAAAGGACGTACAATCCACGTGACTACCGCTGCTAACAGCTCTGGTGAAGCTGTCGTCCAGTATTTCAGCGGTCAGACGGATTCCCGCCCCTTAAGCTGTGGCTCGTTTAATAGAATGGAAAATGATAACTCCAGAGCAACTGCAAGTTGTCATCAATGGTACGATATGAAGTGGGGATTCCTCTATGACATACGGGAAAGGTTGAACGATCCTCTTTTATTTGTACCAGGACATTATCACTGGGTTTTGACAAATGGGAATCAAAGATGGGAGTGCGACGACTACCTAGAGTCTGGTTCAGAATTTTTTGCGCTGTCATCTGATGATTTTTGGAAAGTCTTTGTTCGCTAAGGTCTAAACTGCGACAGTCAAATACGTGTACTTTCACAGCCCTGAAAAACTTTTAGCTACTAGCTTACTATAAGAAGTTATCAAATGCTTAATATTATCAAAAAATCTACTTGCACCAGACTAAAATTTATAAATCTGTAATATTTGCAGTAGGTCGTATAATAGGCAGTTTTCATTAGTAGAAAAAAATCTCTTGCAGTTTTCTTTGGCAGAAATACAGTCTACAGTCAACCTTACCAGTGTTGAGATAACTGAGAAGGACAGTCTCTACAACTGACAACTGTCAGTACGACCACGATACCCTGTCATCCCGGGCTCAAACTGTTTTACTGTTAAGAACTATTGTCCGTTATCATTGCAAATTCGACCTTGGATGGCGTCTTTTTTTTACAATGCAATAATTGAAAATTTAACATGAACATGAACATGTAGAGTTCACCAAGTTACTTGCTGTGGTTAGTTTGTGATTGGCAAATTTATTTAAAGCTGTTGTACAACATCATACTTACTCTACAGCTAAAGTTTGCACCGTTTACTTCATCAAAAATTTATTAAACGACAAGTCGTGAAAACGTGTGAAAAATTGTACCTACCATTCTGTGCAAAAGAAAAAAACACTCAAAAAAATAATGCGACAAAAGTTTTGGTGCATGCATACTTTTATCATTTATAAACTGTGGTGTTATAAAAAGATTTCCCGCCCTGAGAAAAGCTCTAACGACACACGTAGAAAAATACGATATTTTTCAGGTGTGTTTGATATAACCAATCAGCTGCTGACACGTCACTCTTTCACGTCACTTGTTGATGAATGAACAGCAAAGTCTTCCCCATTCTCAATCCAAAGTCGTTTGTCGGAATGTTCTCGGATTTTATCATATAAACTACAGTGTTAGACAAGGATTTCCAGCCCCGAGAACAGCCGTAACAACACACGTGATCAAATACCATATTTTTTCACGTGTGTTTGATATCGCCAATCAGCAGCTGATACGTCACTGGCATTTCGCGCTACTCGGTCATGTTGACAAAACACCAACTTCACCATTTTCTTGGATTATGGCCGTTAAAACACTGAAAAATTCATATCGCTCACAGACGGTGGCGTTCAAACCTTTCTTGAAGAAAACCAACATACGAAAAGAAAAACCGAAGGCTACGTATTCAGTGGCTTTGGTAATGGCGTTTCTCCGCGGCTGAGAACGAAAATCAACAAATGAAAGATTTGCCGCAGGCCAATTTTTGCCGATTGCCTGAAGGATTTCTTCTGTCAGTAGGAACAAAGTCAATAAATGATAATTTTGTAAATTGAAAATAACGCCCATTGTTGTTTTTGTAATCGTGATTCAAAGCACTTTTTTATCTTTAGCTTTAGCGCCAACGCACTGTACGATTTTCACTCGGAAACTGCTGATCCTTCTATTCTCGTTCATTGATAAAGTCGGCTTTTCTTGTCAGTAAAAGGCTATTGTGTTTATATGATAAACATAATAATACATGGTTGCTTGTAGATATGGAATTTCTCTTCTCGTGATCAACTCGACATCTCACGCGTTCGCTGCACTCACTCGTGAGTTATCGAGTTAAACACTGGAAGAAAAATTCCATATCACGCGTGCCTATATATTATTCTCTATGTGACCTCTAAAACACTGAAAAATCCGTATCACCTACGGACAGTGACGTTAAAACGTTTCTAGAAGGAAAAGAAAACCAAAATGCGCAAAGAAAAAACCGAAAGTTACGCATTCAGTAACTTTGGTAACTGCATTACTCGCCGCTGAAAACGAAAATTGACTGCTGGAAGATTTGCCAATTTTTACCTTTTCCTTATTGCAAGGTCAGAGTATGCCGGAATTATAGCTATAGAGTTATAGTAGTTAGTCCCAAAATATGGATACACGATCATACTGACTGAAACATGCTTTGTTTCATATATATTCAGCTGAAAAAACATTAATCCTTTTTTTTTTTTTTTTTCACCTTTCCGACCATGCATTAGCAGCTCAAGTTGTGCATACGACTGTTGCTATGGACGAGTTTGAATGTCAGTTAAAATGTATGGGAACTAACCGTTGCAAGTCCGCGATCAACGTTCTTCCCGGTGACTGTATCGGACAACGTAACAGTGAGTTGAAAAATAAAACGCGGTAGATGAACCCAGAAGATTTTAAACAGAGAAAAGTATCTATATGCTATAGGTCTGCTCGGGTTGATACTAAGTTTTATGGTTACCGTAATTACTTGCCAATATACCGAAGAGATATTCGAATAATTTTCAGTTTTGAAGGTGAATAATTCTTATAATAAAGTTGGGGTAAAACGTTTGCTGTCATCGGTGGAAAGAGCGTGCTCTTCACCCGTGCAAAGCTGAGCTAAAGCCATGTGCCAAATTGTACTATGTCCGACCATTTCTCGGAACCGGAACTTTACCGGTTTTCTATTTATCGATCTGAGAGCTAAGAATGACAAAAAGAAAATGTTCATTTGGTCGGACGTAACGTTTTAACGTGTCATATGTGTATATATATGTATATGTATACATATACATATATATTTATATATATTTGCTTCGTTTCTGCAAAATTAATGTGTTGAAGCACGAGTTGGTAATGTCACCTGTTTACAAAAAGTTTGCAGCCTGATGCAAATTAGTAGGTTCGCTTTATCTCTAACTCTCAGGATAATTACGTTTTATGTTCTCGGCATCTATATTAACGTTCTTATTAGTTAAAAAAGAGTTTATTATTTTGAACAGCTATTCGTGATTATAAAAACTTTCACGCGATATAAGGTGATCAGAGCTGAACGGATGTAATCCACTTGGTACTTAATTAAGCGAAAAAAAGTTACTCAAAGTATGAAATGGATGAGTTTTTGTCCTTTCGATGTCATGTCAAGAAAAACAAAACGAAAAAATCACTTGTCTTTTAAATTGTATCGTCAGGCTTCCTGTGTGGATGTTTCTCGTGAGCAAAGTTGACCCGTTAATTGCAAATTCCTCAAAACAAAAGCCACCCTGTTGATTTGGCGAATTAGATTATCAATGATAATGATAAAGGTGGAAACAAATTCTTCTATTACTGCGACGAGCAAAAGAAATTTTCATGGATTTATGGATTATCTACATATGTTGTCAAGTTGAATTTCTAACGAGTTATCAACTGAAGGGTCGCTCTAACATTTCCTATTATACTCGAGTTAAAATCAGGGAGGCAGCTTTCAAATCTTCCCACTTGTCGCAAGTTCGGTCAATCTTGCTGCATTTTTCATCCGCAAGTCTTTAGCTCTTTGTTTCGTAATTGTTTACCAAAAAAAGTGTACGTTTTCGAGAGCCAAAAATTGGCTGGATTCCATGCCACCGGACAAGAGACATTAATTAAGTTTCGTAATTTTTCACTTTTAAATAAAAACGAACTATAAATTGGTGGATCTCCACTCCAAAAGCCAATTAAAATTGATATTATGGGTGAAGTTCACTTTGTGATTGACAGCTGTTTTCTCGATAGCCAATCAAATACTTTGGACCTTTCCAACCATTAAGGTTGTTTCAAAATGTGAAAATTTCGATAAGTGTGCTAACTCCTTCAAAGCTCACAATTTTATTTTATGGAAAAAAAAAGCCACCTTTTTTAAAAAAGAGAGAAAATAAGCCCTCAAAAGCAATTAAAGGACTAAAACTTAGATGAAAAACAGCTTTTAATAATAAATAATGTTTATTTTTAATTTAAATTGTCGTCCAATAAGGAGGGGCCCTATTTATACAGGGAAACAAATTAAGACGAATTAAGGGGCTGATTTAAATGCAGATTATGTTTCTCAAGTGAAGAAGTTCCGCTTGGATAAGAAGAGCGATAATACAGAAATAAAGTAGAATGACTGTTCTATGGCTGCTCCAGTTTTCCATTGTGACTCTTCAAATCGTCTTCGGAATCCTGTTTGCCCTGACAAAAGGAGACTTTTGTGGAAGCGTTTTCGAAACTCAACTGGGTGAGTTAAAACTCAAACTGAACGATTAGGATCTTCTTGATTCTTAGGCTTTGTTTTACATATATTCAGGTGAAAAAGCATCAGTCCATTTGTTTCGCCTTTCAGACCATGCATTAGCAGGTCATGTTGTGTATACGACTGTTGTTGTGGACGAGTTTGAATGTCAGTTAAAATGTATGGGAAACAACCGTTGCAAGTCGATCAATGTTCACCCCGGTGACAGTATTGGACAACGTATCTGTGAGTTGAATAATAAAACGCGGAAGATGAAGCCAGAGGATTTTAGAAAAAGGAAGGGATCTACATACTATAGCTCTGCTCAGGTTGGTACTAAGTTTTATAGTTACCGTATTTAATTGCCAAAATGCCGAGGATATTCGGTAAATTAATAGTTTTTAGCGTGATTGGAATGACAATTCTAGCCTCCTGAGTGCAAAAAAACATAGCTCTTTATTTCACACAGCCATTGAATTTGGCTGTTGAGGGCGCAACAAAAATGGGTAGTTTCATTTCTTCTTGCGTTTTGGGCATAAAACGTTCTCGATTGTTTTTTTAGGTTACAAACCAGAGAAATTCAGAACTTTATTGTTTTTTTCATTCTCTTTATCTATCCGAGAGCTGAGAATAACAAGAGAATATTTGCTTAATTTGTACAGACGTAACGTTGAACATAAGTTGAAAATATGTGTTATATACCTATAAACGCTGTGTTTCTGCAAAGATAACTTGTTGAAGTACGAGTTGATGATGTCACCTGTTAATAATAACTTTGGAGCCTGATTCAAATTATTAGGTATCCTTCATCTGTTAGTCTTAGGTTGACAATGTTTTTGGTATGTTCTCGGCATCTGTATTAACGTCCTTACTAGTTCTTTAGTTTGAAAAAAATATTTTATTTTGAACGGCTATTCTTCATCAAAAATACTTTCATGTTTATAACGTGACCAGAGCTAAATGGATGTAATCCACTTTGTACTTTATAAAGAGAACACAATTGAAAAAATTATCCAAGAATGAGATGGATAAGCAAATTTTCTTTTTGTCTCGATGCAATGTCAATAAAGCAACGGGAAACAAATCAACTTTCCTTATTTTTGTATTAATTGTGTCAGGCTTCCTGCATGGATATTTCTCGTGAGCAAAGGCGACCCACTAAGAGCGCTCAGTGTCATCCGGGATACCAAGGAACACGGTGCCAAATGCGTAAGTGGTCAGAAGATTTTGCCTGTTACGTATTCACAGCTTTTTAGACAAATTAAACTGCATAATCATTACCGGTTGCCTCCTTTTGACAGCTCGAGGTTTAGGATAATGTTACTGACTTTGTTATAAATGAGTCATGAAGTTAGCGGAACTTGTCGAGAACAAACTTAAACAAAACATAAAGTGTCGAGAGAACACATGCAGAATCTCACAAACGGAGGCATATGTGAAGCATAAAACTGTTCTGTTGCGGTCCGGCCGGCTGGATGTTTAATTAAAGTAAAACACATTTGCGACTCCAAAAGTATCCAAAGTTAACTCTGTCACCAAAATACTTCACCTTTAGGCAAAACATTTTTTTTCTCGGACATGCCCTTATATCCACCTAGATATAGAAATAAATATTATGAATAATACTGGGCGATAAAGTAACATTACAAACATTACTTCTACTCACTGTATGTTGTAGCAGAGTGAAACCAAGACTCCTTTTCTTTATAATAAGTTCATTTATATTTATGGTTGAAAAAAGGAAAATTAGCTTTCATTTTTGTTTCATGATTTTAATAATAAGCTCCCGTGGTGAGAGTATTCATCCGCAGTGAAGGTTGCGAGGATCTGGGAATCACAGCAAACACTTGTGGTATTGCTTACATCAAAGTGAATGGAAAAGATTATTCTCCACACATCAGAGGCCATAACGTGGTTGTTATCAACGCTATCACAGGTATTATAATCAAGATCGGAGATAAAGCGCGCTGTCATTTGTTCAAAGAGCGCTCTATCAGGGTACAAAGAGTTAAGTCACGCCATCCACTAATTTGTACTATGTTCCACCATTTTCCGTACTTTTCTCTTGCTTTTTTTCGGTAATTGAAGTGAAATTTCGGAACAAACGAGCCGGCAAGTAGCAACAGAAGAGCCAAGCAAAGGTTTGTAAACATGCCATGCCATGCCATGAAAAATTAACCAAATCGGCATAACTGTTACAATTCATACAAATCATGACGGTCTCAGAGCGATTGCGATCATGCTGAGGTCCATCGCAGCTAGCTTATCATGGCGATCTCCGATCATCGCAGTAAAGCAAACCTCAAAAATTACATCAGCCCCTCTTCGAATGAACAACTAAGAGCTTGCTCTGATATCCTTTCCGATGCATTGAGTGGATGGCCACATCAGTCACAGCAGCCGAGTTTAACGGCGCTGTCATCTCGAGCAATCTTCATGTTTCTGCGAATCAGTCGGCTGTCGTTCATGCATAAAACACACGCCTTGAGCAGTTTGTTTTTTAATTGTCATGACAAAAAACTTGCGGGTTTTTATGAGCCACAATTCGGCCGGATTTCACTGAATATTTCACTTTCAGATTCCGTATTAAAACTGGAAACCTTTGGCGAAAGTGTTAAATTCGACCTGCCGAAATATTTCAGGTTATGAACTATTGCAGATTGTCAACTGAGAGGGTTTGACACTTTTGACGGCTTTAGTCTTGTTCAACCAATCAAATTATTTGAACCATTCTAACAAGGATTCTGATTGGCTTATTGTAGCATGCTTATGAGAATATAGAGCATGCTGACGACATTGATGTTTGCTTTGAAATCAAGGTTTGTTTTGAAAATTGAAAGTAATGCGTGGGAAATTTAAAGGATTCTTTTTTATAAAACAAATAGCGAAGCCTGGACTGTGCTCTATTCTGTTGTAAAGCACTTAGGAAGCAGCTGGAGCACTCCAAAATCATCATGAAGGGTTACTTATCTGGGGCGAAATAAAAGCAGGTGGTAAAACCTTACTTCTGACGACTTTCCCGAAAAAGGCAAACCGGTGTGGGCTTTTGTTTTCCGCGCATACGCCAGAAGGTAACACCGCTGTCTCCCTATCGACTCCATGGTCTTAATTTAATAGAACGATGTGCTCGGTTTAAAATCTGCCGGGTTAGCTCCAGCTCGAATAATCATAATCTCTTTAAGCTACCAGTCATCTGGAAGATGTACGTCTTCATTATAAGCTTGATTGTAGTGGAAGGGAAACGTTTGTTACCATTCTTCATTTGCAGGTACTGTTCTAGGAGCCAAAGGATTTGACACTCATGAGAATAGTTCCGCTGGTATTCACCTGAGAGATTACCTTAACGGAATCAAAGGAGAGTATGTGCCATATTGACCTGCTTTTATATATGTTCATAGAACAAAACAAAACGAAAGCTGATATAAAACAAATGTAAAGGAAGGGAATGATCATCCAACCCTCTAAGGAGGAACTGGTCTT